TTTCTCGGCAAATAAGCCGGGAGGATGGCGAAGGATTGCAATGTGTTACGTCGACAGCTGAGAGAGTGGAGAGAGAGAGAGAGATCTCCGGAGCGCTGGCGGTGGGACCAAGGGTTCGGCCAATTTCACGAGCCAAAGGAAAAGAGGAATTTTCGAGTCGGAAGAGGTCGGCATGGGAGGTGCAACGTCACGAGCGCCCAAAGCGATCGCCCCGCGCAATTTCGCAAAACAACGCAAATTGCCGGTGACCCGGAGAGCGCAGATCGGTCAAAGCCAACCCGAGCGAGCGAGCGAGGGAGAAGGGGGAGTTTTTCTTCCGACCCAAGAAGATCGGGTTGGCTGTGCGCAAAGAATAATGCGGTCCGCTCTCCGCCCTGCGCTCTCCGCTGTGCGTGGGAGTCACACACACACCCCCGCCGCACAACGCTCGATCGGCGCTTGCTTGCCCCTCGCTTCCACGCTGGAGTGTGTGCAACGCGCAAGATCTCGCCGAACCCAGACGCCTCCCCACACTTTCGCTACTCCTCTTTCTTGCTCCTGCGACCCCACCTTTCCCATCCTTGTCGTTCTCTCTGGCTTTCGTCCACTTCCCTCACACTCGCTGCTATTGATTCGTGGCTTCATCTTTCCCTTCCGCACCGTGTCTCTGCGCTCGTCACACTCTCTCTCACTTGCTCGCATCCAAGGCACGACCACACGTCACAAACACTTCCGAAGGTCCCAAGACATTAATTGCGGTCGAACAGGGACACCGCCATCATGTCGCATTTTGTGCCTCCGATGTTCTGGCCGCAACCCGTGCACTGCGAGTCGGCGTCGTCGTCAGAATCGCAGCAGCAGCAGCAGCAGCCGCAGCAGGTTCAGGCTGTTGCTGTCAACGGCAACGGCAACGGCAATGGCAACGGCAACCACGGCGTGTACTGGATCCCGCATCTGCCTGGCGAGGGCCGCTTTGTGGTCAATGCCAAGCTGTACTCGCGCCAAGACGCCGATCCTTCGTTCCAAGAGCACATGGAGAAGTTCCGACGCGAAGTAGCAGCATCTTCGCCGGGCATGCTCTCGTACAAGACGTCGGTGGTGCGCGGCGTGACGGACAAGGAGAACCTCATCTGCCACGACCTGTACATCTCGGACGACCTGGAGCCGCATCCTGTGCCGAGCACCAAGGAGGGGAAGGAGGCGCTGGCGACCGAGCGTCTCAAGGAGATACAGGAAGAAAAGCGCGAAAAGCCGGTCAAGAACGCACTGAGCGAGATCGGCAAGTCGGCATACAACTTTGGGCTGGGTGGTATTGCGGGATCGGTGGGTGCGACGCTGGTGTATCCGATCGACCTGGTCAAGACGCGCATGCAGAACCAGCGTTCGGCGGTGGTGGGCGAGCCGCTCATGTACAAGAACTCGATAGACTGCGTCAAGAAGGTCTTTCGCAACGAGGGTGCGCGCGGCTTCTACTCGGGCCTGGGTCCGCAGCTGCTGGGTGTGGCGCCGGAGAAGGCGATCAAGCTCACGGTGAACGATCTGGTGCGCGGGCATGCCAAGGACCCCATCACGGGCGCCATCACGCTGCCGTGGGAGCTGTTTGCCGGCGGTGCGGCGGGTGGATGCCAGGTGATCTTCACCAACCCGCTCGAGATTGTCAAGATCCGGCTGCAGGTGGCGGGCGAGATCGCCAAGCAGGAGGGTGGTGACCGCGTAGCACGCGGGGCGGTGCATATCGTTCGCCAGCTCGGACTGGTCGGGCTGTACAAGGGTGCATCGGCGTGTTTGCTGCGCGACATTCCGTTTTCGGCCATCTACTTCCCCGCCTACGCGCATCTGAAGAAGGACACCTTCCACGAGGGACGCGATGGCAAGAAGCTCGGCTTTGGCGAGATGCTCGCCTCGGCAGCGATTGCCGGTATGCCCGCTGCGTTCCTCACCACGCCCGCCGATGTGATCAAGACGCGGCTGCAGGTCGAGGCGCGCAAGGGCCAGGCGACCTACAAGGGCATCGTCGACTGCGCAACCAAGATCATGGCCGAAGAGGGGCCCAAGGCGTTCTTCAAGGGCTCGCTCGCAAGGGTGCTCAGGTCGAGCCCGCAGTTCGGCGCAACGCTCGTGGCGTACGAGTACCTCCAAAAGTTCCTCCCGTATCCGTTTGAGGATACCGAGGTGGCCGACATCATGCGCGACGGCGTGCCGGGCGAGGACCCGTCGAGGACGCATGCGCGCCGCGCACTCCAGCTCCTCATCGAGCTGCACGAGGACTTTGGTCGCCCCCCGCCGGCTGCTGCTGCTGCTGCTGCCGCTCCAGCCAAGTGAAGAACTCAGCCAAGATCCGTCTTCAACACCTTCCTCCCCCGTAATAGATGCAACAGAGCAGAGCCTTTTTCCCATCTTTCCCAGCTTGAGTGAGCGTGTGTGTGTGATTGCGTGATGAGAGTGTGACAGCCGAATGAAGCGCCGGTGATGCACAGCACCGCAAATGAGAATCGCTCCATTGGCTCCGGCAGAGAGGCGGCGCGGAAGGAAGCCTGGGACCCTGCTGGACCTGCAAAGCGGAAGAGGCCAACTCGGCGCCTCCCCGAGCCCACCTCGCGCTTAATTTTCTCAAGCAGCAGGCAATCACAATCTCCACTCGGCAACGCCGACACTCACACTGGTTTCCTCGAACCGTCGTCGGGCCTTGCGATCCATCACATCCTCCCTCCGATAAGTCACTCTGTCCATGCCGCCACTCTAGCACCTCCTCGCCGTCGCCACTATCGCGACCCCTCCGACCGGAAACGACATGCCTCCCAGACACCACACGGCTCACGTTTAGGCAAGGCAATCATGTCGCAGCAGGATGGCGCGCCATTCGCACACCATTCCGTGCTCAGCCCTCCGCTGCTCGCCGCCATCGACAGCCAGCACGTGTTTGGTCCATACGACTCGGCGCAGACTCCACGCGAGCCGTCGCAGCCCGAGTCCAGCTCGCGCCCCACGCATCGACGCACACGCTCCAGGGCATCGTCCGTCGCCTCGGTGCATAGCCTCACCACCGCCAACAACAATGCCACCACCTCTCAAAGCTCTTCGCAACGCAGGGCTCGCAGGGGACACAATGTGCCTGGCACGCATGGCCGCAGCGGGAGCAACTCCATCCCGTCAACCGCCTCGGGCCGCGCTGCTACGCTCAGCGCCTTATCGCCCACCGACGCTTCTCGACCGCTGACGGCAAGCTCGCGCAACCGCTCCATCCCCCATCTCGACGGCCTCCACAGCCTCTCTGCTGCACACGAGCACGGCCATGCCGCTCGACCATCCGCATACACTGCACCATCATCTCCGCTCCTTTCGGCGGCAGCTTCGTTGGCATTCGCCATGTCGCCTGTCGCTCATGCTTCCGCAATCACCGAACATCTCGTCCCGTCCGACTGGGCGCTCGATGCTTCCGTACCAACCACGCCTCACACCGCACTCTCGCGCAACGCCTCCGACTACTTTGACCCGGCGCTGCTCGCGCATCTTCAGTCGCACGACCCAAGCTCCCATCCCGAGCTCTGCGCCTCTCAGCCCGTCCCTTCACCTCCGCCGGCTCACTCTGCGCATGCAGCACGCTCGGCCAGCCAGTCCGAGTGGGCGCAGCATGCGGCGCACATGCAGCAGACCGCACAGCTGCTCGGCCTCCAGCGTCTGTTCGCCAGTCGCAGCACACCGCATCTGCCCGACCTCGACTCGACCTATCTGGGCCACGACTTTGAGTCGCCCCCGCCCTATGCGCCGCGTGCCGCCGCGCACGAGACCGAGCTCGAGCGTGCCGTCGACGTCGACTCCAACGCCACGAGCACGCCCAGCCGCGACCCGCCTCTGCCGCCGCCCATCTCCATCCCGGCGGGCACGCCGAGCCGACCGGCGTCCGGTCCGTCGTCGGCATCCGTGCCCGCACGACCGCCGCTATCGCGCGCACGCTCGTCGTCGCGCGGAAGCAGGAGTGGCCCTCCGTCGCCTTCGGCGTCGTTCTACGGCCGACGCGGCCTCACGAGTCTGTCGCCCTTGCCGGCGGGGCTCGAGATGACGCCGAGCGTGATGCATGTGGCGCAGTTCGCATCGACCCCCGCCAGCCCCGGATTTGCGCCGGACAGCGACGGCGACGAGGACCTCGAGGGCGCTCTCTCCTTCTCCTCGTCCAGGTCCAAGCAGAGGAGGGACGAGCGCACCATCTCGGCCGCTGGCGACGACGCGGCGCGCAGCGAGGCGAATGGACACGTCTCGGCATCGCTACCAGCCAGCTCGTCCATGTCGCAGCATGCCGGTTTGACGAGGAGGAGGAGGTCGGGATCCACGGGGAGTGCACGACAGCTTCTGCGGCCCCGGACGCCAAGCAGTGCCGCTGCGACAAGGGGACCGGCGAGCACGCAGCAGGCTTCGACGAGCAGTCCAGCTCCGAGCGTGGCGGACGAGCCGCCACTCACGGCCGAGGCGGTGAGCGCCGAGCCACTCGCGCCTGCCACGACGGCGTCCGTCAGCTCGGTCGATGCCAGCTTGGACGCCGACAGCGTGAGCCAGCCCGTGTCTCCCACCTCGGAAAGCACGCGGCCGGATAGTCCCTCGTCGCCCGAGGCCGTGCGGCACACGCACCGCGCCAAGTCGGTCTGGACCAGCAACGGCGGGTCGGAAGCGTTTCCTTCGCCCGGCGATGCAGCAGCGGTACCCGGCGAGGACGACGAATTCCCGCTGGTGCTCAAGCTGCTGCTGCATCCGCTGCGCATCCTAGCTGCGGTGCCCGGGTGCATTGGCACGTTCTGGCTCGCGCGCAATGCCTACATGCTCGCCAGCCGCGACGGGCAGCTGCTGAGTCCCGGGCCGATGCTCGTGCTCGCCGACGGCACGGAGCGCTTCTGGAGCGCCGATGTGGTGCAGCACGCGGTGCGGCCGGGACGTCGGCAGCCGGGTGCACTCGACTTTGCGGTGGCGTGTCTGTGGAGCATGAGCACGGCCTACCACGCGCTCTCGTTCACCACGCTGCTGCTGCGGCGCTGGCTGCTCTACTACTCGATCCTCCCCTCGCTCATCCGGCTCATGGCGCTCCAGGCCATCTGCTGGCCGCTCGTGCGCCTCACCGTGTACGTGTTTGGTGCCGACCAGCCGCTGGGCGCGTGGGTCGTCATCGGCACCACCACGGCGCTCAGCGACGTCGTGTCGCGCTGGGTGACGAGCAACATTGCCGACGCGCCGCTCGACGACGAGGTGGACGATGAGCACGAGGACGAGGCGCTAGGATATCTCAGCGACTATGGTCGGAGTCCCACCAGGGCGGTGGCGGAGCGGATGGCGATGGCGGACAGCAACCCGCTCGTCGCCGCGGGAGGGGCGGCGCTGGGCGGTGCGTCGGATTGGGACCCCCGCTCGGGAGACGAGAGCGATGCGGCGGCGGCGAGCTTTTTTGCGAGCGAGCGCGAGCGGCAGCGCAAGCAGCGGCGCGGTGGACAGGGCACACGATTCTGGCGTGCGGTCATCGGTGGGCCGTCGTTCGCCGCCCCCTCGCGGCGCAAGGCGCGGCGTGCCGAACAATCGCGAAGCAACGGCGCAGCGACCGAGACCGAGGTGGAGGCCGAGTCGGACTGGCCCGGGTATGCGACGGACCGCACCGTGCTCGGATCGGAGGGGCTGCGGCGTAGGATCCCTGGAGCGGGGAGGAGGACGGTGTTGCCGCCGTTTCCGTTCCGGCCGTCGACGTATCGCCAGGGCAGCACGCGGTACGTGTACAGAGACGGCGGCTGGACGAGGGAGCGCACGAGCAGCCGACGCAACTTCCACTGGGACGTGGCGGTGTGGCGCAACGTGGTGCCCATTGCGGCACTGGCGTACCTGAGCATGTGGATCCTCGTGTGCGACGCCATGCGGCTTGGCGGCTAAGGGCCCCAGGCTCCATGTATACCCCTTGGCAACGCCAGCGATCTGATGAATGCCAAGCATGGTGTGTGGAAAATTCGCGAGAAAGTGTTAGAGTGTGCGCGAATGCCTCCACATGCTCGCTGCGAGAAGAGCTGCAGGGTGTGAATCATCGTGCTTTGCGGTGGCGGGGCGCACTTTCGATGCTTCCACCATCTCTTGCTCAATGTCGGGCAGTACAGGTAAAGTTGCGTGTTCGTTGGGTACGAGTCTGTCCTCGCGTCAGCTTGTGGCTGGGGTGAAGCAGCTCATCCCCGCTCTTTCGTCGGCACGGCACAAGGGTCAAGCAGGGCGCATTGGGATTGTTGGTGGGTCGCGCGACTACACGGGTGCGCCTTTCTTCGCCAGCATGTCTTCCATGCGTCTTGGTAGCGACCTATGCTACACCATCTGCACTCCTGACGCGGGCAGTGTGATTAAAACCTACAGCCCGGACCTTATCGTCAATCGCATTCTCAACCCCGACGTTCCCTTTGCTGAGGTCGAACGCCAAGTCGATGCGTTGTTCGCGCGGCTCCACGCGGTTGTTATCGGTCCTGGACTGGGAAGGGACGAGTTCATGCAAAGCTGCGCGAGGCTATGCATCCAGCTGGCGAGGAAGAGGGATATGTACATCGTGCTGGATGCGGATGCACTTTGGCTGGTCCAAAACGAACCCGATGTCATCGCAGGGTATAGCAAGGCAGTACTCACGCCCAACAAGGCCGAATTCGCCCGACTCTGCACCACACTCGGTGTAGATGCAGAACAAGACCCCGACACTGCAGCCCGCCAACTCGCCAACGCTCTCAAGGGTCCAACGATCCTCCAGAAGGGTGGCATTGATCGAATCACGAATGGAACGTAAGTTTCTCCAACCTCTCCCTATATCTACATTGGCGGCACGAACTGACAATTTGCATCCCTTTGGCATGGGCTAGGGAGGAGGCGCATGTTGATGCAGAGGGGTCGTTGAAGCGGTGTGGTGGGCAGGGTGATATCCTGGCCGGCTGTTTGGGCACGTTTGCTGGCTGGGCAGCGATCTATGCGCAGGAGCACTCGCCGCGCTCCACTGCATCGTCAGCCGGCGAGCTGGCGCAGGATAACCTGTTGCTGTACGCAGGATATGGGGCTGCACTTACCGCGCGTGCATGCAGTCGGCGGGCATTCGAAAAGCACCGCCGTGCCATGCTCGCCCACGACCTGCTCGTCGAGGTCGGCCCCGCGTACCAAGAGCTATGGGACGCCTGATCGCATTGCGCGGATTTCAGACCGACAGGATCGTGACTGCAAGCGACACCGTAACGACGACAAGCGCGAGTTTGAGATGACGCGGTGAGGCGCTACTCGTGCACGCCAGTGCGGTAGGCGGTGGCGAGAGCGACTTGAGACACGACTCGAGCGCGGGTACCCTGTCCGCCGAGGTCTGGCAGGTGGTGAGGCCTTCGCTGAACGTGACGGGGAAGACGGCACAGCACGACCCTGTCGAGGTGCCGTTGATGCTGCATCCGGGATACTTGGGCGCACTGATCGCCATGACGAGCAACGTTGGTGGTGCAAAGAAAGGGTGGGTTGGTCTTGGAATTCACCGACAAGGGTGGCAGATATGCACTTCGTCTGCGGGGTGCATTCTTTGTCCATGCGAGCAAAGCAGCGCGCGTAATGAAAGACGCCGATTCGTTGGCCCGATCCGCACATGAACTGCAAACGCGGCAGCGACCGTGCAGCTTGCAGATCATCCCTGCTTTCTCCCTTCCTAGAGCACTGTGCAGCGTCAGTCAGGACTGCTGTGCCAGATTTTGTCGAAAGAGGCGAGGCTTCGGAGAGACTGCACGACACACTGGCCATTCCCACGTCAAGCTTTGAAGCAAAATTGTCCGTTGCGTGTGAAGTGGATGAAGGATAGGTGGGGGCCAGAGGCAGTCGTTCCTGCAGCCGCTTCCGAGGTGTCGACTGCCGATCTGCTGCCTCTTTTTGTTGCGTCGGTCCGGCCGGCCAGGCTTCGGCTGCTCCGCGTCCGAGCCAAAAGTCGACGGTCGAGGATGCGGAGGACCCTCGCCGGCGTAAAAGTGGATTTGGCAATTCGCTCGCCCAGCGCACTGCGCACTGCGCACGCGCCCACACCCGCAAAACCCTCGGCCTTAACTGCACGGCCGCCGCGCCGAGCTGCCTTGGCCCACAAAGCCAGACCCGTAAGCTGCTGGTCTTCGGATGATCCGCAGCCGACGCCGCCTCGTCTGTCGCTGCTATCGGCCTGTCCATCCTCTGCTCCACTCCATCCACGCCCACGGTACTCTCTGCCTACCGCAGCACATCGCATCCTCCTTGGCTCAGCACATCCGCACACGACATGCATTGAAACAGACTCTTCGCTTTATCCCCATTCCGTAGGCGTCTCGCGAGACCATCATCCTTCCGCCGCATCCGCGCATGGCCCTCGACGCACACGCCAGCATGGACGCCGCCGACGCCAAACCCACCACAAAGAGGGTATCCTACGTTCTGCCGCCTTGTCGTAGCCCACCTGCTACCTTCGGCCTCCCGCCGTTGGGAGCCCCGCGCGGCTTCAACACCGGTCCCCTCCTCATCCCGCGCGAGCGCAACCAGCCGCCGCCGCCGCCGCGGAATGGAACCCAGCCGGCTTCGTCCACCTCTTCGCTGCCGTCCCTCTCGGCGGCTTCGTCGTCGAGCCGCTCAACCCAGTCCAACGCGCCGCTCACTCGCCATCCACAGCACTCGCTCGCCGTCTCCTCGCTCGCCATCGACACCACCACATGCATAGCACCCAGCTCCGATGACGACATCGACTCGGATGACGACGACATCGACGTCAACAATGATAGCGACCACGATCAGGCTTCCCGTCATCACTCTGTGCCGCCAGGCATCCTCTACACCGGCGGCCGCGACGGCCTGGTCGGAGCTTGGGAGCTCGGCCTGCCCATGCGCAAACGCAGCGCGCAGCGTATACACCCGCACGAGGCGCACGACGACGAATCCATCGGCCTCCTAGCTGGCACTTCGGCGCTGCCCGGCCACGCCGATGCCGATATCGACACGCTCGCATACTGGCAGGCGGATCCGCTGCGAGCCCATCGCGCACGCCGCACCCGCTTCCGCCAGTGCGTCCAGTCGCACACCGACTGGATCAACGACATTATCCTGTGCAACCGCGACCAGACGCTCATCTCGGCCTCCTCCGACCGCACCGTCAAGGTGTGGAATCCGCACGACCCCACCCACAGCCTCAGCCCGCACGTGCTCGGCACCCACAAGGACTACGTCAAGGCGCTGGCACACGCTTCCGAGTCCGGCTACGTCGCCAGCGGCGGATTCGACAAGTGCATCAAGCTCTGGGACATTCGCGAGGCCAGAGCCGCACCCATGCTCGAGCTCGACGAACGCGCGGTCAAGAGCTCCGTCTATGCGCTCAGCGTCAACCCGAGCGGCGCGGTCATCGCCGCAGGCTCCCCGGAGCACCACGTCAAGGTGTGGGATCCACGCAGCGGCAAAAAGTGCGCAGAGCTCGTGGGACATACGGACAACGTGCGCACCGTGCTCGTCAGCGAGGACGGCCGCTTCCTGCTCTCGGGCTCGGCCGACTCGACCGTGCGTCTGTGGTCGCTTGGCGAACAGCGCTGTCTGCACACCTTCACCCACCACGCCGACTCGGTGTGGTCGCTCTTCTCGGACCATCCCACGCTCGACGTCTTCTACTCGGGCGACCGCCAGGGCTACGTGTGCAAGGTCGACTGGGAACGCTGCGCCGAGGTCTCCGAGGGCGAGTGCGTCGTGCTGTGCCAGGAGCGCGATGCCGCCGCCGACGATGAGCTCGAAGACAGCCTCGATGGAGACCACGACTCGTATAGCCATCCCGACCTGCACAGGCGCGTCGCCAAGGCGGGCATCCAGAAGATCATCGCGCTCGACGACACCTACTTCTGGACCGCCACGGGCAACACCAGCGTCAACAGGTGGAGAGACGTGCCGAGGCGCGCAGAGAGGGAAGCCATCTATCCGATCGGAGGCCCGCATACGCGCTCGCGCGAGCTGCTGCACCGCAACTCGTTCGGCAGCCCCAGCATGCATCGAGCCAGCGTCGAGACCGGGCGCTCGCCCGAGTCGCTGCAACTCGCACACCAGCCCTCGGTGACGTTTGCCGAGCCCGACATTGCGGCGAACCACCGCGCACAGGCGGCGAGCCACGCCGCAGAGGCCTCGGCGACGTTCTCGGCGCTCCAGACGGGCATGGGCTTGCCGCCTGCCGACGTGCCGCTGGCGGCCACCATGCACGGCATTCCCTTCGACAGCCTCCTGAGTCTTGCGCCCATCAGCGATCCGTACGGCGACAAGATCGGGCTCGGCAGCGTGAGTATGCGCGACCCGCGCGCGCACGCCGACGACTCGATGCTCGCCAGTGGCCCGCTCAGGTCCATCGCCAGCCGCGTCTCGATGGATCAGTCGAGCATCATGGTTGCGTCGGCCGCGCGGTCGCCTGTGGCGGCGCCGTTCAACAACCAGCTGGCCAACGTGCAGGCGATGGACATGCCTAATCGACCCGCGAGCACGCGCTCGGCGAGTCTGCGCTTCGCGCCCACCGATCAGACGTTCGAGCCCGAGGGTCTGGGCAAGTCGTGGGAGAGCGGCTCCGAGACCGACGCTTCCGCGGGCGCAGGGCAGGCAGGTAAGCTTCGCTTCCGCCAGCGACCGGCGGGTGGAGCGGTGGGCGGCATCGATGAGGATGCCGACGACGACGACGACCAGGCGTACCAGGCGCGGCTGGCGTTCGAGGACCGCGAGCTGGCCGAGGAGGCACGTGCGCTACGCCGCCGACCGGATGCGGTGATCCGGGGCTCGCACGGCCTCATCCGCTCGTCCATGCTCAACGACCGGCGCCACGTGATCACGATCGACAGCACGGGCGCCGTGATGCTGTGGGACATCATCAAGGGCGTGTGTCTGGGCGACTTTGACCGCGACGAGGTGGAGCGTGCGGCGCTCGAGTCCAACCTGATCCCCTACACTTTTCTGCGCAAGTGGCGGCCCGAACAGACGCCCGGCGACACGCTCGAGGTGGTCAAGGAGCGCATCGAGGGCCAGGGCGTCACGCCGCTCTGGTGCTCGGCAGAGACGCGCGGCGGCGCACTCACCGTGCACGTCGAGGAGCCGCGCTGCTTCGAGGCCGAGTTCTATGTCGACGAGTTCAAGGACTGCCTCGATCCGAGCTTCTTCAAGGAGGACCAGCGCGGGCAGGTCGCGCGCTGGCTGCTGCGCAATCTCTTCGCCGGGTTTGTCGAGGCAGAGAGTACGATGCGCAATGCGGCGCGCAGCGATAATGTCCTGCCCGAGACGCCCGCGTGGGACCGCATCGCGAGGGTGCATAGGAGCGGGCCATTCACGCCGGGCATGACCATGGGGCTCGCAACGCCTGCCAAGACGCCCGCGCTGCCATCGCATCCGTCCAATCCGCTCTTCCTCGGGCTGACGCCCGGCGACCGCACCGCGCTGCCCACCGCCTCGACGCTGCAAGGCGCGTCGGACTACTTTTCCGCCCAGGGCTCCAACCCAGCGGGCGCGGCGGCATCGGCGGCGCGTGTGCCGCAGACGCCAGGCACGCGGTCCGACGAGGCCGCCAACGGCCAGCCCGTCACGCCGGGTGTGGGCGTGGGAGCGGCCAACGGCAACGGCACGGGTGGCGGGAGCGGCTTCATGAACAAGTTCCGGTTCGGCAAGAAGCAGGCGGACAAGGCGGATGCGGGCGTGGACTCGGCGGACGAGGCGAAAAAGAAGGCGGCCGAGGCGGCGGCGGAAGCGAGCGACGAGTCGCAGCGCGTCGTGACGCACGCACAGCGTCTCGACGAGCTGTTCAGCAAGGCGCTCACGCCGGCGTCGCTCGACGAGATGCCGCGGCTGCCGCTGCCGCCCGATACGGCGGTGATCATCTCGCAGTCGTCGGCCGACGCCGGTTCGTGGGAGGCCGTCTACCGCGGCCTAGTGAGCTGTACGGGCGACGACGCCGAGGTGCTCGAACGCACCGCGCCGCTCTGGCTGCTCGAGTGCCTGCTGAACAATGGCGTGGTGGCGCGCGAGCCGGTCAAGCTCAGCTTTACGCTCACGCCCTGGCGGCCTGCGGGCGCGGACGGGTTTGGCGGGTACGGGCTGGGCGTGGAGCAGCCGATGCCCGAGATGCCCACGGGCAATGCGCGGTTGACGGCAACGCGCTGCCTGCGCGTCAAGAAGGCGTGCTCGTACGTGGCTGAGAAGCTCGAGTTGGGCAGCCCGCGCAGCCGGACCGCCAGCATCAATGCGAGCACGCGCTCGAGCGTCGATGCGGCCGCGGGCCCTGGGCTGGGCATGACCAAGAACGCCGATGCACAAGGTGTGCAGCACAACGCCGCTGTGGGCGCAGAGCTGGCTCCGCACGAGATGATCGAGATCCTGTGCAACGATGTCGTGCTGCCCGTCGACGTGACGCTGGCCCAGTGCCAGAGGTTCTATTGGCGCGCAGGCGGAGATATCAAGCTCGAGTACAGGAGCAAGCGAAGCGAGTAGCGCTCAATTTCATTTCGATCTCACCCTTTGCTAGCGGGCTGGTTTGAGGGTGTGTGCGGGGGGTGAGAGAGGTTCAGGGTCCAGTTGATGGTGGGGGTGGGATGGCGCGCGGTGGGGAATTTTGAGAAGAATCGCGTCGAGATGCGCAGGTGCCCGCAGATTTCATGGGTTGGCGACCAACCATATCACAACGAACAGGACCATTGGCAGGTTGCGGTGATGGCGATGCGCAACTTGGTCTTGTCGACAGCGCGGCGTGCTGGTGCGCAGGCATGCTGTGCTGGTCCATCGCGCCTGGCATTGTCGACTGTGCGGCGTGCATCGACGACGGCCGACAAGCCCAAACGGCGAACTACAGCATACTCTTCGATCCCCGACCAGGCGCTCGATTCCGATGGCGAGCCTCTGCCACCGCTGGATGCCATCACACCACACCCTGTTCGAAAGCGCGCTTCGAAGCGCAAGGTGAAATCCGCCACCACTATCCCTGTTCCAGACCCGAATGAAGAGGTTGCGGAAGAGGCGGTTCGGTGGCCGCCACTGGCCCAGTCGGTGCGCGACGACATGGCGCGCTTCCCGCACACGATCCTTCTCACGCGCGTCGGCGGCTTTTACGAATCGTACTTCGACCAAGCCCCCTCGCTCGCCTCTATGCTGGGGATCAAGCTGGCGAACCGTCGGTGGGGAGGTCAGGACGTGCCCATGGCAGGCTTCCCCATCTTCCAGCTCGAAAAGTACCTCAAGATCCTCGTGCTCGACCACGGCCTGCTCGTGGCCATCGCCGAGGAATTCAGATCGAACGATGGCAATGCGGTCGAGATCGCACGCAGGGTCATCCGCATCGTGAGCCCAGGCACGCTGATCGACGAAAAGTTCCTCGACCCGTTTGTCAACAACTTTATCGTCGGCATCAGCGCCAACAACGGCAGGTTCGGGCTCGCCTGGCTCGATGTGGGCACCGCGGATTTCAACTCGGCCGTGTGCGGCGACTTCAAGACGCTCAGGGACGAGATTGCGCGCATCGGGCCGCGCGAGGTCGTCATCGACGCAAGCACCATCCACGCCACCGAGGACGCCTCCACCGCCGAGGCTGGCCGGGAGTGCATCGACGTTCGAGAGCTTGTACCCGACCCGAGCGTGTACATCTCGCACTTTACGCCCGACCCCACACCGAGTCCTTCCGAGGATGCTGTGGCGGGGATGGATTCGCTCGAGCGGGGGACGGTGCAGGTGTTGCTGGGCTACCTGCGCACGCGGTTGCTGGACTCCGATTCGTCGTTGGATGCACTCACGCACGCACGCCCCTTACACCAGCGGCTCGAGTCGGCCATGCAGATCGATGCGCACACGCTCGCGGCGCTCGAGATCAAAGAAGGCGCGCGCGAGGGCGGTCTTCGCGGGTCGCTGTTCAGTGTGCTTCGTCGAACCGTCACGCGGGGCGGGACGCGGCTGCTGCAACAATGGCTCTGCCACCCCTCGACATCGGCGGGCACGATCGAGGCGCGGCTGGATATGGTCGAGATGCTGCTGCACCAGCGGGGGCTGCGCGAGGACCTGCGCAGCACCCTCCGCACGGGCGCGGGCGATACCACGCGCGTGCTCCAAAAGCTCGCAGCGAGGCGCAACGACGAACAGGACTTGCTGGAACTGCGTGATGCCATCAAGACCACCACGCGCGTCACGCAACTCCTGCATGCCGAACGCGAGCATGTCCCCAAGGCCGCAGCGACACTGCAGGTGTGGGAGGAAAAGTTTACGGACCTCGGTGAGCTTGCCGCGAAGCTGGGGGATGCGATTGACGAGCGGGTCATCGAGCAGCGGCTGGCGCGACAGCAGGAGATGGCTAACGACGTACAGGACGTTGCGGCCGAAACCACGCGCGCCAAGATCCGCAGTCTAGCGGGTCGCAAAGCATCCCAGTCGGGCGAGGAGGAGGTGTGGGGCGACGAGTTCGAACACCTCATCCGACCGGCGTCTTCCAAGATGCTGGGTAATCTGACGCGCACGCATCGGCAGCTGCGTCGTGCGGCACGCCAGCTCGAGGTGCAGTTCCAGCAGGCCTATGGCGGCGACCACGTGTCGCTGCGCCACGTCATGGGTCAGGGCTACGTAGTGCACTCGCGCGGGAAAGCTCTCTCCTCCCCAGCACCTCACAGCGAAGGCGAAGATTTGAGCGTGCATATCGCGGGGAAGAACCGGTCGACGCACACGTACTACGCCGCCGCATGGACGGCGCTCGGCTCGCGCCTCGACGCGCTGGCGAAAGAGATGCAGGCCGTAGAAGCGGTGGAGCTCGAAACGCTGCGCCAAACCGTACTCGTTCAAGCCTCGGCCCTACGACAGAATGCTGCACTGCTCGACCAGCTCGATGTGCTGCATTCGTTCGCACAGGCTGCCGAGGAGTACAACCTGGTCCGACCGACGCTGGACACCTCCACCACACTCACCGTTCGAGGCGCGCGACATTTGTCCGTCGAAATAGGCCTGCTTGAACGAGGTCGACTCTTTACGCCCAACGATCTCTCCCTCGACGCCGATGACCGCGTCCACGTGATCACCGGACCCAACATGGGTGGGAAATCCACCTTCCTCCGCTCGATCGCACTGCTCACCATCCTGGCCCAGAGCGGATGCTTTGTCCCCTGCGAAGCGATGCACCTCGGCCTGGTCGATAGGATCTTCTCGCGCATTGGGGCCAACGACGACCTGTTTCGCGACAAGAGCACCTTCATGGTCGAAATGACCGAGGTCGGAGAGATCCTCCACCGCGCCACCGGTCGCAGCCTCGTCATCGCCGACGAAATTGGCCGTGGCACAACCAACCTCACTGGCATAGCTGTGGGATTCGCAACCCTAGCAACCCTCGTCGAACGAGGATGTAGAACGCTATTCGCCACCCACTTTCACGAAATCACCGACCTCGTGGCTGAAAATACCGACCCCGCTTTCCAAGCCGTCAGCTTCTACGCTTCCGACGTCGAACAACACCAAGCCGGCTTGGTCTACAGCCATACACTCCGAGAGGGCGTCAACCGCAAGAGCTACGGCATCCAAGTCGCGCGCATCGCCAACGTTCCCCAACCCACGCTCGAGCTCGCCCAATCCACGCTTGCCCGCCTCGAATCAACGCACCACACATAGACTCGCCCCAAAAAAACTTGCAATTGTCGACTACGCACGACCCTCTAGCTCAGCTGCACCTTTTCCACGCCGGCACGTGCAGCCTCTGCGCCATCGGCGTTCTTCTTGGCCGCCTTAGCCGCCGCCTTGGCGTGCTCCTCCTTATCCCTGTTGGCCTGTGCCTCCTCCTCGGTCTCGGCAGTGCCACCCTCCTCCTTGGTGCACAGATGCGCAAAGCGCGGGTTGATCTTCTTCTCCTTCTTCTTCTTGACCACGGGCGTGTCTTCTGGGTAGGCATCCTCCTTGGCCTTCTTGAACTCGGCGTCGGTCTCAAACAGCTTCTGCACGGGCTCGAGCAGCGTAGTGATCGCCTCGGCCACGGCCTTCTTGAGATCGGCAGGGTGGATCGCACCCTCGACGTAGTCCTTCTCGAGCGCCGCGTACGACGAGTAGTGGAGCGAGCCGCCGTACTTTTCGGGCCTCACGATGCTAAACATCGAACCCTTGGGAGCGTCGGATGCGACAAACGAGCGCGATGCACCCTGCGACTCCTGGACGGGCGTACCCATGGCTTCCGACTCGACGCGCAGGCGTGCAATGGGGAAGAGCACGGCGCGCACAAAGCCGAGCACACCGTTGCCCTCCACCTCGCCGGGCGCGCAGACGGCATTGGCGATCTTCTTGGACACCTCCTTGGGCGTGTCGAGGAAGTCGATCTTGGACGAGTTGTCCGAGGAGCTCATCTTGGAGCCCTTGAGGCCGGGCACCATGGCGTTCATGAGATGCGCGCGCTTCTTGTAACCGAGCTTGGGCAGGTACTGCTCTGCAAACGTAAAGATCTTGCGCTGGTCCACACCGCCGAACTGCATGTCGACGCCGAGGTACTGCTCATCGAGCGCCTGCAGTCCCGGGTAGAGCAAACCAGAAAGCAGCGGCGAGGCGACCTGCTTGACCACCTCGGCGCCCGCCTTCTTGGCGTCGTGCTCGGTGACCGAGGCGCAGAGGCGGTAGTTGTCCATGTTGTACGCCTCGGTGAGCTGGTAGCTCGAGCCGACGACAAACACGAGGCGGTCGGTAGGCACGCCGATCGCGCGGAAGACGGCGGTGAGCACGTGTCGGTAGTAGTTGACGCGGTGACGCACGAGCTCGATGGGCGCCTTGAGGTTGTCGAGGAAGGCGTGGATGTCGGCGAGGAGGATCTTGACCTCGACGCCTGCGCGGAGGAAGTCGGCGATCTTGGTGAGGGGCACGAGGTAGCCGACGTGCGGACGGCCGGTGGGCGCCGTGCCCCAGTAGGCCGAGGGCGGACGCTCTTCCTTTTCGAGGACGGCCTTGATGATGTCGGCGCCGAGCACCTCGTCAAGGTCGCGCGAGATGAGCTCGAAGCGCTCGGTGGCGGAGAGTTTCGCTTGGGACGACATGGTGCTGTGTGTATAAGCTGAGCTCGAGCAGCAGCAGCTTGGGTTCAGATGAAGCGTGGAGGGGAGAAGGCGAGGTGCAAGACCTGCGCCAAAAAATAAGCGGTGCGAGGAAGAAGCTCGAGCCTGGCTAAGCGTGTGTGGTCTGACTCGCCAAGTCGGTCGTGTGTGTAATGCTTAGTAATATGCTCCACCTGGCGACTCCCGCTTCATCAACGCGAGCTTTTTTGGAAACCAACACCTGCTCGGTGGTTGCTGGCGGCGCTGCGGTGTCAAGTCCGGCAAATTGGCCGGTGGCATTCTATGCGCCGTCCAAGCTCCGTGCGAAGCTGTCGTCGTGGCCATGGCACAGCCGAGGCTAATGTGGAAATGCGAGGTAGAGAGGGCGCTGGAAGGACGTGGCCGCCGGAGCCTCGGTCGGGGCTCGGTGTCGGATCTCGGGCCAAGCGAAGCGTGTGCGGCTCGCATTTTCGGCCCCCACGCCAACCCTCTCTGCGGGCTGTGAACGCCCTTGGCTGGCGGTGAGGATGCGGGGGCCCGACTGTCGACCCGCGGCTGCAGCCTCTTTGATGTCCGTGGACGAGGCTGATGGTCTTGGCATTGTCACTGGCCTCGGATCTGAGCCCAGGTTGCCGGATACACGTGTAACCGGCGAGACCTTCCTTTGCCCTGGAAGCATATAAATCGAGCCACGCTCCTGCCATCCCTCTGCGTCTCGGTCAGGACAGTGCCGCATCGCTTTCTGGTACTTTCGCTGCTCAGACAACTGCAAACATGTCGGCCACTTCGAAGCTGTTCGACGAGATCGACCACAAGTATGGCGGCAAGGTCAAGGAGATGAGCGAGGAGCAAAAGATGCTCGTGGGGCTGCCGTACCTGGCCAACACCGAGGACCTCATCCGTGCGCGCGTCAAGGCGCGTCGTCTGCAGACCGAGTACAACAAGACGCAGCCTACGTCGGCGCTCGACGAAGCCTCCGGGGCGGCACTGGCCGAGGGGCAGAACCTCATGTCGGAGGATCGCAAGCGTCTGCTGTCGGAGCTGCTCGAGCTGCCGCCAGAGCAGGTGGCGAGGGTGGAGATGGAGCCGCCGCTGTGGTGCGACTACGGCACCAACATCAAGCCCGAAGGTGCGTTCTACGCCAACTACAACACCACCATCCTCGACTGTTCCGAGGTGCGTCTGGGCGACGGCGTACTGTTCGGCCCCAACGTCAGCATCTACTGCGGTACCCACTCGGTCTCGGTCAAGGAGCGCAAGGAGGGACTCGAGCGAAGTCTGCCCGTAGCCATCGGAAAGGACACCTGGGTCGGCGGAGGATCGATCATCATGGCCGGCGTGACGATCGGACAGGGATGCACGATTGGAGCGGGCAGTGTGGTGACGCGCAGCATCCCCGACTGGAGCGTCGCTGCTGGCTCGCCCTGCCGCGTGCTCAGGACGCTCACCGAAGAAGAGCGCGCCTAGGAAGCAGCTCGATTCATAGCATCCGATAACTTAGACCCGCAGATGAAGCAATAATGAAAGAGATTGAAACCCCAAACAACTCCTTTGTAGAAGCGTGACTCAAACGCTGGCCTCTCCACCACACGTCCGTGCGTTGTTGCCATTCGGAAGCGGCCGAAGTCGTGGGAATGGGAAATATGGCGCAGCGTGTCGGAAGTGCCGAAAAGGCAGTGGTTGCCACAGGGCTCGTCTGCTTTATTCGTGCAATTCGGAGGAGCCGTGCATCGGGAGTCGTATTTCTCTGCAATCACGCACTCCCCTCTCCCTCCCTCCAACCTCCAATCACCCCGACCCACGCTGATCCACGCCGCAGCACACTGACCTGGATCCTACCTCAGTGCTGTTGCTGTGCTCTCGACCGCCATGCTTTGCTAGACAGCTGCTGGATCTGCGGTCTCCTTCGTTCTCGCACCGCCCACAGCACACGCCCAGCATGGCCACTTCCACACCCGCAGGCAGCTCGGCGGCTGCCATGGCCACCACCACGCCCTCACCACTCGCCATCCTCTCCAACACCACGCCTCGAGGCAGCTCCATCGCGCTCTCCTCGCTCCAAGCGCTGCCAGAAACACAGCTCGTGCTCGTCCTGCTCGATCATCCCACCATTCGTCGCAAGTGGCGCGCCGTCGTCGTGCCCCTCATCGAATCTATATCAAAGAGGCTCAACACTCTCTATCCGGGCTCGCGCCTCACCATCGCTTCCATCGTCTACCGCCCTAGCCTCGACAAGTCTCTCCTCCGCCCCGCCTGGACCCTCAGCCGCACCAGCCTTCAACCAGGCACCAAGCTCATTGCCTCCAATCTACATGGCCCCGAGCCCTGGCTAGGACCAGACCAAACATCGTCATCAGCATCTCTCGCCGCCAGCAATGCTTCCGATCTCGATCCAGCAGCGTCCGTCTTTGCCTCCATCGACGGCAGATCCATCGCCCGACCCACCGCTCACATCCTCGAAGCCTTTGTCGCCGCCCTCGAGGCGCTCCAGCCGCCAGAAAGCGGCATACACAACCCGCTCCTCCCAAAAAAGCCGCCCGTCCTGGCTCGTCACATGCTCCATGTCTGTCTAGACTCTACAGACGTCGCGCTCGATCTCTCCTCTCCGCCCTTCTTCAACGCAGACGCCGCAAACGATCGCATCAATGCACCCAGCGTCGGCGCAAAACTCGCCCGTCTGGGTGTCTCCATCACAAGTTGTGCGGTCAAGACGGATTCCGCAGCTGCAGCTACGCCTTCCACCTCCAAAGAAGCTCTCGCCGCCATCCTGGGCTTCCACAAAAGCGTCTCCGAGCCCAACAAGCTCGCCAACGAGGACCTAGCCGCGCTGCTCCCAGAGGCCGTGCGCGCCAAGATCTTCAGCGACGCAAACATCATCTCCACCGGTCTCACCCCTTCCTCGGCTCAGCGCGCCGCCGCGTCCACTCTACCATCCTCGACAGCGCCTCTCTCGGCCAAGAGAGGCAGAGACGATGAAGCCGACTCCACCCCGACACCCGTTAAGCGATCCAAGTCCGGCAGCATCTCGCAACCTCAACCGACCTCATCGGCCACTGCCGCCACCTCGGCATCCACAGCACCTGGAGCTTCGGCAGCCGAACTCCCACGCAACATCAAGCTTGACCCCAGCGTCAGCACCAAGGTACTCTTCCTGCGCTCCCAGCAGGAGGCCATGATCAAGAATTGGGCCGCCGCCTACACCACCGTCACCAAGGCAGAGTCTACAGGCGAGCCCGCTTCGCCAACAAAGGCGCCCGGCATGAACAAGGCCTACCTCGAGCAGCTCAAGGCGCAGCTCATGACCCAGCAGCAGGCGCTCAAAATGCTCGTTCATCGCATCATCAGCGGCGCAGAGACCGTGCCCAACTTCAACGTCTGCCTCCAAAGCCTCATCAACATCGACAAGGAGGCGCGCGACATGGGCGTCATCCTCGGCGGGCCAAGCGGCGGCGGTGCTGGCCTCGGCCGGCCCGGTCGCAGCTCAAGCATCACCGGCGGCCAGCCTGGACTCGCTCAGCAGCCGCTGCAAGCCGCTCAACCCGCAGCAAAGACGGCCATACCGGCTGCCCTGCCATTGCAAGGCCCAGCTGCAGCCGATCCAACCGCAACAGCAGCAGTTGCAGCAGCGCCCGCCGCTGCCCCTCCAGCAAGCCCCACGCGGCCCAAGCCCTTCTGGCGCGGCGCGCTCACTTGGTCCGTCATCTCCGACCCGGCGACAAAGCAGAAGCGCGACGTCGCAACCCTCGTATCGGCCACCTCCAACAGCTCTGCGCTCGATCGCCTCATGATGCCCTGGCCGGACAAGCTGCAGATCACTGCCATCACCCAACTGGCGCCGCGCAACCTCCAAGTGTACGCCCAGTCGCAAAATGCACCCTACATCCTCTTTGCCACGCAAGAAGCAGGGCCGCAGGACTCGCTCGGCGGCACCGCCGGCCCTGTCCTCACCGCCGCCACCGCCGAGAGGAATCGACAGATGTACGCCAACCTCGCCAGCAGCCTCGACGCCAAGAAGAGCTGCGCGTTCGTCCGACATGGCAGCAGCCCCGGCGCAGGCCTGGTGCTCTTTGCCACCACACAGCCAACGAGTTCGGCCGAGAAGAACGCAAAGACTCCCGTGCCGCCCAAGCTGATTGGTGTCGTTCTCAAGGACACTATCCCATTCAGCCGGCTGCTTTCGTCGCAGGCCAGCGCCTCGCAAATGCCACAGACAGGCCCGGCGATTCAGCCGAACCAGCAGCAAGCGCAAGCGGCTGCCGCTGGTGGCGCAAGCAAGGGCCAAACGCCGCAAGTCCAAGCCCGATCGCGAGGCGCCAGTGCGTCTGGGTCAGTGCCGGCCGCCATGCCAGCTGCGGCACCCTCCAACGGGGTATCTGCAGCGAACCAGCCAGCTGCACAGCAGGCCCAGAATGGGATGGGCCTGGGCTCATCGATGCCTTTCAACCTCTCGGCGCTCAACGCGACGGGCAACGTGCCTGTGTCCGGCATCGGCGCTATGCCTGGCCTCGGCGCAGGCATGGGGATCGGATCGAATCCAGCAGCGCTTGCCATGGCTGCACAGCCTCAAGCGGGCAACACCAACGCCGCCAATAACATGTCGCAGCTCGCCGGGCTTGGCAACTTGGGCAACTTGGGCAACCTGGGTAACCTGGGCAACCTGAGCAACCTTGCTGGCCTCGGCAACTTTGGGCTAGCCAACCTGGCTGGGCTCGCACAGCAGTCCCAGCAGCAGCAACAGCCGCCTCAGCCTCAGCCTCAGCAACAGCAACAGCAACAGCAACAGCAACAGCAACTCATGAACGCCGCGTTCAGCAACATGCAGCAGGCGGCCAATGGAGGTGCGGCCGGAGGTGGTGGGCAGCAGCCCAACCTGGCAGCCCTGGCGCAGCTGCTAGGCATTGGTGGCCAAGCTGGAGGAATGCAGCAACAGCAGCAGCAGCAGCAGCCGGCTACGTCTCAGCCACAGCAGTCGTTTGCCCAGGCTCTGCCGCAGCTGTTCAACCAGATGGCCGCCTTTCAGCAGCCAGCCGCACAACAGCCACAGCAACAGGCGCTCTTTGGCGGCGTGAACCCATTCGGCGCGGCACCGGCATCGCAACCACAACCGCAGCCTCAGTTGCAGCAGCCCCAGCAACAACAGCAACAGCAGCAACAACAGCAGCCGGCGGCGGGCGACTCTGGAGGCCAGCTCGACTTTTCCAAGCCAATGACCATGGACCAGTTGCGAGCACTGGGATTCATTCAGTAGCCGCGCGCTGTCATGCCGGACAGCTTCCCTTCATCTCTGCCCTTGTCGCTGTGTAGTCGCATCTTGGTAATGGTAGCCCCGTCTTTTGCTGTGCAGGTAAGCGTGAGGTGAGGTCTGCAGAGGCTCGAGCGTGCACGGTGTGCAGGAAAAGGAACGGGTGGGGGAATGCGTGTGCGTGGGGGAGGAAGGTGGGACGACGGAAATCCGGTGGGAGAGGCGCAGCAGCTTGCAGTGTGGGGGTTCCAGAGTGGGAGCGGAATCTGGCTGATCCATGCGCGCCGGTCCGAGCTTGGATAATGGAAATGGCCGAAGCTCGGCAATCCAACGCTCCCACCATCACCCTTCCTTCCATCCATTTTGTCGCCACAAGCACAAACGAGAGACACCATGGCAAACGCAGCAGCGACGACTACGTCGACCAAGACGGCAGGCGCCGTGCTGGACGTCCTCATCATCGGCGCCGGCTGGTCGGGCCTGTCTGCTGCACTCAAGCTCTCGCAGGCCGGCCGCAAGGTCGCGGTGCTCGAGGCAAGGGAGCGTATCGGTGGGCGCGCATTCACCCACACCTGGTCGGACAAGACCGAGATGAACGACAATTCGCGCACCACCGCCACCGCCTCGGCGAGCGACTACTGGTGCGACTTTGGCTGCTCCTGGATGCACGGCTACCTCGAAGGCAGCCCTCTCAAGCAGCTTACGGACAAGTACAACATCCCCGTCACCATCCCCAAGCCCAGAGACACCGTCGTTGTCGGCGACAAAGGTCCTCTTCCCCAGGCGCTGTCTGAGAAGCTGACTGCCAACCTCGGTCGTGCCCAGGATGCCGCCAAGGCGCATGCCCACGACAAGAACGCCCAAGCACCCAGCCCCAGCTCGTCGCTCGCCGAGTTCCTCTTCAATGATGCTTCGCCGCTGTTCGAGAATCTCGAGTCGGATGCCGAGCGAAAGGCTGCGCGCGACGTGGCGAGGCTGCTGCACATCCCGCTCGGCATCGAGCTCGAAGATGCCAGCCTGCGTTGGCACGGCTTTGAGCAGGCATTTGCCGGCACCGACGCCGCACCCCAAGGCGGCTTCACCACCATCATCAACAAGCTCGTCGACGAGATCACCTCGCTCGGCACCGCCATTCACACGAGCCAGGAGGTGCAGGCGGTGCGAGACGAGGCGTCGTCCAACGTCAAGATCACCACCAAGCAGGGGCAGGAGTACGTGGCACGCACCGCGCTCGTCACCATCCCCATCGCCGTGCTCAAGAAGAACGCCGCCGGCCTGTTTGAGCCCTCGCTGCCCGAGCGTCGTCTCGAGACGATCAAGCGCGTCTCGGTGGGCAACCTGAACAAGGTGCTGCTCAACTACGATCAGCCGTGGTGGAGCTCCAACACGGGCACCTTTCTCGTCCTTCCCTCGTCGCAGCCGGCGCCAGCATCGCTGCAGAGCGACGAGCAGAAGCAGCTGTGGCAGCTGTACGCTTCGACCACGCTCATCGTATCCTCGCTTGCAGGCGACGGCGCAGCTGCCGGCAAGGGGGCGTCCGACTCGCTGCTCGTCATGGTGGGCGCCAACGCGGCCAAGAAGCTCGAGGCGTTCGAGCGCGTCGATGCCGGCAATGCGCTGCACGCCTACCTGACCGCCCGCATCGATCCTGCCGCACAGCATGCGGGTCCCAAGCACATTTTCTACTCGAGGTGGGCAAAGCAGCCCTTCACGGGCGGTGCCACTACTTCGCCCGTCTCGACGGCCAACGGCAACTCGCCGCTCGACTTTGAGGCGCTCTCGCGTCCGCTGTGGAACGGTCGCCTTGGATTCGCAGGCGAGCACACCGAAATCAACCGTAAGTACCTGTGCGCCGTACAATCGCTCGTGGCAGTACGCGAAGAAGCTATCGCTGACCCTCGCCTTCCCTATGCGCTTTCGCTCAATTGCATCGTACAGATCGAGGCTCGGCCGCTGGCGCATATGTGTCGGGCGAGAGAGAGGCTTCGCGCATCCTCGCCTACCTCGACAAGGTGCACCCCCGCTCGACCAACAAGCTCTAGATCAGCTCTCCCTTCCCTAGACCCCGCCAAGAACAGCTTGGGCCGCCCACTGATACAGCCCGAGGAATCGCGATTGTGCTGCAGTCTGAAATGCCCAGCCTGAAACGCTCGATCAAATCATAGCGTTCGATTCGTTCGACCACGCCTGAATGCAACCTTGAGAGGACGCGGCTGTAGCGATGGCATCGTCTTCCGCGGTATTAGAATCCCACAGCCACGTGCGCGTTTTGTGGCGAAGGCAACGGGCGCCTCGAGTGTGGCTGACCTGTTCCTCGTGGGTCTGCCGAATCGCTACCCGCTGTTTGGCAGCATGGTCTGAAAAGGGCCTAGAAGAGCGACCTGGACAGCTTCTGCCGTTATTATGCGATGCTGGTCGCCGTTCCGGAATCGGCTGCGGATGACCGGCAATGGTCAGGCGACAGGGTCTAGACTCGCAGTGCAGGCTGGCCAGTTGACCATGCTCCCACGAGGCGTTCCCGCTTCTTTTCTGCAACGAGAAGCGAAGGCGTCCCGCGGTCTGGTGCTGGCGTGACGCAGGCGTCCTGACCGTCACAAAGAGGCTGCCGGGGAACCGTGCGCACGTGGCCATGGCGGGAGAAGACTTCAGGATCGAGAAGAGCGGAGTGGCGTCCAGAATCGACGAGGAATTGCATAGAAGCCGGGTCGCAAGTCGGGGCCTCCCCACATTTTGAGCTGTGTCGCCCCACCGCCAGTCCTGAGCGCCTTTTGTCTTTCCTTCGGATTTTATACATCTGTTCGGTGTCGAGATGAAGTAAGGCGGCAACCAGGGTCGCGAAGAAGCACAGGGGCGGGCCCGGGGCGACAAAAGAGGGCGCGTGCCTAGCGTCTAGCGCAAGCGGTTCCTTGTCTGCACATCTGAGACATTCAGACATAAGCGCCCGGGCGTGTGCATGTGAGGGTGGGGCGTGGCCCGGTTCTGGAATGCCAAGCGCCACATCCGTTGGTGAGTCTTTGGTCCCTTGCCAGGGTCGCCAGGATCGCCGGAACTACTTCTCTACAGCCGGGTGAGGTCAATTCATCGGCGCCCTCCAGCTCAGATCGCAAGGGAAGGGCCGACGGAGGTTGCAGGGCTTCCTGCGTCGGAGAATGCGCCGCCGTATGTGGGCGGCGGCACATCCGCTTTGCTGACTTTTCGCAGAAGCAGGCGCTTCAACCGGGCGCGCCAAAGTCTTGAACGGGGGATCTTTTTGCTCCGACAATGGTCTCGAGCGAGCCAGATTGGGGGATCGCAGAATGTTGCGGGCAGCTTGCCTGTCTTTGTGTCGTTGATCGACGAGCGAGCAGTCGTGGCGACAGCCAAGAGATCTCGTCAGCCAGAGCCGACGGAACGGACGATTGGAATTGCTGCGCCATCTTTGCTCTGCCTCAAAGGGCAAAATTGGTTTGCCAATCCAGCCGAGGATCACGCCGCCTGTTCTCGAGTCAACAGATCCAGCCAATCTCGGCTAGCTCGCCAACAGATGTGACGTGGATAGCATCTGGAAACATCGTCGCTTCAGCTTCGTAGGTCACCGAATGAAGAGGTGGTGCCTTGTAGCATTCAGTCTCAAGGGCTCGCTGGGCTCACATACTTGATCGCTTTGATCTGAGCTCCCGTCTTTCTCAACAGAAGTCACTGGCGAGAAGATCTTCCGGCCCGAGGAACTAATCGTCGGAACTTTTCCAATTCAGCCTGCACCAACCAGGCCCGGATCTGCGACCGTTTTTCATCGGACGCAGCGGTCGGATCTGCCGGTCCGCTCGATGTTAGTTTACTCTCGAAGGCATTGTTCAAAACACAATGTGAATCCGAGCTTGGCAGGCACAATGGATTGGTGACCCCGCGAGAGAACAATGGTGACGGGCCTGCGGCTACGTTAGGTGGTTCGCGACGTGGCCCAGCGGCTCGTCTCCCTCTCGTTCTGATTTTAAGGTTCACGCCGAAAAGCGTGAGAAAAAGAGGTTTCGCCGTTGCAGCTGGCGATTCAGGTTCGGCTTGACCGAGCTGCAAGCTTTGCCGCCTGCAAAAGTCTTGCAACCTTTCGCTGTGGCTGCCCTTGGCTGTGGCTGTCTGTCGTCTCAAGTAGGCATGTTCTCTGCCGCTAGCGCATGCAAAGCAGGCGTGACAGCTCGGACCATGAACCGCTCGCAAGAAAAACTGCATTGCCATTTCGGCGCTCCTTCCGCAACCCTGTCGATTTGCTTTGATTTTTGTTTTCGCGAGTTTCCGCCCGACCCAGGCCACCGGACCCACTCGGATCTGCAGCTATTGGCGGCAGCTCGTATTTCGCCGTAGAGTTGCAGCCTGCAATGCTGAAAAATCCGCGGATCTTCCGATGCCAATTTGCCAGTCCGATACGTCCTGAAATAGCGTCGCAAGCAAAGCGTCGAAGTGCAGCTATCATCTCTGATTATCATCTCCTCCGTTGGCGCGAGACACTCTTCCACTCCTGCGAGGGTTGGGCCAAGCTGACGCCGCCGATGGGTTATTTTCAGAAAACATTCGCAAGAATACATTTATTAAAATTATTCATTTTTCAAGGCCCTAGGCACCGTCTCACCTTGGCGCTTGACGAAAAAAAAAGAAAAGAAGAGAAGAGATGTCGCTCGAGACTGTGCCTGGGCCGTGTTTTTTGAGAAGGATGGCCCCCCTGTTCGGAACATCCGGTCCCGACTTCAGATTCGCACGTTCGACGCGGCTCCCGTCTCGCCTGTCTCGCACGCCAGCGATCTTGGCAGGGTCGGGAGGGCCGTGTCAAGGGCAACGAGCGCGAGCGGGGGAAGCAAAGCGCCTAGCAAGACGGACATTCTAGGAGTAGCTTGCTGCCACGCCGACAGAACCGCATTGTGCCGCAACTGCCCTCATCGACCACTTTTATACTGTACATCTACGGCAGTACAATAATCTACTCTCGCGGCTGCGCATGATCTTCTGAGGGTTGAATGCGTAAGCCGCATTGTTGCGTCGACTCCGCCGAGACGGCAAAGGCAGGCAGATGCATCTGGACTTCGTCAGACCGAGGGCCAAAATGCAAGCGCTTCGCCGTTTTCTGTGCGTTCCGTTGCGACACGCACGGACGCTGGAAGCTCGCCAAATCAATTTAAGTCGACTTTCCATGTGCTCCGACGTCCGGTTTTGGAGCCGAGCGACCCTGAAGACGCGCCTCAGCAAGCGCGTTTCATGCGGAGCGACCGACCCGGTTCAACCTGGCAGTTTCGCTCGCCAACTGCACCACGCCCGGATTGGCTCGTCAAGCAGCTTTGCTGAGGCCTAGCTTTGCTGAGACTCTTGACCGGCCGCACAGTGTCGTGATTTCGGGAGCATGAGCAAACGAAGCGGCAAGACAGCCTCTGCACCGTCACGGCTGGCAAAGACTCGACTGCACTCGCCTGCAGCATCGACGGCAATTCGGCCGTCGCGCCTCGGCTCGCATGGCATCGCGGCAACGATTATTGGGCCGTTGGGCCGAGGATGGCATTCAGTACAGAGCAGCAGCAAGGCCGATGCAATATGGATGAACGGCCAACCACATACGTACAATTCACAGCCGGCATCACGACCGGTCTTTGTCCGCATCTTGGCACGTTGGTACACTCGAGAAAACCGCATGGAAGGGTCGGGGCCAAAGGACCGGGTGATGTTGGGGCATCGCAGCATGAGACGCTGCTGTGCTGTTGGCTGTTGCCTCGTGCAATTCATCCTCCGATCTAGCGTCGATTCAGGCCTGCACGAATGTACATATCTTCTGCTGCTGAACCCACGACACTCGCGTCTGCCATCTCCGCGCGTCCACACGCGAAGTAGCCGCAACCAAGCAGCCGCAGCCGCTCACCTGGCGCCTGGTCTGCTTTTGCCATTTGGCATTAATTTCTCCCTCCCTCTTGGGCTTCTGGTTGAGAGAAGTCCGACGCGCGTGTGCATAAGCTGTGCTTTTTCGGATGGCAGCCTGCTGCTAGCCTGCTGAGGCTGGGCTTGCTTTGGCCGCCCTCTTGGTCCAAGCCACGCCCGCCACCGCTCGCCACGCTCGCCACCGACCGCCCGCCGAACGCCGACGGCGAGTGAGGTCTGACATCGGCTCGGCTCAGCATCGCATTGGTCACGGCCCATATCCTCGCTATTCGGGCCGCTTCCGCGTCCGAAAGCGTTGTTGGCTGCCCGTCCATCATCACAACAAGCCACGGCGGCTTGCCCACTTTGCTTGGCTTTGCCCTCAACCGTCACTCCCCCTCGACATCCCATCCGAGCGAGTCGAGCACGACACCATCACATCTCTGACTGCTCCGGCTGGCCCTTCTCGACCCCTTCTCCTCGAAAGCGCAATTGCCGCCTACACCATCTCTCCGCTTCCGGCCCGCTTTGGACTCGCCAGCATCTGCCATTGCTCGCCAACTTCGGCCCCATTCCTAGCTACTCCCAATCGCCCGGTGTCTCTGTTTTGGTGCGCTCGCTCGTTCGTTGCTGGTCTGTGACGTCGCCGGTCCAGTGATTCAATCTCGGCTGCCCATATCTATCGGCAACAACCTCTTGGCGTCTGCTTATTTGCTGCATCTTCAATCTTCATTTGCATCCGTCTCCGACTCTCGATTACGCATCGCCCTCGCAACACCTCGCCCATTCCACTTCACATCATGGACTCTTCGTAGACGTGCTCATGTCCGCGGTTCCCTATTCGACGCAGGCACTCGGTCCACAACTTTGCTACGCCACACGAGCACAACCCGGAACGTTTCGTGCCAGATCAACGCCGGTTTTTGGATCAAACTACTAGCTCCGGCCATACATTCGCCCACGTCGCCATCCCGGACCATTCGCAGCCAGGCTTCTGCAAGGCAAGCGCCAAGGTTCGGACGCGCTCGTCTTCTTCTTCTTTCGGATTCATCGTCTGCCTCGTAAGTCAGTCGGCAAGGTTGCATGCCGGAAAGCCCTTTTCCGCTCTGCCACGGGAAAGACGAGAGGCACATGGCGCTGCACGTTCTCGTCGAGATTCGCCAAGCGTACCTCGCCCGCTTCGCACGCTGCTGACAACATCGACTCCCCATTCTTGTCCTTCGCAGTCCCGCCGCAGCACGCGCATCTGCAGAAGCATCTTGCACTGTAGCATAACCTTGCTCCATCGAGCCATCCCCCACCTCGAGCGTCTTCTTCGCTTCCGACCCGTTCTCTGCCATCCAACGGCAGCCTGGCCTCCCGACGGTCTGCGAAGTTTGGACGTCACCTAGGGACTACGCTGCTTAGCTTCGACGTTTCTATTGCTGCGTCGACCTGCCCTGCTGCCACTTAGTCCTGCCTTGCGCTCGAACTCGAACTCGCAGGCTTGGTCAGGCGTCTCGCTTTGCCAAGCATCGCGTCGACGGCGTCTTCTTTCATATCACCTTCGGCACCCCCCAACAGCAAGTACAAAGGGGCCGCAGCGACACGACAATCGCCTCGACCGGCGTACGAGCAAGCGCCTTGCACGCTGCGATCCACTCCGACGGTTCACACGCGATTCGCCCACAGAGCCAACTTCATTTCATCACACAAGGTTGTACCGCCTGAACTTTAACTCTCTCCCCCTCCCAGTCGCTCTCGCGCTCCCTCTCCCCTTTCAGCCTCGGCACTGGTCGGTCAGCCTCCTTTCCACCGTCCTTCGAATTCCCGGTTCTGGGCCGCAGCCCACTGCACTCCATCAGCATCGACTGCCCTGCTTCCACGCGGTCCCACCCAGCCACCTTCTTCGCGACGCACTGCGGACCGACGCGTGCAACTCGGTCCTTGGCTCCTCAAGAGAGCCCAATATCCCCCCACCCCTCCCGACGGATTCAAGGCGGCATCACATCCTGCGCATCTTCAGCCGCATCCGTGACGAAGCTCGTCAATTGCTCGGACGACCGTTGCGTGCAGCTGCATTCTATCTCCTCTCGGACGCACCCGCGCATCGATCACGCATGCTTGCACGCGTCAGTAGCCACAAGTTTAAGGTTCGCCCACTGCATAACCTCCTTTCTTACGGCTGCAGCTTGCACAGACCATTGCCGACCCGGCTGCCCCTCACACGTCTCCGCGAAGCGGACAAGGCCGGTCACTCGGATATATTACAATCTGCACATCGACACTTCATATCGCCAATTTTCCGAAGAAGCCGAACGCATCGCCTCAGATTTCGTGCGGCGAAGCGACTCGCGAGTCCCCTGTTCTTCCTGCGCCCCATTGCATGCCTCCAACACCTGGCCCCTCGTCTCGCAACAGTGTTGCCTGCCACCTCCGTCGGCAGCGGCGCGTACAACTCCGGATAGATCGCTCCGAACGCCGAGTGGAGCGTCGTGAGAACGCGGCCGTCACCTCAGACGCACTTCAGCTGATCCGCAATCGATCCCCAATCGCGGCATCCTTGTCAAGCTGCCTCCTTGGACATCGCTTCGCCCCTTGCCCTGGCCTCGTCAACGGATCAGGTCACACACAGAAACGGTCGTGCAATAGCTGGATCTCGAGCTCGGTTGTCCGAGGACCCCGTACGACCCCAGAGCCAATTACAGGCTGGCATTGCAACCTCTGACACGAAATATCCTTAAGCTTGTGTTGCGCAACCTTGTTCTGGCACACGCGCTGCCGCACGGAGGCGGCTCTCTCGTCCGCAGCGTCATCAATCTCGGACCGCTCGGCACTGCCACGGCACCGCTAGGACACGGATTTCAGTACACCTGCCGTCCTTGTCTTGGCGCTCGAGTGCAGAGCCGTCTCCCGGCCAACTCAGCAGCAGCGGCTTGGCTCTCGAACTCGGAGATAGACCCAACGCAGCGGTACAGTACTCAAAGATCCCCCGGACGGCAAAGCACTTCCTGTTGTTGTCGCCAATCTTTTGCTGCTGGTCCCACTCGCCTGGGTCCCCCTACGACGGCTGCCCTCGCCCGCCTAGTCCAAGCCTCTGCCCATCCTTCCCTCCTCCGCTCCGTCGGCTTCCTCTTTGCCTCGGCTTCCCCTCCATCCCCTGCTTCGACGAGCTTGTCCTGCACAAGGTTTCAGCTCGACCTCGATATATCGGTTGCCCGGTGCTGTGGGAGCCTGCATTGCTCCTGTCACCGTCGCCTCTCCGCGGATCCGGTTCTACGCACGATTCTGCCGCCCAAAACCTCCGAAGCCACCACTGGCCAAGGCGAAGCCGACGGTTGCTGGACAACGTCTGCGCCAACGGTTTCCCTGCACTTCTCGGTCTGCTTGGACAATCGCCTTGCGGCTAGCCAATCTACTGAACGTCGCTCGAGAGGATCATATCTACGCGGGAGAGACATCGCAATCCGCACTCGTCCACCCACTGCTCGATCTTCGCCCCATCTCCATCGCTCCTAAGCAAGCGGCCAACAAGAACATCGCGCGCCCACATCCAAAACTCAACGCCGAAATGGGTTCACAGCAAGTTGCAACATTCCATGGCTATGTGTGAGTGCACGCTTCGGTACTCTGCCTCTCGACTTGATACGAACCAGGAAACGCTGCTGACCTGCCCGCCGCCGCATCTATCGACACTCTTGACATCTTCTTTTGACAACTCCAAACAGTCATTCGACCAGAGATGCATTGCTCATCTTTGAGGCGGTCCGACGCGGCCTCATGCCCAAGATCACGAGACGGCTGCGCGACGATGAGCGCAAGATGATCACGAGCGGGACCATCTTCGTGTTCGACGAAGTCGAGTCAAGCATCAAGCGATGGACGGACGGCATGATCTGGAGTCCCAGTCGCATACTCAACAACTTTCTTGTCTACCGCGAGGTCGAGAAGAAGGATCCAAAGCCTGCGCCGGATCAACCAGCCTTCTCCACCTCCAACGCAGCCATGATGCACGGATCGTCTTTTGCTGGGAGCACCGGTCTTGACCCATCGCACTCCTCGGTGCGTTCTGTTCCGCTGACGCTGATGCCGAATGCGATCGACTCGGATGCACCGACAATGCAGTACAAGCAGGAAGGTGGCAGCTATCCTTCGCTGCACGGCGGCGGGTCGTCCTCGAATGCAGTCTATTCCGGACATGATGGCTTTTTCTCCAATCACGGACAACAACACCCTTCCGCATACGCGCGAGGACATGCGCAAGCAGCGGGAATGGTGGGTTTGATGGACGATGCCGCCACCGCCGCCTCGTCGTCCAACGCAAAGAGGGAGGCGGAGCTGGATCGCACGATTGTCGGCAGTCTCACAAGCAGCTATCCCTTTGTTCGCGACGGTCTGTGCAAAAAAACAATCTCGATACAGGTGGAAGGCTCGACACAGCATCTCATCTCGTACTACAGGGTCGACGATGTGCACAACCAACGCCTCACGATCCCCTCGAATCTGCCCGAGATCGCCGCCTTGTGCATCTCGCCGATCTTCCTCAACAAGAGCAACTTTCGCTATCCTCCCATCGTCGAGCTCGGTCCAGATGGCATGCCTCGGTACGTGGCCGAGTCGACCGATGCCTCGATGCGCGCTTCCGGTCACGTCAGCAGCGGCAACGAGAGCTACTCGTCGGGGTCAGAGGCGCGGCATGAAGGCATGGGTCGAAGCAACAGTCGCTCAATGACCATGTACACGTCTTCGGAAGCCGTGGAAGCTGCGTCCTTCGACCTTTACAGCCACCGCCACCCTCACCAAATCGGCGGCGATGGGATTCTGCCAATGTCCGCGACCTTGCCCATGTCGACAGCATCGGCACAGTCTCGGAATCGTCGCTTGTCTGATGCTCCGCGGAGGCGCGCCAATTCAAGGTACGAGCCATATGGGCAGCCAACGACATTCGGCAACGGCATCATGACCCCGCTTCCATATCCGCAAGGGATGGACCACAATCCAATCTCGCCACCTGGCCGTCGGGCGCTCCTGGGCCAGTCCCGAGGCTACGTTGAAGCCGAGCCTTTCTACGCGTCCGAGCAAGCCTCGTTCGGTATGCCCCGCCAGGACGCTGCATTCTTCGGCATGAACCCGGCTGAGCACGGCAGCAACCAGGGCAGCGGCGCCCACATGGGTCAACTCGGACCGCAAGCCACTTCGGCCGAGGAGTTCCAACAGCAGGGTCGTCTCCAGCCTCCCTTTCATGCCAGCCATCTGATGCCGATTGTGCCCAGTCAGCCTGGCCGTGACCACACTGGCTACCTTGGCGAGTCCAACCTGGTGCACGTTCGAGCAGAAATGATGGGTGTCAAGCAGGAGCCGAGCGACATCTTCCACTTCTCCTCCCGCATGGGTCGGGGCAGCTGGGATTCGAACCAGCCGAGTCACGCGGCACCCTTCATGCACAACGTCCAGCAGCCGCCTGCGACCAGTCAAGGGCTGACAGCGATCCCGGTTCACAGTCCCGTCAATCTGGGAGGGCCTGTCTATGGTCGGTTCGCCGGCTCGCCGCCAAATACGAGCTCATCTCATGACAGTCGTCACTCGTACGTTGACAACGCACCGGCGCCCACGACTGGTCACATCGAAGAGCTCGCAGACGGTGGGCGACCACCGACTGCTACTCGCCTCGAAGACGCGAGCTACCTGTCGCGGCCGCTTTCGCGCGCTGGGGAGGGTGGATACGTGGGCGATCTCGACTCGGCCGGTGTGGTCAGGGCAGCGCCAGTGGACGCCTTGCAAGTCCACTCGGACCCAACGACTCCATATCCGCACACGCACCGAACGCTGCAATCACATGCTGGCGACGCGGCAGCTGGTCTCGACTCGTACGGCCGCCTTGCTGGAGACGTTCAAGGATCCTCGGCTCTCTATGCGCATCCTGCCACCCACTTGTCGCAGGGGCATGCGCATCTGCAGCGCCAGCCCGCAGACCGCCAGGGACAGGATGCTCATAATACCACGCATGCATACATGCATCCTGATCCTGGCATGGCGATGCCCCACGATGCTCAGTCGTGGTCTTCGAACGCCGCACAGGAGAAGAGCCGCAGTGCGCCAGGTGAAGATCAAGCCTTCTCATCGCGACCTGGGACATCCCAGGGGGATGCGTTCCACCACCAATACCGCGATGGGCACGGTGGTCAGGATACGGCGGATGGCCAAGTCACGGGCGGCCTGGGACTCGAACGAGTGCTGCTCACCCGGCCCCCCTCTTGAAGTGTTCTCGCGTCGCTGCAGCTTCGCGCTCAAAATGTCAGTGCCGCTCTCCAGTCTCGCATTGCATCCCTCCTTAGACCCCTCTCGACATGGTTCCAGCGCAGCAGCGTCTTCTCGGTCCCATTGTAAGAATATTCGCATTGTCGTCGCAAACATCCGTATGCTACTGTATCGTCCGTCTCGCTTGTTGGTTCCGTGTTTGTCGTTTTGTGCTGCCAAGACTCCTTCACATCATGTGCTACCGCTATGAATCGGTGGAGAATGCTGTCACCGTGAAGAGTCTCGGACCGCGGTCCAACAGCGCGAGGATTTTTCAGCGGTTTGGTCTGTTACACCGTGATCGGCTATTGAAACAATATTTTTTTCGGGCGAGAATGGCGAATCGTCGAGTGTCGGCGTTGGAGGAGGAAAACATGGATGCGATCGCACGCGCTTCCTACTACCATCATCCTGCCCGATCTCTCGACGCTGCAGCCTTGCATCCGGCCCTGTTCGATCTCGAAGTCTTTGGAACAGGCCAGCGCAGGCTCGGACGCGTCCACTCGTCCTACCATCGTCTTGGGACGCCCTCAGTCGTCTGGTCGACACCAGCTCAAGCGCATCGATTCACGCGGCATCGCGGCTAGGGAATCGACGTGATGAGTTCCGATTCGGTGCCGTCGCTAACGCTGCCGGCGCCAGCTGCGCCGGCTACAGCACCGAGCACTTCCACCGCAGTCCAGCCTGCTCAGACGAGCGCGTCGGACCAACAAAAGGCACCAACAACGCCGCAGAAGCAGCAGCAGCAACCACAACAAATACCGCCTCAGCTACAGCCCCAGCATGTCACGGCGAACCATCCAGCCTCGATAGCAGCTGCAGCCACCGTCGCTCTTTCCGCCACTCTGCTTGATCCGAACGAATGGAATGCACTCGCATCTACGAGCATGGTCACGCTGGACGACCTCAGAGCCGCCTTCCTCGAACAGCGCCAACAGCAATTGAAAGACCTCGAGTCGTCTCACCGAGCAAGCCTGCGGGAGATGCTGTTCATGTCGGAGAACTTCGACAAGGAGGACGTGGCAGGGAGCCCCTGGAAGCTTGGGCAGAGCATGGAGATCGCAGAGGACGACACTCGCGAAGAGTTCAAATCGTTCCTGACTCGACATCGCCTCACGCTCGAAAAGCAGGTCTCCATCCAGGATCACGCTCTGAAGGGACCAGAAGCTATCCGACAGCTCGTATCCCGCGAACTCAAAACGGGACCAGTTGAAGTTGCACCTCCTCCAACTCCTACGAGCGCGACTGCACCACCTACTGGCGAAACGTCACGTGAAAAGCAGAAGGAAAACGAGCATCAGAGGGAAGCAGCCCTGCATCGCAGCCAGGCCGTAGCCCGTGCTGCAGCTGCGGTTCAGACTCGAGCGATCGCCGAGGGTGTGGCAAAGATCAAGCCGCTCACCATCACCACGGCAGACAGCCAAGGCGTTCGCGTTGCTCCTTTGCAGCCCGGTCAAGTCCCGAGCTTTGTCATCGAATCCACCACACCGATTGCTCCAGTCGTTTCCGGTGCCCTTACCGCAATAGCACCTGCATCAGGACCTCTCCCTTCCACCTCTGTCGACAAGGACGCCGATGTCACCTCCACGATCATCAAGGTGGAATCCGCCGATAAGACGGAGTCGCCGTCTAAAAAGGCCAGCAGCGCGCTGGAGAAGGCGGTCTCTCCAGTGCCCGGCCTTTCCCGCAACGCCACCACCCAATCCACCGGGCTGCGCATCCCGCCTTCGCCAATGGTGGTCCCTACCATGCCTGAAGACGTCGCCGAACCCCAGCTTCACCCTACCTTGCAGGTACTCGCGCCAAATCCGCTATCCGTCACGTACGCTGCATCGCTCCGTCCTCTCCCTCCAGATCCCACTCGTCGCATCACCGGAGCTGGCGTTGGCGGCGGCGCCATCCACCATCGCAGTGGTCGAAAAGTGGCAAGCATGACGGGCCACTCAAATGCCAACTCGTACTCGAGCGTTGCCGCCGCCAAGATCGGGCCTGCCGGGTCCGGCCAGGCCGACCTGTATCGATGGTACGTGCGCGCACGCGCGTCGCCCGGAGCAGGAATGGTGGGCAAGGCCGACAAGTGCTTGTTGACAACCGACTGGAAGGTCGCCTTCAACGAGCAGCGCTTCGTCCGCGCCATGGCGAGGATCGAAAAGCTCAAGGCACAGGGCGAGTGGAGCTTCCGACAGCCAAAGAAGCAAAAGGGCCCAGTCGTACGCAAGGCGCATTGGGACCACCTCTTAGAGGAGATGAAGTGGCTTCAGACCGATTTCCGCGAGGAGAGACGCTGGAAGATGGCTGTCGCATTCCAGCTCGCCCACGAGATCGCAGCCTGGCACCGCGCACGCACAGTCACAGAGCGTGCTTCCTTTTGTGTCCCGGTACATCGTCCCTACCGTCGTCGAACTGTGTCGGACAACGTCGAACAACACGCTGGCACCCAGGAACGCGCCGATGCGGACGCTTCTAGCCCTGCTCAGCCCATTGCGGAGGCCAGCCAGGACTCGGAGATGCAGGACGCCGATGCTCCAGATCAAGCGCAGCCCGAAGATCTGTCCACAAGCGAGCACAAGGCCCAGCTCACCAAGTCAAAGGCGTCGGGCGGAGATATCGCGGATGTCACGATGGAAGCTGATGAAGAGGCCGATGGCGCCCTCACCGAGGCTGTCGAAGACGCGGTTGAGACCGCGGATCAGGCCGCGTCTCTACGTGCGGAAGCAATGGACGCCGATGGAGATGACGACGCAGACGCAGATGCAGACGACGTCGAAGCTGCCACGGCAGCGCTCGTGTCGGGCGAGCCCTCCAAGGCGCCAGAGGTCGAAGTCGTCCGCGAGCCGCTGGGCCAGTCACAGCCAATGCCTGCCCTAAGCGTCGATCCTCAGCAAAGTCAACCTGCAACAGCAACTTCAACTGTGGACCCACCTGCCGAAGCGGCGGACAGCGCCGCCGAGAAAGCACCTCGCGCTCTACGTTCCGACCCGAAACTGGCAGAGACCACACTCGCGGCAGAATTGCCGCAGCAGCTACTGGCTACTCTTCGTGCTCCGATCTTCTCCACCAACGTCACAACAACGATCGTCTCGCCCGCGGCCCTCCTCGAATCCCTGGATCCCGAAGCTGCGGCTGCGCTTCTCGGGATCGAAGTGGGAGATCTGTCCACCACCGCTGACTTGCTCGAGCCCGATGCTCTCTCGTTCAGCAAGATGTTCCCCGAGCTGCCGCTGTACGGCGGAGTCTCGCTCCCCGATCCCAGCAGCAAGAGCGATCGAAGGTGGGACGAGGGCAGTCTGAACCAGCCGCCTCGCTTGACGCACGTGACCAAGCTGCTCGACTCTCGCCCTCTTCTTGTCAGCACGCTCGAGCCCTCGAAGAACCGGGCGGACGGACGATGGCTGCCCGACAGCGACTGGATCGTGGCTGCCGAGCAGTCCGACCCTCTGCGCGGTGTGGCCGACGGTGCTGACACGGGGCTGCCACCCTTGCCTGGCTCGCTGTTGTTCGCGCGCAAGAACAACCGTGCGTCCAAAGAGACGGCCAATGCAGCGTCGGGCGTGCCCCCCGAGCCCGCTCAGCCCGATGCGCGAGCGGCGCTATTCATGTGGACCACGGACGAGGACAGCTACCTCATGACGCTCGCCAAGCAGTACCACAACAACTGGTCGCTCGTCGCCGACCTGTTCAACTCGACGCGCCTCAACACCGCGACCGACAAGCGCGAGCCTTGGGATTGCTATGACCGTTGCAAACGCATTCAGCAGGCAGCCGACGAAGGCAAACCGCCGCCGGGTCCTCCTCAACTTCCCGCCGCCGCCGAGACCGACAAGAAGGGTGATGGAAAAGACGACGCATCAGCTTTGAAGCGCGACAAGCAAGGCAAGAAGGTGGGAGGCAAGCACGACGGATCCAAGAGGAAGCTGCGTCGAAGCAATCTGATGGAGGTCATGCGCAAGTCGGCCAAGCGACGCGAGGCGAGCAAGCAGGCACAGCAGACGCAGCAGACCAAGAAGGTCAACCTCAACACGCACGAGACGCATGCGCAGATCAAGGCGGGGCCGGCCATCACCCCGCAATCGCTCAGCGCACTGAAAGCGGAGCGGGACCAGGCGGCGCTGCGACAGTATTACGAGCAGCAGCGTGCGCAGCTGGCATTCCAACAGCAGCAGCAGCAACAGCAGCGGCTCTTGGCGCAGCAAGCGCAGGCACAGCGGATGGCGGCGCAGCAGTCGGGCGGCGCAGGGGCCGCAGCAGCTACCTCGTCGGCGCAGCCTGGCAAGCCCGCCAATGCGGTCGCGGGCGCAGGTACCAATGGACCGGCGGCGCTGAGCCTGCCTCCTGGCAGCACAGCTCTGCCGCAGCCCGGGCAGCTCGGACAGGTGCAGCAGAAAGCTGCGGGCCAACTCCAGGCGCAGCAGCCGCAGCAGCAAGCTCAGCCGGGTCAAGTCGCACAAGCCGTGCAGGTGCCGCAGACCCAGCAGGGGCAGCAACAGCAGCAACAGCAGGTCCCAGCTCAGCTGCAGTCGCAGTTCCAAGCGACCCAGGCTGCGCAGATGCAGAACCTGTACGCGCAGATCCAGCAGCAGCAGAGGCAGCAACAGCAGAACCAGCAGCTGGGCCATTCGGCTGGAATGGGTCAGGTTCGGCCGGCGGTAGGACCGCTGACGCAGCAGCAGCTTGCTACGCTCACGCCGCAACAGCAGCAGCAGTACCACGCGCAGTTGGCAGCGGCGACGGCGGCAGCGCAGCAGCAGCAGTTGCGAAATCAGTTGGCAGCGGTTGCTGCCGCGCAGCAGGGCGTTCAGGGCAACGCGGCAGGCGCGCAAGGGATGGCATTCCAGCTGCCCAACGCGCAGGCTCAGGCGCAGTTTCAGCTGATGCAGCAGCAACAACAGCAGCAGCAGCAGCAGGCGAATGCGATGCAAGCCAACCAGGCGAGGCCGCCCAACATGCAGGCCCAGGCACAGGCACAGGCGCAGGCGGCAGCTCTACAGATGTACCAGCAGCAGCAGCGACAGGCGGCGCAGGTGCAGGCCCAAGCCCAAATGCGTCCGCCCCAAGCCGGCCAAGCGCAGCAGTTCGTGGTTCGACCGGGCGCCAACGGGATTCAGCAACGACCTCCTGCCGTTCCGACCGGGTCAGGGCCAAAGGCTCAGCAGCAAGCACGGCCTGCCAATGCCAACAATGGCAATGCCAATACCGCGGCTGGGATGCCGGCGACGATTCAGGCGCTGCAACAGCAGCTGGCGATTTCGTTGGCGTCGTCGAATTTGTCGCCCGAGCAGATCAACGGACTGGCGATTCAGCTGTACAAGCAGGCTCAGCAGCAGCAGGTTCAAGGCGCCCAACCCATGGCTGGTGCGACGCAGGCACGACCGCAAGGCCAGAACAGACCCCCACAGCAGATCCTCAACCAGGCCATCCAGGCCTTAGCCGCCCAGAACCACAAGAACCAGCAGCAGGGATCAGCGTCGAATCAGGCAAGCCCCACTCAGCCTCGTCCACCCACGCCCCGTCCGTCGTAAAATCACGCTCGTGTATTCTCGCCCCCCAACACTCAGGAACTGCAGCCGAGACAGCCCTCAAGGTCTCCTCGAACACGCCACGTGCATGTGTGTGGACAAATGGTGTGCAGTGATTGTTGTGCGGGTATCGATGTTGCGATGCATGAAAGAAACAAAGTGGGAAGAAAACTACTGGCTGTTGAAGCCGTGATATCGAGGCCGAAATCGAAGTTCGAAAAGAAGGGGAGAGAGACGATGCAAGAGTAAGCCCCGTTGAGTTACCTTCCTCGGCGAGGAAGGCGACCGCATAACTATCAGTAAGATGACGAACGAGATCAAAAGGCTCCACAGCAGCCAGGCTGGGATGGGCATCGCCACGCCGCGCGAAAGCACAGCGGACGGGATGTGCCGCTGCACACCTGGCGGATAGCTGGTGACCGGGCGAACCAGACTGTGTGCCGAAGCCGGTCCAGGAAATCGGATCGACGGATACGACAGTCAACCTGCCGGTCCAGCCGCCTCTCGGGTGGCAGCAACTGGGTCGGAGCTACAGACGCTCGTATCGTGGCGCCTGTAAACCCAACTGCTGCCAGCACCGAGAAGCAACCAGATCGGTGGCAACTGTCGATCCTCCTCGACATCGCCGCCACGTCGAAACGCGGCAGCGCCCAGAACCGGTCCTGCACCACAGCCCGTCCTCGCTGCAACCACCACCGCCAAGCTGACAACGACGGAGAAGACCATGACGAAAATGAACCATGCCGACAACACCCGAGCACAACTGCCCGCACAAGGCAGACAGTCCGACGATCTCCAGAAGCCCGCCAGCGAACGGTCGAACAACGCTGGCAACCCACGCCACGGGCGCCTTAAAGAGCGCACCCCAAGCACGCATTGAGAGGAGGGAAGCAGGATGGCCATTGGTCACCAACCGCACCATTACGGCGACGGTCGCTTGCCTCTGCTATGGTCTCTGATCATGCCGATCCCTCCCTCGCAGCATGCTCGTGGTGGCAGGCAAAAACCCAAGGTCGGAGCACGCCAGCGTCTAATGTCCACGGCGGAGGATCCGTGCGTTACCACGTCGGAGGCACGGGCGTATACTAGCTATGTCACCGCCTGTCTCTCCCTAAAAAGATGTGTCCGGGGACTTTCCCTACAGCATGTCCTTGCCGCGAGCGGAAAGAAGAAGGCTGCAAAAGAAGACCCGTCGCCGCTCCAGCAACGGTGCGGCGGGTCGGGTCAAAAGCGGTCCTTTGCACGTCTCTCTGGGTGTAAAGATGGGGAGGAGGCCAAAAGGCTTGGTGATAGACAGACAGACTGTTGGAGTCGTGTTCGTCCGGTGTCGCAACGAAGCCTGAGGGCTGCGCCGCATGTGACGAACCTGCCACCGGATGCCACCGCTTACAGCGACAGCAAACGCGGCGGTCCGTCCAGCGTTTTGACGTGTTTGTGGTTGGAAGGAAAGAAGGAAGAGGTCAAAGGCTTTGCGCCCAATGAATTTTCTTTGGTCCTGCAGCCCGAAAATTGCAGCTGCGGATCGCATTTGCAAAAAAAGCTGCTTCCGGCCGGATGGAAAAAAAGACTGGTTTCAGAGCGCAAAGCCTCCACCTGCATCAATCAGACTTCGACGCCTTTTCTGCAGAGAGCACCAATCCTCACGGCAACACCTCCATCACATTCTGCCTCCCTTAGACGCTTGTGATACAAGTCCAGTACATAGTGATGCTTACAAGGACCGGAATTCGACTTTCGACGCGGGCGCTGGCTCCTATGGGCGCCTCTCGCCTGGCGGCACGGCTCGGCGTCCCCGCTGTGGCTCGAGTCGCACCAGCCACGCGCAGCCTCTCCATCTCGGTCGTGCGCGCCAACGAAGACACCTTCCGCAGGGGAAAGGCGCCTTTCGAGGAGGCGCATTCAATTGAGTTCATCAACTATTTGCTGGATCAGCCCGTCGAAACGACTCACGAAGCGCTCGTGGAAAGGCTCACGGACGACGAGATTGCTTTGCTGCCATTTGTGATCACCAACAGGAGGTGGGGCCCATTGCGAGACCCGTTCACGCTGCCTCGACGCCTAGAAGTCGATCAGTCGGAGGAAGGCGATCGTCCCCTGAAGAACGCCGAGTTCGTTTACCGCACCTTTAAAGTGAATTCGATGCTTCACTTGAAACGTCTCAACACCGAGATCGCTGCACAAGTCGAGGTCGAGGGCAGGCACAGCGCTTTCAGCCCTGTCATGCTGATCGATCCACAGTCGCGCACCCTCACCGTCGGTTTGCCTGCGTACGTTGGTATTCAAGCGCCTTACCCCGCCAAGGACAACGTCGAGCAGGTCAAAGTCCAGCTCAGAGAATACCGCGCCGAATCAACGTCGCCAGAGAAGAAGAAGGGGATTGCCAACGAGCTCCGTGCGCTCGTCGTGCCGCGAGGATTCACCTTCCCCTACATCCGCTTCGCCAGGTTCCTCAACTCGCTGTGGGAATCCGTCAGGAGCCTCGATCAGAAGCAACTCTTCAACAAAGAGACCCGTTTCGACAGCCGAGGTTATATCGTCGATGCCTCTGCCACCGATGCAGCTGCCAGGTCGCCCGTCACCCGCCGCTCTCGCAACCCGGACGCAGCGCCTCGCCAGAAGAGGAACAGATCTCTTGCCGACAAGCTCAGAGCCGATGATCGAAAACTTCCCGAGGCAGGTACCTTTGTTGCCCAGGACGGAGATGTGCACAAGCCCGATGCCGACGAAGCACTGGAAGAGCATGTGCCTTTTCCCAAACCCGCTCCCGAAGAGATGGGCATGAAGACACTTCCCACGGCAGGTGACAAGCTCAAAGCCGATGACCCAAAACTTCCCGAGGCAGGTACCTTTGTCGCTCAGGACGGAGATGTGCACAAGCCCGATGCCAACGAGGCGCTCGAGGAGCACGTGCCTTTCCCCAAGCCCACTCCCGAGGAGATGGGCGTGAAGAAGCCCACAGAGCCCTCATCCTAGAACCTGTATTGTAGCCCCAATCCCCGTTCTCACCGGTGCCATATGCTTTCTCATGTGCCTGTTGTGTTCTTCTCCGCCCTGAGCACCGCATTGATGTTGCCCGCCGTGGTTGGTGAGCTGGTTCCAGGCGAGAGGTAGAAGAGCATGCACGTCCGTGAGGATAGAATTCGGCTTACCCTGCCAAGCGGCGTGTGGAGGATGCGAAGAAATCATCGGCTAAATTTGCGGCGTCCAGCTGCGTTGTGATCGCCTTCCCCCGCGTGGAGGTGGGGCGAGCCAACCTTCGGCATGACTTGAGCTGGATAAGTCGGTTCCACCATCACATGCATGCTGGTGACCTACTCAAGGTCGCTCTTGTCTCGAGTCTTGCATCGCGCTGCACCCGCCATTCAGCCCGCTCATACATCGCATCTGCATCCTGTCGCAACATGTCGGAGCCGGTCTCTGCCTCGAGCTCGAGTCAAGGCGCTGCAGCTGGCGGTAAAAAGGTCAAGCAGAACAAGCGTCCATCACCCGAGGAGATCGAAGCCAAGCGCCGCGAGCGTGCGGCCAAAAAGGAGAAGGAGGCCGCCGACAAGGTCGCCAAGGAAGCGGAGCTCGCGGCTGCAATTGCTGCCAACGGCAAGATTCCAAACGGACATCTGGACGAGCATGGCAATGTGCTCTTTGTCCCGCGAGACTGGGCTCATGTGTCGCAAGCCAGAGAGAACTCGGCATCGGCCAAGCAAAAGGTGCGGGTCGTCAGCTGGAACATCCTCGCGCAAGGGCTGGTGCGCCGCACGCTCTTCCCGGGCTCGGACTGCCTCAAGTTCAAGGATCGATCGGTGGGGCTGACGGCCGAATTCTCGAGTCGCACCGGACACGGCTGGGATGTGGGATGCTTCCAGGAGGTGGACCGCATGGACGTGCATGGAGAGACGCTCGACAAGGACGGCTTCAGCTACGTGTACGAGAAAGGATACCGACAGAAGCAGCACGGCCTGCTCGTGGCTTGGAGACGCGACCTCTTCGGCGAGAGCGCTCACAAACGCATGACCATCGATCTTGATGCCGAAAGTGTCTCCGCACCGTCCGAGCCGATCCGAACAGCATGTTCGCGCGTGACCCGCAACGTAGGCCTGTTCGTGGCGCTCACGTTGCGCGACTCTGCCACTGGCGATGCTGGCGCCAAGCCGGGGATCATTGTGGCAACCACGCATCTGTTCTGGCACCCCATGCATGCCTATGAAAGGGCGCGACAGTCTGGGATCCTGGTGCGAAGGCTGCACGAGTTTCGCAAAGAGCTGGGAGCAGAGTGGCAAGACGCACCCTGCATCCTCGCCGGCGACTTCAACGATCAACCGCACTCGGCGACCTACCACCTTTTGGCAGGCCGCGAGTTGACGCCGCACTGCCACGGGGAAGTGTCGATGTCCAGCGTAGTGCACAAGAGCATCGACGAACGCAGGGAAAGGGGCGGCGTCTCGGTCGGCTTTGCTGAGGGCACAACGGAGGTGGCCCGTAACCTTCCCTCCACCAAGTCTGTCGCTCCGAGCACCGACAGTGCTGCAGTCGAGGAACAAGACCAGCAGAACGCAGAGGAAGATGCGGAGGAGCAAGGCGAGGAGGGGGAGGGAGAGGAGGAGGAAGCGGAAGAGGAGGGCGGTGAGCCTGACGACCGCATGCTCAAGAACTGCCGTGCAGCAACTGAGGAAGATGCGCTCTTGTCCATGGACGAGCTGCTCCAGCTGCACGATGTCAGCCGTCCTCGACCAGGATCAGCCAGAGCGCAAGGAGACTCTGGCGAGGCCACATCTGCGCACCTCGGCTCCGCGTATGGCCTCCACTACGGTCACATGAGCGACCCTTCGGAGGATGGCAACTTTTTCGGCTCGCCCGAACGAGGCCGTGAGCGCTGGGACGACCCTGACTGGACGCCAGAGACGCCCAACTGCCACACGGGCGACAGCACCGAGCCCATGTGGACCATCTTTTCGAGCCTCTTCTGCCTTACGCTCGACTACATCTTTATGCTGCCCAAGGTGGAAACGTCGACCGAAGCGCGCGCTGCTCCAAGCTACCCCACGGTGACAAGGCTGCTGCGCACGCATCGCACCGAGACCCTTCAACCGGGCGTTCCTAGAAAGGGCGTTTGTGCCTCGGACCACATCGCCATTGGCGCGGAGATTGAGCTGTAGACAGCCCATTTTTTATATTCACGGAACTTCCGACCACTACATGGCTTTGTATCAAGGTTCACTTTGTCAAAGGCATGCCATCCGAGGCGTCGTGAGAACATCGTGTGATCTATACGAGTGAGCCTCGGTGCAGCCGACGGAGAAGAGTCTGGCGCGTCTCGCCGCTGCGTTGGGCGTTCAGCCTCCACACCCACACGCTGCACCGCTCGTGCATTTTTGGACCCTGTGTTGCTTTGGCAACGCGGCACGCGCCTCCTCACCCTAGCCAAAGATGGAATCACCCTGCCATCTTGCTGATCTGTCCAAGCATCACCAGAGCCGCTGCTCCATCGACCGACAGTATCGGCTCTGATCCGTCAGCCTAATCAACACCAAAGTGCATCCGTGCTGCACGATGTTGCGATGCCACTGAAGCGACCGGACGCACCAACCCACACACAATCGGATCTCACCGACATCATGCCGACGCAGGCTCCCAAGGACAGCGGGTCAGTCGCCGCACCATCGCAAGGAGACGGCGAGTCCGATCAAGCACCACCTAGAGCCCCGTATACGGATGGAAACGCAACGCAGAAGGAAGGTCCATCCCTAGCGCCGGCCAACGGTGCTGCACCTCAGAAAGTGGAGCCTGCGGACTCTAAACCCCTCTCGCAAGATGAACCCCCACCAGCTTATGAAGATACCCCGGAGATCGATTCTGCTCCCAAAGGAAGCGAAGAGGCAGCAGCAGCAACAGAAGCCCCCGTGCGAGATGCGCACCCACCTCCCAAAGAGGTCCGTGCTCCCAACAGCGCCAAAGTCACCAACTCCATTCCAGACCCGGCCGTATCACTATCCGCATCACGCCCAACCATGCTACCACCGCCCAGACCTAGCATGGCCGCATCTTCTTTCATCAATACCACCCCTACCTTGACGCCTGGTTCCACTTGGGGCCCTTCGGCAGCGTCCGCCGCAGCCGCTCGTGCCGAAGCAGCCGAGCCTGGAAGGATTGGCGACCTCAAACGCTTCACTCTGTGGGAAACGAAGACCCGCTTCTATCTGGTCGCCTACAACACCAGTCAGACCCGCTTCCGCATCCTCAAAGTCGACAGGACCCCGCCCACTGCTCCTATATTTACCAAATCCCAGCCTGAAGCTGAAAAACCTCGGGAGGCGAGTGGACCGTCCAGCAGCACGCCGGCGACACCCGCCGTCTCTGTCCACATCGACCCTGCGCCTCAGAGTGCTCCTTCGTCTTCGAACGTCAAGACTGCTGAGACTCGGCTCGAATCGTCCAAACCAGCAAAGGCCAACGCCGCGGCCTCGGACTGCTCCGCGCGTGGGCAGCCTTATGTCTCGCTCAATGATCCGCAGATCTGCAAGCTCAATCGACGAATGCTCGATGCCATGCAGACTCCCCGAGACGGTACAAACTCAACCCCCGCCAACGCTGCGCTCAAAACCGATGCCGCCTTCGGCAAGACATCAAGCGTCGCGGCGCTACCGAAAAATGGCAACGCCGCCTCTCTCGTCGCCGAGACCAAGGCGGCCGGAGGCGCTTCTACTCCTGGCTCGAGGCACATTGAAACCACCACAGACTCCAAGGCGGCTAGTTCCAAATCCAAATCTTCGTCAGCAGCAGCAGACTGGGAGCTCAACGTCACTTCAGACCGCGTCGTCTATTCTCGCACTCAGGTCGCCGAGCTTCTCGAGATGATCCGCGAAGGCAACCGTGCCACCGGCGGACTCCAGGAAGTTGGCCGCTTCTTTGGCATCGTAGGCTTCATCCGCTTCACAAGTACCTACTACATGGTTCTCATCAGTCGTCGTAGCGTCGTCGCCTTGATCGGCGGCCACTATATCTACCATTGCGACGAGACCGTCATCCTGCCCGTCTGCCATCCAGCCGTACTCGCCTCCCTTCCGGGACGCACCAAGCTCATGGAGCAGGAGGAAGCCCGTCTCCTCCACCTCTTCAAACAGGTCGACCTCAGCAAGAACTTCTACTTTAGCTATACCTACGACCTCACAAAGACCTTGCAGGATAATCTCACCTCAACGCCTGGTGACCCGCTCGAGAAGGCAAGCTCCGTTTCGCCCTCCAAGCAGCCCATCACCGCCTGGGGCTACAACGAAAAGTTCATTTGGAATCATCACCTCCTCCTTCCTGCCTTTGGCGCCTCGGAACACCTGCAGCCAGATGAAGATCCAAGGAACGAGTGGGTGCTTCCGCTCGTCTATGGCTTCGTCGACCAAGCCAAGCTGAGCGTGCTCAATCGCACCGTCTATACAACCCTTATCGCGCGAAGATCGCGACACTTTGCCGGTGCGCGCTTCCTCAAGCGCGGCGTCAACGAGCGCGGACACGTCGCCAACGACGTCGAAACCGAGCAGATCGTCAGCGAGGCACTCACCACACCCTTTTTCGCACCAGGTCGCAAGCGATTCGAACCCCGCGAAAGCAAGCCGCGAGCTTCTCCAGCCACACGTCGCGGCGGGGATCTCATCCGCGCTAGGGGCTTACGAGAAAAGGCGAGCACACAGGACGCGTCCAAGCTCGACTCGCAGATACGCAGGGAGAAGGGGCGCGCCATCAAACAGCACAGAGAGAATGGCGTTGATCACGCAGACGAGGAGGATTTGGAAGACCTACCGCTCGATCCATCGCCAAGATACACTTCGTACGTCATGATGAGAGGAAGCATTCCGGTCTACTGGACGCAGGACTCGACCAACATGTCGCCTCGCCCTCCCATCGAGATCTCGCTCGTCGACCCCTACTATTCAGCCGCAGCTCTGCACTTTGACGAGCTCTTCCATCGCTATGGCACACCCGTGATCGTCCTCAATCTCATCAAAAGCAAGGAGAAGCAGGAGCGTGAGGTCAAATTGCTGCGCACCTTCGGCGAGTGCATCAGCTATCTCAACCAGTTCCTCCCCACGAGCAAGAAGATACGCTACATAGCCTGGGACATGAGCCGCGCCAGCAAGAGTCACGGTCAAGATGTCATTGGCGTTCTCGAGGACATTGCCGAAGAGACGCTTGAGACCACCCACTTTTTCCACTCTGGACCAGAGCCCAGCGCTTTCCGTGCGCAGACGAGCAGTCACGCTGCGTCGCAGAGTCATGGCAGCCCGGACGCGGACCCATCCGGCTATGAAGGCTCGAACGCCGGGCCAAAGTCGACGACAAGAGGTCATCCGCCTCGAAGGGAAACGATTCTGCTGCAGGAGGGCGTCGCCAGGGTCAACTGCGTCGATTGTCTCGACAGGACCAACGCTGCTCAGTTCGTGATCGGCAAGGCGGCTTTCGGCCATCAGCTGCACGCGCTTGGATTGCTCGACGACCCTTCCCTGCCCTTTGACTCGGATGCGGTCAACATGTTGACGGAAATGTACCATGACCTGGGCGACACGATCGCCATGCAATATGGCGGCTCTGCGCTAGCACACACAACCGACACGTATCGAAAGATCAACCAGTGGACCTCGCATTCGCGCGACGTGCTCGAAAGCATGAAGCGCTACTACGCCAACTCCTTCGCCGACGCGGACAAGCAGGCAGCCATCAACTTGTTCCTCGGCGTGGACCCGGCGGCTCCGGATTTCTCCCCACACGTCTTCCCCGAGAACATTCCGGTCTCGACCAAGAAGACCACCGAGAACGGCCACGAGCAGTCTGCGAAAGTTGTCCGTGCCGTTCCGTTCAGGCCGCACTACCAGCACTGGTTCGACCCCCTGCACTTGCAGCCGCGTGGGACGCTCGAGAGTCGCGAACGGAGACTGCGGCAAGTCGCCAATGCAGATGCAGGCTTTTGGGCCGAGTATTATCGCCCGAGCCTGTTCACGGATCTGAACCGGCATCACGCCTTCAAGATGACTGCAGTGCACCAGTATTCGCATCTGCACGGTGGAGTGTCGCACGCCTCGGGTGGCTTGGGTATGCCACACAGCCAGTCGGCAGGCGCTCTCAGCATGTATGCCGGCCAGATCGGAGGAGCCGCTCAACTGACGCGCCATGTCCGCTCCACCTCTAACTCGAGCCTGTCGTCGGGCACTTTCAATCCGCATCAAGCCGGCTATATGGTCGAGTATCCGAGTCCCTTCAAGCCGCGTGGAGGCGCTGCGGACCTTTCGGCTTATCGAACCTCGCAGCAGCAGCATTTGCGGCGCGTAGAGAGCGACGCCCGGAGTCTTGCGACGCAGAGTTCGGCAACCATGGTCAACGAGGCACAGAGTCCCGTCTCGCCCGACAGCGGACAGCATTTCTCGTCGTCACCAGCGGGGTCGGCTTCGAGTGCACTGCCGCCTTCCAAGGCCATCATCGGCGGCGTGAGGCGATGGATCTCGATCAACAAGCCCGGAGGCTCGCCGCGTCTTGGCGGGCGTGGGTCGCACAAGTCGCGTCACAGGTACAGCATAGCGTCGTCCGAGGGAGGCGATCACCAACATGAGGAGGTGCGACGGGGCGGCGACTCGGCAGGACCGGTGCGTGGAGCTTCGGTGCCATCAACGGGTGCTGTCCTTGGGGGCTTCGATCCTCACACGTTCAACTTTGCCGGTCGGTGGCAGACGGTGAATCCCGTCGGCCCTGCTGTTGCTGGATCCAACGTGGCGATCGAAGCCGCGCTGAACAAGGCGTGCAATCCGCACATCTCGGAAGAGGAGGAATCAGAGTACGCGTTCTACACGACGCAGTTCCTCGACGAGTATGCGCGGCCGAGTAGCGGGGATGCCGCTTACGACGCAGAACAGGCTAGTCGTGCCGACGCACAGATGCCGCTCGAGAGGATAGCAGCCTTGACGGACCACCATCTGATTGACGAGAAAGACATCCAGATCTACGAAGAAGGCGTGGCTGTCAGCGGTGGCAAGGCGGCGGCGGTCGACAGATTCGTGCGCTACTCGACCGTGGACCCTGTGTTGGTCAGCCATGCCAACGCGGCCAGTCAGCTCGCCTTCCCTGTTGCCGTCTCGGCGATTCAGTCCGGGATGGCTACGGGTGCGCCGGGCTCGCAGTTCTCAGCGGGCGCCAATGCAGCCGCAGTCGTGTCAGCAGCACCGGTGCCTTCGGGCCTGACTGCTTCCGAGGCCAAGATCCGCGCCTACACCTCCTGGCTCTCTCTGGGCCAGACCAAGCTCGTCAGTTTCTAACGGCGCTCGTCTCGGCTTCGCGGTGGTGGGATAGATGCATTTCAAATACAGTATGGTTTTGATGCGTGGCGTACAAATACAGATGGCAGAAGACCATGGCGTGTGAGCCCGACCAAGACAGTCGGCTCGAGGGGTATGTTGACGAGCTTGTGGATGCGTCGATGTTGAGTTACTTGAACATGACTTGGATGGAGAAGGTCTTTCCATCCGGGTCGTAGTGGCTCCAAGTGGAGGGTTCTGGTCTTGGTCTTGTGGCTGGTGCTGACGAGGTGACTAGGCCTGTATCTCTGCGGTCGATTTCGCGGGATTGGAGTTTGAATGCGATTGTCTCGTATGGTTCTGCAGCGACGACGAGGTACTGGTAGTTTCGATCGGGTGCCTCTTGTTTCTGCTCAAACGCGCCCATGAAGCGATGCATCGGCACCACACCCTCCTTGATCTCTGGCAGAGACACCTGGAACAGCAATCCGAGTCGACCTCCCTCGCCACCTTCCAACAAAGGCTCGCGCACCTTGGTCACCTTGTATCCCGGTCGACCGATCTTGACAAACTGCTTCTTCGGCACGGCCTCTGTGGCCGAGGCGGTGATGAGCTTGTTGGAGTCGTACGCGTTTTCCTTGGCTTCACGGGCGGCACGTCTGGCAAGGTTGGTCTGATGCTTCTTGCCCTGAGTATGGGCGAGATAGCTACCCTCATTCGTATGGAGCGTCAAGCAGAGTCGGCACTCGAGGCCGCCCAGGTGGTTCTTGAGAAGGTAAGGGTCCTTGGCTAGGTCGATCGTCTCGAGCGCGAGCTTACGCAGCCGATCGCGTCGGTCGACATTGCTCTCGGAGGCTCCGGCGATACCGCCACCTTTGTTACCTGCTCGACCCGAGAAGTCCATCGTCAGCCTCGTGACCGCGTGCTGTCGTGGTGTGGATGTGGGACGAGAAGGTGTAGAATGAGAAGGAGCAAGGGAAACGGACCTCTGGGCAATCCAATCCATGACTTGCAGTTCCGATGTCCGAATCTTTCGATTTTGTCGCTTCTTGTCAGGTCGAGGACCTACACAAACGTGCAAACGAAAATCACGTGCGTTAGGCTCAGCAGATGTGGATTTCGACGATCACTCCACATGGGGTGGAAACGCGTTCTCAGGCGCCCAGGCCGTGAACACGCAAGCCCAGAGGCAGGCGCTTGAGCCACCTCTTGCCAACCGCACTTCGACATCATCATCATTGCTAGCCGCTCATCGTACTACGCTCATCATCATCACCTGCCGACGTCGCCGCATTTTCCAACACCACTGCATCAACAACACATTATCGGGAGACATGATCAACTTTCACCCTGGCCAGACGTGGTCGTCGAACCCCAACCCGGCGTACGCCAACCTTGGCACTCCGTCTTTTAGCTCGGCGGCTGCATCATCTTCGTCGGATCCCACCTCGCACACGTCGCAGCCGATCGTGACGGGTACGTCGGTGCTCGGACTCAAGTACAAGGATGGCATTATGCTCGCCACGGACACGCTCGCCTCGTACGGCTCGCTCGCACGATTCATGGACATCACGCGCATCTCGCAGTTTGGACAGAACACGCTCATCGGTGCGAGCGGCGACATGAGCGACTGGCAATACGTGCAGCACATGCTGGGAAAGCTCATCACATCCGAAGAGGTCACTGCCGACGGACACACGCTTACACCCGCGCAGATCTACGCCTACCTCGCGCGTGTCATGTACAAGAGGAGAAGCGACATCAACCCTCTCTGGAACTCATTTGTGCTCGGCGGCGTGGACCCCAAGGACGGCACACCATTCCTGGGCTACGTCGACCTGCTCGGCACCACGTTCACAAGCAGCACCATCGCCACGGGCTTCGGTCTGCACCTGGCGCAGCCTCTGCTGCGAAAGATGGTCGAGGGTCGCGAGGACACGTTGACCGAGGAGGAGGCCAAGGATATCCTCGAGAACTGCATGAAGGTGCTCTTCTACCGCGACGCAAGATCGCTCAACAGGTTCCGTGTCGCCAAGGTTACCAAGGAAGGATGCCACATCTCGGAGCCGTACAGTGTGCCAACCTCGTGGGGCTTCGCCGAGATGCTGCGCGGATACGGACCCCAGACGCAGTAAGATCGGGCACGCCCGATCTGGCTCCGACCTCGATCTGTACGCAGACGAATGCTCGACTGCCTTTCCCCACGCTCACGCACCCGGCTTGTCTCCCATGTACCAATATATCGCTTTCCCTCTGCTTTGAGCTGTGGTCGTGCGGTCTGTGGCTCTTTTCAGGGACGATCGGTCAGGCCGTGTACCGAGATATCAGCGACGGTCAAGGCTTGTGAGAGCGAGTTCGCGTATTCGGAAGGCATGCGAGCTTTTCCCGGCGGAAGCAGGCAAGGGCCGATTGAGTAAGGTCGCGGTATACGCATCCGAGGAGCGAGCGGCAGGGCGGTGCTTTGCGAGGAAACAGCGTGCGGTTGTCGCCACGAAGCGTGGCGACAGATCTGCTAGTGAATACAGATCGGCGGTCGGTTCCTTGCGTTGCCGCACACCAGCTTGCCACCCACACAACGCCGTACGTGCAACCACCCAGAGGAGCGAATAATGCTCATGAAGCAGGCAGGCGTGCGAAAGGGCGCAGCCACACAAAACGGCACAACATATTTCGCGCCTCGTCGTGGTGGGGACGACGGAAGCTTCGGACCAGCCGCAAAGCGCGAGGAGAGAGCCCACAATTGCCTCGTGCCTGGAGTTGATACGACGGAGGAGCGTGGGCAAGCCAGGCAACAGGCACCGGATGAAAGACGGCCGAGTTGCGGCCGAACAGGATGTGCTCTCGTCGTGGTCGTATTGTGCTTCACACCGGGCCGCCTCCGATGATTTGCCCAGAGATGTGACTGTCAAGCGCCGAGCTTATTCGAATGACACGAGCAGAAACATGCTCTGGCGTGGCGAGTTGGAAGAGACGGAAGTTGATTGCATCTGCAAGGGCCGAACGCCCTGCGCTTCCGCTGCCGATTCGGTTCATCCGAAGCATACACCAGTCGCAACCCAGAAACTGCGCGTAGCAGGAACGAGCTCGGTTCGCAACCACACGACGCCGCTGCGTCGCCAAACCGTGATCACACTATCGTCCTCGGCTGGACACAGCGGAACTCTCCCGACGCCACCGCGCGACTTGTGATTGTGAGTCGCTTGGCGCAAGATCCGAAAGCCTCGACCCTCGATACTGTGGGAGCACCACTTTTCGAATTCAGCCTTGGTGGCTGCAGGGTAAGGCGGCGAGCTCATCACGACCAACAGTGGTACTATCGTCACCGCTCCTCGACTTGGCCCGACTTTCAAGCGAGAATTGCGCTTTCCCGGGAACGCTTGCAAGCGCCTCTGTAACCGATCCCCAGTCGGATCTCCTCCATTATCCATCTCGGCAGAGACAAGCGAAGTTTTCGGGAAGGTGCGAGCGGGATGCAATTTATGCAGATCGCCCATTGAAATTTAGAGTGTTTCTGTTTGTTTGAGACAGCAAATAGAGGTACGGCTTCACCCGCGGAAATCATGGGAAACGGGCAGGTGCGCCGCGGGTACATGCTCACCTGTCTAACAAGGCGAAGGCTGCGTCGATGGGTTTTCCGACGGCGGGCCTGCCTGAACAATTGATGCTCGCTCTGCCAGCAAGTGCAGGTTGTGCCAACAAGCGAGGGCCGCATTGTGTTTCGCGTGCTGTCGATGATGCGAACGGATGTCCGAGTACGAGGACTCTCTCTCGCCGATTGTACAACGCGCGCCGCAGGAACCGCATCCACGCTGCAGTTATGGGCGGCACCAGGGCAAGAGCCAACTTTGTGCTCGGAGCATCCGATAGCCCCTGACCCTTCTTGCCAAGATCACATTCGGATGTATCATAGAGATCTGTGGCTTGTCCGTCGGCGAAAGGTCCGAGCCCTCCGACATCGTGTAGGTGCTGTGCAAGTGCCTCTGCGCGGCGTATTTTGGCGGGAAGCCAAAGCGCTCCAGCTCATTTCCGCCGCAATGCAGCAAGTGGTGCCACATTGATGGCTGTGCTACAATCATGGCTGTCACCTGCATCCTTTGTGGCACCCCGCACAGCAGTGTTGTCACAGCCCGTTGCGTCAATTTGGCCGCTGTTTGCTTGTTTCAGGGCGGCAGAGCACATCCGGCGTTACGCCGTGGGGGCTCGACGGTGGGTCTCGTCGCTTCGGCCAAGCGACCCGTAATGCGACGTGCGGGATCCATCACTATGAACTGCCTCAGGATCTGCAGAGGCCCACAGCTGACGCACAGCATGAGCAGCTGAGCATCTCTTGTGTGCGACGGGGCCAAGCCGTCTATAAAGCGCCACATCGTCTCTGACCGACCCCTTCCTCTTGCTCTACCCTGCATTCCCTCTACTCAGGCCTCTGAGACGACGGACATTACTTCGCTCTTCTTCAGGCATCTGCTAGCATCCTCCACCTTCCCTGCGTTCCGACCCTTCTTCAACAAGCGCATTGGCTGGAGATGAGGCTTTCCTGGGGCTCCTTCGCCCTTCTCGGGTTGACAGCCAAAAACGCATTCGCTTTGCCTGCCTCTCAATCCCCAGATCTCGGCAGCAAGCTATCGAGTGCAACACATCCCCATCAAATCTCGCAAATGTCAGCTCGCGCCGGATCAGAGTCGGATCCTTGGCTCGATAAAGACATTCTGGCTAGTCCTGAGGTCGTGGACTCGTGCTCTCGGCACCACAAACACCACGTCGAACGCGGGGATGAGGTCGACGAACACCATCGTGAAGATGAACACCATCGTGAACATGAACACCATCATGAACATGGAAACCATCATGAACATGGAAACCATCATGAAGATGAACACGATCACGATGAACACCATTCAAAACACAGTAAGAGACGTGGCTGCGTTCCATACGACTACACACCGCAGACGCGCACGTACGACTTTGTCCTCACCAATGGCCTCGCTGCTCCGGACGGATTCCTCAAGAAGCGCATCTTGATCAATGGTCAGTCGCCTGGCCCTCTCATCGAGGCCAATGAGGGAGACACGATCGTGGTCAATGTCGCCAACTACCTCGACCAGGGCACGTCGATTCATTGGCACGGCATGTTCCAGAATAGCACACCCTTCATGGACGGCATCGCTGGCTTCTCGCAGTGCCCCATCCCACCCGGTGGCTCGCTCACCTACCGCTTCAAGATCGAGGGTCAGTACGGATCGTACTGGTGGCACAGTCACTCGAAGATGCAATATACCGATGGCCTGTACGGTGGTCTGATCGTTCGATCCGAGCGCGATCCGTACCAGAAGTGCCGTGACTACGACGACGAGCGCGTCTTCCTCTTTGCCGACAACTACCACGACTTTGCCGATGATATTGTCACCCAGCTCCTCTCGGCCAAAGGCTACAACGGGTCGGTGGCAGCACCGTCACCTCAGTCGGGACTCATCAATGGAGTCGGCGTGTTCGATTGTGCGGCGCTGTACAAGGCCAAGACGCACCAGCCGGGAATGCCGAGCGCGTGCTACCCACAGCAGACGCCCACGATGGATGTTGAGCCACACAAGAAGTACCGATTCAGGTTCATCAACACAGGTTCGCATGCTCAGCACATCATCTCGATCGACGATCACGAGCTGCACGTGATCGCAGCTGACGGCACTCCCGTTGTTCCGCACAAAGTCCACCGCATTCCGATTCACAACGGCCAGAGACACGACGCGATCGTTCATACCAACGTCGGCAAGAGCGGTGACAGCTTCCTGCTGCGCTCGACCATGACGACTAAGTGCTTTGCTTTTGTCGACCCGCTGCTTAATCCTGTGGCGAATCTCACGCTGCAGTACAAGAAGCATGGACACTTCGCCCGACAGAAGGCACCCGTGCCCCACGACTGGAGCGACAACATCACTCCGTGCGTCGACCTGGACGACTCGCTGCTGATCCCGGCGATGGACACTTCAGTGCCGGTCAACACCAACCCAAACTCGCTCGGCATCTTCAACTCGCAGTTCGGCAACCTCAAGCTCGCCAACGGCACCACGCTTGGTCGCTTCTTCATCGACAATGTTACGCAAGTCAACTATGTCAACAAGCCGTACCTGCAGATGGCGCACCATGGCCAGCCGATCAATGCGTCGACCATCGCGTCGCTGCTCGTGCCGGATGATGTGTGGGTGGCGGACATCATCATCAATAACGAAGACACGTTCCTCGACCATCCCTTCCACCTGCACGGCACCGACATGCACATCATCAAGCACGGCTCCGGACGCATCGACCTGGCGCAGTGGCTCGCGCTCAACCAGCAGCCGGGCGCACTCAACCTCAAGAACCCGCTGCGTCGAGACACGATCATCGTCGGCCGCTCGAGTTACGTGATCGTCCGCATCATCCCCGACCTGCCGGGCGTGTGGCCTTTGCACTGCCACATCTCCATGCATGTTGCAGAGGGCCTCATGGCCGCCGTCGCCATCCATCCGCACAAGATCCAGCAGCTACCCTGGTCCCAAGACGTGCTCAACCTCTGTCCCACCGGCGGTCCGGCGATCAACGAGATCGAGCCGGCTTGATCCAACCCAGTGCCGCAACCAAGACGAAAAGAGATTGTGTTCGACAGCAGCCATGTGCGGATGCCTGCCAGGTCTCAGAAGACGAACCCTTACGACTCTGTATTCGCTGAAGCACCGAAATGATCCAGAGATGCGATCGCACTCTTCGTGTGGTTGGGCTGATGTGATGTGCATTGCTGAGAGTTGGGCCGAGTGTGACTGATGGGAAAGTTGGGTACAAATACAAAAAGGGGCCGGAGATTGTGGGCGAAAGGCGGGAATCAGATGATGCGCAGACTCCACGCGCCCTGTACGGGAGGACCCGCGAGGTCGCCGAGGCCGAAGCCGAGCTGCTTGAGTACGTCGGCGGTAGTGTCGTGGCCGGTTGCCTTCATGAGCTGCACCAGATCTTCGCACACAATGTGTCGGCCCGAGTGGTAGGCTGTGCCGTCGGAATCATTGACAAAGATGAGTGGCAGCAGGAAGTGCGCCGGCACGCTCGCCTGCGCAGTGGCGGAGTTGCCCTTGAGAGCGACCTTGAGCATGTCTCGAATGGGAGGTAGCGTGACGGTGATGAAGGCCTCAGGATCGCCCGCGGGTGCGGTGGATGCAGGACGCTTGACCGAATGCTGCACCTTGAGCGGACCGATGCTTCCCACCCACACATCGAGAGGGATGGGTTCCGAGGTGATAGCTGCAGGTACGATGAAGTTGGTCACGGTGGTGATCAGGGTATGCTTGGTCTGGTCGTACGTCGGCATGGACGTGATGAGCGGGAAGGGCGTCATGGGCACTTCGCACGGTCCTTCATCCTTGGACGCCTGCGTGGCGCTCGTGTCAAAGTACGAGTACTCGAATCGCGAAACGCCAATGACGGTCCATACAAACCCATCGTCCACCTCGTCTACCTCCTTGTTACCCGAAGCGTGCTCCTTGGGAATGCTGGCGGTGCTGGGGGTGATGTAGGCGATCGAGTTGCTCTCGCTCGTCTTGTGCACATCTTCGACGCTCTGCGGTGACTCGTCGAGGCCGAATCCCTCTTCGTGCGTGCGAGCAAACGTGACTCCAAGCGGACGTTTGCCGACCTGGTCGGGCGCGCACAGATGCTTCCAGCCCTCCGGCATCGTAGCGCAAAGATAGCTGCGTGGCGTGGCAAAGTTCGACTCGAGATGCTCGGAATCGCCAAAAACGGTCTCGCTCTCGCTGCTCGGCACGAACCGCATGAGCGCCACCTTCTGCAGCTGTCCCACGGGACCGTACAGATTCAAATCGTCGGGGTTCTGCTTGTCTGAAACTCCGTTGGCGGTTTGGGCGGCTGGTGGAGGACCAGCTTGAGAGTTGTCGCCCTCGATCTTGATGGCCGACTGAGCGCTGCTTCCCGGGGTCTCTGCTGCTTTTGACTCTGCGGGACGACCATTGGATGGTGGCTGCGCAGAGGAACCAGCCTTCGAAGACATCTTGCTTGCAGCTGCGAGCTTGTCACGCAAGGCGCGGTCGATGGGCACTCGGCGCGATTTGTTGCCCGAGCCAGCTGTGGGGAGTTCAGCCGGTGGATCGAGCTGCGGGAGTTGCACCTGGCCCTTGTCCACCTTGCACACCACCAGCGGGTCGCTGCTAGCGCCAGTGTTGACATCCGTCAACACGATGGTCGAGCCGTAGGTGACGCTGTCTTCCTCTGCACCAGCTAGATCCGCCAACGGCGGCCGCGAGATGAGCGTGATGCGGTATGTGGACCATTCACCATTGTGCACGACGAGCGCACCGTCGCTGCTGGTGTTCATGTACTTTGTGCGCGCGGTCTGCGAGTTGATGCGGTTGAACAACGAGACGAGAGACCCGTTCTGCACCTGATTGATCTGTCCACGTGGCTTTGCAGTCTTCTTGGACGATTTTGAGATGATGGTGACGGGAGCCGACTCGAACGACGCCCAAGCGAGGCCCTTGGGTAGGCGCGACAAGGTCTCGGAACCGTTATCAGCTTGATCGTACGCCGGGCTGCCCGCGCTCATGGCCGGAGAGAGCGGATCGGCCGCACGCGATTTCTTGAGCGGGCTAAAGATGGGAAGATGAGGCTCGAGCCCCGACGGACGGAGGAGGTTGAGTTGCAAGCGGAACGACTTGGACCTGCCGGTGGGCGTGACATAGAGCGAGCGCATCTTGGCCTCGAGAGTCTGGTCGAGCACGGCGACATTCTCGTTGGAGAAAAACTCGTCAGTGTCGCCACGCACCAGCAGGCTGACACGGCATTGTTCTTCCTCGTCGGCATCTTCGGAGGTGGAGGAGGTGGTGAGAGTGGCAGCACCGTGCTCGGCATAGCGGCGGAGGGGTCCAGTGACGCTGATGATGGGCGGTGGATTGAAGAAGCGCTTCTCGGAGCCATAGCTCTTCTGCGCCACCGAGGCGTGAGCACAGCGGACGGTAGTCATCTTGGTCTTGGATGGGTCTGCTGCAGGGATGGGCCCGGTGACGGTGTTGGGCTTGGTGAGCGTATCGATGCTGGCAATGTACTCGGCTAGCGCCTTCTCCACTCTGGTGCGACGCTCCATGGGGCCAATCTCGCGATACTTTCGCTTTCCGAGCACCTTTTTGGGCTTCTTGACTGGCTTGGGGGTCTTTTGCGGTGACTTGGGTTTGGGAGTGGTGGGTGCGTCTTCTGTGTCCTTTGCAGCTTCTTTGGTCGCTTCGGTGGCAAGACTGGAGGTGACCCTAGCTTGCAGACTCGCCATGAACTGCTCGAGGCTGGCGTTGAGGGCATCGTCGGCAACGGCGCCGGATCGTGGCTCCTGGCTGACAGAGGGTGGCGCCGCTTGCTCCGTTGTAATGCTCGTGGATGGCTGCTGAGCTGCTGCTGCTGCGTCGGCCGAAAAGAGATTCGCTTGCCGTAAGAGCGTATCGACGAAGGATTGTGCAGCATCATCCGGGGAGGTGTTTGGCTGCGGCTCTGGGGTTGCAAAGGCGGTGTGATCACCTGCGACGGTTGGATGCGAGGCAGCGTCTGTGGACGGCTCAGCTTGCTGTGCGGATATTGGGGATCCCGACTGCGGGGTGGGCATGAGCGAGGCGATGAGGGTCTCGAAGGAAGCGATATCCTCTGCGGTGGCCGGAGTGCCCTGGCCTTGGGTGGGAGTGTTATAGGAGGTGTTGAGCGCCGAGGTGTCGACAGGTGTGTCGAGCGGCTGAGTGTGGACGTCACCGAGCTGGCCGGCGATGCCTGCAGTAAAAGCTTGGATCTGCTCTTCGAGCGAAGGTCCGTCTTGGTGGGACTTGTCTTGCGCCGACGCGGCGGGCAGGAAGCTGGCGAGGTTCGAGGCATCGAGCGAGGGAATGCCATCCATGATGGTCAGATCCGGGAGTGTGGTCGCATCACCAGCTGGCTTGTCAGGCGAAGCATGCGCCGCGCCTTGATGGCCTTGCGAGGCGTCGGAGTGGGCAGACGCCGCTGCCGAGCCTGGCCTCGCAGCCGAATCTATGGATTCACCAGCCTCCATGGTCAAAGAGGCTATGCCGAAACGTTGCGACTTGCGGAGATCGTCATCCACGGAGTGATGTGACTCGCTCGAAGTGGAAGTTTGGAGACGGCAGTGGTCTTAACGGAAGCGGTGCGGAAACGTGATGAGGAGGCGGTTGAGGGAATGCAAGGTTGACTAGGGCGTCGGTGGGCGTAGAGAGGCTGACGGTGCAGCGCAACAGCCGTGGCAGCTTGGGCGAGGTTGGTGGATTCAGTCCAGGGTTCACTTTGCGCAGGAGCTGTGATGCTTGAGCTTGAGCTCGAGCTTGGACTCGAGTGCACAAAGCTGCGAAGAAGTTGACGTCGAGGTCCACAGCGTGGATGGAAAAATTTCAAGGCAGCACATCACGGCCGTAAATTTACGAATTCACTCCACCTCGTGCCTTTTTTTTTTCTTTGTCTTTTTGCTTTTCTCGGATTGCGGGACGGTTTTCCACCGTGCACTGTCAGATTTGTGGGAGAACGAAAAATCACGAAAATCCAAGAAAAGACGAGCGGAAAAGGAGGGCGCGAAATTGCAGGGCGAACCTCCACCTGTGTTGACGCTCTTTCGGCACCGGTCTGACACGGTGCTCTCGACGCGAACAAAGCGGACAGCAGACTGGACTGCAGAGAGCGGACAAAGGACAAGGAGCGAGGCTCAGTTTGAGGGCGCTCAGGACGCCCCGATTGCATTCAGATCGCTACCCGCACTGTCGGAAGCTCCGCCACCTCGTCCGCACCGCAGTCGTATGTCCGCAACGTCAACTGTCCGCACCTCCTTGCCTTCTCACCACATCACTTCCATCAGACACTCGTGCCGCTGCATCTCGTCACGTCGCCCTAACCACACATCCTCAGACTCATCCTTTGGCCTACACATCTGACCTCATCATGTCTGACGCCGATGTTCCTCAGCCCAAGCCCGAGGGCGGTGAGCAGCTCAACATCAAGGTGAAGGACGCCGACGGAAACGAGGTCTTCTTCAAGGTCAAGCGCACCACCAAGCTGTCCAAGCTCAAGAAGGCGTACGCCGAGAGGATGGGCAAGCCCGAGAACAGCGTCCGCTTCATCTTTGATGGCCAGCGTATCGGCGACAACGACACCGCCGAGACCGTAAGTTGAAGCGCCATCTTGACTTCCCGTATCCATTCGAGAGCGTTCACTGACGCTTCATCACTTCCTACCCCTTTGCCTTCCCCACACGACAGCTCAACATGGAGGACCAGGACGAGATCGACGCCATGATCGAGCAGCTCGGTGGCTGCTAGATGCTGCCCCTCGAGCGGTACATGATCACCGTTCCGACCTCGTATACCCAGCCCACCTCCTTCTCCTCTTCTCACGGGCGTGCAGCGGTCCCGCATTCGCATCGGCATCTGCATGCGCACCCGCACTTGTTCGTCTCAGCAACCGTGCTAGAGTCTCGACTCATCCCTGCATCGTTCCCACCATCATCCACCGCAAAGGGGTGGCCGCCATAGCAACGGCGCTACCTCTGGCTCGCGTACATGTTCGCCGCATGTTGCGTGCCTCCGTACCTTTGCAATTGTATTTGTTCATCAGCCAACTTCTCATCTTCGCTTCTCAACCCGACTCTGCTTTCCAGCCTGGCTCTCATCCGCAAGGCTCGCACTCTTCATCGGCCACCGTTCGCATTGACAGAAGTCTTTCGCATCTTCATTGCATCCTGCGCAGATACTAACGACATGCTACGATCAAGATCGGCGTGCATCGGCTTCTGCGCCGGAGGGTATCACAAGGAGGCATTCGAGTTTGTCATGGTCGACCCATAAGGGAGAGGGTGGCATCGGGCGGCTAGACCTTGGATCTGCGTCTGCGTCCGCCGCCTCCGCATCGACAGCAGAGCACGTCGGCGATGCAATTGAACGTTGCGATCAGCGCCGACGAGATGGCCGACACACTTTGAGTGCAAAGCAAAAGACCAAAGGGCAGAGTCAGTCTCGTGGTCACAGCGTCGCGCGGTTGGAGGCCAAGACTTACATGGTGTGTAGGATGCTTCCGATGGCGGAAAAGATGGTGTGGAACAGGCTCGCGATGGCCGAGACGATCGAACTGAGGCACGATGCAACAGCTGGTACCAACAATCCCAATGTGTCAGTCTATCATCTCAAGGATGTTCGGAGAAAACTTGTACAACGTACCTCCCATGATGGCTAGATCTTCGGTCCTTCGTGAGTCGAGTGGGTATAGTCAAGCGTCTTACGGCGACTAGTAGAGCGGATGCGTGGGTGGAAGGGGCTTCTTGATGCCCCGGGCGAGGATGCGCCTGTTTAAGTAGTGTTGTCGCTGAGATCGTATGGCACTGGCGAGGGCGGGGAGTCCAGGGCCTTAGCAGCTATGTCTCGGGTACAATGCACCACGCTTGAGCACATGCCTGGACATGGCCTCGTGGGTCTACCACCGTAGCAACGGTTTGCGCCACGCACGACCTGCCGCAGCTGCGAAGCCGAAAGTGGGGCAACCGGTCACCTCATCGTACCTGCCAGCTTTCGACTGCCGCAGCCAGTGACGCCACATCGTCGCATTGTCTTCAGCCAGAGGCCGGGGGCCAAGACAAGAGGGAGGGCGGTCAATGACGTCCTGTTGTTTTTGGCGCCGCTTTTCCGGCAGCCCTGCAAGCTCAATCACACGCCACTAAAGCGCTCGCTCGTTCGGATGGATGCCGAATCCGCAGCCAGTGCGGGCCCGCAAAACAAGCTCACGGGAGGATGCTGAATCACGCTGCAGTCGGTGTGCAGCCAGATCAGCCTGCAACCCCGCCCCCGTCACCGGCAAGCGCGCCCTCATGCATCGGTTGCGGGTCCTGGTTGCTGCGCTGCGCACACCAGCTCGTCACTGCAATCCGACCGAGCGTCCAGTGTTTTGATGCCTCGGACCCTCCCGAACAGCACTCAGCCTCGCCAGGTTAATTTTTTGGGCTCGTAAAGCCACAGGGTCCACTTGTCCCCCGCGTCAACGTCATCGCGCCTCGAAGCCCCTGGACGCTCGCTTTGCACTCAATTCTCCCGCGGCCATCTCCTCTTCGTTCCGACTGCCGCCGACATCCAATCGGCCTTAGAAGCCCAATTCTCACACCAAGGTAGGGCTGCATAGATGCATCACTCCGAGCTTCACACAGCCTCCATCCATGCTAGGGGTCGCTGAGAACGCACGTATTTTTGGTTTGATTTACAGTGGCGGTCCAGAGGAGTGAGTGGTGTGTGGTCAGCTATCGAACGCGGGGGTCCGCTTGAACGGCGGCCTCCATCGTCGCCAGCGGACCGCATGGGATGGGGAAAGGTCGGCATATCTAGAGCATTCCAGCCATCTGACCGAGCGCCGCGCCCTGCTCGGGGAACTCCTGGATGAACTTGAGCTGCGCCCTCGACGCATTCTCGTACGTGAGCGCGTTGATGAGCTCGGGCTCGGTGCGTGCAATCTTGGCGGATCGCTCAAAGTACTCGATGGCATCCTGGATCTTGCCCTGCTGCAGGCTGAGCTGCGCCAGCGTAGCCACCGCCACGTCGCAGTCCTCGTCCTTGTCCAGCGCCTGGCGACACAGCTCCTCGGCCGCAGTGATGTCCTGTTTCCACTGGAATAGCGCCAGCGCCTTGTTGATCATCGGCAGCACGTTGGTCGAGCCCTGCTTGGCGCCTTCGATCTCGATGGCCTTGTCAAACTTCTCCATGGCCTCCTCGAACTTCTGCTGGTCGAGCAGCAGCTCGCCGTAGTAGTTGTACGCCTCCGACGACGTGTCAAAGTTGCGCAGCAGCTTGCGGAACGCCGCCGTCGAATGGCCGATGTTGCCGTTCTTGTAGTGCGCCACCGCATACTGCACCTGCGAAAAGATGAACGTGTCGTCGAGCGACGTCGACTTCTCGTAGTCCTTGATCGCTGCGTCAAACTCGCCCAGGATAAAGTTGACCTGGCCGCGGTGGTAGTAGATGTCCGGGTCCTCGGCGTCGGCCTCGATCGCCTTGTCAAAGTCCTTGAACGCCGCCTCCTTGTCCGACAGCTCCATGTGCACGGACGCCTTCTTCACCCACGACTGCACGTACTTGGGTCGTAGCGTCGTGCTGCGCTCCAGATCCGCCAGCGCCTCCTTGGCGTTGCCAATGACGAACTTGAACGTGCCGCGCATGTTGTAGGCGTTGGCCTCCAGATCTTCGTTGCTCAGGCCCTGCTCGATCGCCTCGTTGAACAGCGTGAAAGCGTGCGGGTAGCTCTTGGCTTCCAACGCGCCGTACGCCTTGACCAGGGTCTCGTCACCCTGGCTCGGCTGCTCGGGCAGCTCGGGCTTGGACTTGGCGCGGAACGCCTCGAGGTAGGCTGTGACAAAGGTGGGCGAAGGCAGCTTGGGCTCGCGGCTCTTGAGGATGTCCTGCGCCTTGCCCGTGGCGAGCTTGCGCAGCACGCGCTCGACGCTCTCGGTGGCCGTCTGATCCTTGAACTGGCCCAGGATGGCGACGGCGGTGAAGTCGGCGAGCGAGTCGAACAGCAGCTGGGCCTTGTCCTCGCCCACGCCCTCCTGGCCCTCGGTGGGGTTGCCGAGCTGCTCCTTGGCCACGGCTCGTCGGTTGAGCGCCTTGACGTACACCTTGTCCATCTTGAGCGCCTCGTCGCAGTCGGCCACCACCTGCTCGGGCTTGCCGAGGTTCGAGTAGCAAGCCGCACGGTTCGAGTAGAAGACCGCCATGGGATGCGCGGCGATCGCCTTGGTGTAGTGTGCGATGGCCTTCTCAAACTGGCGGTTGGCGTAGGCCTTGTTGCCGAGCGTCTTGAGGTGCTGCGAGAGCTTCTCGCGCTTCTCCTTGGGCAGCTTCAGGATCTCGGACTCGGGCAGCTCGGCGAGCTGGTCGTCGGTGGCCTCGTCGAGCAACGGTCCGGAAGGGTCGGATGGCAGGCCGTCCGAGCGCTGTGCAGGCGCATCGGTCGAGGAGGAGCCGCCAGCCGCGGCACCGGCCTTCTTCTTGGTGCCCTTCTTCTTCTTCTTCTTGCTGGCCGAGGCGGATGCGGCGCCACCGGCAGAGCCTGCCTTCTCTTCATCGTCGCTGTCGCTGACGGTGCCTTTGGCCTTGGCCTTGGACGAGGATCGAGAGTATAGGTAGTAGCCTCCGAGGGCGAGTGTGCCGGTAGCCAGCGCGATGACGAGGGTTCGGTTCTCCTCGACCCACTTGGACAGCTTGTTGGCCGTGTTGTTGGCAGTGACCTGAGCGCGGTCAGCAGCTCGGGCAGCCTGCTGCGAGGCTTGCTGAGCGTTGGGAAGCGGCGCCATGGTTCCGGGATCGCGCGTGTAGGATGAGGTGTGCGAAGGTCCAGGTGGGATGGTGCGGAAAGGCAGGAAGAAGCGAATCTGTGGACTCGGTGTGGAGTATGAGCTCGCCGAGTGATCCCAGCCTTTCCACGCTATGGGCACACCGGCCAGAGACGGGAACTCAGATCGAGAAGAAAGGACCGATTTGGCTGAGCTGCAGGCGTGACATAGCGAGGCCATTTTTTCTCCCTCACAGGAAGCCTCTCAGCGCGTAGGGCCAGGCGAGGACCTTCGATCTGAAAAGGTGCCTCAGCCTCATCGTGCGCACAGCTTCTGCGCTGAAAATTGACTGGCTCAACGGCTGCGATTCTTGGCCAGCTGAAATCGAAAAAAAGGCGGCCCCGATTCTTCCAGCTTCCCTCGCGGCCGCTGCGATGTGGAGCCTTTTCTTCTTTGACAGTGTTAGACCTTGTCTACGCCTGTCGTGCGAAAAGAAGATTGGGCTTCCTGCGGAAAGCCGGGTAGAACGCCGATGTCGAGCCAACCAAATGTCCGAAGAGCGGCTACGGAGGGGCCATGCTGCGCATACCTGGATAACACAGGAGGGCCGGTGTTGGCTCCGCCCTCACAATCACATCAAATCGGGTCCGTGTGCTATCATGTCGACATCGTCCAGCTCAAGCGTAGATCTGGTGTCCCTGGAGGACATCCAGAAGGCGCATGCTCGCGTGGCGCCTTTCACCCACTACACGCCGCTGCTCACCAACCAAGCGGTCGACTCGCTGGTCACTGAGGCTCTGATTGCAGAGACCGAACCCTCTTCTCCGAGAGTGCGCGTGGCGTTCAAGGCGGAGCATCTGCAGCGAGTGGGTGCCTTTAAGTATCGCGGAGCCACCAACTCGGTGCTCGTCCATCTCGAGGCTGCGAAAGCCCAGCACGAAGCCGACACTACCAAGCAGGGCGAGTTCAGCGCCGACCGCCTCGTCGTGGTGACGCACTCGAGCGGCAACCATGCTGCTGCGCTCGCATGTGCTGCACGCTCTGCCGGCTGCGTTGCCGCGGTTGTGATGCCCGAGAACGCACCGAAGCCCAAGAAAGAGGCGGTGGCAGGATACGGAGCGCGAATCACGTTTTGCAAACCCACGCTCGAAGCTCGCGAATCCACAGCAAAGGCAGTCATGGAAAGCTACGAGGAGCAAGGCTACACGGTGCGCTTTGTGCATCCATACGACGAGCCGCTGGTGATCGCAGGTCAGGGCACCATGGCACTCGAGATGCTCGACCAGGCTGCCAACCTCGAATCGCGCGGAGCATGCTCGCATGCAGCCGAGTCCAAGTCAAGCGCTTCAAGGCCCTTGGTTGGCTCCAAGAATGTAGCCGCCGTCGGCCCGAAAGCGGACGGCACATGGCGTGCGCGCGATCTCTCTGAGCCGGTCTTCGACATTGTGATTGCGCCGGTCGGAGGCGGCGGCATGCTCTCCGGTGTCTCGACTGCTGTCAAGGGAGCGGATAGTCGGATCGTTGTCATCGGTGCGGAGCCAGACCTGGTCAACGATGCCTTCCATTCCGTCCAGGCTGGCGAGGTGCAGTCACCGCCGCAGCCACCCAAGACGATCTGCGACGGCCTTCTGACCTCGCTCTCGCCGCTCACGTTGTCGCACATCCAGAAGCATGTGGACACCATCGTAACTGCGCGCGAGGAGAACGTGCTCAAGGCGCTGCAACTCCACTGGACAAGGCAGAAGCAGTTCGTGGAGCCAAGCGCTGCTGTAGGCCTCGCCACTCTCCTGCAAGGCTTCAACGAAGCAGCACAGCAGCTGGGTGCTTCGTCCGATGCGGATACACCGTCCGACCGGTCGCTGTGGGGTCTCAAGCACTGGGTACGAGCCATCGCTCAGCAAAAGGCAGAAGCCGGCGAAAAGCAGCCCGAGATCCGCATCGGCGTCGTTTGGAGCGGCGGCAATGTGGAAGTCGCCAAGGTGGCAGCCAAGTTCGAGGAATACGGACTATGATGGATATTTGCTAGAGGGTCGAATATACACTATTCCTTGTTCACCGGCGGTCGAAGCGGACCTCCGACGTTGAGGCCGTCACCCTTGCCGGAATAAAGCTGGTCCTCTCGCGAATCCTTGTCCTGCTTGTACTGGTCCTGAGCGATCTTTGCGCTCTCTCTGTAGTTGTTGCTCGCTTCGGAAGACTCGGCGGATGGGTTGTGGGTTATGGGCACGTCGAGACCCACCCTTCGTGCTGTGAGCCTGACACGCTCCTCCTCCGTGAGCCCAGTGGTTGGGTTATAGCGTTGAAGCAGTTCCTGTGTACGCCAAGGAGCAGAAGTCGAGTCAGCACGAGCTACATTGGCCAGCGATGAGGCGGAATAGGGGAGCGGCACATACAGCGTGTAGCGCCTTGTTCTGCAAGAAGACGTGGAGGTTCTCGAGGTTCTGCTGACGGAGCTCTTGTGCGCTCTTGGCGGGCGCAGCGAATGGGACGTAGTCGGAGCTCACTTGTGCCTTGACTTCTGTTGCTGCTCCACTTTCTACGTCTTTGTACTCCCGTTGCAAGTAAGAAACGAGCGGGCCCGTCTTTGCCTATTGACAAGTTCCGAAAGGTTAGTGCAGCGGGTCAGCTAAGCGAAAGCTTTTACGGTTGCAGGATTGAATTGGAAACATACCGAGCGCTCAGCCTCTTTCAGGACATTCTGGTAGAGAGACTTGATAGCTGATGGTCTTGACGCAGATGCAAGCATTTTGACGAAAGTTCCCGACAGGCGCAATGTAAGGGTTGGCAGCGAGGAGAGCAGGGTCCAGAAGCAGGTTTCAGGAAACCTCATGCCAGTTGAGGCTTCCTTCTGCGAAACCAACTCCCGCGACCCGAGCTTGCGATTTCTCTCGCGCGTATCGCGAACTTTCAAAAAGGTATGCGGTGGGAAGAGGAAGAAAAAATTGCGGAAGCATCACTTGAACAGCACAGACGACGACGATTTTGCCCTTTCCGTCACGACCACATAGCCCTCTGAGGGCTGGTCCTCCTGAGTAACAGTAAGTGCACATCTTCAGCTCCGAATCGAGCGCTCTGCACGGCTTGGCACAGGCGCTTTTGTTGCAACGCAGGCATTGGTCGCTTCGGCCTCGGCAACACACCACGCTGGACCTTCAAGGGATGATATTACCCCGATGGGCGGACATAAACACCTCTGCTCTCTTCTCTTCTCCTTGCTTAGCTCTCGTGTACAATTGAGCGGCGGGAGCAAGACGCAGCTCGTCGCAAGGCAGCTGTGCTAAAAAAGCGACAGACATTTGTTGATATCTACATCGGATACTGATTCGGTCCATGCGAGAACGGTGCTGCCGCGGCCCGCTGGCAGACGAAGCTTTCGGAAGTCAAGATGCTAGTCATTGCCCCTGTGCGTGCCGCTGACATTCTTTTCCACCTTTCTGCGTGCTCGCTGCTTTTAGATGATGTGATGAAACAAAAGTGCCTTTCCCACACTCCGAGCGCAATGACTTTGAGCAGTGTGACAGTGAATGTGGCTGGCTGAGTGAACGTTCTTCTGTCGGCTGTCCGCTGTGAGAACATCGTCCTTGTTCGAAGATGTTCGCAAGCTGTCACACCCTGGTCGACACTCCCGCGATGCTTTCGAGACCAGTTCCGAGCCTGTGGATCAGCGAGACGCGCTTCTTCGCGTCCCCCAGCTTCTCGGAAGACGGGAGAGCGTGCGGTCAGGGTCCTGTGTGTTTGTCCTTAGGCTGGAGTCCCACACTCCTTCCCACCGCATCGTTTCAACTCAACACGACCAAGCCGGCATCTCCGACCTTCAAGATGAGCGCATCGGCGGTTCCGAACGATGCAGCTCTGCCGCCATCGAGCGCGGCCGATGTCGCGTCGGCCATGCCGACACACATTGATGCGGCGACGTCGGCGCCGGTGGATCAGGCACCCGGCGAAGACGCGAGTCTTCCCCCGGCCGTCACCGGATTGACGCCCGAACAGGTGTTGCAGGAGCTCAGAAACAGTGGTTATATCGACCAGCTCCGTCGTCAGATGATTGAGGCCTTCAATGCCACTGGGCCTGCCCCGGCACGTCCACCCAATGCAGCCTCATCTTCCGCAGCACCTCAACCAGCCTCTGCAGATGCTGGCAAGCCGGACGATGTCCAGCCCGCATCGATCAGCGCTGCGCAGTCAGAACTAGCCTCCGCGCCCATCGCTTCGACTTCGACAGCACCACCTTCGTCCTCGATGCCGGCGCCCTCTGCAGCAGGTCTGCCTTCTGCATCCAAGACCGGACTGGATCTTGGCTCGAAAGCCGCATTCCTGGCGACCCTCTCCGAGCCGCTGAAGCAGCAGGTGGAGAAGGAGCACCACCGGCTGCGCTTCCTCGCGCCGCGCGAGCAGCAGGATAAGCTGCTCCAGCTGCTCGAATCCGAACCTGTCGCGCACCCGCAGCGCGAGTCGCACGGCGAAGCCTCGCTCTTTGACCTGCTTGTCCGCCACATCGTCGCCGACGCCACTGCACCCGACGCCACCGCAGGCGTGCTCAGTCCCAACGGCCGTCTCGGTAGACAGGCAGCAGGCAGGATCGCAGAGACCATCGCAGAGCTTCTTCACCCGGCAAGCAAGGATGCCGACGAAGTTGACGACGATGAAGAGGACGCTGACGATGATGGCGACGATGAAGACGACGCCGAGCAGATCGGCATGCTCACCAGCAAACCATCCGAACCCACATCCTCTGTTGCAGCTATATCGGATGCGACACCACAGGCAGCACACGATTCAAGTTGAAACCACGGTTACCATTCCCATCACACTGCAGCTTTTCGATTATCCTCCCATGACGAGGGTGTAAGCTCTACAGGATCCAGCGAAAGAGCGACCAGCCTCGATCGACTTTCACGCGCGGCTGACACACGCCGTCGCAGATCGACGACGTGAGTAGCTGGAGGCACGTCGAGCCAAGCGACTCCACCAGCTGCACATCGAGCTGGTTGCCCGCACTCAGGCCGAGCGAAGCCATATCCGCCGGGCCCAGCGACATCTCGAGCCCCTCGGCGACGCGCGAGATGAGCAGCGCCGATACGTCGGCCTCTTCGCTCAGACTCGCGTCGTCCTCCTGCTCGATCTGCGCCAGACGGTCCTCGAGGATATCGAGCAGGCCCGACACCAGCGCCGCGGTCCAATGCGACCACACCATCCAGAGCGAATCGGACAGGATCGAGTGGAAGCGGTCCTGCTCGTCGCTGTACCACGCGCCCAGCTCGTGCTGCCCCTCGCTGCCGCCCACCGAGCGCGCGTACGCGCTGCGGTCCGTGCTGCGTCGACGCAACGACGCATGCGACATCGACAGTCGGTCCGACTCGGCCACGCCCGGCCCGCGCACGGGACTCGCACCCACCGCCGCCAGCAGCGGATCGGGCGGGATGAGATGGTGCGCGTGGCCTCGATGCAGTTCCAGCTCCTCCGTGTCCGACGAGCTGTTCGTGCCCGTCTGTTGATCCTCCGCCATTACCGCTGCCACGCGCCAGCGCGCCGCAACGTGCTCGCCCGCATCTTCCGCTCCGCCGACCGGCTCGGCTTCCAAAGCACTGCGGCGCTCCTCTTCCGCCTCGTCCTCCGCGGCGATCTCGCGGTCTTCCTCGTCGTCCAGGTCTTCGTCGTCGCTCTCGTCTTCGGGCATGACCAGGATGCTGGCACGCACGCCTCCGTCTCCTCGGATACCCAGCGGCAGCACGTATGCAGCCGGCAGGCCGTACCGCCAGTGTCGCGGGAGGAACCACCATCCGGTCAGCCAGTATCGTAAGAAGGCAAGCGCAGCGCTCAACGTACCAGCGCCGCTGCGGCGTGGCGAGCAACCACCCCGCCACTGCGACACCGAATCAGCCTGCGCATGCGTATACTCGATATCGCGCGACGAGCGTTCCTGCGCCTCCTCGGAGCGGTACGAGCTGGATCGCAGCAGCTTGTTCCTCGACCTGCGCCGGCTAATGCACGCAGCAGCGCCAAGGCGTTCCGCCCGCTCGGCATTGCGCTGCGCCTGTGCGTCGAGCTCGTTGAATGTGGCGAACTCTCGTGTGGTCCAGCTTTCAGCCTTGAGCTGCGCGCCGCCGCCGCGTTTGCGAGATTCCGTCGCCGGAGGTCGGACTACGGTAAAGAGTCGCGCGCCGGTCGACGAGGCTTCCATCAGAGCCTCGTCCAGCACGCCGCGCGAGTCGCGTGTGATCAGAGGAGTCAGATCGAGCACGCTGTCGAACAGATGCGGCTTCTCGAGCAGGATCTTGTCGGTGGACCAGGCGATCCAGCTGCGCTGCGGTAGCATGTCATGGCTCTTTGCGCGCTGTTGTTGTTCCTGCTCTAGCTCCGGAATGTCATGTACGCCGATCTGCCCACGAACGTCGATGATGCCACGCTGCGCGAGCGCAAGCAAGTTCTCGTGGCGCCTGCCTGACCTGCCTACCGCGAGCGCTACAAGATCGGCGAGGTTGTACCCGAGGTGGGCGGCATTGACGATGGGTGGGGCTGGTGAGAAGATGAGCAATCGGTGGCGTGGGAGCATGAGTTTCTTGAGCAGGTGGGGGAGCAGGGCGCCCAGCGAGCCGCACAGCGCAGGCATGTGTGAGATCGGATCGTGTGGGAGGTTGCGTGGGTCACGACGCCTTCGCATGCGCAGCTGCTTCATGCGTTTGCCGTCGAGCGTGACGTCTGCCGCGGCGCTGCGGGCACGGTGGGTGTCGTAGTATGAACGAAGAGGGCGGACATCTTCGGAATCATGAGCGAGTTCCTCTGCCAGCTTCTTGAGGTTCGAGACGTGCGGAACGATAGCCAGTTGCTGAGCCAGACCGGAGGGATGCTGGTCTGTCGGTCCTTCACACTGGAGGATCAAGCCAGCACTGACCATCCGCGCTCCCCTCTGCGCTGCTGCATCTGCATCCTCGTTGTCGAGATCGACTTTACGAAAGCATGCCACGCCGATGCTTCCTGGGCGTGAGGTCTGGAAGTAGATGACGTCCTCGTTGATCAAATGTCCGCCACTGGGAAGCACCTTCCACTCGACGCCCGAAAGGTCAACACCGGAAATTTCGTCGTCTGCATCGCCTTTCTGCGCTGTGCCATCCGTGACATCGACGAGGACCTCGTCGGTACGGCTTTGCTTCGGAGCGGGCGGGTATTGGTACTCGATCTGATTGCCGTGTCGGACGTGGAAGCGGGCGAGGAAGACGGTAAGGACGTTGGATGGAAGCAGCGAAAGTTTGGGCGCAGAGCTAGGACCTGGCTCGCTATCGGGACCTTTCATCGTGTCGGTATAAAGACCCTGTCCTCTGCAGGAGCTTTGGTGCTGAGATGATGCTGTTGCCGCAAGAGGAAGCCCTGGCCAAGATGATGGACGGAGGAAGCGTGCTTTTGTCAGGGTCCTTCCTGAACGAATTCTTTCGTTCAGAGCGGGAGCCGCTGGTCTGAGCGCACGCATTCCTGTGAAATTGCGAAATCTCTAAAACGAAGCGCGTGTCTTGGCATGCAGCAGGGCCAAGACCAACTCATCGTCGCCATTCGGGGCCACCGACCCACCAAAACGCCCATCACAAAGCTCTATGCTTAACAAGACAGTAGTGACTATGGTCACGCTGCTGCTTGCAGCGTGCTTGCAGCGTGCTTGCAGCGTGCTTGCAGCGTGCTTGCAGCGTGCTTGCAGCGTGCTTGCAGCATGAAATGTGGATCTATAGAGGCTGAATTTTTCGTCGTCTAGGTCGTGACCATGTTCGAAAAGTACAAAGAATGGATCGGCTCGTGTGTGGCGCAGATTGCTGGATCTCAGCGCTGCTGTTCCAGGTTTTCTGCGAATGGTTTGGCAGCCTAGAACATCTTGTTCATGACCGAGAGAGACACCTCGACACCGAGCTGTTTGCGGGACGGACGAGACGCGAAGAAACAAGAGAGACGTAGTCAAAGGGGTTAGCGGCAGTTCTTTTGGGTGCTGCGGGCATCGTGAGCGGTCGCTACTTACGAAGGTGGCTGCGTTGGCGGGGAAGGCACGGGCCATGGCGGGGCCGAAGCCCTTGAAGAGCGCCTTGACACCGTCCTGGGCGACGGTCTTGCGTGCGCAGTCGAGGAAGCCCGAGTAGGTGCCGTGAGGAGCGCCCTGGTAGCGCGACTTGATGACATCGGGAGGGATGGCGAGTGCCCACATGGCCATACCGGCGAGACCACCGGCGGTGAGCACGTTGAGGAAGTTGAGCTGCTGAGGGTCCTGGCCGGCAGGCGTGAGCATGCGCTTCGAGACCTCGTATGCGCAGAAGTAGGCGGCGCTACCGGGACCGTCTCGTGCAAGCGTGGCGCCGGTGCCGCGGAAGATGGACTTGAGACCGCCCTCCTTGTAGAGCTGACGGACGACATCGACAGGACCGTTGTAGGTGGGGCCAGTGCTGCCGCTCTGGCCTTGGAGCTGGAGGAGCACCTTGACTCGCTCGGCGGGGCCTGCCACCAGCGTGGTGGGGACGGCACTGAAGAAACCAGCAAAGGCAAGCTCGCCTGTCGAAAGCTTGGGATCTGTGCGACCAGGGGTCATCGCGTAGACGAGCTTCTTGCCCATGTCGTACGACCAGAAGGAGAGCGCAAAGATGGGAGTAACTCCGACCAGGGGTGGGCCCATACCACGGTACATTCTGTCGAGATACACAGTCACAGAAAAGCGGGGGAAAGTCAGCTTCTCGTCCCATCAGCGTGCGTCGAAATGCGACTCGATTGCAGACAAATACTTACCCCTTGATGCCATCGGCCTTGATGGTCTTTCGGACGACATCGAGGCCTCCTGTGTAGGTGCCGTTGGCGGCCGTTTGCAGACGAGTCTTGGTGAGATCGAAGGGGTGTCCGACAAGCACGGAGCAGACACCACCGAAACCACCGGAGAGGAAGGACTTGACGGACGAGGTGGCCTGCTTCTTCTGCTCGAACTCCTCGTCCTTGATGGCTGCTGTGGTCTGATCGTCAGCCATTGTGGCTATGTGATGTTATGCGGGTAGTGGGTGAACGTGCACGCAAGCTTGATCGTAATAGTTTTGCAGACAGCTTTGCTCCAGAATGCGGGATCGATGGCGATCAGAGGAGGAAGAGCTTTTGCGGACAGGCTTGACGGTGATGGTGACTGGTGAAGAAGGGGGGGAGAAAGGATGCGGAGAGGGTTGCTTGCGTTGTTGGCTCGACGACCCCGGACCAGAAATCCGCTGAAAAGCCGGCATGAGAGGATGCATTTCGCTTGCGAGCCTCGTCAGTCATCTCTGTGCCCCGGCCAAGCTGCTTTGCGCTGTGTGTGCGTTTCAGCTTGAATCGAGCTCGGCCAATTTCTGGGCTCGAGGCGGCGGCGGGAGATCCCACCGGATGACCCGGTTCAGCCGAGCGCGCTCTGCTCTCCAGGCGGGGCAGTGCGATTCTTCCAATTTGCTCGGTTCCCCCCGCCGAATCTCGCCCGGGAGTCGCTGCTCTTTTTGTTTTTCTCCGCATGCCACGCGCACGAGTTGCGCCCTTCTGCCCTTGCCTAGAGCCGCAAAGTCTCCGCACCGCTGTGGTCACCGTGTATTCCTCGATTCCCCCGTAGAATCCGCGCTTGCTTGACTCTGTGCCGACTATTTCCGAGCTCCTCCGTCTAGTCGCACTGTAGGTCACCCATGTCCATACTGCGTCTTGGCGCCCCTGACAGTCGAAAGGGAAAGTGAAAAAGGCGGAGCCCCTTAGCAAAACCTTGCTTGCATCGATGCTCGAAGTTGTCTCACCGGCACAGGAAAGCGTGAAATGCCGGATGCTGGGTTGGGCGGTGGGAGGCACATATTCGCACGACGAGCTGCATGCGAGCGTCACCATCTCACGGCCAATCAAAAATCACAGCCATCCAACTCGCACCTGGCGCGTGAAATTGCGGCTCAACTGAGACCATCGGGCAAGGTGCTCATATCCTCAGCCCGATCTTGTCACCGCCGATCCAATCTTGAAAAGGCGAGGAGAGCTCCCTCTTCCTTCCTTGTCGTCGGGAGCAACAGCTGCACTCGATAGTGGATGAGTGACGTGTGCGATACAAGTACATGGTGCAATATGCTAGATGCCGAGCGTGAGGGGTGGTATACATATGCCAGATCCTATGCGGATGTTTGCGATCAATCGCAGCTGCCGTCCGCGGGACCGTCGAGCCACCTTTCGGCGAGCTTGGCTTCGGTGCATGGGAAAGCAGGCTTGCCAAGACGCTGGTTGACTTCGTTGTGGATGCCACACAGCCATTTGCGCAGTGCCGGGCCCGAGCGCACCGCCTCCGACAGCCGCAAGCTGCGGTCTTCCCAGCCACCTTCCTTTTCCTCGCGCTTGTACTCTTCGCCCAGAGCTTCTGCACACGAGTGGCACGGATAGATGTGAGGGAGCGCGCGGAACACAGCGAGCATCGATGTCTGCTGCTGAGCGGACGGATCTTCGGGAAAGTAGGCCGCGGCCGAGTGCAAGAAACTCCAGGCAGACCGACCCAGCTCCTCGCCGTCCGGAGGGCAAGCTCGATCTTTTGGGGCGTCGGAGCTGGTGCTCAACGCAGACGTTGCGAGTGCAGCACCAGCTCCGGCCTTGACCGCTCCCGACGATGTGCCAGTCTTTGTGCTAGATGGTTGCTTCGCTCCCTTCATGGCAGCGGCGAAGGCAAGCTTCGAGTTGCAAGCGCGGCAAGGCTTGCCATCCGGACCAAGCACCACCGGTGGCTGCTTTCGAGACGATTGCACGTTTTCCGCTGTAATTCCCTTGCTCTTCTCCTGCTCGGCATCGCGAGGTGAAAGCCCCTCGGCCTCGATCGATCGGTAGTTGGCAGGCGCCACACCCCACTCTGCGACGCCATCGGGACGTTCGATCCTCTTGGGCTCCCATTCGTCCAGCTCATCCTGCTTGGATTGCAGTTTCTGACGACCAAAGTGGAAAGCAAAAGGGCGAGGAACAATGGTGTCAGGAGCAAGTTGCCGAAACCTGTGACGTGCACTGCACAGAGGCGGGCCAGGGCACTTACAAAGTACTCTTCGCGAATGTCGATCCTCTTGCGGTCCTTCTTCATGCGCAGCTCTTCCTCCTTGGATATCGTCTGCACCTTGGTTGCATTGTAGTCGTAGCGGGTCTGGGTCAAGTTGGCCAGGCCAAAGCTCGCACCGACGATGGTGGCAATAAACGGGATTCCAAAGAAGAGCAGAGGTCTCCGACGCACTTGCGGAGCGAGCCTCGCCACGAATGAGCTGGACTTGCGCAATGGCTTCGACTCGAATGTCGGCATCTTGAAATGAACAGCGCCGTCGACGACTCGCAGTGTCGCTGAGGGTCGGTGCCGTTGATGCAGTCGAAGATGATGACAGTTGCTGGTGGTGGTGGCGTCGGAAGGATGCGCAGCAATTCGCCTCGTTGCCGGCCTTGGGGTGGGGTTTGCCTTTGTGGAAATGCTCCGAAAAAAAAGAAAGCCCAAAAAAGGTTGGCCGACAAAAGTGGAGAGGCTCAGGGTGCCGCTGCTGGATCCGCGGATGTGGTGACAGCTGCAGCTCGGCTCTTTGCGCGGATGAACGTGGACACCCTCTGCGTCGTGGACGTCCACCACTAGCCCGACCGACTGCCTTGCTCAACGCAGCCACAGTGTAAAAATCGTCGACGCAGCGGACACTCGGCGAACATGGAGACGGAACGGAGGTGATGCCTGTCTTGACCACGCTGCGCCAGAGCCCGACATACCTCTATGTCAAGGTCTACTGCGTCTGTGCCCTTGTGACACTGTTCCAGGCGGCTCCCGTGACGTCTCGTATCCCGCGCATCGGGCAGAAGCTCCAACTCAATCAGTATCGAATCATACGTACGAGGCTTGGACCGCGCATCGTTCCGGTAGAAGAAGCTAGCTCCCTTCCGGTTGCCGCAATCGCAGCTCAGCAAGATGCAAGCAGCATCTCGGCCAACGAGCTGGTCATTTCCAGCGACGTACTCGGATCGACCGAACCGGAGTCTCTGGCCAATAAGCTTTTGAAGCGATGGTCACAACGTGCCAGGGATCTCGCTCACGTCAAGCAGCTCCTGCGTGCAGATGGCGAGGACGTAAAGGCGTACCCCGAGCTCGACTGGGATGCCACCGTTAGGCGGTCCTCGGCCCTTCACCCCGAAGAGGCCAGATTTCTGGCCAAACGCCAGCAGCGGATTTCGTCACAGGGAGAGGATAGCCTGAAGCACTTGCTCGGACTTCCCGAGAGCGAAGATGTGCATCCTCTCGACGTGCCCCTGGTGGCCTTGGGTGGCTCAGGCGGCGGGTACCGCGCCATGTATGGCTTTGCCGGCTTCATCGCTGCAGCCAAACGAGCGGGCCTGTGGGACTGCCTCTCGTGGGCCGGAGGTGTAAGTGGAAGCTGCTGGACTCTGGCCGCCTACTACACCATCGCCTACCAAAATGCAGACCGGCTGGTGCGCCACTATCTGACGGTGGCTAGCGAGCTTGCGCACCCGATGAGCGTGCACGCACTCGACACCGTGGCGCGCAGCAGTCGTGGCGTGTACTTTCTGCTCGGCCCGCTGATCCGCAAAGCTCAGGCTGGAATCGTTGGTCTCGGCATCATGGACCTGTATGCCACACTCACCACGACCTACCAGTTCCTCTCTCGGGAACCGCGCGCACGGCTGAGCCGAGCCAGCTTCCAGTTCTCCAGAGTCTGGTCGCGCTCTGGCGTCAGCACGGCCGCCGAGCCGATGCCCATATTCACGGCTGTCCGTGTGGCGCCTCAAGATGCGCCAGGCGTTCGTCCGCACACCGACTCTTCGCTCAGCAAGGGCCAGCCTCCGAAGCGCGCGCTCACCCAGCACCAGTCGGCGGCTTCCCAGGCGCTTGCTGACAATCAGACACATAGGCCATCGCCGGAGCCTCCGCGTGATGTTGGAGCGCAAGCATCAACGGACGACCGTACCGATGTCTATGCGCTTCCTGCGGCAAAGGGTTACTTCCAGTGGTTTGAGGCGACTCCGCTCGAGGTCGGAAGTGCCGATGCGCAGGGCTACATCCCGACGTGGGCGTGGGGACGGCCATTTGTCTCGGGTCGTTCGCTCGAACGCAGGCCCGAAGAGTCGCTCTCGCTCCTGCTGGGTCAGTGCACCAGTGCGCCCGCCGGACCACTGACAGGCTACATCTCAGCGCTGCTGGCGTCTTTGCCAAAGGGCACGCTCATGTCGCGACTGCTGCACTTTCTCAACAACTTTGTCCGCATGAAGCGGTGGGAGCGCCGCTGGGGCAATCCCATCCGCGCCGGCGACGAACCGAACCCTTTCTACGGCCTCAACGTTGCCCCCGTCCCCAAAGCGCTGGAGAGCAACATCCAGCGGCCCCGGATCATCGGCATTGGAATCGACATTCTGCATCTGCCTCGGCTCGAGGCGCTCTTGCGCAGGCGGCAGACACATCAACGTCTCCCCAAATCCTTGACTGCAACGGAGGCAGACGCTGAATCGACCGCCATGCACAGACTAGCCAAACGCATACTGTGCGAGTCCGAAATGGACGAATACGAGCAGCTGGCGCGGCAGGAGCGCGAAGCGGCCGAAGTCGTCCCACAACTCCGGAGGTACCTTTCCGTGCGATGGGCCGCCAAGGAGGCGGCCTACAAGGCTCTCTACCCGCGCTTCGTGCTTTCTTGGAAGGACCTGTGCGTGCACAAGCCTGGTTCGGCCCGCACGACGTCGGGACCTATCGATGCGGTCGACCTATCGCGCCTCGAACAGCAGGGTTTCCGCACCAGGAAGCCCGAGCTCACGCTTTCCGACGAGTGGCGCTCCAAGCATCCCGGTGTGACTGCTGTTCCACACTTGCATCTCAGCCTGTCGCATGACGGCGAATACGTCGTCGCCAATGTGCTCGCTGAGGAAGCTGGCGGCTCGAATGACGCCCAGACAATACGTCCGGCGAGCATTTTTCCGCGCAAAGACGTCGACGAGTGGCGTGATCTTCAAGTGAGGCTTCCCGCATCTTCGGCGAGCGGATCTGCGGATCTGGACCACCTCGAGGACGGCGCAGCGGAGGAATTGGGGATGGCCCCCTCCGCTATCGCCGACTGCCGCGACGCAGAGGTGAAGCCTGAGACCTCGGACGCATTTGCGTCGTGGGAGTCACAGGGACGCATTCGGCTCATGGACGCCGGCATGTCGAACAATCTGCCGAACCACATCCTTGCGCGACGCGAGCGCGGCGCGGACATCATCATCGCCTTCGACGCCTCGTCGGACGTGCAGGCGGGCTCGGCGATGCGGCGCATCCACAACTTTGCCGACGACTGCAACGTGGTGCTCACCGACGAGACGCACCAGTTCGATCGCACCGTGCCCGCATCTCTTCAAGGCGAGACTGCTCGTGCGCTCGAGGCGCGCTTCATCGAGCAGTACGCACGCGTCCTGCGCGGCACGCGCAGCGACAGTTCGGCCTTCTGGCTGGTCTACTGTCCTCTACTTCCGAACCCGACCAATCCCGGCTACGACCCGAGTACAGCGCCGTTCAGCAACTCGTACAACCTCGTCTGGACACCCGCCCAGGTCGAGACGCTGCTCAAGACCGCACAGGCCAATGTGGAGCTGTATGCGCTCGAGCGCATCAAGCAGGTCATGCGACGCGTGTACCACGACAAGAAAGCCGCCCGCCTCGCAGCCGCCGCTTCCCAACAAACTGCATAAACGGTAAAAAAGATTAGATGGTGCAAATTACGTGTGTGTGCGAAGCCAAGAGTCCACCCAGTCTGAGCCGCGAGAGGATTCAGGCTGAGGAGGCGTGTTGGTGAGGTGGCTCCATAGGCTTTCGAGGCGGCGAATTGCCTTCTGCCGGTTCTGCTCGCTCTTGGCATCGTCTGCTGGCTGTGTTGCCTGTTCGATCGTCTCTCTCAGCAGAGGTGATTGGCCATACACATCGTCGAGGTACGTGGATGCGCCAAAGTATCGGGTGATCTTGCGAACCACCGCGATGCCGCGCTCCTGGTCGTGTGTCTGCGTTTCCGTCACATCGGACGATTCGGGTCGACCGTTGAGGATGCTTGCAAGTGCAGCTTCTGCCGTTGGCGCATAGACGCCCTCTTGCGCGGACGGGTTGTCGGGACGTGGAACTGCGAGCTCTTGACGCCCTTGCTCCGATGCTTGCGCCTCGGCCAGAGACAGATGCATCGCCGCTTGCTCCCGGCTGAACCCGCTGTTGGACAGCGACGGCGCGCGGTACGACGCATCGAAGCGCGCCAGCACTTCGGCAGAAAGCGCACTCGTTGGGTCTTGCGCAGCGACAGCACTGTTGCGAATCGGTTGGGTGGGAGCTTGCTCCTCGCTGTCGAGAAGTGCAAAGATATCGTCACTCTGCGCAAGTGGAGCCGCCGTGGCTGGGAACGAGCCAAGCCGGGAAGCACTCTGAGCCTGTCCAGCCGAGCTGGAGCTCTCTGCGTACGCCTGACGTACCGATGCATGCATAGGGGCATCCAGCTCCGTGTACGATCGTATCGACCCTGCCGTGCTTGGATCCATCCCTGTGCCGCGCCATCCGCCCGCCTGCGATGCTCCCGCATTGGTATTTTGCGCCCAAGCCTGTTGAAGTGCCGCATCTTCGCCCGTTAGCCCTGCGCGCAGTGCGCTTTGATCGAGCGTAAATCCACGCTCAAACTCCTCAAACATGTGTTCCGTCTCCGCTCCGTCCGCGCGCGCGCCCTGCGATGTTGACCTAAAACTTGGCTTTGCTGGTGCGCTTGTGATTGATCCTGCTGAGCTTGTGTTCGCACCGGCGCGAAGATCACTTACAAGCCACTCGCGCAGATCCGCGTTGCCGGATCCGCCTTGTGCGAACTCGGCTTTGCCTCCGGAAGCCGACTGCATGAGCGATCCGAGCTGCGACGATGCCATGCTACTGCGCAGCGCCGATGCGAGCGAAAGCGCCGCACTCGACACACCGTCTCCCGGGCCTGAGCTGGCGCGAGTCTCATTCGACCGCGCTGTGTTGCCCTCTTGTGCAGGAGCCTTGCCCTTGCCCTTCTGATCGTCTGCCATTCTTGATGAGCTCAGAAAGCGGTGATGGTGGAAGACCAGCAGTCCTAAGCGCCGCTTTCTCCACACTTTGCATCTCGTGAAAGCCGCCGCGCGAATTCCGAGTCCCGGACGCGTCGCCTCCAACCAACTCCACACCCACCAATCCTGCGCACAATCGACCTCGACCTCGGCGCCAGACGATAAAAGAAGGAACGAGACATTGATTCGAAATACAGAGTGATGAGACGAGAGGTCGTGCGGCAGATGCAAGGAGTGTCGAGCTCGACTGGGGTCGAGTGAAGATGCTGTAATCATGATGGTGGAACGGATGCGCATCGAGGACGGGGGCCGAGATACAGCGCTTTGTAGGGGTATCTAGATACGTGCGAATGGAGTGATCGGTCGGAGTGAAGGATGAGGTGCTTGGAACGTCGGCACAAAAAGAAAAGGGAAAAATGAAGCGGGACTGGAGGGACATGGTGGACATCGGTCAAAAGTTGAGGATCTGCTTGGAATCCATGGGGAGTTCGGCCATCTTGCAGCCGAGGTGGCACTCGAGCGTGCGGAGCATCTCGACGTCGCCACGCGGGCCGCCCGAGGCAGTGACCACATTGACGCACACGCTCGGCCTTGCGAGCGATCCGGCGGCAGCACAGCTGATCTTCTCCTTGTACTCCTCGACAGAGCGGGGCATGTCGTAGAAGAGGATGAGCGGGATCTGGTGGACCTCCTTTGGATTCACCGCGAGATCGCACACCACCAGCGCCTTGCGCGTCCTGCTTCCCGCAGCCACACCCACAAAGCCGCCCGGCTGGGCAAATGTAGCGCTGCCGATCATGGTGTGTGTGCCAAACTGCGACGAGGGCGAACGGAACTTGGCGAGCGTCTGCTGGCGCGTGTACGTGTTCATCTCGCGGTTCAGTCCCAGCGCCTCGATTCCCTTGGACGAGAGCTTGTAGATGAGCGCCTCCTGGATCGCGATGTTGGCGCAGTAGATCACCGTCTGGCCAAAGTCGATGTCTTCCAGCAGATCCGAGATAAGGTCGAGTTTCATCTCGCCCGCGGGGTTGTGAGTGAGGCCTGGGATCGGACTGGTGGCGCCCATGCCGCCGCCGTTGGACGTGACGGCCACGTACAGGTAGTACTGTCGCAGCCCCTTAAGGGCGGCAAGCAGAGGGTCTTTCGATGCGCTCATGCTCGAGTTGACGGGATGAGCACCGAGCGCGTTGGACGGCTGCGACACATCCCGCTGAGGGCCTGGCGCTTGCATTCCCGAGCCGAGATTGCTCTGAGCGTTGACGTTGGAGCCGCTGGAAGGTGCCTGCAGGATACTGCTGCCCGCACCGCCGGCACCGTCGCGTCGGACGAGCACACGCACCGACTCTCGCAGGTGGATCGACTGCGCAAAGTTGAGCACATCCTGCGGAACGGTATTGGAGAAAAGCGCAACTTGGCGGTCCATCGTCGAGGGACCACTGGCTGAGCCGCCGAAACTGTCCGTCGCCTGCTCGAATGGCGATGAAGCGCCGTTCGGAGCGCCCTGAGGCAGACCAGGGCTGAGCGCGCCAGCCATCCTGGCGTCACCGACCAGGCCAGCGGGCGCAGAAGGCAGAGGCAAGACGCGAAGCATGGTGCTGACGTGATCAGCCAGGTTTCTGGCGATGAGCTGATCGACTTCGTCCAGCACGACGAGCCGCACCTCGCTCGGCCTCATCGCGGAGGCGGCTGGTCCGCTGCCATGGACGTTGAGGGAGGAGGCATTGCTAGTCATGTAGGTGAAGAGCTCGCTCATCTTCTGCGGAGTTCCGACCACGAGGTGCGGCCAAGCTTGGATGAGGTATTGAGCCTCCTGGTGCACGTCGATACTGTTGGCGGCGACCATGTGCACGCGGATGCCCAGCGGTGCGCCCAGTCCAAGAGCCATGCGCTGAGCTTGGGTAGCCTGGTCCACCGTGGTGGAAACAATGAGCGCAACAGGACCGCGGTTCGAAGCCGTCTGTCCGGGACCGCCGGTCTCGTTGAGCACGTTGAGGACAAGCTGCAGGGAAGGAATCACGTACGACGCGATGCGTTCCTGGGTCGGGGGAGCCTGTGCGATGATGTCGCTGCCGCGCAAGAGGAAAGGCAGAGCGCGCTGCTGAATCTTGTTCGGAGGGCCCAAGCCATACTTGAGGATGGAGCGGAGCAAGTCTGGATGCAGGTTCAAGTGCTCCCACTTGGACACGATAGCGTTGGGCTGGACGTGGCCGGTGCCGGTCTGCAACGTGCCATTGGCGCTTGTGCCGTCATCAAGACCAGGCGCTGACGTGACACCAAGGGTGCTCACGCCAGATTGCTCCTTGCGAGAATTGGCGGGCGGCTTTGCCTGGTTCCATCGACGGTCGGGGCCAGGGTCCTGTCCATTGCGACTGTTGGGCGCATTCCAATTGCGACCATTGCCGCCAGGACGGGGACTCAGTGCACCCGACTGCGGGAACGAGCCGTTCGGACCCATGCCAAATTGGCCACCGCCGTTCGCTCCGATGCGTGGGGAGGTGGCACGCTCCATACCGCCCGGAGCGCCCATCTGTGGAGTGCCGAGCAAGCCGCTAGCGGGGCCGAGACCCAGGCCGGTGGGTGTAGGGGCCCTGCCGATATTGGCACCGCCGATGCCACCACCCTGCAGGGTGAGCAGGTGCGCCACGCTGTTTGCCAAAGCGCTAACCTGTGCGTTGAGGGCACGCACCTCGTCCGAGCTGTTGGCGACGGCAGGCGCGCCTCCGTGAGCCGCGCTGCCTCCGCTGCCGGACAGGCTCGCTGGTGGCAATGCCTTTGTTCGCTCGAGGAGGAGCGACACGTTTCGGGAGATGCCGGAGATTTGGCGCGAAAAGTCCTTCATACCACTCTCGACGCGCGTAAGCCGTTCGAGCATCTCTTTGATGAGTGGCGACTCGGCGAGCGCATCATCAGCGGGCGCAGAGTGCCTGTCGAAGATGTTGCCGACGGAAACGGAACGATTGGGCGAAGGGCTAGGAAAGCCAGAGCCGGACAGGGGGCTGCCGATGGGCGAGTGGACACCTGAAGCACCTGCACTGCCAATCGTGGCAGCCGTGGGCGACAGAAGACCGCCGGAAAGATTCATGTAGTTGGGCACTACCAAATTGGGCGTTGCACGCCCAGGTCCAGCATGGCGGTCCGAACGCGAGCTACGCCCTCCGGCGTTGGGCAGAGATGCGGCAGTCAGCGAGTCATTTGCAGATGGGTTTGGAGCGTTGAAAGGGGCTGCACCGTAGGTCGCCGACACGGAGCGCTTGCCGGCCACCGCTGAGACAAAGGCAGGATCCATATCATCGGTTTGGTTGGGAAGACGGTCGCGACGATCGCCGTGGCTGCTGGCGGGTCGCGAGGACTGAGCATCAGCAGCATCGCGGGTGAACGCCCTATTGGACTCGAAGGATTTGTCGTGGCTCGCTGGATGCATCCACGAGTTGGGACGAGGCCTGCCAAGGTTGAAGCCGGAGCCAACGTGACTGGAGGTTGAGGGAGATCGGCTGAAAGATGCCGATGCAGGATCAAAGGCGTGCTGGGCGTCTACAAAGAGGCGAGGGGTGCCAAACTCGGACTCGGAGCCAGTATGACGGCCGGAGTCGTGCAAGTGAGCGTTGCCGTTGTCCTGAATGGAAGGTGACTGGAGAGGGTTGAGGCCGCGTTGCTGCGGGTGCAGAGCGTTGTTGGGGTAGTCGCGAGATTGCATGGGGAGTGGAGAGCTCGAATTGGCGGTGCGGAAGCTCTGTACGGAAGCCGCCAGGCTGTTTGAGCGGCTCACATCGACGTGCTTTGCGCCTCGGAGGGAGCCGGTGGTGGCGGCGGTGCGAGCACCTCCGATGACGCCCGGCTTGGCTGCGGCATTGACGATGGCCGAGTCCGCCGACCGCGCACCCTCGTCAGCGCTCTTGACCGAGACGGCCGAATTGCTTCGGGCTGGTCCGACAGGCTTTGAGGGCAGAGGATGTGCTCCCGCACGCATCACCTCGGCGCGGTCGCTGGCCGAGAGCTCGTGTCCGCTGGCATCGATGCCGGCCTTGTTCGCACCGGCGGAGGTTCCGAGGATGGACTGAGCGTCGCGCTCTTGCTTGGCCGAAGATGCATTGGTGGACCAGATGCTGTTGCCCGGGATCAGCGGGGACACCGACATCTTGAGCAGACGATCAGCGGCTTCCCTCCAATGCCTCGCCTAAGGATGTCAAAGCTCGGGCGCAGACTTGACGCGAGCAATTGCCAGAGTGGTCCAAATGAGAGCCCGACGGAGAACGGTGAGGACCCGAGGCCTGCAGCGAGTTGTGCCTAGCTATCGAGTCAAACAGCTTCCGTAACAGCCCTGGCGGTAGCTTTTGCGAGAGGTTAGCAGTGCCAAGGTCGTCACAGAGCGTCGAGGAAGAGTGAAGGAACCAAGAGGATGAGAATGTGCTGGTCGGCTGGCGAACGGCAACTGACTTTGGCAGCTTTGCATGCTCGCTAAGGTGAAGCTTGGCTGCTGCTGTAGCTCGGCGGGCGGCCGAAAGGGGTCCAGCTCGACCGAAGGCAACAGCGAGTCGTCGAAAGTCGAGCCGAAAAATTGGGCGGCTCGAGCAGAGAAATTCTTGCCGCACGCGCACGGCACAGCACGTCCAAAGCACTGCACGTCTGCCAAGCTCGGACACGTCGGCGCATCCAGCAGCAGAGTCCAACACCTCTCTCACTCAGCCAACTGCGAGGTTGAATTCGCCCCATTTCGACACCGCCGTGTGCTGCTGCGAAATTTCCCCTCTCCGCTCGTTTCAGGGGTCCAAAGCGCACGGGCGGCAGCAGCAGCTCCACCGAGTTCAAGCCGAGCCCCGACTCGGGCTCGGGCCGTGGCGGACTCGAGCGCATTTCACCCTCGATCCAACGTGCTCACATTCGATCGCATGCTACTTGCATCGGTGGGGTCTTGACCAGCCTCATAAGCTGGCGCTCAGGGTCGATTGACGTCGTTACGGAACGAAAGAAGAGTCGGGAAGAAGCCAAGAAGCGAGTGTGTATGGCGAATGAGTGTGTCAAGTATGTTACATGGGCGTGGTGTTCGAAGGCGAGCCTAAGGAGTTGCACGATCGGCACGCAATGGCGCGATCAGAAGAACTTGATCCAGATGATAAAGAGGAAGAGCAAGCCGACCGCACCTACGGGCGCCCATTTTCGGTAGAGCGCATCCAGGTTGATCTGTCGAGCCGCCTTGCGGTACTTGAGCGACTCGTCGCGCAGAGACGACGACATGGTCGACATCTGATCGAGGCTGTCTCCGCGCCACAGCAGATCCTCCATGTTCTTGGTCATGATGCGCGTCACGTCCTGCAGGTCCTCGTTGAGTCGGTCCAGATTCGACGACGCCGCCGACTGCGCCGTGCGCGAGTCTTCGTAGAGCCGCTTGGTACGCTGCATAAAGGTGTCGAAGCTGACAAACGCATACGGCCGCAAGGTCCTCTGCTCTACCTGGTTGCCGTAGCTGCGCTCAAACTCCTTGGACAGCTCGTCGAGGTACGAGAAGGCAAGCTTGCGTGGGTACGACTTGTCGGCGATCGTCAGATACACCACCGAGTTGGGCATGGCAGGAGGTGGCGAGATGAGGTAGTGCAAGGTGAATTTGCCGCTCTCGATGCTGCACCGCGGCTCCGACGAAGGTGTGATGCGCCGAAAGATGAGCTTGGCCTGCTGCTTGTGCTCCGACAGGTCGTTCTCCGTCTTGCCATCGTCCACGCTCTGCGCCAACGGCAGGCCGTCAGACACGCGCGCAATCTGTGTCGACAGCGGCATGGCGCTTGGTGCTATGGGATGTCTGTGCGCCTAGAGGGCAACCTTCGAAAGTGGGGGGGTTGAGTCTTCTCTGAAGAAGGTTTGGCGACCCGGGGTGGTGCTTGAGGACTTGATGCGAGACGGGATGCAACTCAGCGATGGCAAATGGTCTTGAAAGGGAGCTGACTCGAGAGTGGCGAAGTGAAGGCAGATGACGACGGCAAGGAACGCTTGAATGCTTTTGGATGGTGATGTTGGAAGAAATGCGGGACGTTGGCTTGCGCTGGATGGGCACGGTCAAGTTCCGCAACCGTGCATCCCGCCAGGTGCTGCTGCTGCTGCTGCTGCTGCGCTTGGCGAGTGTGAATCCGCACTGCAGCCAGCGTTCACGTGGAGGGTGACTTTTTCAAAGTCTGAATTTGTAGGGAAAACACGATCCCACATACTGCTTTCAAAAATCCGCTTGTTTTGCTGCGTCTACGGCTCGCTCTGTCAGTTTCGGACGCCGGGGGATCGACGCCTGGCAGCCAATTCGAAATTGCAGGCATGTGGCCACTGTTCCTATCTGCCTGTTGGGTGGGAGTGAGGGAGGGAGGGTGGTTGTTGAGCCCAGCAGCCTGTCAGCCTGTCTCGACGCGCTGCGGGCCAACGCAATCCAAGCAGGCTCTTGCTTGTCAACGGTGCCTTTGCTAACCCCCACCATCCCCACCTACCGCGCCCCTGCCCATCTCCATCTCCTGTGGCCTGCGCCGTCCGCCCCTCAGCACCCCTCCAACTGCGACAGCGCGTGCATCGGCCCGGGCGTTTCGGCAGGTTTGGCCTTGGCTGTCACACGAGCAACCCTTTGCAGCTGTTAGGAACTCGTACTATCTCCCGTCGCCGCTCATCGCCACCGATCTCATACGCCTCTCTGCCATCTTATTCCGGCACCGCTCAGCTCGCTCATCATGGACGACACGAACGAGTTCCCCATGCAGGACCCGGGCACGCACCTCACCCTCGAGCTGCGCGGGACGCGCTTCGTCATCGAGCGCGAGACCATGATGAACTTACCCGAATCGGTGCTGCTCTGCCTCTTCCCCAACGGCCTGATCTTGACACGCCAGCCTCGTGTCCCCACGATGCTCGATCAGGATGGTGAGGAGGACGAGGAGGAGCTCTATCTCGTCGACTTTGATCCGCAGTGTCTCTCGTACGTGCTCAGCTTCTTCAAAACTGCCCAGGACGAATTCTACGGCACCGCAGACCATCCCGGCAAGTACCGTCCCAGCTCGGCTTACGGTACTGCGCTCTACAACTATGCGATGGCGTCCAACGAGGGCGCCGACGCCTTCACCCAGGGCAGCATCTCCCAGATCCCGCTGATGAACAAGCAGCCCATCATCGTGCTGCGCGAGGAACTCGAGTACTTTGCCATCCCTCCCAAGAAGGCGGCTGCGGCGGGGCAAGCGGCAGCATCCGAGATCGATCCGGAAGTGTTCGAAGGCACCGAGCCTTCGACCGGGCACCCTACGCCTGCACTACTGCGGCTCAAGTACAGCTGCGGAGATGCGCTGCTCGACCGCAAGCAGATCTTCACAGCGCTGCAGAGGAATGTCAACAAGGAGAACAACCTGGCGGAGCAGCATCTGATCGACATGCTCTGCTGATCGACATGCTCTGCATGAGCGGATTCGACCGCGAAGACACCTGGGGCTTCCGTGCGCTCGAACCGAATCGCTGCTGCATCACTTCGATCGCGCTCGTGCTGCTCAAGACGGGCATCACGCACGCGGGCGAGCTCGAGGCCGAAGGACTCAACCCAGAGGCGATGGCCTCGGGCGAGTACCACGATGCCACCGGACGTACGAGCATGCTGTCCAATTTGAAGGTGGACCACCAGCAGTTTGCGACCGCGCAAAAGCTGCTTCTCTTCTGGCGCAAACCGGCGAGAAAGTGCTGGTGGGACGGCATCGACATTGTGCTGCCCGCCTCGGACAAGGATTCGCCCGCGCAAGCCGACAACGCCGCGCAAACGCAAGAACTCAACGATGCCGGCCTCACCGCCAACGAGGCCGAGCTGCTCAAGTCGGGCAAGGGAAGGAAAGTGCGCGTCTGGGCGCGCAGAGTGTGGACGCTCGAGCTCAGCCTCATTTGACGCGCTCAAGCTTTGACCAGACCCTTCTCTTCACACTACATTCGCATTCTCTAGCACGCTTAGCCAGCCGCGGTCGTCTCGCGAGGCAACACTGCCAGCTTCACGCTCTATACCCCTGCCTCGGGCTCGCTCGGCGTCCCTCCATGTGCTCACCCATTCCCTTATCGACGAAATCTACGGACACTTGTCATACTTTTCTTCCTCGAAGCAATCATGAGAACGACAAGCCCGTGCAGATCTGGGTAGCGAGATGAGAGCGTTGTGTTGGTCACTCGTCGTTGCGGTGTGGAAAACTCAATTTCAAGCCTCATACAAGCGCGCGAGGTGGAGCCTCGAAATTTGATTCGCACGAGACTGGTGACGAGCCAGCTCACGTGACGCGACCTTTTTTCGAAAGGCGAGAAGCCTCGGAAGAATTGGGCTGCCTGCCAGGGCCAAGCGTTTCTGCATCTATCCGTTGATCCTACGGCCACCATCTTAATCTCGTTCGCATCGTCTCGACCGATCTCGCCAGAGACATCTCGCCTTTTATTCATACACGATGGCATCCAGATCCATTGGCGCTCTGCGCCAGCTCGGCGCAGCTGTTTCGTCAGCGTCTCGCACCTCCACTCGTCCCATAGCTGCTCCCATCGCCAGGTCTTTCTCGTAGGTATCCGCACACGAACTTGCTCTTCAGTCGAGCCTCGATGGACGATCCTGCAGTTGCGAACTGCTCACATGGATCGCAAAATGCTGACACTTTTTTGCCCCTCCGTTCTCACAGCACATCGTCCGGCCTTTGGAACCAGTCCACGTCTTCCTCCGTGACACTTGACCACCTGCATAAACAATCCGAAACACTCGCACAAAGCAGCTCTAACGCATCATCGGACGCCGCCTCAGCAAAGGACGAAGAGCAGTTCGTGATTCCGGAGTGCTTGCAGCCGACCCAGTCGCACGCACCGACACACGGTGTGCACGTTGCGACGCTGCATCTGCGTTCATACGCCGACGGTGTTCCGAACCTCGACCTCTTTGCCGACTTTGCGCGCAAGGCTGCATACGCGATCGGCATTCCTGTGAGCGGCGTGGCGCATCTGCCCACACGCACATCGTTGTGGACGGTGCCGAGGTCGCCGTTCGTGCACAAAAAGTCGCAGGAGAACTTCTGGCGAAAGACGCATTCGCGCAGCATCAAGGTGTTTGATGCCAACGACCAGGTGGTCGACCGATGGCTGCACTTCCTGCGCATCCATGCGCTCCCCGGTGTCGGACAGAAGGCCGATCTCTTCCGCTACCACGAGCTGGGTGTGGGCGACAAGCTGATGGACGAGGCAAAGGCGCTGCAGCGCTCCGGGTCGTCCGACGCTGCTGAATCGAGCTCAAAGCCGCAGGTCGAGTCCAACCAGGCTACCTCCACCGCCGAGAGCATCAAGAAGATCGCCGATGGCATTGTCGAGCAGGAGATGGCACGGGAGGAGCAGAAGTGACCTTCCACTATCGCCGTCGATGCACTGGGTCAGCACCGCTGACAGCCCCACAGGGTCTGTGCAATACGAAATCGTTGCAACCTCTTACACCACAAAGCCGAATGCCGAGCGCCGCGCTGAAGGCGTGCCCACAGAGGCCTGCCTTGCGGGGCTCGTCGGCTGTTAAGCTCCGAATGTGCCGAAGCGGTGGAGACGTCAATGGCGCGAGCAGAACAATTGGGTCATACGCAGCCCAACGGAAGCCGATGCAATGTCTGCGACAGGCGTATCGCCTGCTTGCACAGCTCTTCGGGACCAGGGCATAGCATAGCCTTGTCATGGACGAGCGGGACGCTGTGCCGAGTGCTGCGGTGAGTTGGAGGTGCAGATCACGGAGGTGTCGATCCTGATTGTCAGGTACGTCCGGTGCCACTATGTCGACCGTTGTGAAGCACAGCATAGCAGCAACCCACATGTGGACACAGGAACAATACACACGCTTTGCAAATCTCACAGACCGACGAACTGCTGGAGCCCTGATATGGCGAGGCGAGTGCACGGACATGTTGATGTGCGCATCGGAGCTTTGCTTTTGTGCATACTAGACGAGGGCCGTCCACGCAAGGATCGTCATCGGCAAAAGTGAGTCGGCCGTGGCCGTACAGTTTCATTTGGCGTATCTCAGCCGATGTCAAACAACGCTCCCAAGCCGCTGGCTGCACTTCGACGTAGGTGGGTATCTATCCCTGTTGAAGTGAGTGCGAGTTCGATGTGACGATGGTGTCGACGGTCCGTACGCATGAATGCCAAACGCCGAGGGGTCTTTGCACTCCCCGCTAGCGGCCAAGCGAGCACAGTTGGCGGCGCGTTTGGTTGGCGCACAGTGGAGGAGGGGCGGCGGATTTCTTTTTTTTGAGGCTGCAGGGCGGGTGAACGTGTGCTGTCGAGCGCGGTGCGCGCGTGTGCCGTGGCGAAGTGTTGGTCTCCGATCTGTCAGTCGGGCGCACGCATGATGAGAGCCCGCCATGCACAATATCACACTTCACCCTACAGCAAGTCACAAGTCACAAGTCACAGGGAGGTGGACATGACTGATTGCCGTCACATTTTTCGAGATCCGCTGCGCTTACCGGATCGCTTCCCGTCTGTCAACCACTCCTAACCGCACCACCACCTCCCCACCAACCTCCACAGCCTCGTTGCCGGCTGAGCGGTGGCATCCTGACCCTAGACACAAGACACATCCGCATGGGATGCACATGGCTCACCCACGCCGCGGCCAGCCGCAACCTGTGACATCGACATGCAGTCGGCTCCCTCTGGCTCGCGACGCAGCCTCGGCTTGGGCGGTCCTTCAGACCTAACCGCCAAACGCAAATCGCTCCATCGTACATCGTCGCAGCCACGAACACCGCCCACACGCATCGTCGTGGCCGAAGGAGGAAGCGAATTTGTCCTCGAGACTCCACCCCAGCGACCTTCCGCTTCGACCTCGAGCCAAGCGGTTACCAGAACCGGCATTGCCAGTGAGCAGCTCCGCGCCACATCGGCTTCCCATGCTCCAACTTGGACGCAGTCCTCGGCCGCTCCTTGCACCCTCTCAACCTCCCTGACGCCGCCTAGAAGTAAACCGGTAGATCGACCCTACCGCCCTCCACCCTCCAGTAGCGCGCGCTTCTACGAGCGACAGCAGCAGCTATGGCAGCTACAACACGCTGCGCCAGGAGAGCCATCCAATCAGCTCTACATGCCTTCCAGCTCGTACCTGCCATCCATTCCCGGTGTCAGACACTCGCCGACGGAGCCAGCCATCTCCTCTAATTCGCTGTCGTCGCACCTCCTCCAACCCGGTCCGTCGAATCAGCATCATGCGAGGTACACTGAGAGCGTCCCGCATTCGAACCAAGCATGGTCTGCAGCAGCTAGCTCGGTCTCTTCTCGGACGAGGTCTTACAGTATTGGGGGCGTCGGCGCATCGGACGACAGCATTTACCAGACCCGTGCCCGTGCTGGAAGCGATGCGAGCAGCTTCACAAGAAGCCGCATCTCAAACGGCTACATGTCTCAGACAGACGAGGAATCCCACGACGAACCAACTCGTCGCACCGGCCCGACGTACTCTTTTCTCGATGCCCCGTTCACGCGGACGGAACCACCCTCCAGGCGCGTTCCGCTCGCTGTTGCTCCGACGTTGAGCGACCTGGGTGATACCAACGATGTCGACTGGGATACAGAGCTTGGCATATCCGCTGACAGTCCCACGGATCCTCTGCGCTTGCCGCTTCCGCCCCTCTCTCATCGCCTCGCGCTTGCACCTGCCGATGTGGATACGCACACTCCTGCGCCCGACCACGAGACTGTGAACAGTCAGATCGTCGTCAGCAGCGTGGCCGCTCCAATGACATCCGACTCGTCCCTCAAAAGCCCGCTTTCAGTCGATCTCAAGGGCATCCGAGTCACTTCGAACGTTAGCGAGAACTGGGACGACGACTTTCTCTTTCAGAATGACGAGGATCCCGCCGAGGATGCGAACAAGCGGAATACCACTCGCTCAAGCGCAGATGCAGCCCGCGTCTCAGGCTCTGGCGCACGAGACAAGCCTGCGCTTCATCGAGTCACCCAAGACCACCCAGAGTCCGATGATGACGAAGATGTCGAGAATTGGGACGATGCCTTTGCTTGGAATGCAGAGCCATCCCTTACTCCCTCTTCCTCCAACTCTTCGTCTATTGCGAACTTGCGGCAGTATCCAGCGCTGGCGTTGGCGCTAACCGGCACGAGCAGCCAGATTCTCCGTGGGAATGCGACGTCTTCATCCGAGGCGCCGACAAAGGGCCCGGCAAAGCCGCAAAAGCGATGGTCAGACTCATCGTCCGCCAGTGATGTCACCAATCTCTCGTTGCGCCTCGCAGCGCAGTCCGATGTCGATTCTTTCGACTCGCGCGCTTCGTGCGACAGCGGTCGCCATCACGCCTCGGCATCGCAGCCCAAGGCCACTCGACCGAGCGCTTTGAAATTGGCCAGCACCCCTCGCTCGGCAAACCTTGACTTGAATCATGGTAGTGATGCCAGCGGCGACGATACCGAGACAGAGACGCCGTCCAGAGACTTAGATTCCAGTCTCATTTCTCCAGTCTCCCGGCAGAGCCGACCCGCAAGGCGTTCGCTCGGCGCAGCACTTGGCTTCAAGACCCAAGTTCGACCGCCAACGCGAGAGGCTGATGTCAAGTCGCCAATAACACCTCACACGGCTGATGAGGACAGCTTCGACTCCACTGCGATCAAAGCGCACAAGCGAACGTCCTCTCGGCCCAAGCTTGGTGCTCTGCAACGCTTGAGCCTGTCACGCTCTCGCGTCAGCGTGGCAGACACTGGAAATGCCAGCATCGATGACATTCCTTCGGCAATCCAGCCTGCACAGCACATGTACATGGACGCGGCCAATCTCAGCCAGGCATCCTTGATCAGCCAGAAGTCGGCATCGTCGGCTCGATCATCGCGATCGGCCAGCGTTTCAAGTCTAGCGAAGAGCTACGCCGCGATGCGATCCTCGAGTTTCCGACGTCTACTCGGTCGCGGCACTCCGAACAAGTCTGCGACTTTGGCCGAATCCGAGGCGGTTCTTCCACCGCCTGCTTCGCCTTCTCGCTTCAAGTCCGAGAACCGCATGCAATCCGAGCTTCAAGCTGAATCGCCGGCAGATCGCCCCATCGGCTCAGCCGAATCCAAAGCCAAGTCGCCGCCGTCGAATTGGCTCGGAATGCGTCGCTCGAGCGAGGTCACGCCAACTCGGCCCAGGGTCCGAGACGTTCGCAGGAGCAGCGACGGCCGCGATCCGACATCTCCAGGTCGGACCTCCGAGGCCGCACACTCGAATTTGGCCAGTCGACCTTCTTCGTCGAGGCACGCTCGTCCAATCGTTCCCGATGCCGGCCAGGCAGCGCAGACTAGGACGTCCTCGGATGCTTCCTATGCCGGTCTCCACCGCGACTTTTCGAGCTCCAACACCTTGCGAGCCGATTCTGGGCAGCACGACGCACAGCCTCTGCTTGCCTTTGTCGAGCCCTGGGCCCGCGCGGACGCGACTGGAGGTGCTTCATCTCGCACTTCTGCAGCCGCTTCGGACGGATCCGCGACGTTCCTCTACTCTAAGCAGGGTGAGAGCATGTCTCGGGGCATCGGCGACTCCGCATCGGCAAGCCGATCGGTTTCCGCGTCCACCGCCTACAGCCACACAAGCGCCGAGTCGCTGTATGGGTACCGCATGAAGAGTCAAGTTTCAGCCTCCAGTGGCGCCGATGCACCAGACTCGGAGACCTCGTATGGAACCAGCGTCGGCAGCTCTCCAGGACTCTCGCAGCTCTCGTCGTCGGGCTGGCTGTCCCACGCCAAGTATGGCACGGTCGCCTCAGCGGACACCAGGACCACCTCGTGGTCGCAGTCTCATGATCGGTATCACTTCTCGCACGGGAAGGAAGATGACGATAGCAGCTGCGCTGTCAGCAGTGTGCAGGCGTCTCCCGGTAGTCTGACCAAGACGCTCGAGGGAACACCGCCGCGAGCTGCTCGTGGCACGCGTTTGCTCTCGGCTCCTGACACGGACACCTCGCCTCCAGTGCGTGCCGCATCTTGGAGCACGGATACCTCTCTGGGCAAATCGGCAATCACACCGTCTCACACCGCAGCCTCGCGCGGTGTGCAGCAAGTGTCCACGGCTCAGGCAGCTTCGAGCGCGGATGGGAGCGCAGCAATTTCGCCAACGGAAAGCGCAGCCTTCTCCACCGTCGGCTCAACCCGTCCTCGGAACGCTGCTCGCCGCAACAGCTTGAGCGATCTCAAGATCCCAAGCCGCATCAGCAAGGCGCAGACCGGCATCCGTAACAACATCAACCTGGTACGCGACTTTGCCAAGGGCATCGAAGAGCTCAAAGCGCTCAAGACGAGCTACCTCGACCGCAGAGAGCACTCGGCTCCGATGGCTCTGGGTGCCGAGGATGGCGTGCAGAACTGGCTTGAATGTGCCGACGTGCTCATCGACCTAGGTCAGGGCAGGTCCGACGCAGATTCGGCCGCTCACGTTGACACGCTCACTCATACTCCGCTTTCGGTGCGGGTCGACAGCCGTCGCACGACGTTTTCGGATGCTTCTAGCTTCCTCGGTCCACGGTCTCCGCTGGAAGATTCAGGCTCGCGCAAATCTTCTATTTCGGGTGCCTCGGGCTATCGTAGCACTAGCGGTGCGAGCCAGGCAGCCTTATCGATGGCATCATCCGCAGACGCTGGCCGTAACGTCGACGTGCAAAGGGAGATTGACATCCTGTCGGCGATCCTGGGCGGAACAAAGATCGCATCTCCTCCCAGGGTGGAGGCTAGGTCACACGGCCGCTTCAAGTCGGAAACATATGCGCGGAGCGGACACGGACATCCAAGCAACCAGGGCTCGGGCAAAGCAGCCGCCACTGCTCCTTCCGCAGATCTCAAGACTGGTCGATCCGACTCCGCACCACAAGACGAAGACGAGCGAAACCAGCGAGGCTTGAAGGATGACGGAAGCCAGCGGCCAAAGACGCAGATGTTCAACACTGCTCCTGCCAGCAGCGACCCGAACAGCAGTCTCGAGCTGGGCTTGAACCTCGACGGCGTCGATGTTGGCGATGCCAACCGCAGTGCGAAACGGCGAATTCGGAGTGCCAGCCGTGCTGGTCTGCAAGGTCTCAGGGAGCTGCTCAAAGTGTTCAAGAATGCCGGCCCCATCGAAGGCGTCTCAACCCCTCCGAGCAAGCTGGAGGCGGTGTCGCTTGCAGACGAGTCGAATGGCGAGGCGTTGCAGTCGATCGTTGCAAGCGCAGGCACGCCCACGACGACCAAGCAGAAGCGCCGATCGCTGACTCTCAAACGGCGCTCGTTCCTGCGTTCAAAGCCGTCGCTTGAAGTCATCCGAGCCAAGTCGGACGTGGGAGGCGAAGCAGATGAGGCGCCGCCGATGCCCTCGGGGGCAGATGGTGCCCACGTTGGTTGTTCGACGGCGCAAGAACAGTCGCCATCCCGGCGCGACACGCGCAGCAATGCCGCATCTTCAACGACGACGGCGATCACAACTTCATCGTCGAAAGCTTCGCGGCGGGTGTCGTTGCAGTCGTCGCGGAGCACGACGCAGCGACGTTCTGTTGATGGCGTGCAGACCGGACAGAGTGGCTCGAGGCCACCATCGGCTCTGCGGCACAGGAGCGACTCGAAGAGCGCGAAGCGAGGAGAAGGAGGCGTAACGGGCCAAGATCGCCCTGGCGCAACAAAGCTGCGTCCCCCGGATGACGTCGGACAAACGGTGGATCCACGACGAGCAAGCACGTCGGTGGACGCGGGACCGCAGCGACCCGAGCAGCCGGTCCGGTCGCACAGCGCGCTCGAGTCGCCTACGTTCGCGACGCCCATGGTGCCGAAGCTTGCGCTGAGACCCGAGGCGATGCCTGGCCTGCTGGTGTACGTGCAGGCGACCAAACAGCACCTCCAGGCGGCCATCGATCAGCTCGGCCCGCCCATCTCGTCGGATCGGTGATGTGTCCCGAAATAGCACCCAATGGCAAGCGTGAGCAGCAGCGATTGTCGCAATTGGCTTTCCCCTTCCAGCTGCATACAGTGAATGCTTGCTGCATTGAAAGTCCGAAGATCCGTTTGACAAACAAAAACGATTGCTTCAGAAGATTTGCGGTTTTGCATGCCGGTGGGATGTGCGAGACTGGAATGTTGGAAGTGAGGTTCTGGATCTGGAAACGCGTGCGGAGTCGCGTCAGGAAAGGAAAAAAGGGCCCTGTCTTGCGCCTCGTGGGGATTTCCCACAAGTAACACTCCCACGCTGGGGTTGGAGCCGAGGGGGTTCGCGCAAACGGAGGACGAACCAAGATGCAGGGTCCGAAATGATTTGGAAGGGCGTTTGTTTGAAAAAGGCGGGGGGTCTGTGCGGGCGCGCGTGCCGATCGCAGCATGCAGTGTCGAAATGCCCTCACCCAAGTTGGACTATGACATGTCGTTGGCAAGCATTGCTCTTTCCATTCATGTCGGATAGGAGGTGTCGTGAAAAGAAGCTATGCATGCGGAAGGGGGATAGGAACATGACCAACGCAGGTTCGAGCGGCGGCCAAACGGGTCGGAAGAGCAACCGATGTTCGAAATGAAATGTCGGTGTCGGAGCTTTGGCTTGATCGGCCAACCTCGAACGCTCGATACGAAGCCAGCTCGACGTTGCGATCGTCGAACGCATCTTGGTACTGAGCTAGTCATCATTGAGCCCCCTCACCGCCATCTCTCATGAGAACTATCCGTCCGAAGCGAGCAAAGTGGATGGGAGGGTCTAACAGTGCTGGATCTCCGCCAAGGGGGTGTGGGTTCCACAGGGTTTGGTGCCTGCGCGTGGCGCTTTGCGGTTCGGCAGCCGAGATCCCCGTTACCACAGTGCGAGCCCGCGGTGGAGGAAGGAAGGAGGCGGCTAGCCGTGGGCGCGTCGGTTACAGCAGCAACAAAAGCCCCTTGCATGCCCTAAGCGCCTCATACGATCAGGTGAGACCCACGGGCAGTTGCAATCCCCATCGATCGACACCAGCCTCAATCCTCCCGCCTCAAAAGTCGAAATACAGCATCGACATGGCAGACCGGAAGAAGTCGCAGCATGGACTGCTTTCTGTGGCGCTGGCAGCGCTCCACCACGTTTCGACCATGTCTCGTTCACACACAATGGAATGGACACGATAAGGGCTCGGGTCGGCAAAATCCGACGGCTCGGACAGAGCTCACTCTGAAACCTGGTTTGCTCGTCGGGATTGCCGAAAGTGGCACTTTGCCAATCTGAGCCGAAGCGGTCCGCCATGGGCGTCAAATGCGAATGAAGTCGGCTAGAGCCGCAGCGGAGCAGCGACTAACAATTCTCTCACGCGGTTGTCTCCAGCCACTGCAGCTGTGAAGCGCTCTTGATGGATCGTCGAGATGGACCGGGCCAGACTCTTAGCCCTTTGGCTCGCAATTTGTGTCGGATGGATGCCGTCATTCTGCTGCGTTTAGCGTGTGACAAGACAAGAGCAGCGCGAGCGAGCCGAAGCTCCATACCTCGCCAGAACCTCGAGGCGAGGCGGCACGGACGAGTCGGTCGCGTCTGCTCTCCAAGACGCCGTTTCAGCACCAGCCGACGGAGACCGCATCTGCCACTCTCGCGAGATTCGGCTCGTCTTGCCTCATCTATGGCAGCGGCTGTCATCTGATTCGGCTCCACGAATGACAGGCCGACGGGGTCCTTGGCGCGCTGGCTTGGTTGAAAAGGGCCTGCTGGGGCGTGGAAAGGGGAAACCACAAAGGTTGCCTGAGGTCCCGTGCACGCGTCTCGCTTCTCGTCCTAGTCCCCGCACTGGATCGCTCGCGTTGCGTACAAATCGCTTCGGCTTGACGCAAGGATACCTGTCTCGTCACCAGCAAAGTCCTCGCCACTGCCGTCCTGAAGATCTTGACAATGCGGACAAAGAGCGTCGCCCAATGGACAGAACAATGAGCGGACGAGTTTTGGGCGGGGTGAATCCTACATGCTGGAAATCCGTATCCAAGCACACCATGCAACGTCGAGAGTCGAGCGAGATTCGGAGCCCGGGCGCCCTGCAGCCCTCTTGCGGCTCCAATGCGCGACTGCACGCAGCAGGAGCGGGCTGGGATTGAATGCGGCCAGCCCCACGGTCAACGCTGCCGAGCTGTTGGCATGAGCGTTGCCACGCCTCATGCACCCCCATATTTGGACCCCACACAAGCGAGGCACCCATCTGGCGGATGCTGAGGCAGAGCGGCAGAGTAAAGACCATCGAGCGGATGGGCGGGCGGGTGTATGCTGCGTACGGATTGCCCGACTCAGGATATGCAGCTTCAGCACAGATCCAGCGGTCGGCTGCGCAGGATGCGGAGCGTCGGATACGCTGTCGCGCCGTGGTTAGGCCGCGACGGGAGCGTGCAAGGAGGCAGCGGCGTCTGTGAAGGTTTCGACACGCCTCGAGCCCATCTCATCTCGCCTAGGGCTGCTCATTTCATGGCCTGCCCCACTCGACTCGCGGCGGGGCTGTGAATGATCATCGCATTCAGGGGGTGGCTGCACCGGCCACTGCACGGTTGACGTGCTCGCTCAGCGGAGAGGGCCGAGTCGATTCGTCTCCTGGGCGCAGAATGAATTTATGCACACGGACTGGCACGGACTGGCACGCTCCAGCACGCCGCAAACCCAGTCGGAGCGCCAATGGTGGACCAACCCGCCTCGCTTGCAGCAGCAGACATTCCCCCACGTCCGCTGCCTCGCTCTGCTGGTGACAGGCCATCTGGCGGTCGACATGCCTTTGACACGCTATCGTGGATCCACGCTGGATTTCTTCGTGAAACAAGGTCTCACTTGTCTCTCACCGGGCAACTCGATTTTTGCACTTACAGCCAGATAGCGATTTCGCAGCGCACTTCCCAGTCGCATCCGCCGAGCACGACGTTTCTAGGGCCAGATGATCTTTGCGGGGTTGCTGGTGAGAAGCACGTTTGCTCGCGCTTGGCTCGCCATCCATCGCGGTGCCTCGGCCGCAGGCCAACGGGGGCAGAGTTGCCTCTTTCGGACCAAAAAGACGTGCTACGTTTGTCGCGCGTCCCGAGACAGAAGCCGTTATCTCTCCTTTCGGCCCTTGCGTGCGGGAACCTAAAGAGAGACAGAAGAGCGGCTCAAGAAAGCTTTTCTTTACTTTTTGCTTGCCGGACTAAGCTCAGCCTTGTCTGAACAATCGGATTGCGACGCACATGCTGCATGCTGGCTACAGTATGCTGCTCTTTGTGGCCGAGCTAGCCAAGAGGAGGCTCGTGGGTTGGTTGCAGACCCTGGTAACGCGTGCTGCGAGGCGCACAATAATGCACGGCTGCAGAGGCCAGGCGCATGGTGATTTCACGACGACAGCCGTGGCGTGGGCCCTTTTTTTTTCCCCGGACGCGCCTTGGACTGGCGCAGAGGTGCCTCGCGAAATGCGCCATGTCGAGCATCTGCACGATGCTCGAGCTGCACTGCAGTGCATCGCCCTGCGTTTCGTCCGCGTCGGCAGCTGCGCGAATGCATCGCGAGTGTGGGAAGAGTGAGAGGCATACGACGGATGGCTTCCGACGCCCTTTCGGCTTAGCCGACGCCCTTGCGGACGTCTCCTGGGCCTCTCTCTCCGCTCTGCCTCTTCTCTGCCTCGCGACGCAACGGCCCAGTGCGGTCGCGCTCGCTCCTTCACTCTCGCGCTTGTCACGGCTCATCCGACTACATAATATCGACGCTACCTTGCCTGAACCACCCTTCCTTCCTTCGTCCCAACCAGCCTCCCCGTCCATCAATTTGCATCGTCTACATCAGGCCGTCTGCTTCGACGTGGTGTTTCAGTGACCACTCGGCACACGGTCGTCTCGGACCTCCCCTTCCTCCTTCCATCATCTTTGCATACCTCTGCATAGCATTGGGCTCGACTGGTCCCCTTGGCCTATCTAGTCTTATCGTTCTTGCGACCGCCGTTTCCGATTGGCCTCGTCCTCTTGGTCTCTGCTCCCGTCTTTGTCTCTTGTCTCGTTCTGTCCTCCGTCGCATCCGCATCTCCACTCGCAAACGAGGTCTGCTTTCATCTAGGCTCCCTCAAGCATCGCATCGCATCCCTTCTTCATCTGCTCCCGCCTCAAAGGACCGCTACGAGCGTGCTCTAGCACTCGTCCTTGCATCATTCCGACATCCTATTCTCATCCTTTCATCCCACACGATCGCCCATCGCTCTTCATCATCCTCTGTCTAGCCTTCTCCGTCACCTCCTAAAAAGCATCCTCAACCTGTTGCATCTCTCGCCGCATCGCCCCCTTTGTACGCTTATGCAGCCCTGTCTATAGTCGCAGAGCCCCTTTATACTGCAAGACTGTATTACATCAATTAGCTCCATCGACCCACTCCGGCACCATGTCGGCCTTCCACTCCACCGCCTTATCGCGCCCGAGCCTCGGCCATCGCTCCATCTCGGAACAGGCGCCTCTCTACGACCCCTCCAGCACTGCGCACGCCGGCTCGCGTCTCCGCGGCTCCAAAGCCACCAGCGGCTCCGTCACCAAGACCGGCTCTCATCTGCCCTTCTCTCCCCTGCTTCCCCTCCCTCCCGTCGTGGACATCAAGCTCCACGAAGCCGAACGGGAGCTCGCCGATGACGAGCAAGCAGAAAACTGTGCACCCAACATGTTCCCAGGACACAACCGTCCGTCAGTCGGCCCCAGTGCCCTCGCCACCCGCCGCCAAGCGCGTCGAGGCGTGTCCGAGGGCTTCGCCGCTTTGCATCCGCACCAGCTCGCTGGCAATCGCGCCGGCCTGGCTGTGCAGCCTGCCGTCTTGACTCCTGGCGGCAAAGGCGCTCTACGCCTCGACATCGCCGCCGCGGCGGACACCAAGGCTCCGCAGGCTTGCCGATCCGCCGGCATGATCCGCAGCTACTCGATGCCCGTCGCCACGCAAGACGAGCACGACGAGCAGCAGCGCATCATGGCGCTCGGCCTGTCGCCCATCGGTCGCTACGCTGCCAACCCGGCGTGGTGGCAGTACGGCTGGCCCTCGCCTGGTGGCGTCAACCACCGTCATCTGCACCGTGCGCCCGTGCCAGAGATGCTCGGTCAACGTCGCGGCTCGGCCCAATCCAAGCTCGCCGCCGTTGTGGCGCCTGCCATGGGACCCTCGCCGCGCTCGTCATCGCCCGTGTCGCCGCGACCTAGCAGCCGCTCCAGCAAGACTCACTCGAGCTGCTCGCCCAAAAGCAAGTCCAAGCATCTCCCTGCCATTCACCAGCAGACGTTCTCGCGCGCCGCCGCCGCTGCCGCCGCTGGAGCGTCGTCGTCGGCATCGTCGTCACCCAAGGTCGGTCGTTCGCCGCTGTCGATGATCTCGACCAACCTGCCTGCAGTCGAGCCGCACGCGCCCGAGCCCGCCGAGGCGGCGTTCGACATTGAGATGGACGCTCTCAACCAGCGCTTTGCGCAGTGGTCGCGCGAGGCGGCGCCCGGCATCGGCCTCGACGAGGACTACTTCAACCTGGCGCACGACGGCGGTGTGCTGGATGCGCGCTTCCAGCCCGCCGGCGCTGGCTCGGACTCGTCTGACGAGGCACGCACGCCGCGCGCCGCCTCGCCGCGCCTGCACGCCAAGCCGTCGCTGCTGCTCGACACGCTCGACTTTGTCCACCCAGACCACCTTGCCGGTGGCTCGGATTGACCCTGCCTACATCTGCTTCTCGTCTAATGTGCCCTCCGCGTCCCGCAGCGAAGCTAATCTGTGTATTCGTCGTGTCATTGTGCGGTGTGGTCGTGGGCTGGTTCCGAGTGAGCACGCTGGGCGTGGTTGAGGACGTCTGCTCGCACCTCACACTGCGTGCCTTTCTGTCCCGTGTCAGTGTGCTGTGTGTTTGTCATTGTCGTCGTGCGCCCGACGTTGTCGTTGGCGTTTGCACCACGTCAAACGTGCTCATTTGTCGTTGTGCTGATGTGTGCTTGCTCCAAATCTCGAGCTCACAAAGCTCAACCGAGATTTGTCGTGGTGCATTGTTCGCAAGGGGTACATCTCGAGACCGAGTAAGTTGTTGCGTGTACGTACGACGCAGGTGCAGCGCCGACTCTTCTGCGACTTTTGATTTTATCCGATTGATGGCGATGTCCTCAAGAGGCAAGCGCCATGACTGGTGCAGCCGAGCGGGTTTGACGTTGCAGGACGGTGCGAACTGCTCCGGCAATGGGGCGTGAGTTCAACCGCCTCGGAAGTCAGACCGACGCCGCCGTGGGGCTTTTTAGAGGGGTTGCTTCAGGACAATGCCCCGTCCCGTTCAAGCTTCCTTTTGTGGCCCATACATTCACGCTGCCCAAGCACTCGCTGGATGCAGCCAGGCAAATCTTCTAGGCTCGGATGCAAACCCTCGTGCTTCCACACCAGCTTCTTCCGCCAATGCTCGCAAAAGAGCGGGGTAGGATTGCGGTGGGACGACGTACTCGCCTCTGTCGGAGTCTCGAGCCAATGCAGTTTGCTTTGTCTTTACCAGTGCCTGGGTGGATCAGTGTGGGCCCATTCGGCAATCAATCCGTGTCGAGAAAGAGGAGATGCAACGACGTTTTTGTGCCAGTAGAGGATATCGAAGAGAAGGAGGCAGGGGTTGCTGTTTTCAGGTGATCACACTCGACCGATGACGACGGAGCATCCGGTGTGTTCGTCGTGGGCTCATGGACGTGTGTTTGCCCGTTTGTAGAGTGAGTGCTTCCTCAGACAAGGCCAAGACGGTGCTCACACCTCACACAGCCCACGGCGGGGGGGCTGAAGGGACTTGCGCGTGTCTTCGTGTGGTTGGATGTTGCTCGGATGTACGCAAGGCGTCACTGTGCGGGCATATGGTGGCGTGCTCGTCATAGTGCGCTTGGAAGCTGGTCTCATGCGTCCGTGAGCCCATCGTCGTCACGTCTCGGTGGCAGTGCTCACGAAGGCACGTTCCATCAGCCGTCGCATCGTGCCCCACTCGACTCCGTCCTACATTGACAGTGCTGCGCTCACACCTGCCTCTGGCCACTCGTCACGCTCTCACACTCCTCAAACACGCTTCCCGCAGGGTCGACTTCGTACAACCGCTCAGGATGCTGCATTCCAATGACATTGCATCTACAAATTCGTCGTGCCGCTAACCACGCTCTCGGACTCCTCGAGCACATTATCCAGCGGCATGCCCGGCTGGTAGGGCTGTGCGAACCGGGCACCTCCCTCACTGAGCGTCTCGACCTCCTCGGGCAGCTCGAGTCCATCACTCTGCGGCGACCTCGGCTCCCTCGGATCGATATTCGACGCGGCGTCTTCGGGGTATATCTCGTCATCCTCATCAGCCTCACTCGGCAGCGACCTTTCCTCTACCTGCGGCTTTTTGGCGGGCAATGTGCCACCGAACCTCGAGGCTACATCCGCCACGCGGCCTGCAACAGGGTCTTTGGCAAACGGATCGCGGTATCCAGCCTTGCCCGCCAGCGGCGAGACGGGCGACGCCGGGGTGGGCGAGCTGAGTGGCGGCGAGGTGGCGCGCGGGTCTTTGCTCGCACGCACCGCCTCGATCGGGCTCAACCCAGCACGCAGCGACTCGACAAGCTTCTTGGCGTCGATCTGCGCCGGTGCGCGCGGAGCCATCTCGCGGCGCGACTTGAGCGCTGCACGCGCCGCCGCCACCGGGTCGATCCGAGGCGCCGCTTGCGGTGCGGGCGACACATCGCGCATCCCCACCTCGACATGCGATTCCTCGTCATCCCCGTGGCTCGAAGCCGTATCGATGCGCTCGAGTCCAAGACCCATCTCCGCCGCATGGTCCGTTTCGGGCGTCGCTTTGGCCGACGCACTCAGCGGAGGCGTAGATGAGCGTGGCACGCCACTCGCACCCTCGAGCGTCTCGTCAGATCCGGACAGCGGCATGTGCGCACTGCGCGGCGTGCTCGCCTCGGTGCCCACTTCGGGCACCGAGAGCTGCGCCGTCTCGTCGATCGCACTGCGGTCCGCAGAGACAGGCAGGCCGAGCGAGCCCTTGCGCGGCGGCGGCGCATCCTGTCCGCTCATCCGGGTGCCATTGGCACGCACGAGGATGTCGATCCACGCATCCTCCCGTGCCGGCATGTGGCGTTGTGACGCCGCCGCCGTCAACGAATCTATGCTGTCGCGCTCCTCGGCGCCGTCGGCCACGCTGCGCGTCTCAAAGTCGGCACTGGTGAAGGAGCGGTCTACGCCGAGATCGCCCTGCTGCACGCGCGACCTTGCGCCATTCGCACCCGCGCCAGCGCCAGCACCGAACTCGTCCACGTGCGAGCTGAGTGCGGGCGACGATGCACCGCGCCGGGCGCCCTTGACGACGCGCATGCTCTTGGCGCGCAGCGTCGAGATGAGCTTGCTTCCGCCCGTGTGGCCTTCACTGCGGTACTGCGCATGCATGTTGGGTGTATCCGAGCTGACGCGCATCTCGGCGTCGCGATCGGCGCTCGCCTGACTACGGAGCGAGGAGCGCGATGCACTGCGCGACGTCGTCTTGCGGAGCTGGTCGCTCAGCAGTATGCGCTTAGTCGAGCCACCCGGTCCGGGCCGGAAGACGTCGTCGGTAGTATCGGCGCTCTTGTCGTCCGCACTGCCGCGTTCGCGCTCCTTGCGCGAGCGGAACATGGTGAGCTTGCGGATCATGGCGCGGCCCTTGGACGTGCCACGCCCCGCAGCTTCGAGCTCGGCGCGGTACTGCGCAGGCACGACCTCCTGAACTACGAACCACGCTGCATCGATGCGCTCGTCGCGCGGCACGCTCTCGTCCTTGCGCGTCGACGAGACCTGGAAGCGCGTCGGGGCCGAGAGACTCGAGCCGGCGCTTTGGGAGCCGACGGTGCTGGCGTTGGGGCGCGACTTGTACTGGACGACGACAAAGTTGGCGTTGCGGTGGGTGAGTTCGTCGCGGTTGCTCCAGCCGCTGCCGAGCAGAAAGTCGGCCCAGACGTCGGCGAAGGTCTCGTCCATGCGGCTGATGGGATGAGCGTCCAACTTCCCCTGGGGCGTGCCTGCAAGCGACGGGCTTGCAAGCAGACGCGGCGTCGTGTCGTAGTGGAAGGGCGGCAGCTTGTCCTGGCGCGCCTTGAGCTTGGCGTGCAGCTGGTCGCGCTCCGACGGCCAGTTCTGCACGTCGTGCTTGAGGGATTCGTCAAAGCTGAGCGCATCGGCGAGGGCGTCCGAGTCGCTGGCATGGAAGCCGTCCTTGGAAAAGTCGGTCCACTGCATGCTCTGGCGCTTGACGGTGCGATTGCGCCTTGCGCTCTCCTTGAGATCAAACGCGAGCTTGGACGAGTCCGGCGCGCCAAAGCCGTCGGACAAGAAATCGTCCCAGCGCTTGCTAACCAGCGAGCCGTGGGCAGCGACGGCATCGTCGTCCTCGGCGGCAGCGGGCGTAGAGACGCTCGAGCCGGATTTGCGGCCCTGAATCGCGCCGCCGCGTAGATTGACAAGCTTGCGAAACTTGTCCGACAGCTGCGGATCCCTGCCGATGGCTTCGTACGTGTCGCAGCAGTCTCGCCACTCTGGACACGCTTCTGCGAGGTCGATCTCGCATGCGGACTGGACGAGGTCGATTGTGTAGAGTCGCACGTTGCGCTCGATCTGGGTGACGGGGACGAGCTTGGAAGAGGGGGAGGGCGAAGTGATCTCGGTGGGGAGCATGGAGGGGTAGCCGTTGACGTGCTGGGCGAGTCTGGGCGGGAGGGCGGCCTTGGTAGCCTGAAGGCGGATGTAGGCAAGGAGGAGGTGCTCGGTGGCGTTGGAGGCGCGGACGTAGGCGTCGTAGGTGCGTGCGAAGCTCTCGTCCTCGGGGAGGCCAAAGAGGAGCGGGCCAAAGTGCTTGCAGAGCTTTGCGGGCATCATGCCGTTCTTGAGCGAGTAGCTGGCGGTGGAGGAGAGCAGCTCAAAGAGGGCGCTGAGCAGCCTGGCGTTGTCCGGGGCGAGGTGGGCGAGGAAGTGGTCAAAGGCGGAGTGGGAGTAGTGGGATCTGCGCTCGTGGTCGCGCCAAGCATTGTAGGCTTCGAGGTCGAGGAAGCCGCGCTGGTGGACGTAGACCATCTCCTCGCGCACCTCGCCCTTCTTTTGGCCTGGCACGGGGACGGGGACGGCGAGCACGCGGCCCATGCGTGCGAGGCCCCACTTGATGAGGGCGGCGAGGTCGTGCGGATTGGCGTAGCGGATCTCGTCGAGGAAGGCGGGCGGGAGTGCGCGCTGCAATGGCTGTGTGGTGGCAAAGAGGCGGATGAGGGAGGCGACGTTGGTGGGAGAGAGATCGAGCGCCATGGAGGAGAAGATGAGCGGGTTGTCGAGGCCGCGACTGCGGATCTGTTCGCCGCACGCTTCGAGGAGCGCCAGTACACGTGCGGCTTCGAGTTGAATGTGCCAGCCTTCGGTGGAGTAGCCGTATGCATATGGGGGCTTTTGAGCGATGGCGTGTGCGACGTCCGAGGTATAAGAGGATGGAGCATTGGAGGGTAGGTGGTTGAGGCTGGAGCGGGGGGTTACGGTGTGCAGTGCGTTTGAAGGATGGAGGAGGCGGGTGTTGGTGACCGAGGTTGATGAGGATGCGAGCGTGGCTGGGCGTGGTGGTGGTGCATCTTGCAAGCGACCGAACTCGGAGGTGGTGCCATTGGAGGCCGTTGAAGATGGAGGCAGCGTGGCATTGCGGGGTGCGTCCTTGGGCGGTAAGGTCGGGAGGTCGTCCTTGGTAGGCACGCTTGGGAGGAGGTGCGCATCTGCGGTGCTAGGCGTGGGCGACGAGAGGCCGAGGCGATCGATGTCGGCTGAGCTGATGGCGCCCGTATAGGTCTTTGATCCGCCGAGTGGGGAGAGCGATTGTTTGGGCTTGGACTTTCTCGAGAAGAGGCCGGGCATGATGAGCAGGTCTGCGCCGCAGCGCTGGTCGGGATGGATGAGCAGCACACGATGAAGATGGTACCGGTATGGGGGTATAGGGTGTTGTGGGTATGCGCGATTCGGACGCTAGGAACGCGACTGCCGGATTGGCAGAGGTCGTGGTGGTGGGACAATGGGAGTGATTGGGATGAGGCGCGGGCCGAATTGTGCCGCTGGCCAGGGGGGGAGAACCAGTGCAGGCGAGCTGTTGGAGGGTGCAGCAGCGTTGTGCAGCCACTCAGAACTCGCTTCGAAGTGCGTGTGACAGTTGGGATGTGAGAGGCACAATCGAGTGTTGGTTCCACACGCACGTCCTGCACCTCGCACACGCTCTCTCTCTCTCTCTCACGCAACAGCCACCCCACCCACGCCCAAAGCCACGGCTCAGCTGCACCGGCGCAGGGTCTGCTGAGCAACGCCCGCCAACTCTCTTTTTTTTGGTCTTTTTCCGCGGCTGATCATTTTCTCTTGCAGGTCCCCCTTGCTTGCCTGCCAGCAGCACACACACTCGAGTCGCTCAAATTCACCACACTCACCAGAACGCGAAGTGATAGAGCGGGGGGATAAGCAAGATTCACATGCTGGCTATGTACAAGGACGGGCGTGATTAGTGGCAGGCCGAGGCGAGCGAGGAGCCCACCCGGGACACTGCCAAAGATGGAGCGTTAGGGATAGATAAGGGGTGTCCGTAAAGGGATGCCAGCGGGCGGGCCAGCAATAGCTTACTGAGCCTTGGCGGTGGCCGCCTTGGCGCTGCCCTCGAGAGCCTGGCGCTTCTTCTCGGCCTGGCGCGCACGAGCACGCTTGTACGAGAGGTCGGTGCCCATGAAGCTGTCCCACCAGCGGAAGGAGGTGGAGTAGCAGCCGACGAACGCCTGGTGGTGGTAGTCGTGGTGGTCGGCGCCCGCCCAGAAGGGAATCCAGTTGTGCATCGAGATGGGGAAGTCGTAGCCCGAGTGCGCGTCAATCGCCTGGAAGAGGCGCAGCACGATCCAAATGTACACGGTGAGGATGTGCATGTCCTTGGTGAACGCGCACAGCATGAACGGTCCGCCGATGGTGCCCATGCCGAGAATCAGCACCTCGAGCGGATGCGCGTACTCGGCCGCCAGACCGAAGGGTGCCGAGTACTCGTGGTGCTTCTTGTGGATGTGCTTGTACAGCGGGCCCCAGTGCAGCGCGCGGTGCGCCCAGTAGTGGAAGGCATCCTCAAACAGGAAGAAGAGCCCGATCTGCCATGCGATCTTGGTCCAGTGCGGGAAGGGCACCTCGTGCGTCGCCAGGCCAAAGTACTCGCAGATGGGGTGGAACGACCAGATCTGCGGCAGTTCCACGGTAAAGTGCGACAGCAGCACGTACTTGGTGCACTTCCACTGCTGCTCCGGGGTGGGTACCTTGTCGTCCTGCAGCTTGTACTTGCGCATGCTCGGCATGGCGTCGATGATGATCCACGGGATCGCACGGCCAAAGTACACCACCTCGTGCAGCATAAACGACATGATGCCCGTCGCCAGTACCGGGTTGCCCCAGTACAGGTACCAGTTCGCCCATGCCTTTTCGAAGACGTTGAGCGACGCCAGATCCGTGTTCTTGTACAGGTCCGCCGCCAGCTGCGTGGTGGCCGGGTTGAGCAGCGACCCGACGGTCGAGTTGAACTGCTGCGAAACAAACTCCATCGTAGCGAAGGTCTGCCAACGGTGCTAGGTGCACGTCGACTCCGGAGATGAGGGTGTTGTGGTGGTGGTGGTGGTGGAGGAGGAGGAGCAAGGAAGCTCTTTCGTCGCACCCACGACTAAGGCACGCGGTGGCCGACAGGGCAACACGCAGTCGGAGCGTGCAGCTGCAACCGCCCGGGCTGCCTCGGCCACGTCTCTGCTTCTGGTTCGGAAATTCCCAGGTAAGCACGCAGCCTCACGCCATTTTTGGCCGTCGCGCTGTGCTGCCCCCAAAATGTTTAGGGTTTTTGGGCTTCGGCGTCTCGCAAATCAGAGAGAGATTTTCTTCGCAGACGCGCGGCGGTGTTACTTTGGAAGCGGAACATCTGCTGATTTCGTGCCTCTCTCTGCTTCGCCCTGTCGCCCTCGCGTTTCACAGCAAAACTTGCTTTTTTTGGGGGGGCAGCTTAGCTGAGACCCGCGCAGCGCTGCTCGACGCGTGCCGCACTCAGCACACAGTCAAATCACCCGATTCTTGCCACCCCTCGCACCGTTTGTTTTTGCCACCTGCACCGCAAATCACAGCCTCAACCCTTCTCTGCCACTGCCGACATTCGGCGAGCTCCGCGCCCTGACCCATAACATTCGCTCTAACATCGTTAATCCTCCGTAAAAAATCCGCCTGCCCACACACACTCAGCTCGAAGCACATCTGCTCAGCGAGTGACTTTTGCATTTGTTGTACATTGGGCTGTGGGGTTAAAGTACAGAAATCTGCGCACTAGGCGCTCTGGATGACATAGTTGACGATCGAGCCGAGACTGTTGATGTCCTGGTGCGCTTCGTCGAGCAGTCGCGTGAGCTCGGGTTGCGTCTGCAGCCACTCGAGTTCGGATGAGAACGGCAGCGGTGCCGGCATCGGCTGACCCGCCGAGGTAGGGGAAGCAGCGAAAGCTGCAGGATCGATTCCTTCGAGCTGGTGCGCATGCAGCTTGTTGCGACCAAGGCGCGCCTCGATGAGATCGACACCCGGCGCATCTGCGTGCGTCTGAAGGTAGGCAGCTACGAGGTGGAGTACGTCGAGCGAGTTGCGCGTGATGGGTCGAACCACCTCCTCTTCCACCAGCTGCGCAAGCGCTACAGGGAGCGGAGCAAGTTCCGGAACAGCCACTTCTGACGGCTCGATTGCATCGGGCACGGCCGGGGCATCGTCGATCTTCTCCGGAGTGGCAGCTGCAGTATGACCTGCGGAACGGAGGGTGGCGTCAGCTTCCTCGGCCGCGGGTGTCGCAGTGCCCGCCTCTTCCGTCGAGTCGCGCCACTGGAACGGTCCGCGTCGCGAAGCCGCCGTCGGTTCGGGTGTCGGCTCGGCCTCTCTGGCCTTGCGCAGTGCTGCGGCCGCCACAAGCTGCGCCTCGGCCTGCGCCATGCGCTGCTCGTACGCGTCGTCGGCCTCGTCCAGCAACATCGCATGCTGCGTCGCCCCACTCACAAACTCGGCTACACTTCGGACATACGCCCTGCCCTCCACCCCGCCGTACACCATGTCCGCCACTATCCGGCTAGCATCCTGCCTCTCGCGCTCGGTGAACAAGGCACCTGTGCGCTTTGCCTCACCAGTGCGAGCAGCTTCAACGAATCGATCCTTGACGTTGCGCGGGAGTGTGAAACCCTCGCGCTTGTCCTGCAGCTCGGCCTTGATCGCTTCCAACCCGTCCTGCGCGAGTGCAGTCGTAGCCAGCCCATGATCTCGCGCGTCGTCGTCTTGCTTTGCCGCCGTGCCAGACTTGCTTTGGGATGCAGCCCTCGGGCCGTCCGATGCTTGCATAGCCGGGACCAGCGCACCAAACGGCCCCAGATCCGTGATCTCAAGCAGCCGAGTCAGCGTGGGTCGGAAATAGCTCCAGTCCTCGAGCGTCTCCTTCTCCCTCTCGCGCTCCTTGTCCTTCTGCTTTTTGGGCCGCTTGTCGTTCTTGATCGCCTCGACGTACGCTGGATTGCTCCACGAGTGCGGCAGGCCACCAGCCTCACGAGCCCCCTTGGGCGCAATGCTCGGTGCAAGAAACGGCAGATTGCGAAAGTGAGGCGGCAGCGGCTCCACGTCGTGGCTGAGGTTGGTGTGCAGAGGTTCGGGTTCGGGCGCGATCGCCGAGTAGAGCGGGTCGGGTGCACCAGGACGCGCGGGCGGTAGCGAGGAAAGCGGATCCTTGTCGCCCTTCTCCTTGCTCTCGCCTTTACCATCATCGTCGTCGTCGTCGCCTTCGTCCGCCTTGTCTTTGACTTTCTCCTTGCCCTTTTCCGCTTCCTTGTCCTTGGCCGCCGAATCCGGTTTCGGCTTGTCGCCGGCGCTGGAGCCGGTGTAGTCGCCCGGGATAAAGCCGATCGGATGCAGCGATTCGAGCATCGGCATGAGCACGTGGCGACCCGTGCGGTGGAGCGTGAGGAAGGTGTGCAGGTCCTCGATGTCATCTGGGTTGATCGAGCCATCGTCGTCGAACGAATAGCTGCCCAAACCTGGCTGCAACTGCGTCTGTGACAGATTGGCCATCAGCTGTGCGGCTGCTGCGGCAGCAGCCGAGGGATCGGTGGCAAGACCCGGTGTGCCTGCGGCCTCGGCTCCACTCTCGGCACCTGCGCCTGGTGTGGCCGATCCGGTGAGCCCGGTTCGAGCGAGCAGACGCTTGGGCGTTCCGGGCGCTCCGAGGCGTTGCTTGAGCTTCTGCTTGGATGCCTTGCCCGTGCCTCCTACTGTGCCTGGACCCATGGGACTGGCGAGCGCCTGGATGGGCGTGCCCGTCACCGCCGCGAGTCGCTTACGCAGCGCATCGGGGCTGGCCTGGCGCTGACCCATGGGAGTCGAAGGCGTGCCGCCAGGCTGGGACGAGCCCAAACGACGGCTACCTGAGCCTGCTGGTCCATCGAAGGTCACGGATCGTTCGCGCGAGTCCCTTCCGCCCGCAAAGCCGGCGCGTGCGCCCTCGTCGTCCGAGACATCCATGTCGTCGTCGTCGTCCAGATCCATGTTGGCATCGCCGCCGTGCGCGCCACCGCTGGGCTGAACCGAGTCCTCGCGCGTAAGCGTTCCGCCCGTCAGGCCGAGAGCGACTGCGGCACGCTGCCTGGCTTGCGATGTGACGCGTGCGGCCTCCATGATTGCCTCCACGCCTGCGCTGAATGCGAACTGCGACCCGCGCGCGCCTAGACGAGTGGTCATCTCACCACCTGTGGCATCCGAGCCCACTGCCACTTGCGCATCGCCAAGCGGGGGTATGGATGCGTCGCGCTGCAGCGCCTGATTCTGCTGCTGCACTGCGCCACGCAGGACGCGCCGTCCCGAAGCGTCGGCGACTTCGATGATGCCGCCGCCAGTTGCGATAGACGCAGCCTCGCGCGCCATCCTCTTCTGGCGCCGGAGCTCGTCGCCCTTGACGCCGGCGCGGCCGTTGTCGTTGACAGCCATGCCCTCGCGCTCGATGGCTCGGTTGCCCCACGTGGCGATGCGCTTGGCTTCGTTGTGGTAGAGCGTACCCTCGGGGTTGAACGTCTGCGCGTTGGAGATGACGAGCTGGAAATCGGCTTTGAACTCGTCCATGTGGCTGTAAAGGCGGTCGTCGACCTTGCGCTGCATGGTGCCAAAGTCCATGGGCGTCTTGATCACGTCCAGGTAGCCAGGCACCTCGTCTGGGTTGACGGGCTCGCAGAAGAACTTATAGCTGTCGCGACGCTGCAGGTTTTCGATGAGCTTGGGGATGGCTTCGTAGAGGCCTTTTGAGCGCAGACGCTTGATGGGTCGGCGGAAAGGGTTGGAGCTGCTGCCGTTGGCCGTGCTCTTGAATGCTCCGTTCTTTCCACGCAGGCGTGGTGCCGGAGCGTTGTCGCCGGATGCGCCAGCTTCGGTGGCGATGCCGTTGGCATCTGCCGTGCCATGGGCTGCCGAAGAGCCTGCATCCGCTCCGCCTGCGTCCTCGTCGCCCTCTTCGTCTTCTTCGTCCTCGTCCTCCTCGCCGTCTTCCCGGTCCTCATCGTCATCTTGATCGTCTTCGTCGTCGTCCTGGTCCGATGCATCGGCCGAGGCTACAGGCTGGTTGTCGAGCTCGCCATCGTCGGCGTCATCATCTTGCCCATCGTCGTCCGAGTCGTGCAGATTCGAGAAGCGTGTTGGCGTCGAGTGTGATGCATCGAATGCAGGAGCTTTCCTCTTGAGCGAGATGCGTATGCCACCTAGGGAGCTGGTGGGCCGGCTGCGGTTGAGCGAGGGCGAGGCCTGTTCGGGCGTGTCGAGCTCTGCTGGCGGTCGTGGTCGGCCAAGCTTGATCTGAAGCGTGCGTCGCTTGGGTGGCGGCTCATCCGGATGCGAGCCGACACCCCTTCCCTGCTGCGCCATGCCTCGTGACGATAGCGGAAAAGGCAGCCGTCGAACTGGCGTGGCGACGGCGCCGTGACTGGCTTTGCTTGCTCTGTCGGTGACCTGAGGTCCCAGCCGACAAGGAATGCGCCAGCTGCGGGTTGTTGCTCTCGTGCGGCGTGGGGCGTGCGGGGTGCTCGTGTGCTTGTTGCGTCAATATCAAAATGGCCGAAGCGGGAGACGAGGGCGCAGTCGATTTCGAGGTGGCCTCACTCGCTCTCCCTCTCACCTTGCGACTGCGTGCGATTTTTCTGTTTTTTTCATCTCCTTTCGTACGAGAAAATCGTTCTTCTTCTTCTCTTCTCGAACCTCACCAGCCGCTTCGCATTCAGAACCTGCCAGAGCTTCACACGGCACACCACGCCTTCACAGCCAGCGAGGACGAGCAAAAGGGTATCTTGATCACAGCAGAGACAGTGCGGACAGCTGCGAGTATACATGATGGAGTGCGACATAGGCACGCTCAGACCTCCTTGTAGATCTTGATGGTCTTGTCGGCGCCGCCGGTGATCAGACGCGTGCCGGTTTGGTCAAAGGTGGAGCAGAATACGCCCGCCTCGGCATCGAGCGATCCTGGCTGGGGCAGATCCTCGGCCACCTGGAAGGGCACGCCGGTGGCATAGTCGAAGAACTTGAGGCTGCCGTCGTCGCCGCCACTGAAGAGCACGCCGTCGGCGTTGACGCTGAGCGTATTGACGAGCGTGTCGTGAGCCATGTTGTTGACAAGCGTACCCTCGGGACATCTCCACGTCTTGATATTGTTGCCGCCCGCACTGCCGGATGCAAACGTGTACTGCGTCGGGTGGATGGCGAGAGCGCGCACACTCTTCTTGTGGTGCGTCAGCGTGGTGATCGACTTGCCCGCGGCGAGATCCCACAGCTTGACCGTGGCATCCATGGAGCCCGAGATGATCTGCGGCTCGGAAGCCTGGCACGCCACGGATGCGACGGTGCCGCGGTGGCCAGTCAGGACGTGCACAGCCTGCCTTGTACGCATGTCCCACACACGCGCCGTAGCATCACGGCCACCTGTGACGATCAGATCCAGAGTGGGATGAAGCGCGAGCGAGTAAATGCCCGACAAGTGGCCACCGTACTGTCGGATGACCTTGTTGGTCTCCAAGTCCCAGCACTTGACCACGCGGTCTTCGCCCGCCGAAAAGAGGTACGGATGTCGGTCGGAAATGGCAATGCCGCGTACGGGCGAGATGTGGCCAGTGAGCGAGAGCTTGAGCTCGCCCGAGGCGAGGTCCCAGATCTTGATCATGCGGTCGCCTGCGCCGGTCGCGAACCACTTGTTGCCCGGTTCCACCGCCACGCAGCGCACCCAGCCGAGGTGACCCGAGATGACGCGGGCGAGCTTCCAGTTGGGATGGAACGCGGGCTTGGCCTTGCGACTCGCCATCTCCTTCTTCTGGATGAGCGCTTGAGAGAGCAGTCCCGAGGTTCCACCGCGATGTGACGCCAGCGCAAGGGCGTTTGATCCACCCGCAGAAGCTGCCGAGTGTCCGTTGGATGCACCGGCTGCACCGTTGCTGCGGATCGTAAGCGCCTGGCTTGTCGATGGACCCACTGGCCCAACCCCGCCGGGTGCGGATGCCGAACCGCCGGCGTCGATCTGATCGATCAGCCGGGATAGATGCGTCTCGTCGCCTCTCCTCTTGGCTGGTCTCGCTGCTCCCGCTGCACTTGGTGCGCCCGGACGGGCAGGACCTGCAGCGGCTTGCTGCTGTGCGAGGATGGCAGGTGGCAGCACCTTGGCATCGGCATACTCGGAGCTGATCTTTGAGGAGAGGTGTGCTTTTGCCGGTTCGAGAGCAGAAGCGTCTCCAAAGTTGTCAAAGTCATAGTCGTCCTCGATGCGAAACAGGATGCGCGCACGTTTCGAAGAACGGGCGAAGAGGTCGCCGAGCGGAGGCAGCGCTGGCTGCTCAATTGCTGCCGACGAGCTGGAAGGACCGGCATGGCTCGCTGAAGAGGAAGCAACGGACATCGCTCGGTCTATAGAGCCGGTGTCGATTGAGATGGCGGAGAGAGCGGGTCGTGGATGCAAGTGGAGATGCAAAGCCATCGACGTCCGCGAAGAAAGCCGCCGCGCCGTTGCAATTTCGGCAATCGGGCAGAGCTGCCTCGAAAAAGTGCGAAAGTGCCTCAAAAAGTCGCGCTCAGTCTCGCGGTAAGAACACGACACTCATGGCTGCGACAGATCACGAGTCGCAATCAATTTCAAGTGTACCTGCTGAAGTGTTGACGACGAAAATGAATGAGCCTCGAATCGGACGCGTTGAGTGCGGAAACTCCGGTCACTAGCACGTCGCTCCCACTCCCACTCCGCCTTTCCTCATTACAACCACCATCGCCCGACCATCACTGGTATCCGTACATACCTAGCCGACCTCAGAGCAGCAGCGCGCCTTTCGGCAAGTCGACGACGAAGAAAAGGCTGGAACTTGCACTCCGCTTTCTCTCTCCATCGCTTACTGAAGCCAACGGGCTTTCACTGCCTTTGACGCGCTCGACTTTGCTCGATTGGTACTACCGCCGCCATGACATCAAAAGACCTCTCGCTCGAGGAGCTCAAGGACCTGCAGAAGCAGCTCTCGAAGCTCGCAAGCTCGACCGACTCAGACGCCATCCTTTCGGTCTTCTCCAAACTCAAAAGCGGCCTCTCGGCGCCCACAGAAGATGTGATTCGCCAGAGCAAGATCGGTGTCGCCGTGGGAAAGTTGCGCTCGCACTCGGACAAGAAGGTTGCCGACCAGGCCAAGGCGCTCGTCAAGGACTGGAAGGCCACCGTGGACAAGCAGCGCGCACAGCAGCAATCCAGCGCCGCCAGCAGCAAGCCCTCGTCCTCGTCCGCCTCGCCCGCTCCCGCATCCAAGCCAGCAGACGCCGCGGCTGAAGCAGAAAGCAACGGCGCAGCAGCAGCGAAATCGTCGGCGCCATCGGCATCTGCAGCACCGGCTTCGACAACAAAGATCGACTTTGAGATCCTGCAGGACAAGGTGCGCAATGCGTGTCTCAAGCTGCTCTACCAGGCGCTCGAGATCGGCAAGGAGCAGCACGGCCACAGCGACTCTCAGGTGTTTGACGCCGCCATCGCGGTCGAGGCCGCCATTCTGGCCAACCAGGGCAAGGGAAGCGTGACGGCCGACTACCGCAACAAGGTGCGCAGTCTGTCGCTCAACATCAAGGACAAGAACAACCCGGACCTGCGCGTGCGCGTCGTCGAGCGCGACATTGCCGCCGACAAGCTCGTCACGATGACCAACGAGGAACTCGCGAGCGACAAGCGCAAACGCGAGATCGAGGAGCTCCAGATGCAGAACCTCTTCAAGGCCAAGGGCGCCGCCGCACAGGAGGCAGAGACCGACGCCTTCCAGTGCGGACGATGCAAGCAGCGCAAGACCAGATACTACCAGATGCAGACCCGATCCGCCGACGAACCCATGACCACCTTCGTCACATGCACAAACTGCAACCACAAGTGGAAGTTCTGCTGATCTCTCATATGCAACCACTCTGGGAAATTGTATTTGTACCCGCCAAAGCCCGGACCGTGATCACACGCGAGACAACCACCGCTCACCGACGTATTCAGGCGTTTTGAGATAACCATGTGCTCATTCTGGCGAGCGAACCTAGTAAACAGACGGAAGGTGGGGGAATCAAGTAGCGCAACCGAGCGCGGGGGTCAAAGTGGGGGGGGAAAGGGGGCAGAGATGGTGGTGGGGTGGATCGTGAGGGTATTCAGGCGGCCTGGGCCGTCGAGGGGGCATGAGCCGCCTCGAGGTCCTTCTCGCTGTTTGCGGGCGAGAACTTGGCGTCGACGGAGGCCTGTGCGTGCGAGATCTCGGCGCCCTCTTCGGGCCTGTGGAAGTCGTGCAGCAGCGGGAGGGTGAAGACCTCCTCTCCGATCTGGGCCAGGTCGATACCCAACGACTCGTCCTCTTCCGACGCGCGGAAGTGGCAGCCGGGGATACGGTCGATGGCGAACAGCAGGATCAGCGTGAGCACAAAGCTCCAGCCGAAACCCGATGCCGAGTCGGCGAGCTGGTAGCCGAGCTGGATCCAGTTGTGGTTGATCCATCCACCGGGAATGGGCGTCGAGCCGTCAAACGACGCCACGCGGTTGTCGGCGAAGAAGGCAGTGAGGATGTTGCCGACCATACCGCCAATACCGTGTGCCGCAAAGATGTCAAGTGCATCGTCGTAGCCGAGCAGGTTCTTGAGGCCGGTGGCAAAGTTGCAGGCGGTACCGCCGACGACGCCAAAGGCAACGGCAGCGGGGGTGCCCACGTAACCGGAAGCGGGCGTGATGGCCACGAGACCCGAGATGGCGCCGGAGCAGAAGCCGACGGCGGACCACTTGCGCTCGAGCCTCCAGTCCCAGAACATCCAAGTGAGCGCACCGACCGACGCGGCGACCTGGGTGACCATCATGGCCTGCACGGCACGCAGGTTGGCGCCGAGCGCCGAGCCGCCGTTGAAGCCGAACCAGCCGAACCAGAGGAAGACGGTGCCGAGGATGCAGTAGCCGACGTTGTGCGGGCGGTACGCCAGCTGCTCCGAGCCGTAACCCTTGCGCTTGCCCAGGAAGATCGAGATGGCGAGCGCAGCCGTACCCGACGAAATGTGCACGGGCGTACCACCAGCAAAGTCAAGACCACCCATCACGTTGGACCAGCCAAGACCGACGTTCCAGGTCCAGTAGGCGATCGGGTTGTACACAATCGTCGTCCAGCAGAACGCAAAGATCATCACGGGCCCCAGGCGCGCACGGTCGGCAAACGCACCGCACGCGATGACCACCGTGATGGCGGCGAACATCATCTGGTAGATGCAGTACAGCAGCTGCGGCAGCACCGTGCCTCCGGACGAAGGACCAATGTCCACACCCATCAGACCAAAGTTGTCCAGGTTCTAATCACACAATACAAGCGACATCGTTAGCTCCAGCTCATGCTCTGTTGCAGAAAGGGAAAAGACTTACGCCGATGAACTTGTTGGTCGAGGTTGGCGAGAAGGCGAGCGAGAAGCCCCAGAAGAACCATTCGAACGTGACGACGGCCATCAGACACATGGACATCCACAGCATCGACAGCGCCGACTTTTTGCGCAGCAGACCCGAGTAGAAGAATCCAACGCCGGGGATCATGATGAATACGAGCGCCGTCGACACGATGATCCACGCCATGTTGCCGAGGTTATAGATGATGTCCGTCGGCTCGCCGGCGACGACGGCGTTGGTGAGGATGTTGCCATCCGCCATGTTGGTTGCGTTGACCATCTCGGGCTAGATTGAAAGGCTGTGTGCCTTTTATATCTCGACCAGCGATCGAGATCGATTGGAACAAAAGGAAGGTGGGGGGAAAGGGAGGCCCAGTGGAGCGGAAGGTTGCTCTCTTTTTTAATGAGCTGGGGGAGAGGAGACCGGACCGTAAGGTCAGCGAGATTGCTCGTGGCGTAGGGCGTAGGGCGTGTGGTGGGGATGCTTCGAGGGCAGGCGGTGTGGGACGTGGATCAGCCAGGGCTATATATGCTTCCAGATGAAGACACGGCGGGGTTGGGCGTGGGTAAGTCGACGTCCGTTGGCCTGGCGCGCGCGGTTGCCGCCAACGTTCTCAAGGTCTGTGGGGCACTGCAACTGTCATTCGCGAACGGTGGGCTGTTCCAGGAACGGGGATTAGAGGGTACAGTATCTAATCAAGCGAGATCTGCGTTTGCGGAACGACAACACTGCACAATGCTTCGAAGCAGCAAAACCGCTGGAGCGGACAGTGGGGACGTTACGGAGCGGCAGGACAACAAGGGGATTGGCGCTCCGACGCCCGCATCCAACGGGCATCTCGCTCGAAACTGCGGCCCAAGACGATAGGAAGCGACCGGATCACCTGCCCATCCTCTACCTGCACCGCTCCGAACCCAGCTACCTTGATCCTCGCTCATCTCATCCCCCGTCCCATTGGAGCTGCCAAGTTACCAAGCCATCTTGGCAAAGTTCGGCTGTCCACGAGCTTCTCTAAAGTGGACGCGCTGGTGGTGCACCGGGGCATCTCGGAGACACCTTGGCTTAGGCGAGGTGTTGCCAAGACGACCAAGCCTTGATCTGATGCGGGGCCGTCATTTCACGCATCCTGAAGAGATCGCTCAATGGCGAAGCGGAACAGGGCGGGCTTGGAGTTTGAAACCGACCAAGAGGCCAAGCTTGACAGAAGCTTCGAGGTGCGAGCCGAGCATGAGTCCGTTATCTCTCGGATGCACATTGCGGTACCTGCATCTACAGCTCTTCGCCTCGGCACCGCAGTCCGCCTGCGCCCGGTCACGATGGGTGTCCAGCCCTACCTGGACTCGCGATGAGCCTGGGGAAGCAGGAGGGAAGAGAATTTTGCTTATCGGCCAACATCGCGGGCAAAACGAAGGAGAAGACGCGGGGGACGAAAGCCGGCACGGCGGCCGAGCTGAGTGGTCCTGAGGTGCGGAGAGCGTTCCTGATGAAGCTCGCCAGAGATAAGGCGCGTGCCGGTATGGCCGGAGCGAGCGAACTCAGGGTTGCAAGGTTGCGAGGCAGGGTTTGAAGGCCACATGCACATGGCAGCCGCGTGGGGATCGCTCGCCGAGATAAGCTTTGCCGAGACGAGGCGCAACTCGACATTCTGCACACACACACACACACACACACCCCGATAAGAGCCAACTTCAGCCTCCGCCCGCAGCACCTCTACGCGTCGCCCGCCGGGATAGCCAGGCGTATATAATCTCGACCCGCTTTCCTGGCTCTTCTGTGCGAGTCGACTCGCGGTCTGGCAGTTGGGTTGGACCGAGCAACGGTTGCTGAGGCAGCGTATCATAGCAGTCTGAACGATGGTGGGATCGATGAACACCAAAATGAAGCAGAGTGTTTGGTCGGCAGAGCAGTGTTGGATCGGTTGGCATGGCGTGGGCGCCTATCACTAGCTGACAGATTTATCTGCGTCCAATCACGTTGCGCCAATTTTTACCTCGCTTCTTGCCGAGTATTGCACTCGACCTAACAAATTCAAGGAGATTCTGATCGTGCATCGGGCCGATGGACGTGCCGATGCAAAGCATGACCGCTGTGACAAGTTCACCTCAAGCAGCTCTGACTTTGCACACTGCTTGCACACGCAGCTCACACGAAGCCGGTGCTTAATCGGATAAAGACGTAGTATGAACAGCACGACCCTCGAATCACAACCAGTGCTTGGGGAAGTGCTTGAGCGTTGGGCGGTCGGCGCGGAGGTAGTGGCGCTTCTTGTCCTGGCGGATGAGGCTGGCCCTTGGGTCGAGCGGGAGCGCATCCACGTCTGGCGTCCTGACATTAGCCTCTTTGATGAGTGCATCGAGCGTGTCGGAGCACCACTTCATGTTCTGTCTCTCGTTGGGGAAGAGTTCGCACGAGATCTTGATGTCACCCTTGGGCTGTTCCTGCGACGTAGCCGGTGTGGCGGTGGGGTGGAACCTGCTGCCTGCAAGAAGCAGGAGTTTGTGGCGCGACTTTTCGTCCTTGACAGCACCGGCGTTGGCGAGGGCATCGACGCTGACGTTGAGCACGACCTTGCGCGAGGCCGGGTGCTTTTCGCCCTGGTAGTGCTGGAAGCGGTACTGGACACACTGCGCCGTCGTGGGCGGCTTGTACGCCTGACGCATACCGGCGAGCTTAGGAATTTCGAACTCGATCGTGCGCAGCAGCTGCAGCGTCTCGCGCTTGCGCTGCAGGATCAAGTGGCCCAGCGTCGGCACATCGTCGTAGTTGAACTTGCCCATCTTGCGAAGCGCCATGGGGTCGTTGGAGTTGCGCTGCTTGCGCGGCTTGGCAGCGGCACTTGCGGAGGCCGAGAAGGCGCGCGTGCTGCCATTTGCTGGGTTCAAGGCGCTGCGAGACGAGGATGCTGCTGCAGCACTCGCAGTGCGTATCGACGAGGATCCGAGAGCTACCGACATGGTGATGGTGGTCGGATGTAAGAGGAGGGACTGTGGGGACCAGCTGGGTGTTCCTGGAGACTTTTGCCTCTGAGTGGTGTGGTGGCAATGACCGAGTCGAGAGCCTGGCGGTGAGAAGCAGGTGGAGCAGATGGGATGAAGCAAGGAGGCCGATACAGTGCGCGAAAAAGATGGCGGTGGACGACGCTCTGCAAAGGCTGCGAAGAAAGCTTCTCGTCACGTGCCCTTTGCTAAGAAGTCTAACATGCTGATTTTTTTCCAGAAGTTGTTCCGCGGACCGGAGGCGCTGTGGAAGAAATTGCGCATCTGCAACTTTGTTCGCGGGCTGGACCCTTTGCGCCTTTCCTCCACCACCGCCTTCTACCAACATGCATCCCACACCCGTTCTCGCGGCCACTCCAGCCGCTGCGCCCTCACAGCCACCTTGTGACGATGCGCCGCGTGAACAGTACATGCTGGTGCTGTCGGGGCTGATCGGGAGTGGCAAGTCGACGTTCGCCCGGGCGCTGGTGGAGCATTTTGGCGACTGGCGTCGGTGCAACCAGGACGAGCTTGGCGATCGACACGCCGTGGTGTACGCTGCACGCACAGCGCTGCTTGCTGGCTACCACGTTGTGATTGACCGAACCAACATCGATGCCAAGCAGCGTCGGACGTGGTTGGAGCTGGCACGCGAGCTCAATGCGTCCACCGCGGACGGCGAGCGCACACGCAGCGTGGTGACGATCTCGCTCACGCTCACCATTTCGATCGACGAAGCGGAACGAAGGCTGAAGCTTCGCGTTGGTCACGAGACGATCCAGACTCCGGAACAGGCACTAGGGATTCTGCCGCACTTTTTGAGGACGTATCAGAAGGCATCCAGCGAGGAGGGTTTCCATTATGTGCTCACATGGCCAGCCACGAGGATGTCGCAGAATCCGACGCGCGACGAGGTCAACGCGATGCTGTTCGACAGGCTTAGTGTGGAGGAGAGGGGAGAGGGTGTTCTGCCGGAACGACCACCGCCCAGAGCAGGAGGAAGGGGAAGGGGGAGGGGGAGGGGACGAGGCGAGGCTAGACCGACAAGGGGTTCATCGGCGCTTCATACGCCCCACCTCGCTCAACATGGCCTGTTGGAGCCAGTACAGCAGCAACCTGGACTCGACAACTCACACACCCCGCCCTCGTTCGCTGCGGCCGCAGCTACACCTCCAGCCCCATCGGCGGCTGTGCCGATTCAACCGCCTCTTTGACAGTACCGCCGGCTCGAACGTTAGGCTGCGTAGGACAAGATACCCCCGATATGGCAAACCCATTCAGAATCTAGATTACATGAATGCCCTCGACCACGCGCTTCGAATGCAGGCTTGTGTGTCCTACTCCTTCTTGGCATCGTTGGTTGAAGATGGATCTGGCTCGGGCTCGGGCTTGAGCTTGGCTTTCGACCCGAGGTCGGCGGCAAGTTGGTCGACCTCGTCTGACTCTGTGCTAGTCTTGTCTGCAGCTTGAACCTCTTTAGCGGATGGCTTGGACTTTTCTGGTTCCTCCGCCTCTGTCCGGGTCGGCTTGGCGTCGTCTAAGCTTCGATGCCCCTCGGACTTGAGGTTTTGCAGCTCTTCGTGCCACTCTTTACCCATGAGTTGCGTGAGCTTTTGTACTGCATCGTCAGCCTTGCCCTGCCAAAAGACATCGCGCGTGCTTCGTCTGCCGCCGTACGCGAGGCCGTCGAAATCGAATCCCGATTCCGCAAACATGGTCGAGCCCATGCTACCGCCCGCATAGCCATCCGAGCTGGCGATCTCGCCGACCTTTTCGAGGTTGAGCAGCACACGTGGACAGTCTGCGGGGACGGCATCGATGAGCGATGCAAACGGCTGTACCTGCAACGACGTACCCATCACTATCAACAAATCCGCCTTCTTGAGATCCGGAATGCATCGGAAGAATCTCGACGGTAGACTCTCGCCAAAGAATACAATGTCCGGCTTAACCAGTCCGCCCCCGCCCCTCTTCCGACCGGGACATTTCGGTCGTGGACACCTTGCCACCTCTCCCTTCTCGACCTTAGTCCTGATCCATTCCGGGTCCACACGATGCTTGCATGCGATGCACGTGGAAGTGGCAAAGCTGCCGTGGGCTTCGACGATGCGTTCCGCGCTTACGCCAGCGATGCGCTCGAGCGTATCCACGTTCTGGGTGAAGACGCGCAGCAGCTTGTTGCGCGCCTGCAGCTGCGCCAAAAAGTAGTGCGCCAGCGCAGGCTTGAAGTTGCCCGGATACAGATGCTTGGCGAGCGTGAAGAACGGCTGCGGCTTGCGCTGGAAGTAGCCGATATCAAAGATCGCTTCTGCATAAGGCAGATTGTACTGCGCCAGATTCGAGTAGAGACCTGTGCCGGGCGATCGGAAGTCGGGGATGGGTGGGGAGGCGGATGTGGAGATGCCTGCGCCGGCGAGCACGACGACGTTGCGTGTGGCAGGCGAGGCGAGCAATGCGGCTACGCCTTCGAGCGAGGGACCATGCGGCGACGGAAAGAATGCGTTGTTGCTGTCGGTGCCATGGTGAGGTGGCATGGTGAGAGAGGACCGTGCGGTGGTGGCGGGAGGAGGAGTGTCGTGTGGAGGCGGAGAGGCGGGGAAGTGGATTTTTCAGGCGCGTTTTCGGGCTTACTTTTTTGGAACGATAATTCGGCGAATTCTGGGAGAAGAGCGGTTCGGCTCGGCCCTCTGCGTTGATTCTGCAAAGCCGGTGGGTGGGTCGTCTTCGTGAAATCGCAATTTTGGTGGGGACAGGCGGCGACCGGCTCGGCTTCATACGTCACGCCGTCCAACCTGACGCACTTCCTGTCCCACCAGAGTCTCAAATTAAGAAGAAGCACCTCCCCCACCCGCGCTTTGACCTTTGCTTCCCACCCACCATCTTACCTCACAGCATCTGCAAACATGGCCGAACTCATCACCGCCAACGACCCGCGCAAGGTGGTCGTCATCACCGGTTGCTCGTCCGGCCTCGGCCGCTCCATGGCCATCGAGTTCGCCGCGCAGCCGCACTACCGCGTGTTTGCCACGGCGCGCAACGTCGAGGCGCTGCGCGAGCTGCCGGCGACCATCGAGCGCGTCCAGCTCGACGTGACGGATACAGAGTCGATCAAGGCCGCATTCGACAACATCCGCCACTGCACCAAGGACCGCATCGACATCCTCATCAACAACGCCGGCGTCAACCTCGCCGTTGGCCCCCTCATCGAAACACCCATCGACAACATCCGCAAGACATTCGATGCGAATGTAAGTCGGCCACTCCCCTCTTCGCGCCCTCTCTCAACGCTCGTGCTGACTGCTTTTCGCTTTTGAACTTGGCTTGGCAGTTCTTTGGACTGATCGCGGTGACGCAGGCCGCGGTGCCGTCCATGATTCGTCGTCGCTCGGGAGTGGTTGTCAACATCGGCTCGGTAGCTGCGATTGCATGCATGCCGTTCGGTGCGCCCTATTCTGCATCCAAGTCCGCCGTTCATGCGCTTTCGGATACGCTTCGACTCGAGCTGGCCGGGTTCGGCATCAAAGTGGTGGTCGTGGCTCCGGGTGCGATCAAGTCGTCGATCGCAGACAATACGCAGAAGAATCTGCCCACCGCACCGCGTGGGTCGGACGACGATCTCGGATATCTGCCTGCCGACTCGCTGTACAAGCACGTCGAGGACCTCGTCAAGTTCCGCGCCGAGTTCAGCCAGCAGGGCGAACCCACGCCCAGCGAAACTTTCGCCCGCAACGTGCGCAAGTGGGTCGCAGCCTCCAACCCGGGCGCCTACCTCTTCACGGGCAAGAAGAGCCTCACCGTCTGGATCGCCTACTACCTCCCCACCAAGGTCAAGGACTGGATCGTGGGTAGGATCTTCCAGATTCACCGCATCGGAACCAACGCCCACAAGAACAAGAACATCTAGACTCCTTCTGTACGCATACCACACTTTTTTTTGCCATTCCCATTTTTCCAGACGGCGCGCGAAATCAGGTCGTGTGGATGGGTAACCAGACCGTCTTACCCTGATCGGCCACGATGAACACATCGTCCTTGGACTGTGAATGGAGCAGAGCGGTTTCGTCGCGCACCCGCGCAAATCGCAGCCGCTGCTTGGAGCACGCCTGTCCCAATTCTCGTACATCCGCCCTCGTCTGTTCCTCGTTGCGCACAAACGTGCCGTAATGCACCGCCAGACTCACCACCTTGCTCGGCTTCTTCTCCTCTGCCTTGAAGATGGCATGGCACTCGACGGCGTCGTACGGGTCCATGTGGATGCTCGACGTGAGTGTACCCGAAACACGCGGGAACGGCGACATCGCACGCGGGAACGGATCCCACGACCGAAAGTAGCTCAACGAGCTTCCCACGCTGATCGGCAACAGCAGCAGGTCAAACGGTCCACATCGACGCGCAATCTCGCCAAACGCCGGACACGCTGGATACTTGTGCCGCTTGTCCGGACTGTCGTGGTGGAACTTCAACCCGGTATCCCCCGCAAAGAATGCTGCGAAGCGTGCAGAGTCGTTGTTCCACTCGACCACCCAACTCGCCCACAGACTCGCATCTTTATCCCCCGCCCCTCGGCCGCTACCGTGCTGCGCGGGCGTGCACATGACTTTGACCGACCCGGTGCCGGTGCAGGTGAGCGTGGCATGGTCCCACCAATCGAGCTCGCTGACTTGGTCTTTATGCCACCCAAACCCACCCGCGCCCGTCAGCTTGTCCTTGACGCCGAGCGGGACGATGGCATGGATGCGATCCCCGCGTAGGTGGCGCAGCTCCCGGAACGTGTGGTAGTCCAGATGGTCGTAGTGCGAGTGCGAAATCACCACAATGTCGATTGGCGGCAAGTCGGAAACGCTGCACGGTGCGGGCGTGAAGCGCTGCGGCCCCGCAGACTGCGACGGCGAACAGCGCTCGCTAAAGATTGGGTCAAAGAGGATATTGAGCGATCGACCCGATACATCTTCCCTCCCTTCGCCGGGACTGGTGCCACCCAGCGGCGGAAGCTGTAAGAGCGTGCTTGCGTGGCCAAGCCAGGTCACCCGCGCCGCAGGACGAGAGGGATCGGTTGGATCGCACCACTCGTTGACCGCGCGCTCCTTGGCCTTGAAGTCCGCCTCGCCCCCATCGCTAGGCCCTGGAACGTCGCCGATAGAAGCGTTGGTGTTTCGGGTGTCTTTCACTTCATTTTGCAGCGCCGACGATGGCCAACCCCAGTGAGGTTGTACGACGCCGACGTCATCCCACCCCTCTCCGAGCTCCTCGTCCTGCTGCTTGGCGAGCTGCAGCTGTCGTTGCGCCTTCTTTTGCGACTTGAATCCGGACGCGCGGACGGAACCGCGTCCGGATCCTTCGGTGTAGCTGTCCGGCAGACCCCACTTGAGTCCGCCGTTGAGCAGCTCTTTCACGCCCGGCTTGCGGAAGCTCTTGCTCCACGGGTTGCAGAACGTCAGCCGCGGCAGCACGTGGCCCTCGCTGGATTTACGTTCCGGCTGGTCGTGATCTGTATGATCGGCGCTGGAGTTGCGTCGCGGCGAGGGAGCGCCCGAGGTGAGCTGGCCAAACGCGCTCGAGGTGGCGCGGTTGAGCTGCGAGACCATAGTTGGCACCCAATGCTCGGGCAGCTCGTCGGGCGAAAGCGTCTGCGAGTCGGCGGCAGGATCAGACGAGCGGCGCGTCAGCTTGATGTCGTATCCGAGCGACTGCTTGTCTGACCCCGTCGCATTGCCGTTCTGCTTTGCCGTGTCGTCAGCTTGGTTGGCGAGCTGGTCATCGTTCGACGAAGACGATCGCGACGACGGCGGCGAGTGCATTCCATCGGCCTCACCGCGCGCCTCTAGCCTGTCGCTCAACTTCCTGTGGTGATGCACTTCGCCATCGTAGTGGCCATTGCCGATATGTGGCAGATGCGGATGGTGTTGTGGTTCGGTCATCTCGGCTGGTATCTATGTGCCCTATGCAGGCTATCTATGCACCGTATTGTCGACCCTGGGTATCTTGCTGGATGGAAGCGTGTCTATGAAGGATGGGACGTGGTGAGAACGAGCATGATGTGGATGTAAGCCAACGTGACTGACAGGGTTAGCCAACGTGGCTGACAGGGTTCAAAGGGGCACATGGCTGAGCAGAGGCACCCTTGGCTGGAAATAGCAACGGGCCGTTGAGCGCAGCGTGTGCATAGTGACGCTGCTGCACATGAATCGGTGCAACGTTCCACAACCGGACAGCTCTTGGCACGTCAGCTGCAGCCAAGCATCTCCGCTCTAACATCGTCCTGTTTCGAAAAATTGTTCGGAACTCGGATGATGTGCATCTTTCGATGGACCCTGAAGGGCGGCGTCGGAGGAGGCCCTCCTTCTTGCACAACTCGGACGTTGTAGCCATGTCGACCGAGGCTGCTACTGCGGACGTGGACGCGGTGGATCACGAGCAGCTCGCCTCGCTGGCGCTGGCGACCTACCTCGGTCTGCCGCCGCGCGGAGCCAAACCGGGCATCAAGTCCAACGGCCGACTCGAATGGACGGTGCTAGCCGCTTTTGCTCTTTCCTTTCCTTCGACGGATGGGTCCAAGTCGCGTGAGTATACGCTCATATCGCTCGCAACGGGGCTGCGGTGCCTTCCGTATGCTTCAATGCCAGTGCACGGCGATGTGCTGCACGATCAGCACGCCGAGGTCCTCTCACGAAGGGCGGCGCGTCTATGGCTCCTCCACCGTCTCGAACAAGAACTCGCTTCGCCCGGTGGCGTTGCCAATGCGCTCTTTGAGCCTGAGCCCTCCGACGCACTGGATGGGAATCAGAGATGGAGGCTGCGTTCGGATGTGCGATGTCACCTGTACGTATCGACACTGCCGTGCGGGGCGGCCTCCAACCGTCTGCTCGAGTTCCAGCGCGCCGCCCAAGATGCTGCGGCTCAGAAACCCGGCGCGTCAACTCCGGACGAGCTTCTCGGTACCTATCTATCCGCCACCACCAATGGTCTGATGACTAGTTCGAGCCGGTCTGGCGCAGCGGACGTGGTGCGAGGAAGGGCGTCTTCAACACAGCAACCGGGGACGTCGGCCTCGCTACGCACCAAGCCAGGCCGCCCCGATGCGCCGCCGAGCATCTGCATGTCGTGCAGCGACAAGCTCGCGCTCTGGAATGTGCCCGGGGTCGGTATCCAAGGCGCACTGCTATCTGCGCTCATCGCACCGGTCCACATCAGCTCCGTCACCATCGCCGACCATCCGCTGCGATACATCTTCCCGCCTTCCCACCCGGATGCAGAAGCGCGCTTGGGCCAGCTTAAGCTCGTGCTGGCAGACGATTGTAAGCGTGCACTCGACCGGGCGATACGTGGACGATGCTCGATCGAGGTCGGCTGGTCAGGGGCCGTGTTTCCAGACAGCAAGGAGGCAAAGCTGCAAACTAGCTCGGCAGAGGCCGGACCAGAAAGCTGCGTCAACTCGATCGTCCATATCCCCGATCCGACGGGGAAGGGGAAGGGGAAGAAGGCAAAGACCGAGAACCTTGCAGCCGGAACGAAGATGGGCGCACCCACCAAACGCGCAGCCGAGCAACCACTCAAGCCCGCTGCGAGATCGGGCGTGTGTCGGCTCAGCTACTTCGCTGCCGTCATAGCCACGATGCAAGCGATTGGAAGAAGCGTTCCCGATGCAGTGGTGTACGCAGATGCCAAGCAAGGATGTCTAGGCGGAGGAGCAAAGATGTACCGCCAGGCTAAAGATACCGTGCTGGGTCCACGCGATACCGCCCAGCAGACAGTCGACAGTTTCCTCGAACGCGCAACTCGCGCTACCGCCATCAACATGCCCGCACCCGCATCGGACGAGGCACTTCATCCGTCTGCGGATGCACCGCCGCTTCACGGCTGGCTCAGATCTCCCGCACATCTCGCGCACTTCGACCTGAGTGGCCATCGCACACCGCAAGCGTGATGGAAAGCACCTTTATTGCAGACTCTCGGGATTGTCGATCGGAATCCAAGATGGGATGTAGGTGGTCACGCCATCGCGAGTCGTAGAGCGTGGGAGCTCGCCGGTCCAGTACCATCCTTTGCCGCTCGTATCCAACCGGTATGAAAGGTAGGGCGAACGGGTGACCAGGTCGAATACGTCGGGGTCCGCCCAGCAGCCCACATCCGCGTCGTCTGCTCCGGGGCCAGTCTGGCAGTAGAAGTCAATCTCGTCCAAAGGATAGGCCTTTGGTTTTTTGGGGTTTCCTTGCGGATGGTTTCCTTGCACGATCCGCAGCTCCGGCGGCCGATCGCTCTTTTCAGCCAACAAACGCTCGTATGCGTGCTTGCCAGCTTCCATTTCGCGCCAAAATTCGTCCCGAGACAACGTGCGCTTCACCTCTTCAAATTCTCTTCCAGCATCGCTGGTGCTTACGTCGGGTACACGCTTCGCACTCAAGGCTTGCACCGTGCGCATTGCGGCGTGGAAGTAGCGTGCGTCGGCTGGCTGCGCTCGTCGAGACTCGAACGCTGCTTTGGTCTGCGTGTCCCGCCGAAGCGTATCCTTGAGATCCTCGTGATTTTCCGACCGAAATGGCATTCTCAGAGGAGGATGTTGCGATGTGCGAAAGTCAAGCAGCAGCAAGCGGAAATGGGGCAAGCGGTCGCTATATCTGGCGAGAATTGAAAGCGACGACTGAAGTAGCACGCCGGGATCTACGCGACCCGGCTGCAGATAGGCTGCGTCCTCTTCATGTTCGTCCATTTGCTTGTTCCGCTCGATCCATGACGCAAATCCATGTAGACTGCATCGGCATAGGTGGGAGAGGCGCAGACACTGAAGCGATCCGCAGAGCGAAAGCTGCTTGGCAGCATCTGCCTCGCTCACTAGGTATCTGATAAATGACAGAGCGGCCATGGCGTTCAGGAAGCGGAGATGCGTCGCTTCGGAGAGTGGCGCATAAGCAACGGCGTTGAAGCGCTGGGCTTGCGGTATTTTCGAGCTGAGTGCGAGTGTGACCCGGCGCGGGCGGCAGATGGTCCGAACGTCCAAGAACACAGACGAAACTGGGTCGCTCTCGAGAGCGACCACGTCGAGCTGAGTCGCGTGATCGAAGAAGGATCGTAGTGTGTCACGAAAGGTGGACCAGTCGACTTGCGCGTTGCGCGCCCATTTTTCTCTTAGCATGACGGCACGAATCGAGGCTGCTCGACTCGCTGGAGCGGTCTCGTTCTCATCGTCGAGGGACGACAGGGAGATGGCGTCCGCGAAGAGGAGGAAGGAGAAGCGAGTCCTGATGTGGATTGTACGATAAAGGGCTGAGCGCGCAAATTTGTGGAGCCAAGTCCCAGCGAGTGCGAGCGATAGCAGGTCCTTGCGGGGGTCAGAGTTGAGCGAGAGCTTGTAGTCGAGGTCTGCGCCAGATGGGTGAGGGGACGTGGAAGCGTAAAGATCGTTCGATCTGACGTAGGCCACGATAAGCTCGAGCACCTCGATGGGGAGTGGGCTCAACATTGCCAGGCGTGGCGCGCACAAGAAGGCGCGAGGGAGGTGAGGATGTACTGAGGATATAGCCCGCCTCGATGGAAGATGGGGGTCCTCGTTCAAGATCTTGACCTGAGGCTGGTTGCTATTTATCATCTGGAATTCGCAGCAATCTTTGGCAGAATGTCTTGGCAGAGAGGCTGCGAGAACGGCAGTGTAGCGGCGAGAAAGTGAGGCTTGTCAGGCGGAATGTCACACGTGCGCGCTGCAAGTAAAGTAGATGAGAGGATGAAGAGACGGACGCGAATAAGTCAAGGCTCCGTCTGCGCAGTCGAGCCTAATTCACGGCGCTCTTTCTCCGATGATCAGGGCGGTGATAGGTTCGCTCCGATCAGGACCTGGCGCAAGGCGTCCTGTCCAAAGTCACATCGTCGCCACACGCCGCCTCTTTTTCAAATCACACTGCACAGCCAAGGATCGGTTCAAGCCGAAAATGGAGCGGGAGATCACAATGGAATTAGTGATGGGATCAGCTTCGTCTCGCCAGCAGTACTCGTTGTCGAGCGCGGCAGCTCGCCCGTCCAATACCACGCCCGACTGAGGTCGTCGGCACGATACGAGAGAAAGGGCGACTGATCGACCAGCTCAAACACGTCGGCGTCGGCCCAACATCCCACATCGGCACCCGCCGAAGCAGCAGTCTGGCAGTGATAATCCAAAAAGCCCTCGCGACGGTCGTGTCCGTTGGGTCGCGCGGATACAACCCTGAGATCCGGCAGCTCGTCGCAGCTCTCGCCCCATAACCGCACGAGTGCATGCTTGCCCGCTTCGATGAGACGCCAGTACCGATCGCGCTCCTCCGTCCGCAGCTCCTCCCTCGTGGGCATGGGTGCTGTTTCGCTTTGACCCAAGCCTCCGTCGTCACGCGTCATTGCTTCTTGCTGGTGCTGCATCGTGCGCATCGAGGCACGGAAGGTGTGTTGGTCGGATACTTGCGCACGTCGATCCTCCAGCACTGCTTTAGGTGACACAATGGATTGTCGTGCTGTGCTAAAGAGTGATGATGGAGGCGCGAGCGATCCGAGCGGGCTCAGTTCGAGCAGCACCAGGCGCAGACGAGGCAGACGGGCGGCACGCACCGCCAGATCATACAGGGCTTCTTGCACCGCAAAGCGTCTTGCCGGACCTAGCGGTGCTCTTGGCGCCGGCAGTTGCGCCTGCTGATGCGGATCGAGCTGCTCGTACTCCTTCCACGCCCTTCTCCACGCCACATACGCCTCGAACTCGACGAGCGCATCGGGCGGTAGCAGCGAAAGACGTAGGCACTCGAGCGATCCACACGGAGAGAGGCCTTTGCTTATACTCTCGGGCACATTGCCCTGCTCTTCCGCATGGATCGCTTCACCCACCACAAACGAGATCAGCGCCGGGGGAGGCACGATCTTGATCAGGTGCAGATGCGTGAGCTTCGAGAGCGGCGCAAGCGACTGGATGCTCGAAAATGGCGGCGCCGAAAACGACAGATTGGACAGCGTGAGTCGACGTGGACGGCAGACGGTGTGCGGATGGAGCAGCTCGAGGAATGCGGCGCCCGCTTGGCGATGCTCGAGCCAAATCAAGTCGAGCTCGGATGCGTGGTCGAACATGATGCGCAGGCTGTCCTTGTAGCCGTTCTGGTCGGCGAGCGTATCACCCGGTTGCAGCAGTCCGTCACCCGGTGACAGATGGATAGCACGCACCATGGTCGCCCGCTGGCCCGAACCGCTGCGACTGGGCCCTGGAGATGTGCGTGGCTTGGCATCGGCTGCGATCGTGCTCGCCAAGAGATTGAGCGCTTTGAGCGTGCGCACGAGCGGCGCGCGGTACAGAGCATCCTGCGCGAGCTCGTGCAGCAAAGAGCACGACAGGCATACCGATAGCAGATCCGCGCTGGTGTTCGATGGGACCGGCGGAGCGTATTCGAGATCAGAGCCCGAAGGGTGCGGAAGTGTCGAGGCGCATGCGTCGATCGATGGCAAGAGGTATGTGACGATCCGCGCGAGAAGCTCGGCGGGGAGTGCGCGCGTCATTCCGTAGCCATCCGTGTGACAGCCAAGACGAGCGTAAAAGCCAATTGTCGCTCAAACCCGTGTCGTGGTCTCCAGGAAAGGTGGGCGAGGCAGAGGAAGGAGGGTGCGGCAACTTAGCATTCAGGGTCCAAGCGCGCCTCTCCTCCACATCCGCGGATGGCCAACAGCCAGCGGCGAGCGATGCACGGCCCGCGTGTGTCCCACAGCGCAGCCGCCTGTGACTCGCTTATCTCTTTGCATCTCATAACGCGACACTAGCCATTCCTTCCCGACCACCATCCAACCCTTCCCTCGACGTGAAAACACTGCAACACCGTCACAAGATGGGTGCTGCCAGCGAGGCTCAGCTTGGCCTACCGCCGCTGCGTAGGCCGTCGTTTTTGCAGCGACACGCACGCCTGCTCAAATGCATCCTCGCCTTTCAATGCGCCCTGACCTTTGTGCTGCTGCACATGACGGGCTACCCGCTCATTTCCAACCTCTCTCTCGATCATTCTTCGACAAAAGCTGCGCCATCTCTTTCGCACACAGTCGGTGCATCTGGCGACAACGATGCCTGCCCGCAGGTACCTCCGTTTGAGCTTCCGTCAACCAACGGCAGCTCCAACGGCGACATCGATCTGCCGTCGGACATGGTCCTCGCTCGGCTGCTGTCGGGAGCCGTGCAGGTGGACACCTCCGTCGGCGATGACTGGCCCACCGTGCAGCAGGATCCGGCTCGATGGGAGGCGGTGTTCGCTCCTCTGCACGCCTACTTGCGCACTGCGTTCCCGCTGGTGCATGCGCCCGACTCGCGCGTGCGTCTCGAAAAGGTCAACGAGTGGGGACTGGTGTACACACTTCCGGGCGCCGACGAATCGCTGCCCCCGCTTGTGCTCATGGCGCACCAGGACGTCGTGCCCGTCGAGCCCGAGACCGTGGGCGCTTGGACGCATGCACCGTTCTCGGGCTTCATCGACCACGACCACGGCCTCGTGTGGGGACGCGGCGCGAGCGACTGCAAGGCGTCGCTCGTCTCGATCCTCGCCACGCTCGAGAGCGTTCTGCGCTCCGGCTACCAGGCGCAGCGCACCGTGGTCGCCTCGTTCGGGTTCGACGAAGAGAGCTCCGGCACGCAGGGCGGCGAGAAGCTCGCGGCGTTCCTCGAGACGCGCTACGGCAAGGACGGCGTGGCACTCATCGTCGACGAGGGCGGAAGTATCGAGCTTGGCCTCGGCATGGCTGTTGCGGCACCGACTGTGGCCGAGAAGGGATACCTCGATGTGAGGGTCACCGTGCACACTCCTGGTGGGCACTCGTCAGCGCCGCGCAAACACACGTCCATCGGCCTGCTTGCGCAACTCATCACTGCCATCGAGTCGGATCCGTACGAACCGGTGCTGGATGTGACGCACACCGACAAGGTGCATCCGGGGCTGCAGTATCTGCAGTGCACACGGGATGCGCCCAAGGCAGATGCCAAGCTGTCGGCCGCGCTGAAGAAGCTCGCTGGTCTGCAGCGCAAGCACACGAAGCGCGCGAAACGCAAGGTGCAGAAGCAGGCGGATAAGGTGCTTGGGCTCATGTCGCGATACCAACGGTTTGGATTCCAGACGACCCAGGCGGTCGACCTCATCGCGGGTGGCGTCAAGATCAATGCACTGCCCGAACAGGCATCGGCGGTGATCAATCACCGTATTGACATCACCTCGTCCACAGCGGCGGTGCGCGAGCACGTACACGCTGTCCTTCGACCCGTAGCTGATCGTCTGGGGCTGAGTGTCGAGGGTAATGGCAGTGCATGGTCGACGGTGGTCGCTGCGTCCAAAGGGCATGCCGAGGGAAGGGTGGTGTTGTCGGATGCGTTTGAATCCGCACTCGAGCCCGCACCGTATACGCCGCTGGATGGTGCGCCGTGGAAGCTGCTACAGGGCACAATCCGCGCCGTGTGGCCTGGGATCCTAGTGGCGCCGGATGTCATGGGCGGAAACACCGACACAAAGAGCTACTGGAACCTCACGCGCCACATCTTCCGCTTCAGCCCAGGCTCCGACCGACCCTTCCCCATCAAAGGTGGCGACGAAAACATCCATACCGTCGACGAAGCCACTCCCATCCATGCGCTCGTCAAGGCCACCCAGTTCTACACACTCCTCATCCAAGCCGTCGGCACGACTGATCTGTAACTCTGAATTGCAAAAATTCTAATCGCCCAGACGCTGGCCGCCTGATCCCCATGTGTAGCCTGCGGATGGCGGTGCCTCCTCTTCGTCGTCGCTGTCGCGTGCTTTGGCTTTGCCTTTGGGTGTCCGGCGCTGTTCGGCAACAGCACCCCCGCTGGAGCTATGGTCTTCTTCATGCTGCTCCTGCTGTGCGCGCGACGAGTTATTGAGCTGCCCAAAGGTGAACATGTTGGACTGCGCACTTCCCGCCGCCGTCTTTCGCAGATTCGCACTTGCGGCGGTGGTCGAGGTGCTGGCGGGGCGCGCGTTGAGACTGGTGGATCCGGGCGTGTTGGATCCTGCCGGCTTGGCGGGCGTGCGTTCGGCAGCATTGCGGCCGACGATCGACGAGGCTCCACCCGCGCGTAGCCTTCGCTCTGCTGCAGCAAGCATCTCTTCGCGGCTCGGACCGGTGGTCTGCGATGCAGACCGCGAGCCGCGGAACGGGTTCAGCGCCGAGAGTGTCGACCTTGTGCCTGCGCCCAGCGCCGAGGCGATGCTCGTGGGGCGTGGACTCGCTGGACCCGTGTCGGAGAGCCGGTTACCGCGGTCACGAGCCGCGTTCCATACGATGCCTCCCGCCACTCTGCGAGCGTTTCGGTTGCCCATGTTCTGCCCCTCGAGCGATGGATCGAGCGAATCCGGCAGCAAGCTCTCGAGGAAGCCAGGTGTGGGAATGTAGCTCCCGCGGCGCCTGCGTTGCTGACCCGGCAGCACCTGGTCCAACATCCAGTACACATAGCCAGCGATGAGTCCCGTGGCGCTCTGGATCGCCAGCCCCGGTCCGCCCTGGAGCAGGTCGATGCCGATGTAAACATAGGGGAGCCAGCGGGAGGGGCAATTGACCATGCCGAAGAACGACACGCTGCTGTGCGGGTTTGCCCTGCTCCACAGGTAGACGAGCGCATTGAGCATGGGCCCAAAGAGGATGGGCGAGCCGAGAGGATAGTTGGTGGCGAGGATGACGGTGCCCATGACGAGGAGCGCCCAGGTGTACGCGGCGGTGCGTCTGCCAAAGTGGTTGAGCTCGAGGTCGGTGCTGTTGCGAAAGATGAGGAAGACATCAAACAGCAGCTTGAGGCCGCTGCCGCCAAAGAAGAAGCAGGTGACCACGCGGTGCAGGTGGAACCTGGAGATGACGAGCGGCCACGAGAGCGCATAGCGCCACGGAGACGTGATGGCGAGAATGCATGGCAGCGTGATTGCACCCGTGGCGCCGAGGATGGTGCGCGTCACGGGAGGAATCTTGCGTATCTCGTCCATCGTGAGTGTGTGTCGTTGGGGAGTGGCCAAAGATGGAGGTGGTGAGCAGAAAGCTCCACTGCGAGCACGGCTCAGTTCGGATTGCCTGTCGACGTGGCCCGAACTCACTCTCGTCTGCGCCTCCACCGGCAACGGCGGTGCGCAAATTCCGAAAGATGTTAGGGCGCCGATCGGACATTCCGTCTCGAAAAAAAAAAGGCACCGCGTTGGACCCTGCGAAAGAATCGCCCGAAGAATCGCCCGGTCGGCTGCAGCCCAAAAGTTTTGGGAAAATTTTGTGGAGCAGAAGAGCAGAAGAGCGGCCGAACGACATCCTCGCCTCGGCGCTTCCGAACGACTCGGCTGCTTTGCTGACCCACGCCCATCATCAGCACGTCCATCCCCTCCGACAGCTGCGCAAAACACACACACACACACACATACACGCCATGACGAGATACACCAAGCTGGACGGAAGGCACTCGCTCGCCAAGAAGATGGTCGACTCCGACTCGGAGCCCGAGCACGATTACACTGTCGCGTCGGCATCGTCCTCCCCCGTCAAGGTCGAGCCGGTCGCCGAGTCAGCATCCGACTCCCCATCCAAGGACAAGAAGAGCAAGAAGGAGAAAAAGGAAAGGAAGGAAAAGAAGGACAAGAAGTCGAAGAAGGATGTGAACGACGACGCAGAGGGTGTCGACGCCGAGACTGGCGCCGACGCAGCGACCACAGAGCCTGTGGCATCCACCTCGGCTGCTGCGCCATCCGAGCCAGATGCACCAGCCACCTCGGAGCTCACCGAGCCAGAAGCGCCAGCAAAGGACGCGGAGCCGCCGACAGTGGAGAAGCTGCTGAAGCGCGCCAAGCTGCTCAAGCTCAAGATGAAGAAGGCCAAGAACGACGAGAGCAAGAAGCGGTTCCAGAAGATGGCGCGCGACGTGGAGCGACAGGTGGAGCAGATGTTTGGCTCGTTCGAGTACGGACCCAAGGGTCAGCTCATCCGTCTGGGTGCTCCGCAGACCGACACCATGTGGCAATCTCGACACAAGGGCGAAGATTGGTCTGCACCCTCGGCGTCGCACGGTGGCGATGGCGGATGGGGCGCACGCGGTGGCTACTCTGCCGCCGGCAACGCCAGCAACGCCAGCAACGGGTGGGGGCAGAACGACGAGCAGAGGCGTATGGATCGTCGCGATGCGCGTCGCGAGGAGCGTGCCGAGCAACGACAGGCGAAGCTCAAGTGTTTCGCATGCCGCGGCATGGGTCATTCGGCCAAGGACTGTCCCAACGCGCTCGACGCGCAGTCGATCGCGCTCAAGTCGGATCGCGCCGATGCCCCCATGGTGGGTCGCGACGCTGTGGGCATCTGCTTCCGCTGCGGCTCGACCGAGCATACGCTGTCCAAGTGTCGCAAGCCGGCGCTGAAGAACGACGAACTCCCCTACGCCACTTGCTTCATCTGCCATGCCAAGGGCCACCTGTCGTCCAAGTGCCCCAACAACGCCGGCCGCGGCGTGTACCCCGAGGGAGGCTCGTGCAAGCTCTGCTCGTCCGTCGAGCATCTCGCCAAGGACTGTCCGCTCTCGCTGCGCAACGAGGGCAAGCGCAACACTGACAAGGGCGCAAAGAGCCTCGTTCACCAGGTCATCGTTGGATCCACCAAGGAATCCAACGCCAACGGCGGAGACGAGGACGATTTCCACAGCTTTGCGCGCAAGCGTGTCCAGGTCGAACAGGAGAGCAAGTCGGCAGACCCACCAGCCAAGAAGCACAAGTCCTCAGCCAAGGTGGTCTCTTTCTGAAAGCTGGCCAGTGCAATACCACAACGAACTTTTGCCGAACAGCAAAAAAACGAAAATGACCGTCTATGCGATGAAAGATGTAGTGCGTGAATGTGTGTATGTACAAGTGGATGAACGTGATTAGAGGGATGCGACTAGGACATCTTGTACTCCATGCGGCCTGATGCGGCGGTGGCGCCGTGGACGGTGTAGTCGATGGTGATGTCGAGGTCGCGGTTGTTGCGCTGGTTGGGCTTGCAGACGAGCTTGCCCGATACGGCGTCGCCCTGGTTGAGAGCGAGGACGTCCTTGGTGTAGAAGACGGTCTGCTTCCAGTGCGTGTAGCGCGAGTGCGGGCCCGTCGAAAACTGGACGGGCTTGTGGCACGCGTCGAAGCTGATGTCGAACCAGCCGAGGAAGGCGTGCACGTAGTCGTCGCGCGTGGCGTTGAGCGTAAAGTCGCACTCGAACGCCAGCTCCTCCTTGGTGACGGTGAGCAGGTCGAGCTGCTTGATCGGGTACGGATCGCACACGACGCTCTTGATGTCCACCGTGTCGACGAGCGGCTCGCGCAGCGCAATGTCCTTGATGCACGAGTAGTTGAAGCCGTAAACGTCGTCCCAGAAGCCGATCTTCTCGTCCTTGTACTCCTGGTCCTCGATCGCAGACAGGTACATGGTCGCCTTGTCCGGGAACATCATGCCGCCGGGCGCAAGGTACTTGTCGCGCGCCATGAGCACCGTGTCGAGCATGGACTCGTAGAGCAAAAAGTAGCCCATCCACTCGCTGATGATGATGTCCACCTTGCCGTCCGGGCCAAGACCCAGGTCGACCTCCTCGAGCTTGCCCTTGACGAGCGTGATGGTGTCCTTGAAGCCGTTGACCTCGGTGATGATGCGCGCCTGATCAATGATGTTGCTCATGTCGACGCCGATCACCTTCTTGGCGCCCGCCTTGGCGGCGAACATGCAGAGGATGCCGGTGCCGCATCCGACGTCGAGCACGATCTTGTCCTTGAACAGGTGCGGGTTGTTGATGATCGCATTGCGGTACGAGCGCGTGCGCACCTCGTCCTTGAGCATCTCCTCGTGGATGCCAAAGTGCGCATACGAGTCGGCGTAGTAGTCGCGCGACGTCATGTCCGAGGTGGACGCGGCGGAGGCGCCGTTGGTGGAAGTGGACGCCATTTTGAGCGTTGGGGCGGATGGCGGGGGTGGGGAATGGGGAGTGGTGGTGGAGAAGGGTGATGGAGCTACTGAGCCGACGACGAAGAAAATGAATCTGCACGTCTTCTTGGTTGAGCCTTCTTTTTTGCCGTCGTCTGCTTGACTGCTGACTGCACCCTGAGAGCCGTGGATGCTGCTTCCGCATCTTTGAAAAAATGCACAATTCCTGCCGGCAAAAAAAAAAAATCGTTTCAGGAAGAATTTCTCGAATTTTAAGCTGTGCGCCGTGGCCACTCTGCTTGTCTTTCGATCTCACATTGGTAAGGTGTCGCCGAATTTCACACGCCCGCGCCCGCCACGTTTGGAGCGTCGGTTGCGGTGCCTTGGTCGGTGCGCCTCGCTCGGATGGCTGCGTGGTGACCACACGGCTGCTGCAGCCCGAGAACAACACCCTGCCTCGTCACCATCTAGCACTTCATAAGCCCAACGCCGGCCATCCAAGCGATCACCATGCTGCGTGGCATCTAAGCAGCAGCAGCCACACGCAAAATCAGCGTCCACCGAAGCAGTCCATCCTTGCCGTCTCTTCGCCACGATGAACTCGCTCTACAATCAGGCGCTGCGTCAGTTCTCGTCGATCCAGTCCGACATCTCGCGCATCGACTCGGAGGCAGACACCTCGCCCACCGCATTCGGACCCGTAACGGTATCTCTCTCGTCACTGGAACGCACGATCGACGAGTACGAGAATCTGGCCAAGAAGGAACTCATCCAGTCCAAGCAGGAAAAGGCGCTCACGCGCGTCGCCAAGTTCCGCACCGACTATTCCGAACTCTCATCGCAACTAGCGCGGCTCAAGACCAAAGGCGCGCTTTCCAACGGCGCCTCATCACAAAACAACGGGTCGGCGACGCTCCGATCGCCCACAAATGCCAACTATGGCGGGTCGCACGCGAATCGCCGCGTGAGTGCGATTGCGGAATCTCCGTTCAGCCTGCATGCGCGCAATGCGCCAGCTTCACCACAGGCGGATCCACTCGCCGCCTACAAGATGAACGCAAGCGCAGCAGCCATGTTTGGCGAAGGCGGCGGATTCTCGGCGCGCGAATCGCATGCGCTGCGCGAACACTCGTTCATCCAAAACACCGAGGCCCAACTCGACGCCTTCATCGCCCAGGGCAGAGAGGTGTTTGGCAACCTCGTCGAACAGCGCGGCATCCTCAAAGGCACACAGCGAAGACTCAGAGACGCCGCAAATACCCTCGGCCTCAGCAGAGACGTGATCGGGTACATCGAACGCAGAAGCACACAGGACAACATCATCTTTGCCCTCGGCGCCATCTTCACCCTCGTCTGCTTCTGGTACATCTACAAGTGGTTCGGCTGATGCTTGCCCGTGCCTGCTCCTAGTCTCCTGCACACACCAAAATACCACACACTCGCTTCACATCACCCCCACAAAGTCGCTGCCGAACACGTTACGGATGAGACCAAGGCTGTATTCCACTAGTGGAACCAGACGAAGCTGAGCGACGAGCAAATGCGGTTTACTTGCGGTACCACAGAGTGGTCTTCCTGTTCCTCCTGATCTTCCTGTGGAGCTGGAGGAATCCGTAGAGGAGAGCCTCTGCGGTGGGTGGGCATCCGGGCACGTACAGGTCGACGGGCACGATCCTGTCGCATCCACGCACGACCGAGTACGAGTAGTGGTAGTATCCGCCTCCGTTAGCGCACGAACCCATGCTGATCACCCAGCGCGGCTCTGGCATCTGATCGTACACCTTCCTCAGCGCCGGAGCCATCTTGTTGGTCAGCGTGCCGGCGACGATCATGCAGTCCGACTGACGCGGCGATGCACGGAACACGACACCCAGACGGTCCTGGTCGTATCGCGCCGTAGCCACGTGCATCATCTCGACGGCACAGCATGCCAGGCCGAACGTCATGGGCCAGAAACTCGACTGGCGCGCCCAGTTGGCCATCTTGTCCATCGACGACAGCACGTACTCCACGCCGTTCTTGGGCGTCTCGAGCGACAGCTGGTTCGAGCCGCGGTTCGCCACGGACATCAGAGGGACGGGACCATCCGGACCGGCGTTCGAGGCGGGTGCGGACGACGAGATCGATCGGCGCGCGGTCGGCTTGGAAGGTCCAGCACCCTGTGCAGCGGCAGCAGCCACCTTGGGCACTGACTGGATCGTCGACGTCTGGAACGAGCGCGTCAGAGCCATCGAAGGCTTGGCAGCAAGGCCTGCAGTGTGTCCAGACGTAGGAAATGCATTCAAGGTCGTCGGTTGCAGTTTGGTCGCATAGCGGTCGGGTGGGTGGAGGAAAGGTCAAAGCATGGTCAGCTTTAAGTGTCACCAGTGCGTCGAACTGCGTGTCTGTGCCGCCTGGCACTGTGCGTGGTGCTTGTACGTACCAACTCGAGAAAGCGAGCGAAGAGCAGCCATCTTTGCAGCGGTGTACAGGTCGAGCAAGGTGCAAGAGATGGTGGCGACAAAGCGGATGACGGCACCATCTGCTCGGTGTGGGCGTTGCAGCGCCGCTGTCGCTGCCTCCTCCTGGCCTCAGGACGATCGCATTACCAAGCATTCGCGCGAAATTCGGAACCGCCAGTGCGCGCCGAACATATTTTCGTGCGATAAGCTAGCAAAATTCGCAATGTCGAGCAATGTTAAGCTTATCAAATTTCAAGACAGCTGTTTGCCACGTCGAACTAACATAACTTCTCCCGCGCCAACGCTTGCGTCAGCCATCCCGATCCGCTCCTACACTTTGGCAGCTGCTTCTTGCAGGCTGGATGAGCAGCGGAGCGCCTTTGCATGGGGCGAGAAGGAAGGCAGCGCCAGCTCGACTCGGATGGACGAGCAAACGCCGTGTAGGCGAAAGTTAAAACGCATGTGACCCGCAGCGCGCATATCCACATCCCGGCATCGGCCTGCGCTTGGCAAGCCACGGACGGAGCGTGTCCTCATAACCCGACGCAAGCGCCCAGGCGAGACTGTGGCTGGCGCCGTCCGTATCGTAAAGCGACGTGTTCGCCACCAACGCCCCAAGCACCTGACACGACGATCAATAGCCAACCCTCGAATGATACGGAAGGGTGCCCAGCGGTCGTGTGGCAAGCACCGGGCAAGTTGGGACTCGGTTATGCCACAGGACACTCTAAGCCCCCTTGCATGCAAGACAAATCTGTTGAGCGTTCGCTAAGGTCTACACTGCGCCGTTCTGCACACTGCATAGCATTCGCCCCTATAAGCTGCTGCGGTTTGTTTGCCGCGAGCATGGCGTACATCTGGGTGGCCGCTTGTCCTCGGAAGACGGAGAGGTATGGTGGGGGGAAAGGCATGCCAGACCGGTGAACCTTGGCAAAGGCCTCGGCTCGATACTCGCTTGCCACCCTCTGCATTGTATCTCGTAAGGTTCCGCACAGCCGCGGCATGCAGTGGGCACATGTCCAACACGGAACAGTGTTCAGGTCTTCCGTGAAGGGTTGTGACATTCCCCGTGCCTGACCCGCAGATCGTCTTGTCCCGTCCTTTCAAGTCGTTTCTTGGATCAACGATGGATCGGCCTGCATCTCTTCCCAATCTCGATCCAGCTCCCGAGGGTCACTCGACAAGGAATCGATTCAGGTCGAGCAAGGCCTGCTTTCGAACCGACGTAGGCAGCGGTGTGTCACCACCCGTGCCGAAGCGAATAGACTCCAAGCGGATGAACTAGAGGGAGCCGAGGGGCGAGATGGGAATCGCAGGCACAGGCATGTGTCCAATGTTTGGAGAAGACAAGGTTTGACAGCGCCGTGCAGCGGGAGAGGGGGATGCGGGGGAACAAGCGAGCTCCTAACCTTGGCTGCCTCGGGCTGTACCGCGGGAGCAGCAAAAGGTCAGGGGATGCGCGGGAACCCAGCTGCAAGGGGGTCGCACGGATCGCCCTGAGGCACGCGACGCCCGTGGCTCGTACGACCCTAGGACCCCTTCGCTCAGCTTACCTCGCTATCCTGCAAAGGACCGAGCTCATTTCAGCACGGGCTCATATCGACATACCGAGCCAAATGCCAAGCTGCGCAGGTATGGTGTTGGCTGACGGCGGCTATGTGCTAAGACGACTTAACACGCCGGGATTTGGCGAGGTGGATCGACATGAGATCGGCCTTAGATCTCCCTCGCCCCTTGAACCGGGGGTCGAGAAGGAAGCGGTTCTGCCAGATTTCTCACCCGCTCGGCGATGTAGGCGCTTGCCGTTCCTGGCGAATGCTGGCTTTGAGGGCATTTAGAAATTTTTCCACGCTCCGCCTGAAATTGCGTTTGTCCGCTCCTCCCAAGGGGCGCCTAGGCGGAGGTATGCTGCTAATCAAGCAGCTTTGCATCCTAGAAGCGCTGGGCGGAGTACAGTGGACCGTGTAGCGCCAACGACGCTCTCCGAGACAGAAGCACGTCTTTGCAATGATGCCATACCTCGGGGCCGAAGCATCAACGTCTTATCGCGCCTCTTCTAGTCAGCGTTTGAGCACACCCAGCCATGCACCACCCTAGCCGTGTGATCACCCGTCTCGAATCGGTACCGACGAAGATCCTGACTTGTCGCCCTGCCCAGGCACAAGGCGTGGAGTTGTGTGGCACTATACGTGTGGCGTCCAACTCCATAGGCCAGGGCTTGAGAGAGAGGGGGGAAAATCAATCTATGCATGGAGAGCAACCTTCCCCGCGAAGCGAGTCTTATCTCTGCTGTGCGGCTTCACACTCAAAACCGCACAATAGCAGCTCGCATGCAAGTGCTCGAGGCCTCGGGATAAGCTTTCCCGCTCTTACATCGGGGCCTTGCTTGCCGACCCGCGCAACGCAGCTGCAAGCTCGATCCCGCTCCACCGTCGCTGTTGTAGCGTCGGAGCATGCCCTCATGCTTAACCGAAGTTCATATCTGGGTTAGAGCTCGAGTGGCAAGGTGATGCAAAGAGGCTCGGTGGAGAACAATGGCGAAGCTGCATCACGAGCCCGAACTCGGCTAATCCACTCCCCCCACCCCTGATCCTCTCGCCGCCACCAATGGGCCTGGCCACACAACGCCACCTCCCTCATCCTACACTCCGCCACGCCCTGGACTCTGTTCAACGCTCCAAGCGCATGAATCTGGCTCGAAGGTTTGAAGGGGTCCGAGGCTCAGCGGCGGCTCGGCTGGCGACCTGGTAAGGCTCGCCAAAAAAGCCCTGCCCGAACGCCGCCCAATCTGCACACTCCAAGTGGCTGCTCGGCCTCTCGGTGCTATTGTGGCACCGGCATTTCGCCACAACCGGTACTGCCGCACTCGCTGGAGGGGGGTTAGCCCGGTTATAACCCGCCCACGCGGCGAGCGGATGTGGCTCTGCACGATTTGCAGCTCAGAAGAGCCCGTTGCTCCGAAATTGAGGGGGGGCCGCTTTTCGGTGCTCTCCTGCCCGCTCTGTACCTTACCCCGCAAATTTTCACGCCTCGCTTCCGTCGAAATGAACAAGCGCTCTCCCACGCTTCTGGCCTCCAACGCCGCCTCGCTACCGGCATCGTCGCTCACCCTGGAAGCGCCGCAGCGGCTACGAAGGCTACGCTGCAGAGACTGACCCAGGAAGGGACGGGTTTGAGGCAGCGGCGAATGCGCGGGTAAGGGTGCCTAGGTAGTGTTCGTGTGGATCCGCAGACGTCGAGCTGAAATGAACCCGCAAACATGGATGGATCTAACACGTCCGATTTTTTTCGCACCGGTCTTCGGGGTTGGCGGGTCGGTGCCGAGGGAGAGACGCTTCCAGACGCGTGTCTGCGTTCGACGGATGCTTGACGTGACGCGAAGTGCCGGCTTGGCACGTCAACACGTCAAGATGGGTGGCACGCGTGTCGGCCCGCGTAAATTGGACGCGCGCGCTTGGGTGCCCAAATCCGCAGATCGCAGGACGCGTGGATCGCCCCCCACACGGGTTCCTGGTCAGCGGATCGACCGATTGGCAACTGGAATGGACGCTGCAGCACCAGCTGGAACAGCAAAGAAGCCTTGCACAATGTCAATGCACGTGTTGCCGTTCGGACCGTTCGCTCGGCCCGTCTTGATCACTCACCCACTCCGGTCGCATGACATACTATCCAGCACACACGTCCAGGAGCAGGAATGTCGGAGCTCGCGATCGTGAAACCTTCGTTCAAACAGCACCCAGCTTCGGTCGTGACGACGCAGCACCAAAGCGTCGGTCCACTGCATACAAATGGTGCTGCAGTCGAGCTAAAAACAGGAATTTCGTCGATGGAGCTGGTATTAGAGTCGCCTTGCATACGGAGGGCGCGGAGCATATGCTCCGTGACGATGGCATCGCCGAGCGCCAGTTCGATTCATCTCTGCACAATGCCTCGAATCGGGTTCCGACCATTGTTCGATGATTCAAGCACCAAGTGGGTTTCGATCCAGGAACACGGGCCAGCGAATGCTGTTCTGCATTGTACTGCATTGTAGAGGCCGGTAGGGGACGCCGAAGAGACGCCGGAGGGCAATTTCGCAGAGAGAAGTCGTGGACGCATTTCTCTCGAGGCCGAGGGAAAAGCGCGTCCTTGGGTCATCGCACATGCACATTCGCCTTCCGCACTTAATTTAAATTGATGCTGGCGCCCATTGGCCATTGTGTGCGGGGCTCGGGGTTGGTGGTTTGGTGTGGCGGCAATCGCAAGCTGCAATTTACGCTCGATTTCGGTGGTGGATGGCGGCGATCGGACGACTCCGCAGTGCAGATACTCGCAGGCGGAGTGTGGCATTTGATTTAGAGCTGTGTATGGGCGAGGTTATGTCACCGGTCGGCTAGCGGAAAGCGCGGGAAGGACCATGCCTCCGACGGTGCAAGCCTCGGTTGGAACGACTGTCGACTGCTACTGGCGGGCCGATACTACCCTAGCGAGTGCGGCGATGCGACGCGAGGGTCGCACCCCCATTTTTGAAAAAAAAAAAAGAGTGACAGCCCGTGCGGGCGAGGGTTGCATGCGTCGAGAAGCAGCGGCGAATTCGATGCTGCCAAGCAGCGAGGAGTGAGACTGGACCCCTCCATGGCCTAAAGGCGGAGGCGAGCGCGCGATCACGCCGTCGCCTCGCTTAGCAGCCGCTGCACGTCAGACGTGCAAGGATGCACGCAGGCGAGACCATCCTAGTCGAGCCAAGTCGAGTCCAACGGAGAAGGCCAGCATCATGCACCGAATCCGAGCAGCTCGCATGACGAGCAGCCAAGATCGCGAACCTGTCCGATACGAGCCATTCCAGATTCAGCACCGCGTCAGGATCGGGTGGGCCAAGCTAAGAAAGCCATAGACAGAAGGAAAGCCAAGTAAAGCCCGAGAAACCCTGCTGCAGCTGCACGCCGTACAAGGTTTGAACGTCCCAGCGGGCGCCAGTCACCGGCCACTTGAATGCGAGCTGCGAGTGCTGGACCGGGGGCTTGCATCGGTCGGCGGAAACGGGGCCGACGACGGCCCAGGTTCGCAATTGCCACCAACTTTGGTAGTCGTCCGCGCCCACGCCCAATGTCACTCTCAACTCGCTCGGCCATGACGTCGGCTCACTCGGACGACCGCGAGCGAACGGCTGCGGGGGACGGTTGGAACGACGAGCGAGCAAGCCGAGGCGGAGCTTTGCGCCTAAGGTCTGCTGCGATGCGATGCATATGCCTCTCAGAAAAAAGCGAATTTCCAACAGCGTGGATTCGTGTGAATTTTCTGGCAGCGCCTCTCGGCGACGCCCGACCATCGAGGGTTCGCGATGTGCGGAAAGCAGGACTCCGGGTCCGAGCTCAAGTGCCGAGCGCTTCCATTCTCGATAGGAGTGACGCGCTCACCCAGCATGCCGCGAGCGCTTTTATGATGGTCTCGGAGACGATCGACGAGCCGCAGATGTCATCGAGATGCAGGAGCGATATGAGCTGCCAAGATCGAGGGCTGACGCCAGGATGCTGCACAGGGCTTGCGAGCGAGAGATGGCATTCCTTGGGACGGCGGAAGCGAGCAACGCGGGTCGAAATCGCAAATAGGCGCTTATGGCTCGCGAGAGGAGCAGCAGCTGTTGGGAAGGGCCGACGCTTGGCTCGCGGAACGTGGGACGAGCGAGCTGTCGGCTGTCGGAGAGTAAGGCACGCAACAGAGCTCGGAGGCGAACCGACGAGCCGCTGCAGTCACGACGGGCGCTGGATGCAGGTCTCGGTGCAGACTGTATGCGCTGCATCGAGCCCACCGAAAAAAGCGCGACCCCCTGCTGCTGCTGCTGCTGCCGCTCCTGCACGCACGCGCGTCTAGCTCAACTGTCACCGACGATCGTAGTTTCATCCGAGCGCCCTCGCCTCGCCTCAACTTGCTCGCCTGCTCGTGCACGTCGACCCTACACTCTAGCCTCCGCAACCCATCGGAAGGGCCGGTTCTGAAGCAGAGAGCCTAGTGTCAAGTCGTTCGACGTGCCAGATGGGTCGAGGTGGTCAGTGCGTGGGGATGGCGAGAGTCAGGGTTCAGCGCGCGGGCTTGGGTGGGCGCAATCGAAGGTTGCTTGTCGCTGGAATGAATGCCCCGTCGAGGGGATTGTGTGTAGGTCTCGCGTAGGCCAAGGTGCTCCTCGTTGCGGCGACGGGCGGCTTGATGCGAGCCACCGATCTTCGAGCTACATCCCAAAGGCCAGACCCCGAATTCCAAAGGGGGGCGAGAGGGGCACTCTCTCTCTCTCTCTCTCTCTCTCTCTCTCTCTCTCTCTCTCTCTCTCTCTCTCGTCTCCGCATCGCTCTTTGTGACGCGGAAAATGTAAAAATTGCGAGAAATTGCAACACCCAGACAAGAATGCAACAGGCTCACGCTCTTTCTCCCTCTCTCTTTTTTGGGCGATCCCACCGTGAGTGCGATTTGGAGCGGAGCGCAAGAATTTAGGGCGGGCCAGAAGACCTGCCAGACAGGGAAGGAAGCCTTCCGTCGAGGCTCGGCTGTTCCATTTTGTAACCCACGCCCAACGGACGAGCCGCACACCCGCGCGTCTTGCTCTGGATTCCAGCCCAGGCGAGCGGCGCTCTCTCTCCGCCAGACGCTATCTCGATCCGCTCGGAGCTGCACACACACCCACTGCATTCAGCGGCGGCTGCTCATCCCCCTCCCTCCGCTTTGGCACACACGCCTGCTCAGGGCTGTTGCCTGACTTGCACTGTTCGCTGCTGTACATCGGGTCGATTTGCTGGGGCCTTGGCTGCTTTGCGAGCTGGACTGCAGATAGAAGAGGCACGACTGTCGGCAGTGGCAGTGGCAGCTCGTTGTGGGCGCTTAGCCGGGCCCTTTCATGCCAGCCGCACCCAGCTCTTTGCCCTCCGCTTCCGCCCCATTCCTGGCTGTACACCCATCTGGCTCGTCCAAGTTTCTCACCCCTCAACCTCGCCGCTCTGGTGCGCTTTGCAGCTCCTCTCCTCTCTCTCTCTCTCCCCCCCTCGCCTTGCACCCCCTGCCATCCCMCCCCCGCCGGGCCCTTTCTACTGTCGAGCTCTCGCGCTCCGCCTTGGTGCTGCACCTCTCCTGTAGCACGTCCACCCCGAGCCACACATTCTCGCCTCCGTCTCGTGCCACGCCCAGGCGATCTTCATGGCACCTCCGCTTCGCCTCCGCTGTACGACGCTAGTTTAGCCTGCTCGGCCCCTTCTCTCCAAAGCGCTGGCTGGCATCCTCGTCCTCTCATCTTAACTCGCTCATCTCTCCGTCTTACCTTCACCACCAGCACTACTACCACCACCACACCAGCTGCTCTCGCGTCTACCAACTGGCATCGCCTGCGTCGCTCACACCTGACAGTCTCATCCACACCACCACCTTGGAGCTCACCTCGGAGCTACCTGCTGCGTCTGCCAACCGCCATAGCCCACCGGCTCGCTCAAGCGCACTCCGACATCGACCATCCCGGTAAAATCACTGCGGTCTATGCCATCATCTCCCTGAGCTTCCCTTCACTGCGCCATCGCCCAGTGTCTCTTTCAAAGTAGGTCCCATGCTTGCTTCCCCTTGTCTCGCAAGGCTCGATCGTCTTGCGCCTCCCGTTCCCACACCCGCGCATGCCAGTGTCGAATGCCCGTTCGAACCTTGGCTGACCCTCCACCTCTCCTCTGCTCAACCTCTAGATGCTTGCTTCTTCCTTGAATCTGCAGCCCAAGTCGGCCCTCGAGCACGTGGCGGGTCCCACTGCTCAGGACGCCTGGAATCCCGCCGACGACATGGAGTGCGACGACGACGACATTCGTGCCGCTGCCAACCTCAAGCGCAGCGCCCTCGCTCACAACGTCATGACCAACATTGCCTCCTCCCAGTCCACCCACTCAATCGCCTCCTCAAGCAGCTCCGCCGACCTCGACCTCGAGCCCGAGCTCAGCCAGTCGCTCGGCTCCGTCTCGAGCTTCGACCTGCGCACTCCGCTCAAGCCTAGCCTCGCAGCCAACCACCTCTACGACCCCAGCGAGTCCTTCAGCGTGCTCGGCCTGCACAAGCACGTCCTGCAAGCTCCCCGCCCCAGCAAGAACCTCCTCGCCGAAGCACTCGCAGCCAGAAAGGTTCGCCCAGCCAAAGACACGGCCATGGACGAGTCCGCCCCTGCCCCGACCCCCGAGACCATCGCACCGTCACAGAGCATCTCGCCCAAGAGCCAAAGCCAGCTTGGCAACCGACCGCTTCCCGGCAACCCCTCTCTGTCCCCACTCAACCGCCCAAATAGGCCCAAGCTCTCGCTTCCCGTCTTGGCGCCATCAGCCTTCTCCCGACCCAACTTCCCGCAGACCCCCGGCGGCACTCTCTTCTATGGCGCGCGAGATGGCGCGGCCACAGGCGCTCCCGTTAGCCCGTTCCTGCCTCCCACACCTCTCGTTGCCTCGATGATGGAGGCCGAGCAGAACAAGCGTCTTGGCGACGGTGACGACGACGCCACCGCGTCCAGAGGCTCGCTCTCGCCCGAGCTCGCGCGCGCCTCTTTGCTCTTCCCCGCCACCACAACCCCACGCCAGCAGAAGCCAGTGCGCGCACCTCTGCAGCGCCACGGCTCCCTCGGCATGTCGCCCCTCAGTCGCGAGTTTGCGAGTGTGAGCATGCGAGGCAAGTCCAAGAGCAACGAGCACCCGTCTTCCACTGGATCGCCCATCCCGCGTCGAGCGCAGGAGCTCTCGCCTGGCAACAACCCCGGCTCGCCATCGACGCTGCTCACGCCGCCTTATTCGCCCCTCACGCTCACCAAGAGCCTGCCCGAGGAGGCATCGGTCCTTGCCCAGCGCAGATCGAGCAGCTCGAGCAGCGTCTCGTCCTCGAGTAGCAAGAAGCTGCGCGCCAAGGAGAGCCTGCTTGGCGGAGGCACCGACCTTTCGCGATCCTTCAGCGCCAACCGCCTCAAGACCAACACGCGCACCAAGGCCGTGCCCAAGCCATTCAACCTCGACAAGGCCTTCACCACAGGCTCCCAGGGGCTCGACGTCGCTGGCTCGACGCCGCAGCCGCTCTCGGCGCCTGCCATGAAGATCAGCTTCGCCGACGACGAGATCGAGGTCGACATCGACCAGCGCACCAGCCCCGAGCCCATCGAGTCGGAGCTGATCGAGGTGCGCAAGACGCAGTCAGATGTCGGCCCTTCGGCGTCGACAGCAGTTCCAGACGCGTCGCTGCTGTCGCCGTGCTCGGCGCTCAAGGCACCGGCGATGGAAAAGTCGTTCAGCGCACCCGTGCCGCCCGCACAGACGGTCTCGGCGCGCCATCTGGCCGATTACGAGCTGCATCCGCGCTTCGCTTCGTCGTACACGCTCGGCGACGAGCTCGGCAGCGGTGGCTTTGGCTTTGTCGTCGCCGCGCGTCGCAACGTCGACGGACTGCCCGTTGCGGTCAAGTTCATTTTCAAGGACAAGGTGCCTGCGCACGGATGGGTGCGTGACCCCAAGCTTGGCGTCATCCCGATGGAGGCGTTCGTGCTCAAGGTCGTCGACCACCCTGGCGTGGTCAAGTTCATCGACCTTTTCAACGACCGCAACTTCTTCTACCTCGTCATGGAGCTGCACGGTACGCCGTGGCAGCCTCCTGCAGCCGAGCCCGTGGTGCCGGAGCCTAGGAAGGAGCTGCGGCCCGCGGCCATGCAGCGACGCACGAGCTGCGACCTGTTCGAGTGCATCGAGCAGCACTCGCGGCTGACCGAGGAGCAGGCGCGGTGGGTGTTTGCCCAGGTAGTTGAGACGGTCTGGCACCTCGACCGCATCGGCATCTGCCACCGAGACATCAAGGACGAGAACTGCGTCGTGGACGCCGAGTTCAACGTCAAGCTGATCGACTTTGGCTCCGCTGTCATTACGGACGTGCGGAAGCCGCAGCCGTACTTCAACCGCTTCTTTGGCACCATGACGTTTGCCAGCCCCGAGATTTTGCAGGGCAAGCCGTACCGCGCACCGCATGCCGAGATCTGGTCGCTGGGCGTGCTGCTGTCGATCCTGCTGAGTGGGCAGTGCCCCTTCCCGGACCCGGCGGCGGCGATCAAGGGCCGCATCAGCAAGCCCAAGGGCGCGTGGTCCGCCGATGCGCTCAACCTGCTCCTGCTGTGTCTCGAGGTGGACCCGGACAGGCGCGCGACCATCGCCCAGATCAGGGATCACCCCTGGGTCCACCGCGCCTGGAAGGAACGTGCCGTCAAGCTCAACGGCGCCCACCCTCAAGCTCCTGCAGCCTCCGCCTCGCTCTAGTCTCTTTTTCTTCTTTCTTTCGTCGATTTCCTCAACACTCTTCGCATTGCATCTCCCTTCTGCACCGCATCGTCCCCTCGTCTTTTCTCCCCCTTCTTCGTTCTAGCATTCATCTTTTCCCACTCCCCCTCCCAAAGCATCACTCTGCATCTTTACCCCGCTCGTCTACCTCGCGCTAATCGGCCCCTTTCGGCCACTCCTCACGCTCTAGCATGGTTTCTCCCGCTTCAAAACCCCCCTTTGCCTTTCTTCTTTTTCTTGTTCGAGTGCATCGTCGACTGTATTACTAGCATTCGCAATTTGCGAGAAATGAATTCCCAGTTCTGATTCAACAGCATGTGTGTGATTAGATCTGGAGGCTGGAGAGGCCCTTCTGGATGCCTCCGACGGGTGTGCCTTGGGCGACAGCGAAGATGCAGAGTCTGCCGTCGACGCCCGAGGTCGAGATGTGGTCGACGTTGTCTCGTGCGCCCGAGAAAGGTCGGATGCTGGTGATGGTGTTCTGATGGGTGGTGTGCAGTTCACCATCGGCGCCGACGCTCGCACCTGCAACAGCACCCAGGGCACCAGCAACGCTTCCGCCTCCTCCACCTGCGGCAGTGGGGAGCGGGGAGGACGAGCCGCCACGGCTGTCGGCCGACTTGAATCGGTTGAACGCCTCGTTGTTCAGACGGCCGACGCTGGGGCCCGACAGACCGGGTGCCTTGGGGGGAGGCGGAGGAGGGGCACCCTTGGAAGCGGCAGCTCCGGCGGCGTCGAGCGACTTGACGATCGCCCAGCCCTGCTGTGCGTCGCCCTGGAAGAGCACGGGCTGACAATCGTGCCCGGCGGCGATGATCTGCGTCTCGGTGACAAACGTCAGCGTGACATACGGCAGAGTGGGCGAGCGAATCACGTGCACTGCAGCAGGAGGCTGTTCGGGCCCACTGGGGTAGACGACGGTAAGGCTCGAATCGTGACCGACGAATGCAAGGGCATCGCCACTGGGGCTGAAAGCCACGCCGTGAACCCATCCACCGCTGGGGGTGGCGAACTCGCCGCACACGGTGCCGAACGGCAGACGCTCGCCCCACACGCTCGCAGGCGGCTTGGCATCCACGCCCTTGATGTAGGCGCTGAACACGCGTGCACGCATATCGGCCGACCCTGCGGCAAGCAGCACATTGTTGGGATGCCAGTCGAGTGACAGTACGGTGGATCGGAGCGGACGCTTGATGTGCTTGGCAACCCACCAGTCGTTGTCCTCCTCGAACGAGCAGATGCTGATGATCCTCGCGCCGGAGGCCACCGCAAACTTGTCCTCGTTCGGGCTCCATCGCACAAATGTAGCGGCGCGGTTGAGACGCAGCAGAACGAGCGTCGGCTTCCACACCTGCGCGCCAGTCTGAGTGTCGGGCTGCAGCTGCCACACGTAGGCGTTGCGATCCTGCGAGCACGTTACGATGCGGTTCGACTGCGCAGCCCAGTCGATGCCCGTGACGAGCTTGTCGTGCTCGGCCAGCGTGTGCTCGAGCACCCAGCCCGATGCACCGTTGGCGTAGATGTGCACCACATTCGAGTTGGGTGACACGGCCACCTTGCTGCGGTCGGCGTTGAAGGCGTGCGCCGTAAGCGGGCCGAGCGAGAGCTGGTGTACCTGCGTGGCCATCGTGATGGGATCGACAAGCGGCGAGAGAGGGTGAGCGATGCGAAGAGGTCGGTCAAAGTGGAGAGAGAAGGTCGGAAGGACTAGCAGTCAACTCCCGGGATAAGAGTAGGATGGTGGAGTGAGGCCAAGCGATGAGGCCGACTGTGTGCATATACGAGGTCGAGGCGGCAGCACAGCCCAGCCCGCGGCCGCACATCCATCCACACGCGCAGCTGCCGATTCAAGATGGCCCCTCCGCACGAGCCCGTCATCGCGCTCGGCCTTGGCTGCCTCAGATCGAAAGCTCCACTTTTCGGAATTTCAACAAGATCGGTGCGATGTCGTTCCCGATTCAACGCTGTCGGAATCTCACGTGTTGCGCCCAAGTCGGATCCGATCAGAGCATGCAATTTTCGATTTCTTCCAAATGGCTGCATCTGACCTTCCTGCTGGACAACGACCACCTCAACCTACATCGACACTTGGAGATTGCACCACCAAAATGGCTTCCGCTCGATTTGGAAGCTCGCTCAGGGTGCTGGCGCAACAGCATGCCTCGACTGTCGGAACCAGCAGTGCGGCATCCAGGAGCTTTGTAACTTCCGCCGTGGCATCGGCCGCAGCCAAGAAGCCGGCACAGGTCAAGAAGAAGGCGGTGGTCAAGAAAAAGTCGACACACTCGGGGCCTCGCTCCACCAGCGGCCGTCGTAAGGGTGGTGCCGACTCGACGGCAGGCCTCACGAGATCCTCGGAATTCCACGTCGAGGCGCCGGACATGTCGCATCTGCCGCTTCTGCACGCCGAAGCGCTTACACCAGCCTCGGCCGGACAGACGTTCGCATTCAGTGAGCAGACGCTGGCGGCTTTCAAGGCGTTCGGTCTGCCTCAGGAGCTCGAGAGGGAGCTTGCGACACAGCCCAAGCCACGCTCGCTCGTGCGACAGCAGACGCTCGATGTGCTCGACAAGCTCGACGCGGCGTCCAAGGCCAACAAGGGCACGAGCATCGTGCTCGACGGCAACCGGGGCTCGGGCAAGTCGATGCTGCTTGCGCAGTCGATCGCGTATGCGCTCGATGACGGCTGGGTTGTGGTGTCGGTGCCGCGCGCGATCAACCTGATCAACTCGTCCACGCTCTACACGTACAACGCGCAGCACAAGGCGTATCTGCAGCCCGAGGCGACACAGCAGGTGCTCGAAGCGGTGCTCAAGGTGAACGGCGCAGCGCTCAAGCAGATCAAGACGACGGACAGCGTCAGTGTAGACGGCAGCCAGATCGAAGCGGGCACGGCGGTGGAGACTTTGGTCAAGCGAGGCATCGAGACATCGTCGGCGGCGGCAAAGCAGACGCTGCTCGAGGCGACGTTCAAGGCGTTAGCGAGCCAGAAGGAGCGTCCTGTGCTTGTGGCTGTCGACGATGCGCAGGCGCTCTTCCGCACGTCGCTGTACAAGGATCCGGACTTTGTGTCGCTCGAGTCGTATGAGCTCGGCTTGCCACGTGCACTGCTTTCGCTCATCACCTCTGAGGGATCGGCGATCGGACGTGGCGCGTTTGTAGCGGCTTTTTCCACCACACACACCGAATCCCCCACCCCGCCCGAGCTGCAGATCGCACTCGAGGAGAAGACGCAGGGCAAGGCGAACCTCATGAGCCAGGCGATCAACGCGTACACCAAGCTCAGCAAGCAGCACCTCGAGCATGCCCGCCAGGCGCTCACCAAGGCCGAGTTGGTCGACACGTCCAAGCCGCTTACGCGTGAAGAGGCGGCCGCGATCTTTGCGCAGCTGCGTGACGAGAGGAGGCACTGGAGCGCAGCCAACGACGAGCTCTTCCTCGCCAAGCTCGTCGAGACCAACGGCAATGCGCGCCTCTTCAGCAAGAGCCTCGTTTCGACGCTGGTATAGATTAGTAATCCGACTTTGTTTCATTGATCGGCATGCTGAGAGCACATTTCTTCTAAGGTTGTGATGGTTGCGAGGGCAGGTGGTTGCTCGAGCTAAAGCTTTCGGCAGCGCCGAAAAATGGAATCGCGGCGGGCCGCAGGTAGGCATGTGCGCGGTGCGGTGCTGAGCAATCGCGTGTTGGTCTGCCGTGTGGCCGAACAAGCGGGTGGGAGAAGGCGCGAGTTTGGGCGAGCCAGCGCAGGACAAGTGTTGTTGTCGCGAAACCCTTTTTTTCTTTCGCTCGCTTGCATGCACGCAGCCGCGCACGCACGCACCCACACCCAACGCCTACGCTTTACGCTCAGCACAGCCAGCGCATAGCCGCTGCAACACACTCACGGCGCTTCCTGCAACAGCAACAGCACTCCTGCTTCCTCACTGCTTCGTCTTTCTCATCAGACGGCCCTTGATCGGAACGGCCGACCTTTCCCACTGCCATCTCGTCACCATTGCTCTCGTCTAGGCGCCCGGGCAGCTTCAGTCTTTCGGATAGCTTGGTCGCTGCTGGCCGCCGCACACGGACGGGGACTCGAAACCACAAGCAACCTTCTCGACCATTTATCGGTGTCGCTCCTACTTGCGCTTCTCTCGGCTTTTCCGATTTGCCTTGTCATCCTCGGACCACCCAGCATCGAGATCTCTCACAGTCTCGGCATGGCCGAACAGCTGTCGCCGCTGAGCTCATAGAATCGCCGCGCCCGCTCAGCTGGTAGATGCCAGCTAGGTGCCGACCGTCGCCATGGCAGTAGCCACAGACCCGTCAAAGGCAGGCGGATCGTCGTCGCAGGACAGCGTGCTTTCTTCGGTGCCCTTCCGAGACTCGTCGGTGCCGCGGAGCCGCAAAGTCGCAGCCACGACCGCAATGCAACCTCCAGTCGCATCTAGCTCCCACGCTTCCAGCTCCCACACCTCTCGCACCGCTCCCGGCTTGGCATACTCGACATGGCTAGTGCTCGATGCCGATGACAGCGCTCGTCCGTTCCTATCGGCACTTCAAGCAAAGGCTGCCGGCCCATCGATTGTGCCGAGCGGAGCTGTTTCGCCCGCAGCGCGCAGCGCAGAAAAGCTCACCGAGCTCACCAACACTTCCACTGCAGCCGCAGCACAGGCGGCGCGCAAGGCCTCGGCCAGCTCACACGTCAGGGTCCGGGCGTCCAAATTCGACGCTGCCAATGCCGAGGCCAAGGATGGCGTCAATGGACTCGATAAGGATCGCAGGGCGTCGCTGCAGCATGCGGCATCACACGCGGGAGCGTCGGCCAGCATAACAGGCAGCATCGGTCGCAGAAGCTTCATGTCCCGTCTCAGAGGCGCGGGCGGAAGCGTGTCGAGCGCAAGCGTCTTCCAAGCACAGGGTCAGCAAGGCGCAGAAGATGCGGCATCGGTGTCAGCATCGGGCAGCTGGTCCATCGTCGACACCCCGGCTCCAATCAAAGAAGAAGGGCAGGACGCCTCGGCTGCGCGAAAGGTCGTATTTGCATTCTCGTCCATGGCGACATCAAGCGCCGTACAACAAGCATCTGGTCTGGTGGCACGCTGCTCTGCCATGCTGTCGCTGTCTCCCGAGGACCAGATCGTCGAGCAAGTCCATCCGGACCGCGTCGATGCAACATCCACTGCTGCCTTGGTCCAAACCCACCGCGCAGAAGCCATCTATATCGGGTCCGCACAATCTTCGACGTCAAGCACTCAGCTCTACGCTTTTCTGCAAGCGATTGTCGATGCATCCAGCGCACCGGTCAAGTTCATTGCGGTCGAGCCAGTGACAGTCCGGAGATTATCGGCAGAGCAAGCAGCCGCGTTGTTCGACGCCGCACGCACACGACGCGTGCAGCTCTCCTTACCGCCTCGATGGACGGTCATGGGCAGAACCGATCTCGACGAGACGCTCCAAGCGCTCGAGCTGTTGCACGAAGTGGAGGCGGAGCAGGCGCGGAGTGCGCAATCGGTCGGTGATAACGAGGAGGCAGACGTGAGCGGCAACTTTGACGTGAGCCTGTCCAACATCCCGACAGGCATGTCCAGCGATAAGCTTGACGAGTCCGCCGAGCTAGAGACGGTCAAGGCGCAGGTGGCACAGCTCGAAAGAGACCTGCAGAACAAGGACAGGCGCATTGCAGAGCTTGTGCGCCAGGCAGAGGCGCTAACCGCGGAGAACAAAGCCGCTAAGGCAGCGTCTGAGCTAGCGTCGATTCCAGCAACAGCAGCAGCCGCTGAGGAAGCAACTGCAGTGTCAAAAGCAGATACGAGTGCGCCGGCACCTCCTGCGACTATCTCTGCGTCTGCGGTCGCAGCGGGAACGAGTGCAGAGCTTCTAAAGCCAGCGGAAGAACAGGCGCCGACCACATCGCACACGCCAGTCCGAACCCCCACTGCGAGGCAACTCAACTCCAACGCGGCTGCTACGCCGATGAGCACGCCTGTAGCGTCGTCGTCTCGCAACTTGGCTGCAGCCGTAGGCTCCAATACATCATCGCCACACGGTGCAGTCGCAGGGGCACTTGGGGCTGCGGCAGCAATCACTGGGTCTCCTGGATCTCCGAGTGGCGGCGCGCGGTCTTCGGGCAAAGTGATTGCCACGCTTACCGCGGAACTCTCGGAGACGCGAGCGATACTCGAGGCGACGCGCGCGGCGCTGGCGACGGTGCGTACGCAGTCGGCAGCGTACCAAGCGCAGGCGGACGAGATGCGAGGTACGCTATCACGGGCACGGCTGGAGAACGATTCGTCGGTGGGCATCTTGGCGCGCAAGGACCGGCAGATTGTGGAGGCGCTCGAGCGCGCACGCAAGGCGGAGGCGGAGGCTAAAGAGCTCGGGAGGGCGGGGCGCGAGTGGGGCACGCGCGTGCGCGAGGTCGAGGACGAACTGGGCAAGGAGCGCATCAAGCGCTCACGGGCCGAGCAGGCATACGACGCACTCAGCAGCGAATGGAAATCCGCGCGCGAACGGTTACGTGCCGAAGTGGACGAACTACGCACCACCCACACCGACCAAGTTCAAGCCCTAGCCAAGGAGTACGATACTCTACTCGCCTTCAAGACTCGTCTCCAAGACCATGCCAACATCACCATCGAGACGGGCAATGCTGATTTTGGAGCACACGCCCTCGTCAAGGACCTCGAGCGGGTTAACACCGACATGCAGACGTACCTCTCCACTCAGGTCCATCCGCTCGTCGACAGAATGGCAAAGCTGGAGCAGCGCGAGAATCAAGACATTGTGGACAGGATCACGATGCTCACCGACGAGCTTACGCGCATCAAAACCCTCATGCGCCGAGGCGACATCACTAGCCCCGACCAAATCCCACCCTCCACCCTCTAGCAATGTCTCGCACGCGCTTACACACGAGCAATCGCACGCAATCGCACGGCTGAATCAAAAACATCGGCAGTCACAACAAACAGTCACACCCTCACAACAGAGGGGTGCGCAGGATACACAGCTAAGAGAGAGACAGAGAGGGTGCGCAGACAAGCGCGGGTGAGGCGTGTGGGGAGGGGCCGCTCTGGAGCTGCTGTTTTTTTGTGGGGAATTTGGGGTGCAAAGTATGTGTGTGGACGCAGCGAAAGTGTGTGTGTTGCTACTTGAGCGACTCTTCCCCTACGCCGCCGTCGCCGCCGCGCTGGCGCGCTGGCGCGCGCGAATCCCTCTTGCTCTGGGAGCTCGGCAGCGGGTCTTAGGACGACGCGCCGCCCTGGGCGAGGCGCATCTTCTCCTGCTCGAGGCGCTGGTAGAGCAGCGACACAGCCATCTGGATGTTGGGCGGCGGGCCCGTAATCGTAACCAGCCTCTCGTTGCCCGATCCACCCGCCGCCAGCCCCGCGCCCGGCTCCATAATCTTGATGTGGCTCGCGGACATGGAGCGGATCTCGTTGATCTTGGAGCCGCCCTTGCCGATGATGCATCCGACGAGGTCGTTGGGGATGAAGATCTGCTGCGTCTGCGAGCCCGGTGGCAGCTGCGGCGCGCCGGTGGGGGCGCCGAACGCAGCCCCGCCCAGCGGCGCCGGCGCGCCGTAGCCAAACGGCTGCTGCGCAAACGCAGCCGGCTGGCCGGGCGCGGGCGCGCGCGACGACGGCCCGCCCGCAGTGGGTCGGTACGGAAGATTGTTGGCGTTGCGGTCCTGGTGCTCGAGCAGGATGGTGCCCACGTAGTACACGGCGATGTGCACCGCATCCGCCACACCCGAGATGCTCAGCACGCGCTCGGTCGAGCCGGGCAGCATCGCCTCGCCAGCAGTCAGGCGCGCACCCGACGCCTCCTGGATCTCCTTGATCTTGGAGCCCTGCTTGCCGATCACCGATCCCATGCGCGAGTTAGGCACGATGAAGCGGATCGTGACCGATTTCGAGCCGGGCACCGACGGCTGGTCGAACGGCTCGTCGTTGATTCTGCGGACAATCAGACCGAAGGCCTGCGGAAGGGAACCAAGCAAAGGCGGGGGAGAGAACGAGATCAGCAAAAGTCCAGCCTGCAACTAGGGCGGCGCGTATCTAGCCTGGCAAGACATCGCATGAGACCTACCTTGCTGACAGCGTCAAGAGGGCCCGAAACAGTCAGGATGCGCTCGGGGTTGCCGGCGATGATTTCGCTCTGTGCGTGTGAAGAGCGGCAAGGACATAGGACGTCGTCAGCACTTGAGCATGCGAAAGGATGTGGTGGCGCGCGAGGTGGTGGCGCAACTTACAATGTTGAGGCGCGCGTTGCTCTTGTCGCGGATCTCGTTGATGTGCTTGCCGGACTTGCCGATGATGATGCTGGCGTCGCTGGTCACGATGAGGGTGCGCATGGAGATCTGGGTGGCCTGTGCCTCGGAGGAGTCGCCGACGCTGCCGGCGCTTCCGGCCGCGTGGTCACCATCCTGGCCGTTGGAGACGGAGCCGTTGTCGCCCTTGTTGTCGCTGGCCGAGGTGGAGTCTGCAGCGACACCGGAGCCGAGATCGACGGCGTCCTTCTCTTCGGGCTTTGTATAAGCGTCCGAGGCCATCTTGTCGCGGCGGTCGGGGGAGGAAGGGGAGTGGTCGCTCTTGGTCGACTTGGACGTGGTGCTGGCCTCTACGTTGACACGCTTGGCTTCAGGTTCGGGAGAGGTGGAGGCGTCTCGCTGGCGCTTGGTGACTTCTGACATGGTTCGAAGCGGAGGTGGAAGTCGATGGCGGCGGGGATAATCGAGATAAGAAAAGAGATCCGACTTGATCAGCAATCACAATCCAGCCTTGGCAAGGCACGCGACGAGGTGGTTTGAGGAGGGTGGATGGTGATTGGGAGGAGGAGTTGAGCGAATCCGATTGGAGTCCGGGAGGAGAGGATGGCGTGGTGGGAGGAGGGCGATGATGCGTACGACTGTTGCGATGCAAGGGCAACGAGGGTGGTGGACGACGATGAGAGGGAAGGTAGAGGGCAGAGGACCAGATTCAGCGTCTGAGTGAGCGGGAAGAGTGCGGGGTGCGGGATGCGGGATGCGGATTGCGGGATGCGACAGGGCGAAGGTCGAAGTGCCCGCGCTGGACCCACGCCTGGATAGGCGATTGCGGTCGTAGGCAAAGTCAACGGCCGATCGTGCAAGCTCGGCGACCCGACGAGTGTGGTCTTGGTAATGTCGACGCGTGGATCTACCAGAGCTGTTGCAGCGAAATGTCTCGGATGGCAGGATGCGGAGGTGTGTGCGGAAGAAGGGCGGGATGCAGAAGCCACTTACCTTAGTTCAACTGCCGGGAAGATTGCAGCGAGTAGAGTCGGTGACTAGTCGTCGTGGCGGTAAAGATGGTGTAGGCGATGTGCGAAAGCCGATAGGTGCTGAAAGCGGGCGGTAGGTGCGGCTAGAAGCGGGCAAAGTTGGAGCCTAGGAAGTGGATCGGTTGACCTGTGGTGGATGGTTCGATCGAACGAGTGCAGCGCGTGTCGGTGAGGATACTGCGAACGAGTGCGATGCTTCACCGGAGCCGCTGTGAGTCGAAGGCAGAAAGATGAGCGGGCGGAGGGCGGAGAGGAGGAGGGGGTAGAGGAGAGATGGAGGAGGAAGAAAAGGTGGAAAGGCTGAGGTGGAGCTCGACACAAAAGAGTCGGCAGCAGCGGGAAAAGCTGGCTCTGCGCTTCCTTGAGAGAGAGACGGGCAGGCAGGCAAAAAAAGAAAGTGTGGCCTTTGGGGGCAGAGAGAGCCCACTGTGTGAGATGGCGTGGAAGCTGCTGCTGCTGCTGCTGCCGATTTTTCCCAACTTGGAAATCGCAAGCCAGCCCGACGACTAGTGCTCAGCCCCGCCCCACGGCGCGCAGAAGTGTGTAATCGGGCCGTGCGAATTCAAACTGACAGGCGCTGAATACAAAATTGTGCGTATGCCCAAGCGCGCCGCCCGCAAAGCCTGACGAAGGGGGAGGGAACGCATCCTTCCAAAAGTTGACCGAAGCCAGTGACTGCCAACCCGCCCAAGGCTGTGTGATTGGCATTCTGAAGGCGCCGTCTTGGCTCCTCACCGCTGCTGTTCGTCTTTGAGGTGGATGAGACAGGCACGCCGAACGCAGCAGCCAAATCTTCTCACACTATGTTGGGCCGACGTGGCGCGGGAGATCCAGACGTCGGAAGCCTTCCGATGGACAAGCAACGCACGACCACTACAGCCAGTCAGATGCAGGCGGTGGGAAGTGGGGAGCCAGTCATGGCTGGGAAATCGATTGTGCTAAAAGTACAGGGCTTGAGTAAAGCTGCCGAGACAAGGAGACGCTGAAGGAACCGAACGGGATGGATTGGTCGGATCACCTCCGAACAGGCGGACGCGAGCCACTTGCGCTCGGAGGCCCAGATGCACCGCCTCGTCCTCGCCGCGCTTGAGCTGTTGTATCGGAGGTGAGAGGGAGAGAAGTAAGAGCGAAGAAGAGAGCTCGGAGTCAGTCAACGATGCTTGCAACGAAAGCGAGGCCCCAGCAAAAGGGGCCAGAGACGGGCACATACCTCTCAGAATCGTGGCTCGTCCACGCGCGCTTCCGATACCGCGACCCTTCATGGCGTTGGGTCCGATGCGCTTGAACATGGGTGCTTGTTGCAGCATGTCGGGCACGATGACGAAGCGAATCATGTTGCCGCGGATGTAGACGTTTTCGAGGTGCGACTGCTTGCCGTCCGGCGCGGTGACGGTGATGTCCTTCATGGCCACGTTCAGGTTATCCTCGGCTGGACATTCAGCACATCAAAGTGGATCGATCAGAGTCAGTATGTCTGCTGCACCGGTTGCAAAAGGGCAAGTCAACCTACCATCGTAGAGGGTGCCGCGATAGGATGCGCCGCCCTTGAGCTCGACCGTGATGACGTGACCGACGGCCTCGTGGATGAGCTTGACGGGGATGCCGATGGTGCCCATTGCGAATGTCTCTCGGAATGCCCGATGCTAGGATGGGCAGGAACGAGTTGAAACGGGTGGTGATGGGTCGGAAGATGCAGATGGAAGATCGACTCGGGTACAAAAGTGGAGAGAGAGAGAGATGGTTGCGAGGCAGCAACTGACCGGTGCACGACTGGACACGCGAATTCCGCACTTTTACTGCCCGATTTCGCCGTCGACTGCCCGATGAATCGCGTTGGATTTTTGAGTCAACCCGAGCCGGGGTCGCTCGTTGCTGAGTGCGCGCGGCCGGGTGCGTCGGGTGCGTGTCGATTGGCGTGGAGTGTGCGCGCTGCTGCTGCTGCTGCTGCTGCTGCTGCTGCTATCCGACGCAGAGGCCAACACTCGGCACGCCGAGGCTGAGCCAATCCTTCCGTCTCCCCTCTCAACGAGCTCGACTCCCACCTTCATCTGTCCATCCAAGGCGATTAAGATCGGCGACGATGGCATTCTACAGCGCAGGCCCGCTCTCTCCGGGCTACAACACCACCTCGGCATGGGGCGGCAACGATAACGCCGACGAGGACCCCTGGGCGGCACCCGGCGCATCCTCCTCATCCACCCCCGCAGCGGCTCCGGCCTCGGGCTCGACTGGCGGCTTCACCTCGTTCTCGACGCAGCATCAACAGCAGTCCGAGCGTGCACAGGGTGGATTCGGCGCCAACCCGTACTTTGGTGCAAGCCTGGCGCAGGAGGCGGATGCCTACGGGGATGGAGCCATGGATGCTGGGTTTGGCAGTGCGGCGCAGACGGGTCCGCGTATGCAGCGTGCTGACTCGGGCTTTGGTGCGGCGCAAAACCACCATTCAAACGCACAGTCCTCGCCTAGCACCTACGGATCGGCCATCAGCTCGATAGACCAGGCCCCGACCCAGCGTGCACCCACGGACCAGCAGCAACGACAGCCGACTTCGCCCACAGCCGCCACACCGTCCAACTCTGCTTTTCCTTCCGGTGTTCAGGTGGGGGCGAGTCAGACGTCGGGTGCATCGCGCTTTCAGTCGCACACGCCGTCGACACTGCTACCCAACGAGCCGGCGGGATTCTCATCCGCGGGTGCAGGCGAATACGGTGCAGCTCCACGACAACTTGCACCAGGCTACCCCCTGCCTGCGTCGAACTACACCATCCCAGCTTATTCGCCTTTCGCGAGGGTGGATTCGCTCAGCACCCCGCGTCGGGAGGCGGTGGAGGACATGTACGGCGTACCCGAAAACTTTCTCGAGGTCGAAGTTCGCAATCCCCTCACGCACGGCGTGGGTCGCAAGATGTATACCGACTACGAGATTGTTACCCGCACCAATATTCCGGCTTTCAAGCTGCGGTATTCGTCGGTGAGGAGGAGGTATAGTGACTTCGAGTACTTTCGGGATATTCTGGAGCGCGAAAGCACGCGTGTCAATATTCCCCCTCTCCCCGGCAAAGTGTTTACCAACAGGTTCACGGACGAGGTTATTGAGAGCAGGAGAGAGGGGCTCGAGAGGTTCCTCCAGGTCGTGGCGGGTCATCCGCTGCTCCAGACGGGTAGCAAGGTCATGGCTGCTTTCCTCCAGGATTCCGCCTGGAGCAAGGATCAGTGGCTGTAATCCTGCTCCCCCTATCATCTTCTCTCTCTTTTTTTTGGCCGCATCTTCTCATTTCGACGCAGAGCTCTCTTCACAAATGCCTAACCCTTCAAGGGTCCACATTGATTCTTAAAGTGTGTGCACCAAGGTCCAAATTGAGATGCACGAGTAATATGGGATGCGTTCAATCCGAGTCGTCGATCTCGATCACATCCACGTCGCCCCTGCTTCTGGCATTGCGCTTTCCCGGGCCAAGTTGAAGCTCGGGTTCCGACTCGGTCTCGCTCTCCGCCTCGTCGCGTGTCTTGCTCGGCTCCCGATCGACGTTCATAGCTTCGTGCTCGGAGGCCCCATCGTCGTCGGCCGCAAGCAGATCATAGATGCTGTCGATCTCCTCGGGACTCAGCACGAGCTCCGCCAGATCACCCGCCACGTCCGCAATCGCCTCCAACAGCATCGACACCCTATCCAGCCCCGCGATCGTCTCCTCCACCTCGTCCACCAATCCATCGCCCGGCTGCATGTCGTCCCTCCTGTCCGTTTCGCCGTCGTCAGCCTGCCTGTTTGCTGGTGCTGCTTGTGCTGCTTGCTGGCGGAGGGCGGGAAGGAGGGAGGCGAGCATTTTGCGCTCGGGCGCGATCCAGTCCGGTTCGGAGCAGAAGGCAATGCGCGAGAGCGCCACGACAAAGCTCTGCCGAATGCCGTTGAGCATGCTGTACGTCTCGGGCTGGTCGAGCTTGGTGGCGAGCGAGATGGGACCCATACGTTCGATCGCCGCAGCACCTGCTGCGCCATCGAAGCGGTGCGCGTGATCGTTGGCGATGGGGAGCGGGTAGTTGTACAGCAGATTGAGCAGGCGCGTGTCCATCACGATGCGCTCGGTCGCCTGCACCAGATCCGCACCCGACGCATCTGCCACTAACCCTGCCTTGCCGCCGCTCGCAGGGCGGAATTGGGACAGCCGCGGGGGCAGCATAAACGTCGGCCTGCTGTGGAGCCAGACCAAGTCGGCGTCGAGCGAGAGACACCGGATGAGCGCCGCGAGCAGTGGCGCGCTGTCGGCGAGCACCACCGCCGTGTCGGCGGAATGCAGCGCCGCCTGCGTGAGCAGCGTGAGGATGCCAGTGTGCAGCCGATGCCACTCGCTCTCGGGCAGGTCGAAGCGACGGTCCACCAGATGCTTGACCAGCACCTCAAGCACGGGAAACCGTGCGCTCCGCATCGACACCGACCCGCCACGACCACTGCTGTCACTCTCGGCCTTGGACGCCAGACACTCGTGAATCAACGGCGCGTCCGACACCGCCGAACTCAGCATGCGCACCACGCGAAAGATGAGCCAGCTCGGCCGCTCCGGATGCAGCAGCTTGTGCAGAGCGCCGTGGCGCTGCAGCACGCGCAGAGGATGCACGATCGCCAGATTGCTCGTGTCCGTGCACTGCGACATGGCCTCCAACACGCCCACCACTGCTTGCAGCAGGTCTTCCCTCGCCTCGGACGACAGCGTCCAGTCTTCAGAACCCTTGCGCGCCGCTCCATCCGCAAGGCGACTCAAGGCATCCGCCGTATCTGCGACCACCCGAGGCCGACAGTCGTTGATGCTCTGCGCGAGTACCTCGCGAAGCTGAATCGGGGTCGATAAGTCCCGCGCCTCCTGGTCCTTGTCCGCGTCTGGACCGCGCAAAAAGACGATTTCGTCGTGATCCGCTTGCCGGTCGGGCTGGAGACACTCGAGATCCATCCAGAAGCGGGGCAGGATGGCGATCAGGCACGACACGAGGCGCAGCACGTCGGTGAGCAGATCCGTCTGGCACAGCCGCAGCAAGATGCCCGCCATGACCATGAGCGCCGACGCCACCGCATGCGACAGGTGCATCGTGGCAAAGGCAAAGTCCATCTCGTCCGCATCCGCCTGTTCGCCGCGCGACCACAGCAGCCGCAGCGCATCCTCGCGCTCCTCGGGCTCCATGACCGTCGCGCGGCTCATGTGCGCGAGCAGCGTCTCGACCGCACGTCGGTACCGGAACACCACCGCCTTGGGACAGTCGCGCACCAGGTCGGCCGAAATGAGTCGGCTGAGCGTGCCTGAAGCTCGCGAGGTCTCTTGCGCCTGGGCTGACGGACCAGAGGCTGAGGTGTTGAAGGCACTGGCGGGGTACGTAGCGGGAGCCGCAGCCGGGGGAGATTCGTGGCTGAGCAGCAGCGAGACGATGGTGGTGCGTTGGTGCAGAATCTCGGACACGGCGGCGAGGTAGCGGTACTCGTTGTGGCGCGATGCCTCTGCACCGGCTGATTGCGAGTCGGAGGAGCGTCTTGGTCTCGAAGCTGGCCTTGCTTGCGGCGATGGATGGCCGTCGTCTGCCATGACGACGTCTTGGTCGTCGTGCATATCCATCGGAACGGTCTGATCTGCGTCCCAATCGGCTGGAGCCAAAGTTTCTGCTCTGCCTGGCTTCGTGGGTGAGCTTCTTTGCTGACGGATCTTCTCCTGAACGGGTGCAAAGTCGGCAAACGAGTTCTGCAGGCCACGGAACGCCTTGCTCTTGGACGCCGAGCCTGCGGCCGTTGTAGGCCGGGGGAAGTGTGGAGCCGGCTTGACTGCTGAGCGTGTGGGCGTGGACGGTTCTTGGCGGTTGCCCGGCGTGTCTACGAATCGCTGACGGTTGCCTGAACTCCCACTGCCGCGTAACCCATATCGGTTGGCTTTGGTCGGGGTGGTGAGGCCGGCTCTGACCTGGCTTTCCTGTCTTCTGTCCATGTCACGCAGACCGACGGGAGGCAGACGTGCCACGCTCGAGGGCCAGATGCGACGGCTGGTGTCCTGTTCTACTCTGCGGAAGGCGGTCTCGGTCTCGAGGCGCTGGAGGCGTTTTTCCTGGTCCTTTTGGAGCCTTTCGAGCGAGGCGCGATGCTCGTGCTCGCGCTGCACCTCGCGCTCGCGCAGCTTGGCGTTCTCCTGGTTGAGCTTGGTGAGGTTCTGACGCACGACGGCCACCTCGCCAGCCTTGCGGTAGGCATCCTGCCGGAGCTTGTCCACCGTCTCGTCCTGCGCGCGCTGTGCGGCGCGGAGGCGCTCGATCTCGGCTCGAAGCTGATCGAGCTCGTCGGTTTCGACGTTTGCAGATGCGTGCTTGGCTGACGCACCGCGGCTTGTATCTGGCGGCTCCTTGGATGCGTTCTGTGCTGCTTTGCTGGTCGTAGCACGCCGCGACGGGTGTGGATTTGATCTTGCATCTCGTGCTTCGTGGTTGCGATCGTCGCCGTTGGGTTGCGTAGTGGGCATGTGCTGCGACATGCGGATGGCCTCTTCTTCCACCTGATCGAGCGCGTTGTTGGTTGCCCACCACTGATCGTCGTCCTTGTCCTCAAAGTCTTCATCTTCTCGGAGGTCGCGGACGATCACCTGGTCCGGACCCGGTTCGGCCAGCAACGAGGGCTTTGCGGGGCGATGCGCGTTGCCGAGCCTGGAGGGACCTGGATCGAGGCGCGGCTTCTTTGCTGCGGGAGGTACAAAGGCGCCTCTGCGGTTGGATGAGCGAGCGGGAGCATTGTCGGTGTGGAGGCGGAACGAAGAGCCAGCAGCGGGTGCTGCGGGCTGGACCGCCTGCGAGGCGGTGTAAGTGGCCTCTGCCTGCGCGAGGCTCTCCTCGAGCTCAGGATCGAGGAGTGCCTGATCATCGAAAAGCAAGTCGAACTCGTCCTCGTCGTCGTGGATCCCGCCATTGGCGCCGCCGGAGCGCAGAGGTGGTGGAGCCATGCCGCGTGTGCCATCAAGCGGGCGAGACTAGATGTAGCATGCTGAAGCTGGCAGTGCCTGGGTGTGCTTGGTGTGCAGAAGTGGCTGAGCCCTGAAAAACGACGACGTTCTCGAGCAGAAAGGTGCGGAAGCCGCAAGAGAGATGGCGGAGCAGCTGAGCCGCTGATGAAGTGGAAGAGGGTGTTGGGAAAGTGCGATTCTGGGCGCAGTGGTGCGTGGCGCGAGTCCAACACTTTTTTCGGGCCGCGCTCCGACTCTGCTTTGGTGCCGATTTGGGGCCGAGCAGCGGGGCTCTCCGACAGCGCCTCAGTCAGCAGCAGCGGAAGAGGGCCGACGCGTAACTTGGACCGCGCGGGTGCTGCTGCTGCTGCTGCTGCTGCTGCTGAGCAGCGAGACGCGTAGAGAGGCGATTGATGTGGAGAGTGGAGTGGAGCGGCGGCGTTTTTTTCCTTCTGGCTCAGGGTCTGCTCTGCTCCTCTCTCTCTCTCTCTCGCTGCTGCTCCTTCATATCTTGCCCCCCACCCCCACCACATCCACGTCGACACAGCAACAGCAACAACAAAAATGGGCATCAAGGGCCTCACCGCGCTCATCTCGGACGAGGCGCCTGGCGCGATCAAGGAGATGGAGATCAAGACGTACTTCGGACGCAAGGTGGCCATCGACGCGTCCATGTCGCTGTACCAGTTCCTGATCGCGGTGCGTCAGAACGACGGGCAGCAGCTCATGACCGAGTCGGGCGAGACGACGTCGCATCTGCTCGGCTTCTTCTACCGCACGCTCCGCATGATCGACTACGGGATCAAGCCGATGTACGTCTTCGACGGTACGCCGCCGGACCTCAAGAAGGAGCTGCTCAAGAAGCGGTTCGGGCGGCGCGAGGAGGCGCGCGAGCAGGAGGAGGAGCAAAAAGACGTTGCCGACGTGGAGAAGATGGACCAGCTCGCGCGCAGGCAGGTGCGTCCCACACGGCAGCACAACGAGGAGGTGCGCCAGCTGCTCAAGCTCATGGGCATCCCCTGCGTCATTGCACCCTCCGAGGCAGAGGCGCAGTGTGCAGAGCTCGCGCGTGCGGGTAAAGTCTTCGCCGCCGGATCCGAGGACATGGACACGCTCACCTTCGGCACGCCCATCTTGCTCAAGCACCTCACTGCGTCTGAGCAGAAGAAGCTGCCCGTGCACCAGGTGGATCTGCCCAAGGCGCTCGAGGGCCTGCAGATGGACATGCGCCAGTTCATCGACCTCTGCATCCTGCTTGGCTGCGACTACCTCGACCCCATCAAGGGTGTTGGCCCCAAGACCGCGCTCAAGCTCATTCGCGAACACAAGTCGCTCGAAAACGTCGTGGAGCATCTGAAGGAGGAAGGCAAAAAGTCGGTGCAGATCCCGGAGCATTGGCCGTTCCAGGAGGCGCGCAGGATCTTTGAGGCTCCCGACGTGCAGAAGGGCAAGGATCTGGAGCTCAAGTGGGAGGCACCCGACGTCGAGGGCATGGTCAAGTTCCTCTGCCAGGACAAGGGTTTTTCGGAAGACAGGGTGCGAAAGGGATGCGAGAAACTCCAAAAGTCGCTCAGCCAGAAACAGCAGGGTCGTCTCGACGGCTTCTTCACCGTCAAGTCGGGCGCACCCGCACCAAAACGCAAGGCTGAGGACGACAAGAAGCCGAAGAAGAAGGGCAAGAAGTGAACCTTCTCCCGCCACCAATTTCACCACCACCTGCCCTTGCACGCAATCATACCTCACATTCGTACTACACATGCTTTCATTGCTTCTTCTCTGCGGCTAGGCTACGGTCAACTGGCCGGGCTGGGCTCTGGCGCTGATGCTGCCAGCGAGGCTGTCCTGGAGCACGTTGGTGGTGTTGGTCCTAGTGACCCGGTCGACTGTGCCACCTGCCATATCGCGGTACATGAACGTCTGCCTTGCCGTGCCGGTTCCATTGGCAATGGCGCCGTTGATGAGCACCGAGTCGGCGTCTGCGTTGCGCTTGGACAGCAGTGCGTGCGGTAGAGCCGCCACGTTGTCTGCATGGACCAACGTGGTTTCGTCGCCCACCATCCGCGTGAGGTCCTGCGCAGTGCTGCGGCCGGTGCGACGAACGGTGCGGTCGAACTGCTCCATGATGCGCGCGTCGTACGAGGTGTCGGACAGCGACGAGGTGACGTAGAGCGGATAGTTGTAGTCCGTCTGCACCGCGCTCACCCCGTTCTTTGCGTCTTGCGCAGCGAGTGATTGGATGGCGTCGAAATCGAGCGTCTCCATCACCTTGTCCATGTGCTGGGCGTCGATGACGAGCGACCGCGTCCAGCCGAAACTCTTCTGGTCGTTGGTCTGTGTAGTCGCATTGACGAAGCCGCGGTTTTCGTACTGGGCATGCTGCGACCATGCGGCCACATGCTCCAACCCAGAGCCGGTCTTGACACTCCCCGCCACGGCGAACCTCCTCGGCACCTGGAGCCCGACGCTGTAGGCCAAACTGCCATTCGTCAGCGGATCGCCCTTGACGCTTCCTCCGACGGTGCCGCTGACCACCTCGGCCCCTTGCGTGGTCCGGACCAGCTTGCCCGTGGTGCGCTCGTCGGAGCTGTCGAGGTACACCTGTACATTGCCCGAGACGAACCACGCTGCATCGTTAATCGCACCGCCTTGCTCGCTGCCCACCACAGCAAGCGCGAAGCTGTGCGGCTGATCGTCGGTGAGCGTTCCGATGAAGGGCGTGACGTCGATCGTGTACGTCGGCTGGTCGAACGTGCCAAAGTTGGCCGCGGGTCGCCAGAGCAACGGATTGACGCCGCCCGTAAAGATGACGGGATACGGCGTGACGAATCCCGCAAAGACGCCGTCGATGTACAGCTGCACCTCGCGGTACGGCCCGTGGCCATAGTATCCGTTGGCAGCTGCGTCGGGGATCTGATCAAAAAAGCGGTCAGGGATGCCAGTGTACCAGAACTCCTCGGCCGCTGTGCCGCTAGCGTAGACTTCGACCAGCGCTCGGGCGGCGTTGTGCGGGATCTTGACGGATGTGGTTCCATTGCCGGCGGATCCGCCGAGTGTAAAGATCGAGTTGGCTGTGGCGAGGCGCTTCGACAGCGGGATGACCAGGTCCGCTGCGCGCTGTTTGAGCGGCAGAGCACGGATGCGACCGGCGTGTGCGCGCTTTCGGCCTGCTCGGCTGAGCGATCCTTGCACCGAGGCGGTGAGCTTGAGCGTGACGTTGAGCGCGCCCGTGTAGGTGGAATCGACAATGTTGGGCAGATCGAACACTACGTCGGCAGACCTGCTCCAGAGCGACCAGTACTTGCCGACGTCCTTTTTGGTGTCCCAATACACGCCCTGTTTGGTGGGTTCGGGATTGTCGAGCCGCAACACCTCGACGCCCTGGCCGGTGGCGTTGTTGCCCACCCACACGGTGCCGAGCCGGTCGAACTGGCGGCCGCGCGTCTCGCCGTGCACATCGAGCGTGAGGCCCGTCCATTCGTCTGGATCCGCACACGCTGTACCAGAGAAGGCGGTGCGCGGGTCAAAGGCGAGCGCAGAGGGAGAGTTGTAGCTGTTGGCGAACGATCGCGAGACGAGCGTGACGCTGCAGCTGTGCGCGGAGGACGTGAGCATCGGCGCTGGCTCGTGCAGCTGGAAACTCTGCGACAACGTCCATCCATCCTTGACCGAGGAGGAGGCGTGCGAGGGGGAGCTCGATTTGAACAGAGGAGAACGCCAGATCTGAGGCACTGCCAGTCCCTGCTCCACCCGGTGCGGGAGGTGGGAAGCAGTCGTGGCAGCTACAAGCGCCGAGATCAGCGTATACTTGGCGGCGTGCATCGTGTGGATGCCGAGACGATCCACCAGCACAGTGAAGGGTGGATACTTATATGCTCGAGTACGAACTGTGTTCGTCGACATCCGCTACGGCTCGATCCGCTCCGAAGTGTGCTGCTACCTTATCGCCATGACCGAGGGCGCGCTTCTTAGCGAACATGCATCGCTGGCCGCCATGTTGATTTCCAGAAACCCGTCCAAGCTCGCTTAAGCCTGCCGAGCCGACGATCGCCTGCGGCGCACATTCAGGGTCCAACCACCCGCGCTACTGCATAGCCGGCGCAACTCCCCACACCCCACACTGACACACTCTTTCAAGGTTGTGGCGACGCTGTTTGCATTGCTCACACACGCGAGGCAACCCAAATCGCGCCTCGGCAGCCGGCGGCAATGACAGCCGACAACAACGCATGACCCGCGGCCTGCTGCGACTCGTGCTCCACGGCAGTATCGAGATGCTCCAACTCGTCGTCCCTGAACTCCCTGATGATGTCCGACAGCAACGGCAGCGATGGATGCGCCTTTTCCTCCTGCTCGAGGATCGTCGCGAGCTCCTTGAGTTGATCGTCGTAATGCTCGCCGATCACGCTTTCGACAGCCTCGGTGCATGCCATGGCACTACGAGGCCCCAGCAGCGCGGTTGCACCACCCAGCACCCGCCCCGCAACGCTCCACAGAGGAAGTAGTAAGGACGGGCGCACATTGTGCTGTCGTAGCAAGGCGCGCATGACGTCGAGGTGCTTTTTCTCCGTCTGCCACATTTCCACCGCCATATCGCGGTTCGCTCGGTCGCCCAGCGCCCCAAACATGTCCGCCTGGCCTTGGTAGATCGTATTCGCCGCGATCTCGCCCGAGTGGTCGACGCGCAGCATATCCTGCAGCGCGCGCCGCTGCGATGGCGTCAGCGACGCAAGTGACGGCGTAGAGGTCGTGGCTGCATCGCCGTTCGATACCCCGGTATACGCGTCCGACGCCAACGGACCGGTGGTACTCGAAGAATGCATGCGGACCTGCACCGCCTGCCTGGCAACGGCTCGTGGACGGTGCGACGAGTGCAGGCTTCGTGTCTGCCTAGTCGATCCGGCCTGTCGCATAAATGCATTCTTCACGAATCCGAGCTCATTGATCACCTCGAGGCCCGTGGATCTCGCCCACACGACGCCGCGGCCGACCACCTCCTTGGCAGCGCTCTTGACGAGCCCGTCGACGCTGCGCTGGCGTCTACCGCCATCGGCCTGCTGCGCAAGCGGCACGGGCACACCGGCATACAGCCAGTGCAGATGGTCTACAGCCGAGAGCATCTTCTGGTTCTCCCAGTACCGCTCCCTCGCATACGGCTTGAGCGCATTGTACGATCCCACATCCTGACCCGACTGCATCGCGCTGCGCAGGGTGGCGGAGAGCGATCGGACATCGGCGATACCCAGGTTGAGCCCCTGTCCCGCCAGCGGGTGGATCGTATGCGCCGCGTCACCCACCAGCACCGTTCGGCCGCGCCCCGCCCCTTGGCCAGCGCCCTGGGGTGCAAGTCCGACAGCAGCCATCGCGCCGGCGAGCAGACCCGAGGGCAGCAAAGATGCGCCATTGAGCGAGGCGCCGAGGTACGCATCGGCGTGCTTGAGGTTGAGCGGGAAGCTCGCGACGCTCTTGGCATCGAGCGAGGCGATCTTGGGCGGTACGTCGCCGGTGGAGCTTTCGACGAGTGGCTCGCCAAGCGCGCGCTCGACCCACTGTGCTTCGTCCGGGATCTCGGCGGACAACCAGCTCCAGTCCCTGCTGATGCCCTCGGGCAGTGGGTGGGTGGTGTACGCCACGACACGCTCGAACAGCCGCTCGATGTGCGCCCACGGCAGACGGAATGCTGCATCCACCAGCCGCGCCAGCGGTTCGTGTGACGACCCGGCCGTGTCGCGGTGGAGCATGGTGAGTGCCGCAGCCACCTGCGGTTCGAGTGTCCACACCATGGATGCGGTCGAGTCGGACAGCGGCAGGAATGCGATCGTTCCGCTAGGAAGGAACCTCTGATATGCCGTATAGCCCACGGGAGGCTCTCCAGCCTCGGCGCCGTGGCAGCGCAGTGTGCCCACAAGGCCCTTGCGGTCGTACGCCCAGCCGTAGACGCCGATGCCGGCGTACCTGCGCACGGGCGAGTTGGGCCCGTCGGCACCCACCAACAGCCTGGCCCGGACACTCTCCCCGCTCGACAGCCCCACCACGGGCCACGGGTCCTTGTCCCCCACCGCACTGCCCGCCTCCCCCTTGGACCCCGGCAGAATCGCGTCGACCTTGACGCCGTCCTGGACGCTGACAGCATCTTTACCCGGCCCTTGCTCGAGGAAGCGCAACATGGCCTGTTGGAGGTTACTGATCTCGACCATTGCGCTGATCTGGGATGCGGCGCCGGGCTCGAGGTCGGCCGAGTCAAAGTCGAGCAGAGCGCCCGAGAGACCGTCCCAGACACGCATGGCCGAGACGGGCCGCAGACGGTGCTCGACGAGGTAGGGATATACGCCGATGCGGCGCAGCCAAGCGAGGTTGTCGGCGGTGAGCGAGATCACGCGGTTCTCCCAGTCGAGTGTGTCAGAGGAGGAGGAGGTGGACGGGTGCGAGGCGAGATAGGCGGCGCGGTCGGCGGTCCAGCTGCGCAGGCGCGCGAGGTCGGAGGCCTCGATGATGGTGATGGGTGCAGCCGCGTGTGCGGCTGGGTCGCCGACGGCGCCCGAGGCAACGAGGTCGCAGGCGAGACCAAGGCCTACGACGCCAGCGCCGACGATGACAATGTCCGAGTCGAGCGTGTCCGAGGCGGCTGAGGCAAACGTGCGGTTGGGAGTAGCTGATTGCTGGAAGAGTGTGTTGGATAATTGCAGCACTGGGCGCGAGGAGGCGCTCGATGCTGCCGCGTGAGACGAGCGCGGGGAGCGCATCGTGGTGCGTTGGTGTAGCAGCGGCGTAGGAGCAGCTGGCCGTGTCGAGCTTGCTGCCAGTCTGGCCCGGCTCGCCCGGCTGGCTGCCGCAGCCAACGATGGCGAAGAGGTAGAAGCGAACTTTGACATTGTTGCGTCCTGATCAAACGGTGAATGACGTGGACGATGAAAGTCACGATGGCGGAGAACAACAAAGCGAGAAGGGCGAGAAGGTCTGTGGGGGCGCTGCTCAACTAAGCCGGAACTTTTTGGGCGCAGTGGAGTGCAGCGAGGCTTGGTCATGCTTACCTTGTCTCACCAGCTGCGATCGATGATAGCGATCTGTCTACCGATCTTACCCGATGGCGAAAAGGCAGCGCTCGTGCGAAAAAGACCGCGGCCTTGAAATCCGAAAGTCGGGCAGCATCGGCGGTCGGCTTTATGCAGCCGTCTGCAGGCTCTGCTGTAGGGTCCTTTTGCGTGTGCATGGAAACCGCACTGTCGTCCGCCCTTTGCTGCCGCGACTGCAGCTGCATTGACCGACGGCTGTCACCCACCCACAAGGCTGGACGATTGCCGGACTGATACCCGGGCGGTGGGCTGTCTGCCACGTCTTACACTGCTTCCACGACGTCCAGAGTGGATGGAACAAGCGGGAGGAGGGGTGAGCATGCTAGAAGGATTCATATGAAGGCGTGCGTCTCAGAGCGTTGATTGAAGAAATGACCGGTCGGCCAGCAACGAGGCAGCGACGGTGGCAGCTTCTGGACAGAGGGCAGCCGGTCAAGAAGCCAGCCCTGTCAAAGAAAGAGCGATGCCGATGCCGAACAAAGTCACAAGCCGTGGATCGCGGCTGATCTTGATGCAGGACCAGCTTCTAGCTTGAGCCGGGCCAACCAGAGCGAAAGCATTTGTGGGATCGGCCTGCGCTGAGCAGTGGCATCTTGTGGCATCTTGACCGGCAACGCGCGTCTGGGGCGATGCTCTCCTTGTCCTTTTGATGGCGAGTTGCGCATCGAAAGCACGGAAGCTGGCTGCCGCCGCCGTGCGAGAGTAAGGATGACTCGTCTCAAAGCCTCCCGAAATGGCGCGGGCGCTGGCGCGGGAAAAAAAAGGCGGGCATTTCAAAATCGGATTTTTGTTTTTCGACGCAGAGAGAAGAGCGGTAAAGTGCCTCGAGATCGCGAAATTTCCATGAAAATCGCGCGCCATCCCAGATTTGAGTCTCGAGTGGAGGCGGTGCGGCGGATTCTCCGAATTTCGAGGCGGATGAGCAGTGTTTGGGAGGGCGAGTGAGCGCACGTCTGAAATTGCGGAAAGGAGTCATCCGCCCCTTGGATGTCAAAAGCTGGGAAACGGCGCAGGAGCAGTGTTGGTGCAGCGCACCCCTTGGGGTCGGATGCTGTTTTGGACAGGCGCAGACGCTCGCCTCCGCATCGTTTGCGCAGGCCATGTCGGCAGGCAGGCGGCCGATCCGTTCGCGAGCACACTGTTCAAGTGCCCAGGCAGGGTTGGGGTGAGTCTGCATGGAGCGCCCTCGACGACCGGCTCAGCCGGTGGTTTCGGGTGAGCTGGGCGGTGACTCGGCGCTGCCATCGAGCTGCTCCCCTCTCCCTCGTTTGAGATCGTACTCTCCTTCTGCTTATTTGAGTTGATGCTGTGGACACCATACCTGGATTCAAAGGCAGATGCCACTCTGCCAAGTAGCAAAGAAGAGCAAGTCGGAAGTGGGCAGCTGCTGGGTGGCTGAGCCGATCTGGGGCAGAAGCGGCGGCGCCTCCACTCGAGGCCAAATGGCGCGTGAGGGCAGGGCAGGGCGTGGCGTGAGGGAGGAGACAAAGCGCGCTGCTCCCGCCTCATTTTTGGGCATCAATTGCCACACCTCTCTCTGGCTGGGCTGAGTTGCGCGCGTCGTCGGAGCCTCTGTCCATCCGCCTGAATTTCGACGGTAGCGACTCCGTGACTCAGGTGCGGTCGCCTATCTCCGCCACTCTCTGCCGTTACTGCCGCTGCTCACCGCTCACCTCGCTCGAGGGCCATCCTGACTCCTCCTCCTCGTCGTATCGTCAAGCTCAGTCTTTGACTTGCCTGGCTACCTTTGTCGTCGTCACCATCATCATCTTTCGTCTCAACACTCTACGACTCAGCTACACCCCCAACAACTCGCCAGTACTGCCCCACCCCGCATCGCATCGACTCAGCTCGACATTCAGTCCCAGGGTCTGTCTGGCTAAGACGCGCCTTTGCCACTTGCTCTTGCGCGCGCGCAGCTATCCTTGCCACACCTCGCCATCCCCCCACGCTGCTGCTACGTGACTCCTACCTCGAGCACCGCCAAGTCCTTTTAGCTGAGCCTCGCACGCCCTCAACCGGATTCGCATCTCGCTCAGTTTCTCCACCTCTCCACCTCTCTCCACACACCCACCGTTACCTCAAGGCCATCGTCGTCGTCAGCTTGTGTCTACTCGACTCAGCTACTCAGCCCGTTCAGCTTCGTCACCTCGATCCTCTTCGCATGTCCACCGACACTATCGTCTCCGTGACTCAGCCGATCCATCGCACCCTCTAGCCTCCATCATCATCGGCAGCTAGAGTATCTTGAAGCTCTCTCCACGACGTAGCAACCCTCAACCCCAGACGAACTCAGCACACACAATGTTTTCCTCCATCGTCGCCCCCTCGTGGGGACTTTAGAAGCAGCGTTCTGTCCCACAGAATCGTCTGGTCAAGGTCCCCCTTCGCCACATCCAGCGCCACGTATCCGCCAGGGTCCGCTCCGCGTCTTTAATCTCTCTCTCGACACTCTTAGCTTTCGATCGCTTTCGTAGCATCCCCCCCCCCCCCCATCTTTGCTCTCGGCTGGCCACATCACTGTCGCTGGTCTTGTCGCTTCAACACCACCCTTTGGACATCCTGGACGTCGCATCGTTCTAGATATCTGCCCGCGCGAGCTCTCCTGTCTCTACAACAGGGTCCTCGCCACACTCCATACTCTTCAGGATTGCGGTCCTCGCCGTCATCCACCCGGTCCTCATCTACGTGTTTTGGTTTCGTCGCATCGGCTCATAACCTTTGATACTCTCTACCCGATATCATCCCCCAATCACTCGCTGCGAAGCTCAACAGTTCCCCCTCTTGCTACTTTGATCAGAAGCTAGACTCGAACTGCACTTTGCCTCGCACCGGATTTTGCTGCTTTTGCTGTTGATCTCGCTTCAGCACTTCGGCATCATCCTCCCCACCTAGTCAGGCTAGCAATTATGCAGCCTCCTACTCTCCTCTTGCCAACCATGGCTGCCGACGGTGTTGCCGTTGCGGTGTCCGACTATGTCGAGCTCAACGGCTTCAACCTCGCCAGCCACGCCGCTGCTCTCGAGCAGTCGGTGCTTGGCAAGCCCCACCTCCTCAGCACCGCCAGCCTCGCCGCTGCGGTGCCCACCATCTGCGGCAAGCGTTCGCGCTCCAACTCGGACGCCTCGTCGTCGTATTCCTCTTCCGCCGCCTCGAGCCACGCCTCGGTCTTTTCGTCCGAGCACGACGGCTCCGAGTCCGGCTACGACTCGCACACGAGCATCGGCGACCAGACGCCGTGCTCGCGCAAGAGTTCCATGAGCGAGACTTCGTCGTCTCAGCAGCTCGACAACCTTGCCACTTGGCGCGCCGACCTGCTCGCCGCCTCGCACGCCGAACGCGAGCGGTGCGCCAAGCGCATCCGCGATCTGCAGGGCGAAGTGGTCCGACTCGCCACCGAGGTCGTCGCCACCGACGCTGCTGCCGCATCTGCTGCAGTCGCTCACAACGTGGCGGTAGCGCCTGCGAGCGCTGGCCCGTCCACCGTCTCGCCCGCCTCCACCTCGTCGCCCTCGGCTTCGTCGGCGGACGAGTCCAAGAATGCCCTCGTCGATGGACTAGTTGGTAAGTACATTGTCTTTGTGCCAAGTCTTTTTTGACGTGCACTCGCATCAAGTTCGCGTGCTGATCTTGCCTCGGCTGCTACCTGCTTTTCTCGCGGTTTTCGCAACAGACTCCGCATGCCGAACGCTGGACGTCATCTGGAACGCCTCGAGCCCCTCGGCCGCAGCGGCGTGCGACCTGAACAAGGGCAAGAGCGCGCTGCCTCTCCAGGTGTTTGTGCGCGAGACTCTGCGCCGTGGCCGCGCATCGTGCTCGACGCTGCAGGCTGCGCTGCTGTACTGCGTGCGGCTGGGCGATGCGGCCAAGCAGTCGGCGCAGCATACGCTCAAGGAGTCGACGCGCGCCGTGGGCGTCTCGGTCAGCGTCGAGACGGACGCCGCCTCGCCCATGCTCGGCATGAGCAAGGAGGAGCTGTGCCTGATCCGATGCCCGCGCCGCATGTTTTTGGCGTCGATCATGGTGGCGAGCAAGTTTGTGCAGGATCGCACGTATTCGAACCGCGCGTGGTCCAAGATCTCGGGCCTGCCGGTCAAGGATCTGGGCAAGCTGGAGCGCGCGTTGCTCAAGGCGATCGACTACCGCCTCGTCATCTCGGAGGGCGAGTGGCAGAGGTGGACGGCGGAGCTGAAGCGCGCGCGCAATGGCGAGGCGGGCCAGGCGGGCCAGGAGGCGGGCGCAAGACGCAGCAGTTTGAGCCGCTCGCAGTCGGACAATGTGTCGGGCGCGGCGGTGGCGCTGGACACGGAGCTGCGCGCGGTGAACCCGTGTCTGCCGAGCCAGGTGCAGCCCAAGTATGTGCATGTGGACGAGGCGCAGCATGGCGCAGCGGTCAGCATGGCACTGCCCTTCCCGCGCCAAGCCGCAGCCGGCGTGTCGGCAGAGATCTAAGGCTCGCCTCGTCTTTACTCGCATCCGTGCATGTCCGTGACGGAAGCTCGGTGGCGGCTCAGGGCTTCCGGTACGGATCGATCGCACTCTCCCCCTCTATCCTCTGTATTCCCCTCTTCCCCTTCCCCCCCTCTCTCTCTCTATCGCTCTCTCTCTCTCTCTCTATCTCTGCATGTCTGCATGTTGTACCATCATCCCATCGCATTTTTTCCTCTGTCTGCTTCCTCCGCATCTCTCTCCCCTCGATCTTGCCTTTCTTGGTCTAATTGCGCACTCTTGCCTCGTTGGTGCTGGATGGTTCGGTGTGTTGTGCAGGCAGATGCACTTTTATGCACCGTCAATCCTGGCTGCGAGGTGCGAGAGTTGCCTGTAGCAGTACCCGCTTGACCCACTCTCAGTGTCCCGAATATACTATTACTTGACTTATTTCAATGTGCGGGGAGTGTGTTGGGATTGGAGGGAGTGTAGGAGTTGGGTGGCAGTTGGACGGTGGGAAGCGGACAGGTGGAGGGCTGGTATGATGAGGTGCTCGACGAGGGGGTTGGGGTCGGTAGCTAGGGGTAGGGCTGATGAGATGCCTTTTGCCCTGGTTGGAGTGAAGGGGAGACGGTGTAGGGGTGGGTGGAAGTGCTCTGCTTCTGGCCAGTGTTTGGCGTCAGTGGGTAGGCCGAGGAGGGAAAAGATGCTGGCGGCCAGGCCGATATCGCCTCGATCCGGCTCGAAGAGCGGCGTTCGGATGTACCCCGACGCAGTTTGTTGGGGCATTGGAGGTTCCTCCTCCCAAAAGACAAGTTCGTCAGAGCCAGGGGAAGGGGGTGTGGTGTTGGAGTCAAAGGCTCGCTGCCAGGATGTTCGTTCATCCACCTCTGCTACCTTTGCTCGAGTGGTGGGGATGCGGATGAGCGCCGTGTAAAAATGGGCTAGCGTTACCGCGGCCGCCCAAACATCAATGGCGTAGGGATCGTAGTGGGAGGGGGAGAAGAGGAGTTCGGGTGCACGAAAGATGCCCGTGCCTACCTGGCAGACCATCTTTTGCCCCTCGTCCACGCAATGCGAGGCCGAGAATGCGGTTCCCAGGTCACACAACCTCACTGCACCCGTGTGGGCAATAAGCACGTTGGGCGGTTTGACGTCTCGATGTGCCACCTCTTTACCATGCAGGAACGCCAGCCCGCTCAGCATCTGTACCGCCACACTGTGGGCAAATCCCTCGGGCGACTCCTGCCACAGCTGCTGGATCGATTCCCCTGCCCTCTGCACTCCTTCGCAGGCTGGGGAGGGTAAGCGGAGTAAGGATGGCTCGATCAGAACGTCCTCGAGTGTGGCTGCGTACAGTGGCATGACCAGATCGATGAATTCGCCAAACGGATCGGATGTATCCAAAAACGCCGCCAGCAACGGGACGATGTTGTCGTCGGAAAGCGTCGTGAGCAGCGCAACTTCGCGACGGATAGAGTGCGGGCGTGGTTCGTCGTCGGTGTGCACGCGCTTGATGCATATCCATCCCCCCACACCCCCGGCCCTTTCAGCTGCCAAACCGAGGGCTGACAGCTCTGGAAGGTATGAGCTAGAGGAGGGGGTGGTAGGGGAGAAGGGAAAGGAGGCGGAGGAGGAGAGCGGGCATCGAAAGATCCGGCTGCTTAGACCGTCCGAGTGCGCAACCAGCCCGCAGGTCACATCGACCGTGTAAGAGCCGCCTATGAGACGCCGAGTGGACAAAGTGGAAGCCATGGTGCGGGCGTCTGAAGGAAGATGTCCAGGTATGGCAAGGGAAGCATGCGCTGGGAAGTGTTGTGCGCAGAGACCAACACCTTCACACTCAAAGACCTTTTTTTGGACCCTTTTTTGGGATGCAGTTTTGCAGACATTTTACAGCATTTTTCGGGGGTGGAGAAGAGAAAAGCCGCGCTTGGATGGGGAAATTTAAGGCGCAATGACGCGATAAGGCGTGCCGCCACCGAGTCACTCGACACTCGACACTCGACACTCGAGACGTGGAGCAGCTTGCGCATTGCACTCCACCATCCGAGTGTCATCAGCATGTGCAGGCTGCTAGGTAAGTGGGGTTGGATGCAGTCTGCGCCCCGCATACACTGTACTTACGAATGCCTCACCCTGATGCAGTCTTCAAGGGCGCCGACCCGATCCAGCTGTGCCATCTGGTCACACGGCCTGCGCATTCGATCATCAACCAGGCGTTCGACTCGCGGCTGCGTCTCGACGCCACGCGCGCCGTCAACGGCGACGGCTTCGGTGTGGGCTGGTACGACTCGACGCGCGATGCGGAGCTGGGCGATGCGCCGTGCATCTTCACCTCGGTGACGCCGGCGTGGAACAACCAGAATCTGCAGCGGATTGCGGACAAGATCAAGTCGCCGCTGGTGTTTGCGCACGTGCGCGCCTCGACGGCGGGTGCGCTGTCCGAGACCAACTGCCATCCGTGGAGGTATGGTCGGTTGATGTGGATGCACAATGGTCAGATCTCGGACTTTTCCCGCATCAAACGTCGTGTTCTCGCCGCACTGCCCGAACCGCTCTTCCTCTTCCCCCAAGGCCATACCGATTCCGAATTCGCGTTTGCCGTCTTCCTCAGCCATCTGGGGGATCCGTTGCAGACGGAGCCGTTTTCGTACAAGGAGCTGCGCGATGCCATGCTCGCCACCATCCGCGACTTTAATGGCTGGGCAAGCGAGGCGGGCATTCGCGAGCCGAGTCTGATGAACTTTTGCGTGACGGATGGAGAGAGCATCATCTGCACGCGCTACGTCAGCAGCAAATCCGACCAGGCCGCCTCGCTCTACTTTTCCTCGGGGACGAGCTTCTACGAGCATTCACCCGGTGCGTATAGGATGGTCAAGACCGACAAGCGCGAAAAGATCATCGTCGTAGCCTCCGAACCGCTCACGTTTGAAAAGGCAGACTGGATGGAGATTCCGACGAATACGCTCGTGTGCATCACGCCCAAGATGAACGTCCTCCAACTGCCCATCCTCGACGAGTTCCATCTGGATAGGACGGATCAGATCGTTAGAAGCCCCACGTTTGCCATGCGCACCGGGTTTCCACCAAGCATGTCGGGCGCGACGGCTGCTAGTGCGGAAGAGGTCAAGTCGATAGCGGCGCTTGATGGTGCAAGCCGAGGCGCGGGGGCTGGACGAAATGCCCCCATCCACCCAGTATACCCTTGTCCGTAGTGCAATCTCACTGCATCGCATTCATCCCACGTCGTTGCGCTGAGCGGTTGAGATGAAGTTGGCGGCGTCCGTGCGAGTGAATATTCAATGGCCGATGGTGTGAAACCAACAGTGGGGCGACTGAGCGCTTGTTTTTTGAGGACCCTGACCGAGCTCGTGTTGCATCCTGCCTTCCATCGTCCACTCTACCATCGGCGCAGCATGGACCGCAACTCTCCCAGCCCGCTGGCATCTAGCCCGCTGGCATCGGCGTCGGATGCATCGTCTGGCTTCCCCATCGCCAGGCTCGACGTCGACCGCGCCGAGTGGAAGAGCAAAACCATCGGGCGCAGTTTTGGCTCCGACGCACGCACGCCGCAAGATTCCACCGACTCGCCAGCGTCATCCACACCTTCAACGCCAACTACTCCGCTGTCGGCGTCGCGCACCTACCACAGCCTCAACTATGCCCCGCGACAGCGCAACTCGGTGCTTCGTCCCAGCGCTGCGGCCATCTTTCAGTCGCACTCGGCGCAGCTGGCAGCAGGCGCACAGCCATCCCAGACGCCCACATCACCCTCGCAGCCCTTGCCCAACTTGATGCTGACGCCGAGGGCGAATGCACATGCAGCGCCACTCGCGGCTACGTCGCACCTCAGCACCTCGCCGTCGTATCCCACCATCTCGTTGCCCGATGCGCCGCCGAGGGAGAGCAGCCGAGCGTCGAACGAGCACGAGACGCAGCGCGCGGCGGTGGCACGCATGCAGCTGCAGCAGATGCACGACAACGCCCGCCGCCTCGGGCTCAACAACAAGAGCGCCGGCTGGCTCATCCTCGAGGCGCTCCAGGCGGCTACCGAGGGAGAGTGGGCAGCCGTGGCAGAGCTGCTTGCGAATGGAGACGCCACCATCCTGCTGCCGCGCGACCCGCCGTCGGTTTTTACGGCTGCCTCGCAGCTCAGCGCATCCTTTGCGTACGATCATACCATCTTTAATGCGGCTTCCACCTCGGCGCAACGTCCTTCGCCTGCTTTGCTAGGCGAAAGCGCAGAGACACCGATTCTCACACTCTCGGGCCTCCGAGGCCGGCTTGCACGATCCTCCTCCGCCGGCTCAGCACCAAGCGACGCTGATGCAGAATTGGGCTCGCTCAGCCTGCAGAGCTTCGTCGTCAAAGCGCACGGCTCCGTGTCGAGTCTCAAGGACGCCAATGCGCGGCAGGAGACACTCGAGTCGCTTGCGCCGCTTCCGCATGCTACACAGCCAGAGCCCAGCGGCGCACGATGTGCGTATCCGAGATTCACACTCGCAGCCGCCAACGCGGCGTTTCCGCTGCCGCCGCCGCTCCAGCCGCGCGCGGTGGCCAACGATGCCAACGCGGCGGCCAAGAGCCGTGCGCGCTCCAACTCGAAGCTCAACGTGGCCGGCTCGAGGGCGTCGGCGTCGTTTGCGAGTATCTTTGGCGGGAGCGGGAGGGAGCGGAGGCGGCAGGCGGCTGCGGACGAGGTGGCTGGTTCGGAGATGGTCGATGCGCAGAAGCTCGGTGGCACCTCGGAATCGGATGCAGAGCCCGAGGCGCACCAGTCCAGCCTTGGCCTCGAGCTGCGCGATGCGGCGGCTGGGAGCGAGGTGAAGCATGCGGAAGATGCAGGTGGGACGGGGAGGGCGGGACGCAGGACGATCTCGGTGTGGGTGGTGGACCACCTCGTGCGGCGCTCGGCCGTGATGCGCACCATCCGCAAGACGCTCGAGGCGCGCATCCGCACCCGGCTCGCCGCCGCGGGGGTGGGCGAATCGATCGCCGAGGTGGTGGCGAGGTTTGCGGCGACGTTCCTGCCCCCCGTGCCCACGCTCGGCGACGCACAAGGTGCAGCGGGCGGCTCGGACCGATCGCAGGGGGCAAGGTCGCGCGCAAGCTCACCGGTGCCCAATGCATCGTATCTGGCGGAGGCGGACGAGATGTCGGAAGCCGTGCAGGACTTGTTCAGCAGTGTGCGTGACCAGCTGCAGGCGCAAGACGTAGCGACGGCAGAGGCGCGGCTGGAGGTGGTCGAGACGGTGTTGTGCGAGGAGGTGTACGATCGCATCTTCCGACCGGTTGCTTCGCGCGATGGGTACCACGACGACGCGCTCGCCTCACGCATCGCCGCGCTCAACGTGCTCGGGCTCTCGCTGCGCCATCTTGGACTCGACGACCCCGCGCACGCCGACGGGCTGGAGCGTATCGTTCAACAGTGCGGCGCGGAGCTGCAGCGGCTGGACAGTGAGCAGGCGCGCTCGCCCAAGGATAAGCTGGATGTGCTCGTGCGCGCGCACAAGCTCGCGGTCGACGGTGTAGCCGCCCTGTCTGCGGCGGAGGGTACGAGCGCAGACCTGATCCTGCCGCTGTTGATCTACAGCATTGTGGCGGCGAACCCGGCGCGGCTGGCGAGTCATTTGTTGTACATCCAGCGATTTAGGGCCGAGTGTCTCGTGCAGGGCGAGACGGCGTACTGCCTCGTCAACGTCCAGGCTGCAGTGGCGTTTCTCGAGAATGTGGATGTGGCGGATCTCGGGCTGGACGCGAGCCAGCTCGGCGCGCATCTGCTTGCGGGCGAGAATGCACGGGAAAGAAGGACGAGTGGGCAGGGGGCAGAGGAGGCACTGGCGATGCCGGCAAGGATCAGGGGCAGGTTGACGCAGGAGATCGGCGACCTGGCCGGGGTGAGCAACAAGGTCATCACGGGCGTCATGGGGTCGAGCCTCGCTGCGTTTAGTAGGATGATGGGCGCCGCAGCTGGTGATGCGCAGAGACCTGCGAATGTGCGCGCGGCTAGCATGGCCACTGACTACTCGCGCGGCGAAGAGCAGATCAAAGATTCCGCTGCGAGCGATGAGGCCAAGCTGAGTATCGGCGACCGGCTGGCGTCGCTATCAACCCGCCTGGGGGGATCGAGCTTATCGTCGTCGCCGTCATCGTTGTCGTTGGGGTATGGGGGGAAGAAGGAGGAGGGGGTGTCGCCACGCAGTGTGTCGCGCGAACTGCCGGGACCTCCGCCGCCGAGCAAGCCCGTGCACGCGCGCACCACGTCCTACCTCGCCTCGCAGCTGGGTAGGATGGCGTCTCGCGCGCCCGAAGAGGCCAAGCCGGTACCTGCTTCGCTGCGGTCTCCGTACCCTGCCCTATCGCGGCCGCCGACACCCGATCGACCGCTGCACGTTGTTCTAGCAAGCACCGGCTCGGTGGCGAGCGTCAAGATGCCGCTCATTGTCGAGGCGCTTCTTGCGCACGCCAATGTTCGGGTGCAGGTGATTGCCACCGTCAACTCGCTGCACTTCTACGACCGAACCCCGCTCACCTCGGCCGAGTACAGCGTGGCCTCGCTTGCTGCGGAGAACCTCGCTGCGAGTCGAGGGGTGCACACCCCAGGACCGCGGGTTCATCTCTGGACGAACGCCGACGAGTGGACGAGCTTCACACGCGTGGGGGATGCGATTTTGCACATTGAGCTCAGGCGATGGGCAGACGTGGTGCTCGTGGCGCCGTGTTCCGCCAACACGCTCGCCAAGCTCGCCGGGGGATTGTGCGATGATTTGCTCACGAGCTTCATGCGCGCGCTGGGCAGGGGGGCCGAGGTGGTGCTGTGCCCCGCCATGAACACGCTCATGTGGGAAAATCCGCTCACGGAGATGCATCTTAGGACGGTCAAGGAGGTCCTGGGGTACGAGGTCAGGGGGCCCGTGGAGAAGAGGCTCGCGTGTGGAGATACCGGCAAAGGGGCCATGATGGAGTGGAGCGAGATCGTACAGATGGTAGTGGACAGGTTCGGGCTGCAGAAGGAGAAGGGCGCGGAAGCTGTTGCGGGCGCGTAAGTGAACCGCCGCGGGTTGTCGCACGTGCTGCAATGTCACCACCCATGTTCACTTGTGGAAGTGCAAGTCTGGCGGTTGGTGGGGCCAACACGGCGATGACGCGCAGTATGGCCTACGAGAGTGTGGTTGAGAATGTCGGCTTGCAACGAATCGGTGTGGGGGGGCTGGGTCGGTTTGCAGTGCGGCGGCTAGGATGGCAAGCGGTGCAAGAGCGACCTCGTTTGCGTGCGTGGGTGGCGAGCGCTCTTGGAACGCACGCGCAGAGAGGGCAGCCTGCGCATTGGCATGTGGCCACGCTATCGACGAATGCGCGCGTGGCTCAAGGGCAAGTCTGATTGCCTTGGTTGAACGCGCGCACTTTGACAGCGTGAAAACAGCGCCATGGTGGCATTGGGATAACTTGGCGCCACTTGGGGTTGGGACGACCAGTGTTGAACGCACCATCAACAGCGTCGAGCGTGGTACCACGACAAATGGAGCGCTCTTTGGACACCGCACAAAAGGGCCTACGACAGGGCGTTAGCGTCTAATCAGCATCTGGGTTAGCTTGGAGTGGACCCTCCCATGTGTGTGTGTGTGTGTGCACCAAAACCTCACGTTTCCTACAACTTGAATACTTTCCAAACGTCGCTCCGCAGCAGTAAACGTCGGCATGCACCGCCATCTCACACGCGCAGAGGCGGTCTCGGGAAAGGCAATTCGAATTGCAGCTCTATGACATCTATGCTTTGTGCTTTGTGATTAGGCAGCCTGCGGGCCACCGCCGCGGCGACCACGGTGCGAGCCACGGCCGCGACCTCCACCGCCGCCCCTTCGGTTTCCGCCGTGGCCGCTGCGGTTTCCACCTCCACCGCCACCTCCACCACCACCGTTGTTCGAGTAGTGCTTCTTCCACATCTGCTGCTCGATCATGGGTCGCGGCGGGTAGTCTGGCACCTCGGAGCCTGCCGTCCAGGGGTGGTGGCGCACGCGCTCGGGCAGCGACTTGAGCTGCGGCAGCCACGTCGCCACGTACTCGCCGTTGGCATCGTAGTCCTTGCCCTGCTTGATGGGGTTGAACTGGCGCGAGCTGCGCGGATCGTTGCCAACGCCCGCAACGTACTGCCAGTTGCCCCAGTTGGAGTTGGTGTCGTAATCCACCAACCAGCTCTCGAAGAACTCGGCGCCGTGACGCCAGTTCCACCCCAGGTCCTTGGTGAGGAAGCTCGCAACGTTCTGCCGACCGCGGTTGGACATGAAGCCGGTATGGACGAGCTCAACCATGTTGGCGTCAATCAGCGGAACACCCGTGCGCGCTGTCGCCCACCGAACAAACGGGTCTTTGCGGTCCGAGAGAGAGTTGGTCGACTTCCACTCGTACGCCTTGGACTGCGCCGAGCGCGGCGAGATCTCCTCCTCGATGCCCGCGAGCGTGAAAAGGTGCGAGCCAAACTTCCAGCCGACAAAGTAAAAGTAGTCGCGCCACAGCAGCTCAAACAGGATCCAGTAGCCGCCACCCTTGGCGTTGCCCGTGGATGCGTCGAGCTCCGTGGCGCGCTGCGCGATGAGCCGCGGCGAGAGCAGGCCGTGCGCGAGCGCCGCCGCAAACTTGGTGCTGTAGTCGGCACCGAGCATCTGGTTGCGCGTCTCCTTGTAGTGCGCCGCGGGCGACGACTTTGCGCCGCCAAAGTAGTGTTCGAGGCGTTGGAGCGCCTCGGTCTCGCCGCCGCGGTAGGGGAAGGCCGAGTGCGGCACGTCGAATGTGGCTGGCGACGAGGCGACTTTGGAGAGCAGCTCCTTGTGGCCCAGCACGGGCTCGTCGAGCAGAGGCTGCACGAGGTGCTTTTCCACGGTCTCCTTGCGGTCGAAGCCCTGTGCGCTCTTGGACGAGAGGCCGAAGCAGCCGGGCGCATCGTCGACCTGCACCTCGGCGAACGGCTTGAGCTTGTCGGGGGCGGGGACGGGCTCGCGGAACATGTCCGGAGACTCGACCTGCTTGCGGAAGTGGGTAAAGACGTCCGGGAGCTGTTTGACGGGGAAGCCGAGGTCGCGCGAGTGGATGAGCGACTTGCCCTCGAGCAGCTTAAAGGGACACTGGAGGTCGGCGAGGATGGCGTCGAGGCGGCGCTGCACGTTGACCTCCTCGGTGTTGATCTCGCGGCCGAGGTAGACGGCCTCGACCGTGTCGCCCTTGTCGCGGATCGACTTGATCAGCGACGGCACCACGCTCTCGGGCGTGCCGGCGAACATGGCGAGGTCGCTTCCCACCGCGCGCAGCCGATCGCGCAGGTCAAACACACTCTCGTTGATGAACCTGCATAGGGCAAATGGAGGGCTGGGTCAGTATGACGGGGAGAGAATCAGAGTCAAGAGGAACCGCGGTGGACTCACTTTGTGCGGTGGATGCCCGTGCGCCAGATGCCGAGTTCGCGCGTCTTGGCAAACTGCGACTGGCCCTTGCCGCCGCCCTGCTTGCCGGCCTTTTCGATGTTGGGGAAGCCCGAGACCTCTACATGGCGCTGATCCCAGACGTAGACGGGGAGGACGTGGGTGATGGGTTTCTTGAATGCGGCGGATGCAGGCGTTGGCTCGGCACAGAGGTGGAAGATGGGATGGTCGTGGAGGCGGAGATCGTTGCGGAGCACCGCGATGAGGACGTTGCGCGTCATGGTAGGGGTACTAGCTGTATGCGTTTCCTACTTTCCGGTGGATGGTGTTTGACGGCGACCAAAGGCAAGACTTGCTCCAGGTGTGAAGATGAAAGATGAGAGAGACGCGAGAGAGAGAGAGAACCCAAAAGACGATGACTTGGAACGAGCGTGGCTACCCAGCTACTGGCTGAACGAGCATGCAAGGAGGATGATGAGGACGAAGGAGCGGACCGAAGGGATAGGGCCGGGGGTGCTTATACGGGAGTATGGTGGTGAGGGGGAGAGAGGGAGCACTCCGGTAGCGCAACAATGATGACCCAACACACGAATGGACACACGAACGAGAGGGTGAGTGAGCGAGCGGAGGGATGGACGAGTGACGAGGGGCGGTGGATCGAGGTGGAGGGATGCCAGAGAGGATCGGGATGCGAAACTTGCGATGGTGGACCCTTGGAAGGAACTGTTGGCGGGACGATGACGGCAATGACGAGGGGATGGCGAGGCGCGGTTCAGGGTCCAATGTCGTAAGGCGGCTTTGCCGTTCTCGGCAGCTGGCCAATGGCTTCGGATCCAAGCCGGTGGCTGCCAGCCTCGCTCCCACGCCAATGCTTCCCGTCGCTCATCGATACCGCAAGTGCCGTGGCAGCTTTCTTCTCATCACTACGTTGCAGTATCAGCTGGTCGGATGAGCCGTTGGCGAGCAGCATTGTAGTGACTCACGGCATCGGAGTGGTGCGTATGCGGTCGAGGGCTGCATCTGTCGCCACGGGATCGCTCGAGCTTAAGTGATGGTGCATTCATCGGATCGTGACGGCCACGCGCTTGATTTAGAGCTCGTCGACAGCCGCCCAATGAGGTAATTGCGCAGGGCATTTTCGAAAAATCCACTACAGCTACGGTCTAACATTGGTCAACAACACTGTGTGAGACTGCGGTTCTAACAGCTTGAAGAGTTTATCGGCCGATTCGCAGTGATGGCATTCCGTTCTGCCTAAGACTGTGCACACACCCAACCGCGCATTCACCGCCCCCATTCTGGATCGAGCTTGGAACAAGTCGTGCAGTCGATGGCGATGTGTCGCCCGTCAGAACGCAGACGAGGATTGTGGTTGGCGACATTGCTGCGAGGCCCTGCGGACGTGGATCAGCGAGGCCATGAGGACAGCGGCTTGGATGCTCAGCCTTGTCGAGATGTGAGGTGGCGGGCGAGCAGCCTCGCGAATTTTCACGAAGCTTTTGGCGGAAGCGGGAAGAACAATTTTTCGCAGCGACGCGCCTTGGCTGATCTGGGGCCGCTCATGTTCGCTTGAGAAGAATCGACTGCAGGACTGCCAGGCACCGGGCGAAAATTTATTCCAATCCACGCACCGACGCTCCGTTGCTCGCTCGCGCCATCGCAACATTCCCAACACGGCCCTGCGAGCGGATGAGCCGATCAGGAAAGAGCTTCCGCCACACGTACAGCCAGAACAAGCCCTCGGAAAGAGTCAGCAAAAGAAATGTGACTGAGAGTCAGTGTGACAGTCGCAGAGTGTGATGTGATGGCTACGCGTGCCATCTGGAAGATTCGCTTTGAGAGGGGAGAAAGAGATAGACAGAAAGAGAGACAGCTCGCGAGTCGGGCTGAGCAGCGGAAGTGCATTTTTGTGGCACCGAGCCAGATTTAGTGTTGGGTTGGCGCCGTACCCGCACCCTCTCGTCCTCCTCTCCTCACCACCTCTACCCCTCCATCCAACTTCGATCGGGATCATCACTTCATCCCTCGTATCGTCGTCCATTTCGGCTTTCTGATCCGCAGCGCTACTTTTTCACGTCTCGCTGCCTTCGTAGAGCAAGACTCTTCCCCAAAACGAAAACATGTCGTCCGTCGTCGGTATCGACGTGGGCAATGCCTCGTCCAAGATCGGTGTTGCGCGTGCCCGTGGTGTCGATGTGATCGCCAACGAGGTCTCCAACCGCGCCACCCCTTCGCTCGTCTCCTTCGGTCAGAAGGCGAGAGCGCTCGGCGAGGCCGCTGCCACCGCACAGACCTCCAACTTCAAGAACACCATCGGCTCGCTCAAGCGTCTTGTAGGCCGCACCTTCCAGGACCCCGAGGTCCAGAAGGTCGAGAAGAACTTCATCAACGCAGAGCTCGTCGATGCAAAGGGCGAGGTCGGCGTCAAGGTCCGCCTCGCAGGTGAGGAGCAGACCTTCTCCGCCACCCAGCTCCTCGCCATGTACCTCGTCAAGCTCCGCGACACCACCTCCAAGGAGCTCGGCGGCGCTGGCGTCAGCGACGTCGTCCTCTCCACCCCGCTCTGGTTCACCGACGCTCAGCGACGCGCCTACCTCGACGCCGCCGAGATCGCCGGCCTCAACCCCCTCCGCCTCCTCAACGACACCACCGCCACCGCCCTCGGCTACGGCATCACCAAGACTGACCTCCCCGAGGCCGACAACCCGCGCAACGTCGTCTTTTGCGACATCGGCCACTCCTCCTACCAGGTCGCCGTGGTCTCCTTCAGCAAGGGCCAGCTCACCGTCCTCGGCACCGCCGCCGACCGCAACTTTGGCGGTCGCGATTTCGACCGCGCCCTCCTCCAGCACTTTGCCGAGGAGTTCAAGGGCAAGTACAAGATCGACGTCCTCTCCAGCCCCAAGGCCACCTTCCGTCTCGCCGCCGGTTGCGAGCGCCTCAAGAAGGTGCTCTCCGCCAACGCCCTCGCCCCCCTCAACGTCGAGAACCTCATGGAGGACATCGACGCCAGCTCCCAGCTCAAGCGCGAGGAGTTTGAGCAGCTCATCTCGCCCCTCCTCGAGCGCATCAACGTGCCCCTCGAGGCCGCCCTCGCCCAGTCCGGCCTCTCCAAGGACCAGATCCACTCGATCGAGATGGTCGGCGGCTCGTCGCGCGTGCCTGCGCTCAAGGAGCGCATCTCGACCTTCTTCGGCAAGCCGCTCTCGTTCACCTCGAACCAGGACGAGGCCGTCGCCCGCGGCTGCACGCTCGCCTGCGCCGTCCTCTCGCCCGTCTTCAAGGTGCGCGAGTTCAGCATCCACGACGCCACCCCGTACTCGATCAAGGTCACCTGGGACAAGGCCGCCGACGTGCCCGACGAGGACACCGAGCTGGTCGTCTTCCAGCCCAACAACCCCATCCCCTCGACCAAGATCCTCACCTTCTACCGCAAGGAGAACTTTGACCTCGAGGCGCACTACGCCGCCCCGGCCCAGATCCCCGAGGGAATCAACCCCTGGATCGGCAAGTTCTCCATCAAGGGCGTCACGCCCAACGCCGAGGGCGACCACTCGATCGTCAAGGTCAAGGCGCGCCTCAATCTGCACGGCGTGCTCAACTTTGAGTCGGCCTACACCGTCGAGGAGGTCGAGAAGGAGGAGGAGGTGCCCGTCGCCGCCGACCCCGCCGCCATGGACACCGACGGCGACAAGGACGCTGCTGCGCCCAAGACCGAGGTGCGCAAGGTGAAGAAGCTGCAGCGCAAGGCTGACCTTTCGATCGTGTCGGGCTTCATCGGCGGCAAGGACGCCAGCGTGGTTTCGGAGATGAAGGAGGTCGAGGGCCAGCTCTACTCGAACGACAAGCTCGTCATCGACACCGAGGACCGCAAGAACGCGCTCGAGGAGATGATCTACGACCAGCGCTCCAAGCTCGACGACCGCTACAAGCTCTTCGTCACCGCCGAGGAGAAGGAGAAGTACCTGGCTGCGCTCAACGCGCAGGAGGAGTGGCTCTACTCGGACGAGGGCGAGGATGCGACCAAGTCGGCGTACGTGGAGCGCATCGACTCGCTGCAGAAGATCGGCGGCCCGATCCAGTTCCGCGAGAAGGAGTTCCAGGAGCGCCCCCGGGCGGCGTCGGCGCTGCGCGAGGCCATCAACAAGTACATGGAGATGGCGCAGGGCGGCGACGAGGCGTACAGCCACATCTCGGAGGACGACAAGCAGAAGGTGATCGAAAAGTGCGCCACCGTGGCCAAGTGGCTCGACGACGGCCTGTACAAGCAGTCGGAGCAGCCCAAGAACGCCGACCCCAAGATCGTGTCGGCCGACATGCTCAAGAAGAAGGACGAGGTGATCTACTTCTGCCACCCTATGTACGTATACAGTTCGCGATCTCTTCCCCTTTCGAGCGCGGCGTCGAGCAGCGCCGCCAAGTCGACCGACATGACCACCAGCACCAGCCGCACCAGTAGCAGTAGCGGGACGAGCGGCATGGCCACGGATCTTCCTACTGCTGCTAGGTCGGTCGAGCTCACTGTGGAGGAGCCGAGCGAAGGCGGTGAAAGCTGCTTTAGTTCAGCAGACTCTGAATCGGCAGGGTTGGAACTGCCGTCGGAGCTGTCCGACTTCGAGGCTGTGCCCGATGCTGATGCTGGTGTGACGACTGGCCATGCGCGCGTGCATGCGCGCTCGGAAACGCCGTCGTCGGGTTCGAGCCGTGCGAGCAATGACGCAGGCTCTTTGCCGCGCGGTCGACCCGAGCATCAGCGTCAGCGTCGCCACAGTCCGCGCTTCGACTGAGGAAAGCCCCTTTTGTCCATAAGCACATCCCCACTGACATTCGCTTCTTCTCACTTTGCACCTTTGATGCACCGAACAGCATGAGCAAGATCAAGCCGCGCGTCGACACCACGCAGGCGCCCACGCCCAAGGAGGACAAGAAGGAGGCCGAGGCGGACAAGAACGCCGAGGCTGACAAGGCCGATGGCCCCGGCGAGATGGACGTCGACTAGGCGCGTTCACCGCCAACCTCATGCGCCATTGCCGTGCCTAGCAGCTCGTTTTGCATCGCCATCGAGCTTGTCAAGATGATGTTGGTCAGGCATGGGCAAGTCTTTCTGTGTTTTTGTTCTCTCCCTCGAAATGTAGATTGGTCTCAGAAGATTCTTTCGCGCGTGCGTTTTGGGAGATGGGGTGAGTTGTTCGCACTTGACATGATTGCAGTTGGCTTTTTTTCTAGAAGGAGGGATAGTTGGGCTGGAGGGATGTATGGGCCCACTTTCTTTCGCCGTTGAATTCGGCGGCGGTTTGGGGTCCGTTGTTGGTATGCGGTTGGGATTTGGCGATGTACTTGTAAATCACCAACCCATCTAGACCTACGGGGCCACGGGCGTGGGTTTTGCCGGTGCTGATGCCGACTTCAGTACCCAGACCGAATCGGAAACCGTCTGCAAAGCGCGAGGAGACGTTGACAAAGACGTTGGCCGAATTGATGGATCGGGTGAACTTGGCTGCGGTAGGGTTGGGCGAGTTGGGCGAGGTGAAGAGGACGTCGGTGTGGCCGGAGCTGTGGGTGGTGATGTGGGAAAGTGCGGCGTCGAGTGAAGGGACGCTGCGTACGGCAAGGATCAGATCGAGGAATTCGGTCGAGTAGTCGGCGTCCACAGCAGGCACAACCTTGCCCCCCGAAGTGAGGGAAGAGGCAAGGGCGGAGAGCGTAGCTGGATCGCAGCGGAGTTCCACTCCAGCATCGAGCAGGGCTTTGGCAAGGGTGGACCAGAACGGTGTGCTGACGAGCGAGTCGTGGATAAGCAGCGTTTCGAGAGCGTTGCACGCGGCAGGATAGTCGGTCTTACTATCCACCACCGTGCCCACCGTCGCGTCCAACTCTGCATCCTCGTGCACGTACCCGATGCACAATCCATCCGCATGACCCATGACCGGCATCCTTGCATCGCGCTGGATCGCCTTGACCAGCTCATTGCTGCCCCTCGGAATGACCAGATCGATATACTCGTCGAGATGCAGCAAACTCTGGATATCCTCCCTCGTCTCCACCGTCTGGATCAACCCGCTCGGCAGTCCAGCTTCTTCGAGTGCGGCGGCGATGATGCTCGACAGGACAGCAGCGGTGTGTTTGCTCTCCTTGCCGCCTTTGAGGATGGCCGCGTTGCCGCTCTTGATCGCCAGGCTCGCAATGTTGACCACCACCTCCGGTCGTGCTTCAAAGATGCATAGCAGCACCCCAATCGGGCACGTCACACGGTACAGGTCGATAGCTCCTTTCGCTTCAGTGGCTTCGGCGAGGCGCTTGGCCCACTGCACGTGGTCGAGCGGCGAGGGCAGCGCAGCTACGTCCGAAACTCCTGCGAGCAGCGATTCCCATTTACCGGGTTTGCTGAACAGGTCCAGGCGCGAGGCGAGCGCAGAAGAGAGCTTGCCGGCCGCAACGAGGGCGGTGGCTGCCTCCATGTCCAGAGCGTTGGCTTCAGCAATGCGTGCGCGGTTGGATTCCAGCGCGGTGCGGATCGAAAGGAGAGCAGAGGAGCGGACAGAGTCGGCCGAGGCGGACGAGGACGGCGACGAGAGGAGGTGAGAGGAGGCTTCGAACGCCGCGCGCGCCTGACGCGCAACCTGCTCTGCTGATCCAGATGTCGCCGACATGATTGCGAATGAGAAGCAGATGGTGGTGTCCAAGTGGGTGTGATAGCTGCAAGATGGAACGAGTCATGCAAGGCTCCGCCGTCCGGCCATTTGCACGGAGCATTTCCTTCGCACCACTTTTTTTTGTTAGATCGAAGATATCACGTGAGAGAGAGTGGGCTCGGAAGATTTTCGATTCGCACCATCGGCTCACCTCCTTCTCACCACCATATCACCTCACCACCTCGAAGCTCGACATGCCACGCATCTCGCCATTTCGCGCACTCGTGCGCCTCCCCTCGGTCGCTCCCACCACACGCACACTCGCAGCACCCATCTGCACGCCTTCCCTGCGCGCAAACACTACCACACACTCTCCACTGCTCTCGAGACTCGCGCCACGAACTTCACCCTCACCATTCTCAGCACCGAGCGTACTTGCGCTGGTAGCGGCACCAGCACCCGTGGCGACGTTGGGACAGATGAGGACAGTGACGTACGGATCCGAGTACCAGCCCTCGCAGCGCATCCGTAAGCGCCGACACGGTTTTTTGGCGCGGAACAAGACCAGGAACGGCAGGAAGACGCTCATGCGCAGGAAGTTCCGCGGCAAAGCCAAACTCAGCCATTAAACATCCGCTTCCATCGTCCGAAACCGCACCGCATGTGTATAGTAGAATAGCCCCGCAGTTCGGGCTACAATAGAACCAGTCTCGGCCCCGAGTTGGAGATGCGAGTGTGCGCGTTGGCTTTGCTTCGAGAATGAAGTGCGAAGAAAATGCGAGTGCGAAATGCGTGCGACAGAATGTGGCAGGCTCAAGCAGGGTTCGAGTGGGCGCAGCCTGGGAACGACGAAGCACAGGCTCAGCATGGCTCCGTCCGGAACGAAACACTGACTTGGTAGTGGAGCTTGGTTTGGGTTGCGACGCTACGCTCATTGGATGCCGACAAGGTCACACTTGGGCTTGGGCTACGTGCGAATGTTCTGACATTGTTTGGCGATCAAGATACATCTCGGTGGGCACTACTTGAACTCCTCTGCGCTGCCGGTCATGATGAGCCCGACAATCAGCCCGAACAGACCCAAGATGCTCGAAAACACCTCGACGATCAAGATCTTGACGAAGAGCTGGGGATCGGCCGCATCGGCCACAGCCGCATTGCTGCCCGTGATGCCCACGGCGACACCGCAGCACAGGTTGCACATGCCCACGGTCAACCCACCCCAGAACAGCACATGACCCGTAAGGTAGTTGTTCGGACTCCACAGACCGTCTGTACCGCCCTCGAGGTTGCCCGTGATCTTGGCGCTGAATACGATGGCCATGATCACGCCGTAAATCGCCACCACCTCGCAAAAGATGATCCTGAAAAGAAACCAAAAGTGTCAGCATAAGAGAAGCAGTGTGGGTAAAGGGGATGGACTTACGAGACGAGGTTCTTGGTGGTGATTCGCGGAGCTCGAACACCCGCACCGAGAATACTGGCACCCGTGATGAAGATGCCCCAACCTGCACCGATGACCGAGAGGCCGATGCAGAGGCCGATGCCCATCATCGCCCATGCGTACGGCGAAGTCTCCTCGAGAAATGCCCCGATGTTGAATGCCTCCCCATTGCCTATAGACCCCCGTGCCGCACCAAAAGGTCAGTGTTTGCGTACAAAAAAATTTGGATGCGGGGGAGGAAGAACGTACCTGTCAGAAGCATGTACAGGCCAATGGCCGAGAGAGTCGTAAGGCCAGAGCCAGAGGCAAGCGCTAATGTCGATACCATGACGGACGGAGCGGATGCGTATGGACCAAGGTGTGGTGGAAAAGAGCAGAGGTGCGACGACAAGGTGGTAGGTGCATCACACGCGCCTCGCCGCTCACCGAAATCCCGCCCGAACAGGGGGTCGCAGCGATCGTCCTAATCTAACACTTTCCTCCCCGAGAAAATTCCCATTTCGAACCACGCCGCTCGTTTTACTAGCACACTCAAGAGATACGAAGCAGAAACACCGTGGATATACCGGTAGGCTGCGATGGAGGAGTGAAATTGCGCTGCGCATCTAGCCCTGCTGCTCGACCGCATCCGCATCGGCATAGCTCGAGCTCTTGTGTTTGGGCGTGAAGCTCCACTCCTCTGGCGCCTTGCCGAGGAACATCTCGGACACTTTAACCCAGTCGTCGGCCTTGCCACTGGCGAGCAGCGTCTCCAGCTCGTCCCTTCCCCTGAACATGGGTGGCCTGTCATTGAGCCGACTGGGGAGGAACTCGAGCAGACCGGTGGGGACGTACCTGTGCGTGAAGCTCATCATCTCGCACATGAAGCGCCGCGTCGTATTGACGCCGTGCGTATCGCTGCCCCAGTGCTCCAGCCCGTAATGCGCAAAGTCGCGAATCATGTCCAGCCGCTCGCGAGAAGAGATGTCCCAGTCACGACGCTCTTTGATCTCGGTAAACAGCCACGGCTTGATCAGTGCCCCGCGTGCGATCATCTCGCCGTCCACGCCTGTGCGATCAAGACGCTCGTAGTAGTCCTGCCACGAGTAGACGTCGCCATTGCCGTAGATGGGGATGGGAAGCATCTCGGGCTCGTCGGCGTGGCGGGAGGATTCGTTCCACTCGCGAACACTGTTGCGCAGCGTGCTGGCGCATGTGGCGATGTAGCCCCAGTCGGCATCGTTCTTGTACCTCTGCTTGCGGCTACGTCCGTGCAGCGTAGCAGCGGAGACGCCCCAGTCGGTTTGGAGGCGCGCAAAGAGCTTGTGTGTGGTTTGCTTGGCCGTCGTACCCGTGCGCAGCTTGATCGTCAATGGCGTATCGCCCAACACTGCATTCATACCGCGTACGATCTTGCTAAGCTTGCTCGCGTGGTCCAACAATGCCGATCCGGCGCCGCGATTGTACACCAGGTCGATGGGACAGCCGCAGTTGATGTCGACAAAGTCCAGTCCGTCGCCTACCTCGGCCTTGAGCGCCTCGGCGACGGGCACGAGCAGGTCCGGTTTGCCGCCGCACAGCTGCGTGCCAAAGATGCGCTCCGACGCGTGGCGGCGTACGAGCGACCATTCGGACGCGTTGCCGTGCAGGAACGACTCGGCGAGGCCCATCTCGCCGCAGTGGATGTCCGAGCCGAACGACGTGCAGATGCGGCGGAACGGCAGATTGCCAGTCGTCGTCAGAGGTGCGAGGTACAGCTCGCCCTTCCAGTTGAGGCGACGCTTTTCGCTCGGTCGGATGCGCGCCACGTCGATGCCCGACGACGACGATGCTGCGTCCGCTTGGCGCGTGGACGCGTTGCGCAGCGCATTCTCCATCTCCTCGAGCTCTTCCGCCGTCTTTCCCTCGACTTCCGCACCAGCGTTCGAGGCTGAAGTGGCAGGGTTGGGGCCGGCGATGGCGTTGGCAATGACTTCGTGCGGGATGAGGCCTTTACCCGCCGTCGAGGCCTGCGGATCCGACGTGGCCAGCTGCTTCGCCTCGTCCTCGAGGTACTTGAGCACCGCGCGCGTCTTGGGCAAGGGATACTTGCGCGTGCGCAGCGACTTCATGCCGGCGCCCGTACCGAAGTTCACTTCGTCCTGGTCGGGGTCTGCGTCCTTCAACGCGAAGGCTCGCGGGCGTGCACGCCAGGCAGCCATGCGGTCGGCGTCGGTGACCAGTTCGAGCCCCGAGCCTGCAAATCCGGTGGGGTTGGCAGCGTCAACGAGGGAGGAGGAGCCAACGAGACGCACGTGGGCGCCGAGAAAGCGGCACTTCCAACCCATCGTGCAGAAACCCTTGAGCGCAAAGATCGGGCACGACGTGGTCCAGTTGATGCTCGCGTGGGCGGGGTCGTTCGATGCCGCGGCGCCGGCGGGAGCGGAAGCGGTGGAAGACGAGGAGCACGCGCGAACGAACGTCTGGCCCTCCCCTTCGTCGGTGGGAAGGAGGGTGAGCGAGTACTGCTCCTCGAGCCATTGCTGCTTCTGCTCGTCGGACATTGCTTCGAGTTGATTGTGCGGGATGGGCGGCATGAAGAGATCGCGATCCTTGGCGCGGAGGTACGCCACGAGGTCGTGCGAGAACCTGCATCCGCCCGTCTTGAAAGTGCAGCCGGCTTCGCCCTTGGAGAGAAAGGCATGGCAGTGTCCGCGCGCGTCTTTGAGCGAGCTGAATTGGCGGCCCTTGTTCTGGCCGCCCTTCTTGTCGTCGTTGCCGCCGCGCGACTTCTTGTCCGCGCGCTGCGCAGCTGCCAACGCAGCGGCTTCCTCGCGCCGGGCGCGCTTGCGAGCCGCCCCCTTCAGCTTCTTCACCGGCTCTCCATCAGCACCAGTGGCAGTGGAGGCAGCGGGGTTGGTGGATCGTTCGGCAGCATCATCATCCACTGCCTTGACGACGGCAGCAGCGGCGAGGGGCTTGGGCAGGATGTACTCGGGCTTGATAGGTGCGATGCCCGGAGTGTATTTGTCGGTAGGCCCGTACACCGGATGCTTCCACTCGGAAGCAGAGGCGCTGGGCGATGACGCTTCCGACATTGTGATGGCCGTGCGGGATGCGAGAGGGTTGGTGGGTGAAGGCAAAAGTCGAAGGTGAGAAGAAGCAGTTGCCACTTTTTTTCCCTTTCGGGTGGAGATCTCGCATTTTTTCAACGCCCGACCCCACAAAAATTTGCCCGATTCCCGCAAAGTCGTCCGACACACTCTCGCACCGGCGACGACACCATCTGCGTCCATCACACACAGGCTGCCAGGTAAAAAAGAAATGCAATGCTGGAACTAGGCTAACAAAGTAGGTCTGACTCACATCGAGTCGGGCAGGGCAAAGTACGAAGCAGGAGGTAACGCGGGTGCTGCTACGGCTCGGAGCGCACGCAGGCCGTCCTCGGCAGAGCGGTTGGCGCCCACGATAAAGCGAGCCGAGATCTCGCCGACGGCCACCGCGCACGCGACGATGATGAGAATAATAACGATCCAGGTGATCTTGGACATGGCCGTGTTGGCGATGTGCTCGTGAATGATCTCGAGCAGGTCGTTCGCCACGGCCAGACGCTCGTTGAGGTTCTCGACGCGTTCGTCGATCTCGAGATAGTCGCGAATGGCGTCGTAGAGCAGCTTGAGCGATGCCTCGGACCAAAACAGCTCGGGCGTATCCAGCACATTGGACGTCAGATTGACATCCACCCGAAGCTTAAACAGCCTGCCTGTGAGGCGCAGCGCTTCGCGGCGCTTGAGCTTGAGCTCGCCGCTCGACGCCATCTCCTTTGGAATGTGCGAGGTGAGCTCGAGCGTCGCCTGCATGCGTTCCTCGAAGACCGACAGCTTGGTCGACTGCGCAATCGCGTGCGCCAGACTGAGCTTGAGCAGGTGGTTGGGCGCACGGAAGGTGAAAAAGTCGTTGAAGATGCGTGGTGCCGAGATGTTGGGGTCGTAGCAGAAGTGGAACGCCTCGCTCTCGCGCGCCGCCTCGTCCATCGGCTCGCGTGCGCATCCGGACGACAGCACATCCTCAATGATGCTTCGCTCCTCGGCAGCCGAGAAGTTGTACATGACCAAAACGCCGTACGGCAGAATCACCAGCTCGGCAGACTGTAACGCCTCCAGGATCGGGCGCGGCGTGTTGAGGTTCGCCGACGTATCATGGTTGTGCGACGCCATGTTCGGCCCCGCGTAGCGACGCTTGCGTCGGCGCAGCTTCACTTTGCGCGTCCGACGCTGCTTCTCCGCCGGCGCCTCGACGGACAGCGTGGTCTCGTCACCCGCGCCGCGCGAGCCTGCATCGCCACCGTTGCCCTCGACGCGGTCCGAGGCGCCACCTCCGTCGCGCGACGGGAGCGAGTCCTGCGTGTCATCGTGCTGCGATGTAGCGTGGTCGCGCGAATGGTTGGCCGCATCGTCAAGGTCGGAAGTCATGCTCATCTCGTTGGAGCGGTACGAGTGCGCCATGGGCTCGGGCTCACCGCGCTCCTCGGCACGCTGCTGCAGCATCATGTCGCGCGCGCCCGCCGAGTCGACGCGGTTGATCACCAGCTCGTTCTTGTCCGTGTCAATCTCCACGGGCGAGCCCGAACGGCGGTACGGCGGCAGCGCCTCGACGTCCGATACGGACGACTGGCTGCCCGCACGCCGGCGCTCCAGAAGGAACGGTCGCGCCTCGCCGCCCGCCTCGGCATCGCTGTCCGAGAGCTTGCGCGTCGCCGCAACAGGTCGTGCAAGCGGGGTAGCAAGCATCCTTTCGTCGTCTTCGAGACTGCTGCTGACGGGAGCCGTGTTGCTGTCGTTCGACTTGTTGCGCGTGTGGTGGTGGGCACCTTGGCCGTTGCCAGACTGCTGCGTTTCGCGTTCATCCATGCCGCCGCTGTTGCGACGCTCGTTTGGATTCCAACGTTCCGCCTCGCTCTCCCACGCCGAGGTCTCTCCACCACCGCGGCCATCGTTGCGATGAGAATCGCCGCGGCGTCGAGTCTCGCTGTCCGAGCCGCGACCCTCGCCGCCCTTGATGTAGCCGTCCTGGTCGATGTCCTCCTCCTCCTCGGTGCGGTGCTCAAAGTACGTGCCGAGGTAGCCGAACTCTTCGCGCTGCTCGAGTTCGCGCTCGCGCCTCGACTCGGCGCCGGGGCTGGCGCTGCGCGGTTCGGGTGCAGAGCGGACGTTGGCGCGGCCAAAGCCGGGCAGGAGCGGCTTGGTGTAGACGGCGTAGGCGCACTCGTCGTACAGGCGAGGCTTGACGCCGTGCTCACGGCGGAGGAAGCCGAGGAGCGTGCCAAGGTGGATGGAGGTCGAGATGCTGTACGCGGTGAGACGCGGCAGCGGCGTCATGAGGCGTGCGCTGGGCGGCATGCGCTCAAAGGTGTGATACACGGGGCCCGACTTGTGCGGACGCAGGGGCGGGGCGCGGATGGCAGCGCCACGGAAGGTGGACGAGGCCTTGGGTTTGTGCTTCTGGGCATGGCGCGCCTGGGCGGCCGAGACGGACGAGACGGCTGCACGCGCGAGGGCGGAGGAGGCAGCGGTGCGCTGGGATGCTTTGGAGGCGGGCGTGACGAGTTTGCCGGGGACGGGCGCAGGAGCCGAGTGACGGTTGGACGGGATGGACAGACCGGGGCGCGGGGTGGTGACGGGCACCTTGGCCGGTGGCTTGGATGCACCGACCGACTCGAGCGCACGGCCGACACCGCGGCCGCCGAGAAGCACGGCCTGCGCCTCGGCTTTGCCGTCCTGGACGACAGCTGCGCCAGGCTTTGCCGGAGGAGCCGGCACGGCATCATCTTCGTCGTCCGTGACCTCCTCTTCGTCTTCCGATTCGTCGTCGTCGTCGTCGTCATCGTCATCATCTTCGTCCTCCTCACCCGGGAGTGGAGCGAGCTGCGACTCGGAGGGCAGCACGACGTGCTTTCCCGAAGTCTTTGTTGTTCGTACGGGCTTCTCGGTGCGCACTGGAAGCGAGTAGCGCGTCGAGCGGGCAGGCGTACCCTTGAAGCGATTCGACGAGGTGGGAGGGGGCGAGAGAGGAGGGGCTGGGCTGGGCTTCTTTGGCGCACTGCCGCTGGAAGCCTGGCCTGTCTTGTTCTGTGGAGCCTGTGACGATCCGGGCACTACGGCTCTGAGGATGTTGGCGGGGATGTTGGCCCGGTTGGAGCGGTGAGTGGTGGAGGATGGGTGCATGCCGGGGTCGAAATCTCCGGGCGTCTCGTCGTCGAAGTCGTTGTCGTCGAGTTCAACGAGCTGTTTGGGATTGGACGTGCCTGTGCCTGAGCCTGACGAGGTTGATCCGGCGCGGCGACTTCGTAGCGAAGAAGCGGTGGCAGAGATGCCTGGCAGCGGCTGGGACGATCGCCTCTGGACTTGAGGCGGTGGATTGTTGGCCGGGTTGGCGGTGGCTTTGGATGGATCTTGGGAGGTGGGCAACAGGCCCTTGCGATTCGAGCCGGACGACATGGTGCCTGTGCTTGGTTGGGAGGTGCAAGGTGGTGAAAGAGGCCGAGCTGTGAAGAAAAGCGATGGCGAGGGGTGGGCCGAGGATGTGAGGGTGAGAAGGCACGGTGCGTTGCCATGAGCTGCAAGCACGTTCCATCGGCACTCGTCAGCGCCTTTTCAGATTCGGCCAATCGGGCGATTCGATGCGTCTGCGCCCAGACCAGCTCGAAAAATAAAAAGAGCTCCGAAAATCTCCACTTTTTTTTTGGCAGCTGCCCAGCAGGGTCTCGTCAAGAAGCAGCGGAGGTGTGCACTGCGTTCGTGGCAGCCTTCATCCACTCGCTCGCTGCTCGACATCAGTGCACGACGGCACACATACAGCTGATTATGGACTCGACATCGTCATCGTCCGGGTCAAGAGGCTGGTCCGGTCCGTCTCGTGGTCACAGGCCGACTGGAGGTGGCGGTGGTGGAGGCCGTGGCGGTCGTGGCGGCCGCGGAGGAGGTAGAGGTAGAGGTAGAGGCGGAGGTTGGGGTGGCCAGCATAGGGAGGGTAGGCAAGCAGCCACGCCGAACAACTCGAGCAACGATCCTCAGCTTGCACCTGGCCAGCCCCATCCAGGCTTCTTCCACGAGTCGTTCGTCGGCAACCCTTGGTACGATCTCGAAGAGAAGCTCGGCATTCCACACATGACCGCCGTCAGCCCGAACCAGATCCCAGCATCGCAGCAAGACGATGCGGTCGAGTCATCCACCACCATCGATGCGCAGGACGAGGCTCGAGCGCAAAGCAGCGTCACAGATCAAGCGTCAAGCACCGTCGATGCTCAACCCGCACCAGAGTGATGCGACACACTCGCCACAAAGCTAGACAAGAGATGCAGATGGTTCAGATTGGTCCGACCGAGGCGGATCAGTTCCAGTCGAGCTCGCGCGCCGCTTTGCCCAGCGCCCAGATGGTAAAGCTGAACTTGTAGTTCGGATACGAGATCGCGCCTGTTCCACCCCAAAGCAACAAAGATGGGGCGTCAGCTTCAACGGATACTCTTTTAACGAAAGGTGGGCTTTTTCGGGTACGTACAGTTGCGGTTGAAGATGCCTTCGATCTGCTCCTGGGCCCACGAGCCATCGGGCAGCTGGCGGTCCATGATGACGCGCACCGCCTTCTTGATGCGCTCCGTGTGCGGGTATTTGGCATGCAGCAGCGTGATGACCACCCACGCCGTCTGCACCACCTGCGACTTGGCTGCCGGCGTATACACGCCCGTTTCACACGACTGCAGCAACCCCGAAAAGAAAAGAACAAAGTCAGCTCCCCTGCATCCTCTGCTCGAAATCTCAAAATGACGATGGTGCTCACCTTGTAGGTCTCACCCCAGCCGCCGTCGTCCATCTGCTTGGAGGCGAGGAAGTCGCAGGCGCGGCGCACGGCGTCGCTGTTGTCGTACGTGTTGCCCGCCAGACTCAGACTCTCGACGGCAAACATGGTGGCGTAGGTGAAGCAGATGGCCCACGATCCGAACCAGCTGCCATCGTCGCGCTGCGCCTTGAGGATGTACTGCGTCGCGCTCTGGACGGTCTTGGCGATGTCGTGCTGGCGGTAGTCGTCGATCTTGGTGAACTTGAGCAGCGCCGTGACGACCGAGGTGGTGCATTCCGGGTAGGCGTATTCGATCATAATGTCGCCAAACACCTCGGCCGGATTGATGAGCTCCAGCAGTCCCGGACCGTTGATCGTCTCGTACGACGCAAAGCCGCCGCCGGGATTCTGCATGGTGAGCAGCAGGTCGACGGCGTCGTGCATGCGTTCGCGTGACACCGGCTTGCCCAGGTACGGCAGGTTTTCTTGCAGCATAATGACCGCCTTTAGACCTTCGCCCGTACAGTCGGATACGACGTACCCCTGCTCCTTGGTCGAGAAGGGCCAGGCGCCCTTGGTGGCGAAACGGTAGCAGGACGCGTGGTGGCGCGGGTTGTCGCGGATCTGGCACTCGTCGAGCCAGTGCAGCAGCTTCTTGGTCAGCTCGCGGTTCTCGGCCGCTGCGGCGAGCCCCGAATCCACCATGGCCTGGGCGATGAACGACGTGTCCCAAAGCTGGCTGCCGTTGGTGCCGGTCATCATCATGCCTTCGGCGCCGATCCACATAAAGTCCTTGAGCTTTTCGCGGTGCATGCGCATCGCGTGGCTGTCGTGGCCCTCGACATCCCAGCGCGCAATGTAGTTGAGCATCTTGTTGACGGGACCGAGGCACTGGTAGCTCGTGTTTTCGTCCTCGAGCACGAGCAGCTCGTAGGCGCGCTTGATGCCTGCGCGACGCAGCGGCGGGATGTGGCAGTTGTCGTATGCGCCGACGAGACCCATGAGCGCCTTGAGCGTCTTGGTGTGTGGGTAGAAGACGTCGACTTGAGCGATGTTGCCGCGCTGCGCGGGCCAGTTGATGGATTCGTACGGCTGCACGTACAGCTCCTGGCGCAGCGACTCGATGAGCGGATCGAGTGGCGCCTTGAATCGGCGGCCCCACAGATAGCCCATGGGGATGTAGACCATGCGCGTGTGGATCCACCATCGCCAGGGGTGAATGGGCAGCCAGTCGGGCAGCAGCCACAGCTCGGGCGGGATGGGGTTCATGCCCTCCCACTCGTAGCAGTTGAGGATGGCGAGCCACAGCTTGCCCCACGACGGGATGCCTGCTGCGCCACCGAGCTTGTGCAGCGTGCCGCGCGCCTTGACCATCATCGGGTGGTCGGCAGGCACGCCGACGATGCGCAGCACCGTGTAGTTGAGCGCCGTGCCAAACACGGTGGAGCAGCCTTCGATGTGGATGCCCCAGCCGCCGTCGGCCTTGTCGGCGCGATTCCAGAGGTAGCGCGCCACCTCGATCTTCCACTCCTCGGGGATGGGCGTCTTGGTGACGTACATGCCGATGATGATGCCGGGCAGCAGGAACATTGGTCCGCCGTACTCGCCCGCCCAGTGGCCGTCGTTGGACTGGAGGTGGCGGTAAAAGTTGAGTCCGTTGGTGGCGGCGTCGAGCGGCGTCTTGGCTGCGGGTTGTTGGGGCAGCTCGGTGGGCAGGCCGAGCCAGTACTTGTCTTCGATGGACTGCGGCCATGCCTTGCACTCGGCATCGTCGCGCAGGTAGTGCCACACGTGTCGGCCGCCGTCCGAGACGCGCAGCCTCCAGCGCGAGGCATCGGTCTGGCCGAGCGGAGGAGCGTTGGGCGGCATATTGTTGGGGCTGTGACTCAGATGGTGGTGGTCGAGTCGGAAGGTGCCGAGGATCCGATGCGCCATCGACCCCAGAGTGGCAGCGGAAAGTGTTCTTCGCATTCGAAGGTCGTATGATTCTGAAATTGGCCGCGCCTCACGCGCAAAGTGCTGCAGAAAGTGACACCGAAGCGCCGCCCAACATGCGCGTGAGTGTGCCGCATTCGACCTAACACTCTAGACTTTTGCGGTGTTGGCAGTGCACAGACTCCACCTTGTCACACGCCTTCGTCGTCGACATCCACCCACGCCTTCTCGCCGGTAGTAGCGATACGCGGGCACTTTTTCTTTGGAGCTCTACGACTGGTCGACTCGCATCCGACGCATCGCTCTTCACGACTCGAACACTGCACGCACCCGACCCACTCGAGCATCGACCGGCTTTACAGCTTCCCTCCACGCCCAAAGGAAACGCCGTTCGACGATGGTACGTCCTCGAATCCCCCAACAATCTTCATCTCAGTGCAAGAAGAAACGTGGACTGACGCTTGAACTCGCACTGTTTGGAACTGTAGTCGGCGCTGTTCAACTTTCACTCGCTGCTGCGCGTGGTGCTGCTGATCATCTGCACATGCACCTATGTGCGTGCCACCGCACCGGCGCTCATCGACCGCAACAAAGAAGGGTGCGTCTTATGCGCTTCCACCCACGCAGCAGGTATGCGCATGCTGACACCTTTGCTGATTGCGTCGCAGATTCCTCGGCGTCTTCTTCAAATCGGCCCGCATCGGTAAGTTCTTACTCAGAATTGTGCTTGCGATAGGCATTCGCTGACACCTAACCATTGCACCCTTCATCGCGACAGGCGAGAGGTTGAGTCCCTACGTGTCATTGGCATGTCTCGTGATGGCGGTATACGAAGTCGTCTAGCTCGCAAACACCAAAAGCAATCGCAACAGATCCTCGTCTCTCACTTCTTGGCGTGCACACTAGTTTGGGTTGGAGACAACAGTGGAGATTCTCGACTAGACGTGTGCAAAGTTATGGAGGGCACTAGGCCTTGGATTCGCGGTCCTTCTTCATTCCGTCCTGGATCCACTTGGAGGCCTGTGCGGCCTTCTCCTCGGCCTCCTTGGCGTGCACCTCGAAAAAGTCGGGGCTGCGCATCTTCTCGACCCAGTCCGTGTTGCCGTTGGGCACCTTCATGCCTTCGCGCACCGCCTCGCGCGCCCAGTTCCGGTCGATGTAGTCCCGCACGCTCTGCGGCACATCTTCGTCCTTGAGACCAGCCCACTTGTAGTACTGCAGCCACGGGTACGCGTTGATATCGGCGATCGAGTACTTGTCGCCCACCAGCCAGTCGTGATCCTTCAGCCTGCGGTCCAGCACCTGATAGAGCCTTTTGGTTTCGGTCACGTAGCGGTTCTTTCCATAGGGGATATCCTCGGGAGCATAGCGAACGAAGTGGTTAGCTTGGCCCTGCATCGGGCCAATGCCCCCGTGTACGAAGAAAAGCCACTGGATCGCCTCAGAGCGTTTGTCGACACCATCGCCATCGTCAGACCAGCTGAAGATGTGGTCGGAATCATAATGCTTCTCGAGGTAGAGGATGATGGCGGCGGTCTCGAATACGCAAAAGTCGCCGCGGTTGGGGTCCTTCAAAGCCGGAATTCGGCCGTTGGGGTTGATGGCGAGGAACCAGTCTTCCTTCTGCTCGTTCTTGCCCAGGCTGATCGCCTGGTACTCGACCTCGAACGAAGGGTAGGCGCGCTTGAGTTCTTCGGTGAAGTTCGAAACTTTTTGGCCGTTTGGTGTACCAGCAGTGTACAGAATGACGGGCTTCATGTTGCAAAGTGGGTGTATGAATGGGGTGATGGATGGATGGATGGGCGGATGGAAGGAGGAAGCGAGGAAGGACTGGGTGACACCCCGGCTATATACTCTTCTGCTTAACGCCGGATGGCGCACAGACGAAATCGCTCGATCTCGCCTTTTGGTGCTCTCGAAAGGTGGAGGCACGTCAGCCAAAACTGGCCAGTGCTCGTCCGCTGCTGCTTCATTTCTCGTCGCCTTTTTGGTTTTCCTTTTTTCTGCGTCATTTCTTCTTTAGATCATCAGCCGCTCGCTACTTTCAACGGCTCTTGGCATTGGATGGGTATCAATCTAGCAATCGAGCACGACCGTTGCACTAGCCGCCTTTTTGAGCCTGTTCATCACGGCGAGTCCCACGCCCGAGTCATCGAGCGCCTCGACAAAGATGAGCTCGCACTTGTCGGCGCCGTGCAGCGGGCCCTCGTCGAGCGTGCGCAGGCCGTCGAACATGCGCTGCGCATACACCGAAGGCTGCGCACTCGGCCCGAGATCAAACCGGTGCACCAGCACACCCGGAAGCTCGGACAGCTCGAGTGGGGGTAGAAGGTGAGGATGCACATCGGTGCCCGTTGGTGGCGCGGGCTCCGAGGCCGAGCTGATGAGTCGGGCAAGGTTCGAGTCCGAGGAGGTCATGACTCCCACGTTGATCGTAGACCCCGCTGGCCCTGTTACGAGTGTGCTGAGTTGGTCATGGATGATGTGTGCAAACGAGCGCGGTGCGGCGGGTGGAGACTCGATGAGCGAGTCGACCACTCGAGCCGATGCAGTCGGCTGCGACGAGGTGACGGCACGCGCAAACAGCGTGGCGGGGAGCAGCATGACGACGCGTGCAGTCGGGGAGTAGTGTCTGTACTTCATGCCGGGTGTGGTGGGATTGCTTTCCTGCTGTGCACTGCGCTCCATATCCTTGCCGTATACGCGCAGCTTGGTGTCCAGCCTGGCCTCGTTGAGCACTTGCGCGATCTGCTCCACCGTCACTCCACCCGGCCGCAGCACCCGAACCTCGTCATCGGCCGATATCCCGTCGACGACCGTGCTCTCGACGCCTACAGTGCAGGCTCCGCCGTCGAGAATGTACTGAAGCCTTCCGCGTGGTTCCGCCTCGTTGGTATCGAGCTGTCCGCCCAGATCGCGCATGACGTGTGCTGCTGTGGTGGGCGATGGACGTCCTGAGGCGTTGGCGCTGGGTCCCGCCATGGGCAGACGCGACGTGGCGATCAAAGCTCTTGCGATCGGATGCGACGGCATGCGAACCGCCACGCTGGGTTGGCCGCACGTCACCACACTAGGCACGGCTGGACGCTGCGGGTCTACGGGGAAGAGAAGCGTGAGTGCACCGGGCCAAAACGCCTTGATGAGGGCAGAGTAGGCAGCGCTCATCTTGTAGGACGGCGGGAGGAGCGAGTCGAGCATCTCGAGGTCGGCGACATGCACGATGAGCGGGTTATCGGCGGGCCTCTTCTTAGCCGCGTAAATCTTGGCGGCTGCTGACTGCGAGAGCGCATTGGCGCCCAAGCCATACACGGTCTCGGACGGAAATGACACTAGCTGGCCGGAGTGAAGATGGCGTGCGGCAACGGCGAGACTGTCGCGGGTGACCGAGGATGCAATGTGAGGCTCGGCGCGGGTCAGCGGCTCAGCACCGCCGTAGCGAGACGGACCCGCCTCTTGAAATGTGACCGAAGCATCGGCATCGCAGGGGAGAAGCTCGGTGCGGAAGGTGCAGTCGGGATAGCCGAGCGAGTGCGTGTCGGACGAAGTCATGGTGCAAAGCGTCCGGCTGATGCGCTGCAGAAGCAGAGCGTGCGGCCGCGGTACGGAGAAGAGCGATTCCGGGATCAGTCCAAATCGCATGAGCTCCCGAGAGCAAGCGTGCTGTGAGGTGGCGCTGCAGCGTCGGTTCGCTGCGAGGAGGCGATTGTGATTGTCGGTGAGGAAGAGTCATGCTGCCAAAGAGCTTGAATGAAATCTTTAAACTCAAACCGGTCCCCAAAAAGTTTGCAGCAGCCAAGCCTTCTCGATGTGGAGTTTTTTTTTTCTTCTCAATCGTGTCAGAGCGGCTCAGAGTACATTTTGCCATTTTTCGACGCGCCTTTCTTTGGCTGGCTGGCTGGCTGGCTGGCTGGCTGGCTGGCTGGCGGCGGGTGTGGGGGAAAAAAAAGGCAAGCGACGAGGCGGAGAGCTAAATATTCGAGCCTCGACTCCGAGGCCGATCCGTCCTTGAGCGGGGCTCGGATGTGACGCCTGGAAGACAGACGAGCAGCAGCTGGCTGTCGAGCCCGAGATGATTGTGCATTCAGCCTTCAAACTCGAGTGATCATCCCGCGAAAGATGGTCCTGTCTGGGCGACCTACGGATGTGAGCCGTCGGGGTGGCTTGGCTCGATGGCGGTGCGTCGGCTGGCGTTGAAAAACACGAAGCCGATCCGGACTGCAGTGGCGTCGCGGGATAAGCAAAAGAGTGACGATGGAAGCGAGGGAAGGTACCGACGATCTCTACCGCTCGTGGAATCGAGCACATGACAGGCTTGGCAGACAACACCTGCATGTCGGCAGCAGTGGAGAGGGGCAGGCTCGGCCAAGGCTTCCTTTCTGGGACCTCCCTCTGCTGGCTTTTCGGTCGGCGGCATAGAGCCAGGCAAAACTGTGCGCCACCGACGTGCCTTTGCTTGGCTGGATGGAAGACGAGGGCGAATTCCGAGCTGCGGGCTGCATGCCCGAAGCTGTCCAATTCAAGCAGCAGCAAGCAAGTCGGTCGACACCAACAGCCAGAGTGGCAGAGTCATGCATGCACGCTCGTGCGTGTTCCCGAACGTCGCTTCTAGCAAAAAAAAGCGAGCTGTTCTTGGCACCGACGCGCGTCGTGTTGATCCTTCCCGCACCGGTACAGCGAGCCAAGACGGCCTATAGAACACTTGATACCGGCGTGGCTTGCAGAGATCGTGCAGCGATGATCTCTGTATGCTATAGTCACAGCCACAGCCACAAGAGCACTGCAAACAGCATCCGCGTAGACTGCATTCAGGTGACCCGAAACATGAGACCGACGGTGGGCTGGCAAAGATAGCGACTGCCAACCGAATTTGCGGTTCTGCTGGCACGCGAGACTCGCTGGTTTCTCCGCGAATGATTGGAGCGCGCTAGAGTCTCCGGAGATGCGATGGTGGGCTCGGCGCTGAGAAGCAGATCAGCTGCCAGAGAGCGTCAAACAAAGGGCGGGCGATGCGCTGCAGGCTGCATACTCGGGCCAGAGCCAAAACGCTCTCTTGTTTTGGCGAGACCGGGAGAGAAGCAAAGCAAATCAAATGCATGCCGGCCGGGCCCAACAGCGGGAAAAAGAAGCAATTTTCGAAAAATTGCCACGTTTCGCAGGCCGAGAGTGCTTCCAGGGTCTCGCACCTTTGGGCCCAGCTCGGAGCGACTGCAGCGCTGTGGTCGCGCGTCACGGCAGTGTGGCCGCAGGGCGGGCCAGGGCAGGGCGAGGGCCAGGGCCAGGGCTAAGGGTCCGCAAAGCTGCACGACTGCAGCCGAGGCATCAAGCAGCGGCAGCAGCAGCAGCGTTAGCGCAGATCCCGCCGGTCATCCCTCCTTTGCCTCGTTTTTTCACTCGTCACCGCTGTCGTCGGGTCTCCCGAGCGCGGTGTAGCCAGCGGAGCTTAGTGGCGGCGGCTGCTGCTGCTGCAGCTGCGGCTTCGGAGGCAGGCCGATCGATTCCCCTTCTCGGACCAGAGCCTAGGCTGGAGATATGCACTCCCCAAACCGCCGTTTCATCTCCGCAACCGCTGCTTTCATCCCACCATTCAGAGACGAGACGAGACGCGACAGCAACAGCTAACCTACTGAACAGCAGACGCGCTCAAAGCCCACCGCACCACCTCCTCGCCCCACCGCCGAGTCGCGACAGCTGCAGCTCGCCTTAGCTCGACTCTGGTCTCCTTACCCGGGTGATGCTGCGATCCATAGCCTAGCCGCTCCCCCATCAACCTCCGAGCTCGTGACTGCGTCTCGCGACCTCCCAACAACCGCCAGCCATACATCATTTCTCCTCCTCTTCTCTCTCTTTCCTTCATCTCCACCATATACGCCCCGCCTACCCTAGATCCCTCCTCCCACCCCCTACTCAACAACTTCATCTAGCGTCGGTGCCACCAACACCATGCGCATTGCCAACTCGATTGCGTGGGCGGCGCTCGGCGCCCTCGCCGTAATCGTTGCCGAATCTTCTTTCGCTGCAGCGGCATTGATCAACGTGCCGGCGCTGTACTCGTGCGAGCCGGCCGACATCCGCGTGCTTGCCAAGGGCAACTACACCATCGAAGGCCGCGACTCGGACTCCCACAAGCTCGTCTTCCGTGCGCGCGTCGACAAGGGCGTCAACCTCGTCACCTGGGACTCGGTCGACCTCGTCGCCAATGCCACCGCCATCATCACCGTGACGGATCAAACGAGCCCCAAGCAGACCGCCCTGGTCACGGCGTCGGCCATCGTTCAGGCCAACCCCATGGGCAACACCACCTGTCTTCGTCAAGAAGAAAATTCCCGCGCGACCGCCAAGCAGAAGAACATGGTGGCCACCATCATCGGCATTGTGCTGGCGGCGTTTGTCGCGCTCGTCCTGCTGCTGGTGGGAGGCATGATGTACAGGCGGAAGAAGGAGAAGGCGCAAAAGTTTGAAAACGAGAGTCTGGATCTCAACCACGGCATGCCACATGCAGGTGTGCCCGCAGGAGGCAGCTACATGGCAAGACTCGTGCCCGGCTTGAAGCTGCAGGAGGCAAGACCGCTACCCAGAGACCCCGTGCTCGAGTCGGAACAGGCCAACTATGCCTCGACGCGCAGAGGTACCCAGTACTACAAGCACACGCCCGACCTGGGCGGCGCCAATGCCAATCCCAATGCCATGCACGCCACCACCGGATACTACAGAGAGGGATCACCAGCGCCACAGTACCCACAGTACGGCCATCCAAATCCATTTGCATCGCAGCAGGATCTCCACTATCCGACGAGCCCGCAACATCAGCAACATCACCTCATGTACCAGAATAAAGACTACGACCAGTCCCAGACCTCGTTCCTCTCCAAGAAGAGCTCCAAGTAGAGCCCTGCCTCGATATCATTTCACGGACTACCTTTGTCTCCCCTGCTTCTACAAGTGGCCACTGCCTTCTTCGGCCCGCGCCACGCTATATATCTAGCCTTTATGCTTTCTGCCTCGTCGCTTCGGCTTCTCTCATCTCTGTTTTGTAGCTGCCCCCCTTCTGCCGTCGGCCCGTCTTAATCCGCATGCTTTCGCGCACCAGACGCCTTGGTCAGACTGTGGCATGCACGTGTGAAAGGGAAAGATGATTGCATACAAAGCATGAAAGTGTGTGCGTACGAACGAGAAGAAAACAAGAAACGTGAGATGCAGCATGCAAAAGCGTTTGGTATCATTCCACGGCACAAGCAAACGATGCGAATGCTTGTGCAGCGGGGGTGCGTAGTTCAGCCACCGTGCGTCGTGACGGTGCGCAAAGACGCAACAACGCCTTCGTCTTCTGCGCCAGGCTCGAGTGCGTGTATTAAGCCCCGAGCCCAGCACGGCGTCGTGTCGGAATCGTGATGATCCAAGATCGTGAGAGAGCGTAACAGAGAGGGCTGGAGTATTCACATGATGATGCAGTCCGTCTTGGACGACACTCGTCGTGATTTTTTGCGCTCGACTGCAGCCTGGGGCGTCGGCGTCGCCTGGCCCGTCGCCACACCTGGCTTGGTCGCCTTGCGCGCAGCGGGCGTCGCCTCGGAAGCACCATAGACACCAGAGCTCAGTCGACGACGGAAGCGGTCCGGCGACGCACGCGGCATCTGCTCGAGCGGCAGCGCCGGCGACGACGTTCCCACAAGCACGTGTTGCTGGTGCTGTTGCGCCGACGAACCTCGCGAGCTCGAGTTGCCCGGCATCACGCCGCCGGCGCTCGAGATGCTGCTGGCACCGCTGATGCTGCCGTAGCTCATCGAGCTGTGGCGTCGCACGCCGTGGAGCGCGCCGCTGCCGTACGGGCTCTGCAGCGACTCGGCACTATCGGGCGGAGGCGACGGAGATCGCTGGCGACCTGGAATGAGCGAGATGCGGCGCCTGCGTACCTTTTCGTCCTTGCTGGGCTTGCCAATCGGCGCAACCGTGCTGCTCGGCGGCGAGGGCGGCAGGATGCCGTCGGTCTCCGCACCACCGATCGCGCCAAAGCCAAGCTGCGGCTGCGACTCAATCGTCGGCGACTTGGACTGCCTCTTCATGCCAAAGGGGAAGCGGAAGTTGATCGGCGCCGACCCAGCAGGTGCAAAGCCGCCAAGCACGGGAGACACCGGCGCCAAGTGGGCTGCTGACGACATTGGACTCGTCTGGTCCAACGAGGCCCGTTGCTGGAAGAGAAGCAGCTGCGCCCGCAGATTGCACGGCGAAGGCGCATTGCCAGCACACCGGGCGTGGCACACGAGGCCACACTCTTCGCACAGCACGGCGTGCTTCTTGACCGGCTCTCGGCAGATCTTGCAGACGACCGCCTTGCTGAAGGTGCTCTTGACAAACGCATGCGGCTTAGCCTCCTCGTCGCCGACCAGGCTGAGATCGAGCATGGAAGCGTCGCCGCCGGGCGACAGCATCGCAGCAGATGCAGGCGACGGGCTCATCGCCTTGGCCGGCTGACGCGCAGAGGTCGTATCGATGGGGGGGAGGGACGCCACATTCGCAGGCGGCGAAGTGGTGGGCGAGACGCCTGTCGCTTTGTCCGTGATCGTTCCAGCAGAGGACTCGGCGGGAGACGTGTTGGCACGAAGCGCTTCCAACCCGGGCCGCTGCAAGGTCTTGTCCGGAGACGAGCTGGACCTCTCCATGGGCGGCTGGACGGGACTCGTCTCTTCCTTCTCAAAGATGCGAGGATCCAGCCGACGAATGTCGGCACTGATGCGTCTCAGGAAGGGGACGCTGTCCTGCGGCCGCAGCTCCTTGTGACCGGACCACACCTGGCGGATCCACTCGTGCTCGAAGAGCGTCTCAGCGCTAGGACGTCTGGTGGGATCCTTGTTGAAGCACTGGAGCAGCAGGTCGCGCAGGGCATCCGAGCACTTGTCGGGGATGGGAGGGCAGTCGTCCTCGACGATGCGGAACATGGCCGACATGGCTAGCATGTCGTAGTACGGAGGCTTGCCGGTGAGCAATTCGATGATGGTGCATCCGAGCGACCAGATGTCGGCGGCGGTGGTGACGCCTTTGAGCTCGATGACCTCGGGGGCCATCCAGTTGGGCGTGCCGATCGCGTCGTTCTTGTTGCCCATCTTCTTGACCGCCTTGAGATTGAGCGAGACACCAAAGTCGGACAGCTTGACGTTGCCGTTCTTGGTGGTCAAGATGTTGGCCGCCTTGAGATCGCAATGCACCACATTCTGCTCGTGGAGGTAGTTGAGCCCCTCGAGGATCTTGACCACGTAGCTTGCGACGAGCTTCTCCGGAAAGTTGCCGAATGCTTTGAGCGTGTGAAGGAGCGAGCCGTTCTCGACATACTCGAGGATGATGGAGACGACGTCGGGACCACGCACGAGGCCTTCGTACTTGACTACGCTCGGATGGCTGAGGCTCTTGAGCAGGTCGACTTCGCCCATGAGCTCGGTGACCTCGTCGTCGCTGCGGCCGTCGAGCTTGATGCGCTTGACGGCGACCATCTGGCCCGAGTTGAGGTTGAGTGCACGATACACGGATCCGAACTGACCACGGCCGATGCAGTTGCCGAGCTGATAGGTGACATTCGCCTTGCCCGCCTCTGTGACGACGAGCTTGTGCTTGGGGCCCGTTGCATCGCGACTGGCCTTGGTCACAGCCGAGGCGCTGTCATCCGCGGTGAAGCTGCCGAGGGTGTTGGTGTAGATCGAGCCGATCTCGGAGTCGAAGCGGCTGCGAGAGGTCGAGATGAACGAGCGTTCGTCGCTGGAAGGATCGGGCGAGCGCGGGCCATTGGACATCGGTCGGCCGAAAAGAGGCAGATGCAGGTCGGAGGAGTATCGCATGTGACGGAACTGAGGTCGCGTGGTGATCTTGGGCGAGCTGCTGCCGGTGGTGGCGGTGGAGGTGCTGGATGTGAGCGAGAAAGAGTCGACGCTGCCGGCGTTCATCGAGAGGTGACGGGCCATCCGACGTGCGCCAGGCGAGTCGTTGGCACCACGCGGGAAGGGCACGCGGGCCGAGGGCGGAGTGTCGGCTTCTCCGTTGGACTGGGCGCCAAGGTTGAGCAGAGACTCGCGCGAGGGATTCAGCAGCGACGGCCCAGGATAGAGACGCGCGCTGTGACGTCGGGTAGGAGCATGACGAGACGGACTTCCGCCCGATGCAGAGATGTAGTCGTCGAGGTTTTCGGTCGATCCGATCACGGCCCTCGGAAGCTGCCCGAGCGCCAGTTCTTGGCTGATGCGCTTCTGAGAGGTGCTGCGAGCCAAAGGCGCGGCTCTCACAGGGAAGCCCTTGCTGGACTTGTCAGACTCGCTGCTGCCTCGTCGGCATTGAACGCGCTCAAGAGGGTTGGACTGGGAGCTGGAAAAGCTGTCGAGCGTCGGCAGAGCCTCGGCATTGCCCGCAGCGCCGTCTTCGGGCTCCTCGGCCACGCCCGTGAGGCTGATGGCCGATTCGCTGAGCTTGCGGTCGCGGTAGGGCATGCGACCCTCCTCGTCTCCGGTGTAGCTAACCTGCTTGACCGAGTCTGCAAACGTGATGGATGCGCCCTTCTGTTTGCTGCGGCTGAGTTCGAGCGAGCGTCGGTTGCTGTCGGCAGACGAGCCCTGCGATCGCGAGAGCTCGGTCGCGCCCATGAGGATGCGCTCCGCCTCGCGCCGATTCTGCTGGATGGTGAGCATCGTCCGTTTGGGCGTATCGTCGTTGAGTGACAACTCCGAGCTGCTGGCAAGACGTTCCAGATCGCCGGTGCCCATGGAGAGTGGCTTGCGGTCGTGTGCGCGTGGCGTCGAGGGTGGCGTCATGGATGTGGTGCGCGGCTCGATCTTGACAGCTGCCGCTCGTGCGGCGACCCTGGAATTGCGCTTCATCACCTTTTCGGTGGCCTGCAGCGTGTGCACGACGCGTAGAAGACCCTCTACAGTGCCATCGGTGAGATCAAATGTCTGGAAGAGGTCCTTGGATCGAAGGCCCAGGTGGTCGCGCGCTGCCCTCAGAAACCTCGAGATGTTGTCCGCCTTGACCCACTCGAGGTCTCTGCGGTCGATTCGATCCACGCTAGCCGGTCGCAGCCGGTTGGCAAGGAGACAGAGCAGCACTCCATCTGCGATGCTGTGCCAGAAACGCGAAGCCTCGACACCGGCGTCGGGGGATTCGGCGTTCATCTGCGAGTCAAGTTGGGAGATCCTCTCGCGGTCCAGGCCTCGATCCACGTCGGAGAGGCGGCTGAGTTCTCGGATCATGAACGATCGCGATTTGCGAATGCTGTCGAGCGCGGCTTGAGGCGAGGCGAGGTCGGCCATGCCGAAAGACACATCGGTGGTGGCCGAGAGCGAGGTAACATTGCTCTCGGTGAGCAAGGTGGTGCCCGAGCCTGCGGTCGCCGCACTCGTCTCGCTAGGCTGCTGCGACACTTGGCTGGCAGAGTCGGCCGTCCATGCATCGGCGACGCCTTGGTTCGCTGAGCTCGCCGCCGCTCGGAACGATTCGCCCTTGCCCTCTTTCCGGCTGCGTCGGAACCACGTCCCGCCCAGAGCCTTGGTTTTGCCGGCTGAAGCTTTGGTTGAGGAGGAAGAGGAGATAGAGCGAGCGTCGTGGTTCGCAGGCGGGCTAAGCGTGTCAGTACTGACGTTGTCGCGTGTCCAAGCCGAGGCGGTGGCGGACGAATCTGCGCTGCGGATGGTGGCATTGCTCTGCTTGCGCGAGCGCAGCATTCCGGGCACGGCGAGGTTGGGTGAGCCCTCGGTGTGCGATTCCACGGCGCTCATGGCGGCACCAAAGCTGGCGTATGCGAGGCCGGGCTTGACGGCGTTGTAGCTGTTGGTGCGGCCGTGGCTGTGGCTGGACGGAACCCCTTCGCTGCCGGTGTTGGACATGGCGTCATTGGATTGGGTGCGCGAGTTGCGACCGAGCCTGCGCAAGAAGGATGGCTCCTGGGTGTCGAGCATAGGGTCCGAAGCGAGATGGAGCTCCGGGGTGGAAAGGGATGCTGCCTCTAGGTTGGTGAGGTGCTGGTTCCGCGTCGCTTTGCTCCTGCGCTCGGAAGACTTTTTGTGAGCCAAGGGGCGCGTGGGCGAGCCCGAGTGCGCGTGCGGCAAGGGCACGGCGAGATGAGCCGGCGACCTCGGTGGCGAAGTGGTGGAAAGTGGGGGAGAGTGTGGAAGCGAAGCGGCGACGGATCGGTCGTCCGAGATGCTGGAGCCGGCTTCGATGGCCGAGTGATCGCTGTCGATGTTGTAGACGCGACGATGTGGGATCGAGGGCGATTGCTGAGCGGAGCGAGGACGGAACTGCTTTGCGGGGGATGATGACGGCGAAGGCACCGACTTTTGCGAGCGCAACGGCTTGGTCTTGGTGACGCTGGCGTCTGCGAAGCCCTTTGGCGGGATTCGGTGCATGTCTGTGGAGCGAAGGTCCATGTTGACCAGGTCCGCGGCGGATGGCATGATTGTGGCTGTTGCCGCAGCCATAGTAGAAAGAGCACGACGGTGGCAAGTGGGAAAGGAAGGGGGGATGTGGGGCTTGCGGACGGAGGATCCAAAAGGAGTCTCAAATGGCCATCATCCCTGCCCTCTAAGGGTCTGTTGACGAGCTGGAAGAGCGCGGCCAGTTGTTGAGCTGGCTAGGCCAAAGTATGGTAGGGAGAAAAGGACGCCTACGATTAGGGTTTGGCCTGCGAATGGAAGGGAGGCGAGGCAGCGGTGTCAGGGATTGGAAGGGATGGCACTTACCAAGCCGTGAGTGTCGATGCCAAATAAGCTCAAGCTTGACGATGGCGGGTGAAAGTGTCGATCGTGCCGATTGTGAGCGCGCGCAAGTGTGACGATGCCAAAGACGAGCGGCTAGAACGGGATGAAAGGCCGGTCTGCGCGGGCTTGGAGCATGGACGTGCGGCCTTCGGTAATGGCAGATGAGGCGCGAGCGAGGCTGGATGGGATGCAAATGAGATATGCAGGGACGGCTGAATCGGCGAGGGGTGATGAGAGAGGGCGCTGTTGGGCAATCTAGCTCGAGGTTGACGGGTGCAAAGTGGCTGTTTTTGGACGCCAGTGCATGCGGCAGAGCTTGGCGCAAGTTACGACCGGACGCGTCCGACGAGCCAAACGTCACGTTCAAACCTTGCCTGCAGCAGCACTCAACCACAAGGTTGCAAAATCGGCAGAAGGCGAAGAAACTGTATGTAATGAGATGCTGGTCGACAGGCAGGCCAACTGTGTATGCAGGTGCAGCAAGACGAAGCCGAAGTGTGCTGGCCGCGAACGTGTTGACGGCGCTTGCGAAGGATGTGGAGGGCGATGCGAGCCGGCTCTACGACGACAGAGATGGTGGCGGCGATGAAGGAGATGGTGGAGACGGTGACGACGACAAAGATGCTAGATGCACGTCGAGAGGCCCGTGGTGGAGGCGGGAGAGCGGGCGAGCGGAGAGGTGTGGTGAGGCGAGGCGAGAGGGCGAGCGTGTGTAGAAGCTGCCGACCGCGTTGGTGGATGCAAGCGTCCCGGAACGAGGAGAGTGAGGTGGTAGAGGGAGGAAGAGGGGGAGGAGGTGGCGATGCGATGCGATGTGATGCGGGGGCGAGAGGGGCCGGTGGTGTCGGGGAGAGGGCCAAGGCAGACAAGCGAGGCGGAGGCGGACTGGCGTGCCGAGGTGGACGACGACGACGAGGCGCACCGAGGCTGCGTTTGGCGGAAAATGCTTCGGGATCAGCAGCATGGCTGTAGCAGCAGGCGGACAGACGGGATGGCTTCTCGACTTGGCAGGTGGAGCAACACTGCCAACGCACGCAGTCGAGCCACAACACCACCTCAAAAAAAGTGGGCTCGGAGCAGAGCACCGATGCTGCGCTCGATCCGGGGGGGCGGGGGGGGGGGAGGGGGGAGGGGCCAAGGCAGACAAGCGAGGCGGAGGCGGACTGGCGTGCCGAGGTGGACGACGACGACGAGGCGCACCGAGGCTGCGTTTGGCGGAAAATGCTTCGGGATCAGCAGCATGGCTGTAGCAGCAGGCGGACAGACGGGATGGCTTCTCGACTTGGCAGGTGGAGCAACACTGCCAACGCACGCAGTCGAGCCACAACACCACCTCAAAAAAAGTGGGCTCGGAGCAGAGCACCGATGCTGCGCTCGATCCGAACTGCAGCCTCCAAGCACCAGCAGCAGCAGCAGCAGCACCTGCTCTCTCGCTTGCTTGCGCCTGCTGCACCCTGGACTCTTTTGTTCGCTGAAACACGCACTTCCACCCAAAGCAAAAGCGCGCGCGCGCACCTCCTCTCTCTGCACCCACCCACCCACAAAATCACATGAAAATAAATATTTGAAAAAGAAAGAAAAAGAAAAAAAAGGTCCGCAGAAGAGCCGGTATCAGGGGTCAAGGCAGTTGGATGCGCCGTCTTCTTTGTCCGCTGCAGCCGGAATCCGTCGAGGGATCGGTTGCCTCGCTTGGCCATCCGCCTCCGCCCCGCGCGCGCGCGGGTCCAGAAAAGTCGGTCGGGGACGGGAAAAAAAACAGCAGCCGTGAACACAATAGGCTGAACCCCCTGGCCATGCAGTATCATCACATGCAGCCGACCAAAATTCATGCCACAAGGGCTCTCACCATCCCTGCCAGGCACTGCAACCTCGACAAACCTCCAACAAGGCACAAAAAGATGACAGGATAACGTCGTGAGCATGCTCGCAAAGGTGATGGTGGATCGAGATTGGAACGCGGGAGAGAGCGGCCATGGGACGCGGGGACGATGGATCGGTCCGTGTTGGCATGCGCACTCAGCACGATACTCGAGCCATACCGTGCACCCATTTTGCGGAAGTGGTTTTTCGGATTCCGTTGCGACGACCCATGTCGCTGGTCGAGGCTGCCCTCCTTTGGATGCGTTCGAGTCGTTCGAATCGTTCGATGCCAAGAGTGCCACGCCCAGCCGCAGACGGCTTCATATGCTGGCGCTTGGTGGCATTCATGTTTCGCGCCGCCCACCTGTCTTGCCGATCGTCGGCCGGTCTTGCACTCTTGCATCGCGCTCGGCTTGGCCATCGTCGGGCGAGGCCGGCTGTCTGCCTGCCTGGCCGTGCGTGCGTGCGTGCGTGCGTGCGTGCGGGTGAGGCCTAGCTGAGCTGCACGATCAAGGTTTAGAGTCTCGTTTTTCGAGTCACTGGCAGGCGCCTGGTCAAGCGAAGCGGTTGGGCGTTTCGGCAGAAGATGCAGCATGCACAGACCGTGCCTTCATGATCACGACCGGTCGATCCGACCGAGGCCCCCGCGCGACGCCGCCAAAAATTTCCGCGAGCCAAGCGGGCAGAGGGGCGTGACGGCAAAAAGGGTCCCGTTGGGTGGTGACTTTTTGACAGGCGCGTCAAGCGAGATCTGTCTCTGGTCGCTCTCGCCGCTTCCACCGAGACACGCTCAGGGCGCGTGCACCACAAACTTATTCGCAACAAACTTGGCCGCGAGGCAAGCAAGCGAAGACCCCTGAGCGAGCGCACTTGCAAACGTCCGTCGGGCCCTGCCGATACGGCCTCGCCCCGACCAGCACGAGCTCGGCTAGGCGTTGGTCTTGCCCTGCCCTGCCCTGCCCTGCCCTGCCCTGCCTCCGACGGCAGCAGCAGCAGGAGAAGCGCGTCTGCAGCCTCGACCATTCTTTCGAAGCACCCTCGCCATTCGGACGCCTGCCGACCAATTTCAAACGCGTTGACCAAAGGGCGGCGGCGCTTCCCGAAGCCTTTTGGTCGGCGATTGTCATGGGTCGAGGCGCCAAGCTACCTGCATTGAGGCACTGCATGCTTACGATCGGTCCTGGCCCGCCCTCCATGCTAGTCTAATCGGCTCCTCTTGACATCTCCCACCAAATCCAGCCATAAGTTGGCTGCAATCAAGGTGGGCTTGCGCTAGCATATTGTCCGCTTCGTCAAAGCAGCTCATTTGGATGGCCACTCTACTACGCCCTGCGATCGTGGCGAAGGACGTCGCTATCGAAAGCTTGGATCGGAACGACAGAAGCCCACCCCAGCTTCTCCATTCGCCGGCCTAGCTCACGATCGCCTCTCATTAGCAAATTCGATATTCGGTGCAGCCACTTTTCTGCCGCACGGCCGCTGCAGACACCGTCTGCACAAACATGCACGTCGTCGGAGCCATGCTGGCTAAACTTCCCTTGTCACCGTGCATCTCATGCAATCGCGCCTTCCTTTGCGAAATCAGGTGCAAGGCAAAGCGGGCTAAGTTGCTAGATGGACTGCTGCCGGCTGCGTATTGCACACCCAGTATTTGATCCGCTTCCGCCGTCCGCGAGGTCGAGTCTGCGAATTGGCCGATTGGCGGCGCGCGAGATCATGCAGATGCGCATCGCGATCCCTACACCCCGTCGCGTCTCGTTCCACAGAAACATCCTCACGGCAACGCCTACTCACACAGCCGCTCAACCGCTCGCCCTCCTTCTGCCGGCCCGATGGATGCCGAGCCGCACACCCACCTCTCGAAATAGCATCCCTCCGTGCGATGCCGCCCGACGCTTTCGAGGCGGATCTCGGCATGCCGGTGACAACCACCTTGTCAGCGCCGATACCAAGTCACGGTATTCTCGATCTCGCTCCAGCAGCGACGAGGTGGGTTGACGGCGCTCGATCCGCATCGCTTGATATTGACGAGCTCGACCTAAGTGGCACGCAACCGAGATCGAGCGCCTGCAGCTCGCACCGCCTTGGCACTTGCCGGCGCCAAATGATAAGGCATGGAGCGTCGCCACCATCCATGCACGTGCTCGTCGGCTCGGTAGGACGGTCTACTGTAGTCTGGTCGGCGCGCGTTGGTACCATGCGCAGTCACGTCACTGCATGAAATTGGCAGCACGCTTCGCTTCCAACTCATCGGTAGGGGTCTCTGTCAGGGTCCAAAACACGGCTTCTCTATTGTGAGCGGCCCCAGAAGCAACGAGGCGAGAGGAAAGGCACCAACGGGTGGTACACAAAAGCTTGCGTCTAGGCGCTTTTGCAGGTTCAGCTTGGCACGACTCAACGACGGCGGATATCATCTTGAAGCGCGCCAAGGGTCGGGCGCCCCCCCCCCCCTGTGGCTCAAAGAGCGGAGCTCCGTCGCGCCAAGCGGCGACGAAAGAAAAAAATCCAGGTCTTACTTCGTGCCACACATCTCAAGCGAGGCCCAAATACACAAGCTACCCACCATCCGAGCGGCGAGAGCCAAAAGTACGGGGAAGCTTCGCTTGGCGTGCGGAGCAGGGTTAAGATTGTGGCCCGCAATGCACACCCACACGGGTGGGGTTGTCGGCGCCCCGGCCTCGTCTCGCATGATTCCGCTCTGCCTGTTGCGATCGTTGCAACCCCTCGCCTCGTTTCAAACACAGAGCGGTACAGCCAGGGTCCCCGCGCGTTCTCATCCCCGACACGGATGTGAGATGCGTGCAAGGATGCACCGCCACCAGCCCACCGCCGAAATCGCATAGTGGTGCTCAACATTTGCAGGTGTGGCTGGATGCAGAGCGCTGACGTTGACCCGCAGCACGTTTGGCTGCGGGATCTATTGGATACGTCTCGGACCCTTGTCTCACCCCCGCCGCCGCTGGACCCTGGACGGTCGAGGCGAGACACCTTGATTAGTTCGCAACAGCTGGTCGCGGCCTTGCCGGGCATCTGCATTGACGCCATCAGACCAGCAGGACAGTGTGCATTCGGTCCTTTTCGGTCACATGAATGTCACATCCGTACCGACGCTCCTGGCCCGGCATTCCGCGTTGGACAGATTGACGTACCTCCCGATCGCCAAGGATCGGAAGTCCAGACGGCAGAACGCCGCTCCGGCAGCGCTTCATTCTCGGGTTGGGATTCCGCGATTCTTGCCATTGCCCCCCACACACTCGCAAGATTCTGCTACCCATCCTCCAACGCCCACACTCGATGCTTGCGTGACATCCAGGCTTGGATTCCCGTTCGATTGGTAGTGCAGCGTCCTCGGCCCCGATCATGCAGCGGACTCTCCCACCTTCGGCTCGACATTGTGTCCAGTGGCAATGTGGGTCCATTCGCGGAAGCCCTCACCTGCGTATTCAAAGCCCGACTGAACCCCCACCCAAGGGCCGAGCCTGCAATATAGTTGAGACGTGGAATGCCACTGGCGCAAGCCACACACGCTCTTCCCGATCTGACTTGCTTCCGAAGCCTGGACTGCTCCCGATGGACACGCTGCCGAACTGCGTTGAGGCGCGATCCCGGGAATGGTGGCTTGCACCTTCGCCTATGCTGGCCAACATCCCGTGCTTGCCGCTACTGCTCCCGTATGCAATGCTCCCGCGAAATCTCGACAGGGCTTTTCGACGACGTCAGCTGTTTTCGACTTCCCCCCGCACTCTGCATTCAAAGGCTCGTACTCCGGGATTAGAGTTGCGACGCTGTGAGCTTATGTGCACCCGGGTATGCACCTAGATGTTGGCAACTCACCCGCAAGGCCGTCCCGGGGCGAGTTGGAGCCCCGCCCGTGTGCGTTGCGCTGCATGGCAGCCTGGATAAACTCGGAGGCGTGCCAGATCCGCTCAATCGCGAGGCCGCGTATCGGGTCGGAACCCCGGACATTCACTCATCAACACCACTGCGCTGAATGGACATAGGCAGCACGAACACCAACGCAACACTGCATGCTCGCGCCCTCATGATGCTGCCGAACGGCTGCAGCGTGGTTGAATGCGCCACAAGCCGTCGTTCGAGTCTGAACACGGCTTCACGAAGTTCAAAAGATGCGATGACATTGCTCTTGACTTGGCGATCTAGAAAAGCGCGGACGAGATGGTACATTCCCTTACGAGTCCATCTCGCTGACGCACTCCCAAGCGCCCTTCAGGTTCTCCTTCCAGAGCGTGATCTTGCCGTCGCCACAGCTGACGGCGAGCACGTTGCCGCTGACGCTCCAGCTCACGCGCCATACGGTATCCGGGAACTTTCCGGCGCCCTGTGCTGCGGTGGGGTTGAGTGCCGTCTTTGTCCACGCGGCGTCGGGTGCGTCCTGCGTCCAGATGAGCACCGTGCGGTCCTGCGATGCGGTGGCGAGGTAGCTGCGCGGCAGACCGACATTGGGTGCAAACGCCACATCGCGCACCCAGTCCGTATGGCCCTGCAGCGCATCCGCCTCGACGAAGCGGTTGGCCTCGTCGCTAAACTGCCAGATCTTGACCACATTGTCGCAACCAGCAGATGCAAAGCGCTTCACCAGCTTGGCGTCGCCCGACTGCGCAGAGATCAACGAGCCAGGCACCACGGCTGGCGCCCACGAGACCGCGTTGCATCCAACAGGGTGTGCCGACACCAGATCCACGGCCCACGTGCCGTCGTCTGTACAGAGTGAGTGTCGAAGAGCGTCAGTCTGCTGGCTCTGCTGTCATGATGCGTACGATGAGAGGAGGAGGACTTACTGTTGAAGGTGAGCACCGAGACGTTGCCGTCCGAAGATGCGCATGCAAGGATGGAGCCGAGCTCATGCGGCGCCCACGAAATCGAGTTGACTGTAAGGCAGAGAAAGAGTATGGTCCAAGATCAGTACGAGAAGATGGCACCAAGTGCAGTCCAACAGCTGCTACGCACCCGAGGCAGTGTGGAGGGTGTGTTCCTTGATCTTTGCCCATCCGCCAGCTGTGGAAGCGGGTGCGCCGTATGCGGACTGTGCGCCGTAAGGACCCGACTGAGCCGGAGCTGCCGCTGCGCCGTTGTCCTTCCAGATGATCACTTTTCCGTCGTAGGAGCAGCTTGCGAGGATGTCGCCAAAGGTGGGGTGAGCCCAGGCGACCTGCCATACGGGGCCCTGGTGGCCGTGGAGCGTCTCTGCATTGGTGGAGGGCGAGCCGTTGACAATGTCGAACACCTTGACGGTGCGGTCGGAGGAGCAGGTTGCGAGGCGCTTGCCGTAGAAGTCGAGCTGTGCGTCGTGCACCATGTCTTCGTGCTGCGTCTCGACGTTCTTGGGTCGCTCCGCCGAGAGCGCAAGCGCGGCGGAAGACGAGGTGAGCGTTGCCATATTGTTTCGCGTGGCGATCTGCAGTCGAGGGGCAGAAGAGGCAGAGTCGGATGTAGGATGGGTGGATGAGGTGGCAAGGGTGGAGAAGCGATGTATCAGATCGCGAAGACGCACGAACGGCTTCCAGCACATCGCCCTCGCAACGCTGCACAGACGTCCGAGCGCGTGCCATTCACGCTCGCACTCTCTCGGCCGCAAAGCTCGATGAATTTCGAGGCCAGAAGCTAGTTTCGGCGATCTTACATTTGTGATTTTTTTTGCCCGGCGAAAAACGCGGGGATCGCTCCTCCTCCAGCATGGTCACCAAATTTGGCAATGCTCGACAACCTTTCACCTTCACAGCTGGACAAGCACCAGCAGCTGCGACCGCTACTCCAGTCGTGTGACTACTTCTGGGCATGAGCATATTGAAGATGGTATCATAAAGCCCGTCGACTGCGACTCTGGCGGGACTGGCGGACGAGGCCGGTCTTTGGGCCGCTTTCCGAAGGAAGAGGTGACGCGCGGTCAAGAAAAGAAAAAGTCGCTTGGGATCGAAGCTGCCGCTGCGATTCTGCGGAGTCACCGGCTGTACATCGCAGTGACTCCGGCTATGAGCTTTTTGTCCGTCCCCCCCACTTTGAGAGCACAGTTGGACATTGAGCCCAAGCATTTGCCGAAACCAATGAACCCTGACCAGCCCCCGCCCACGCCGCACCTCTTTGGGGAGCCCTTCTTTCGTTCTGTTCCCTCTTCTCGCACCGCTTCCTTTTGACAAGGTGGATTCATTGCATCAACCATGGGCAGACCGTCCATCTCGTCGCAACGCAGCAATGAGAGGAGCCCGCTCCTTACCGCACAGCCGTCATCGTCGGGCTTGGTGTCGGAAGATGCGATCCCGTCGCGCTCTTTAACGCCGACCTACACGGCGGCGGCATCAACGCCTCGATCTCGCAAGCTCTCGACCACCAACAGGAATTCCTTGGACCACGACTCTGTTCCAGAGACGGCGCGACTGCTGGACCAGTCTCTCGAAAGCCCCTCTCGGCATCATGACATCGCAGACATCGAGCAGCGCGCTTCTGAGGACGGTGAACAAATCCCTTTCCCCTCCCAAACGGATCCGGCCAAGCCTCTTCGTCCCAACAACTATCGCAGAGAGAAGAACGTCTCCAAGCTCAGAGGTTTCGTCGCGCGCAACGAAGGCATCCTCCTCCTCGCACTCGCGCAGCTCTTTTTCTCCACAATGAACTTCTTCTTCAAGCTCATCAACCTGCTTCCGCCAGAGGAAAGCCCGCCCGTCACGGCGCTCGAGATCATCTTCATCCGCATGTCCATCACCTGGGTCGGTTGCGTCGCCTTCATGCTTGCCAGCGGCGTAGAGAACCCGTTCCTCGGTCCCAAAGAAGTGCGCAAACTTCTGGCGCTCCGAGGATTCGTCGGCTTTTTCGGTCTTTGTAAGCCTCTTCCCCTTTCGTCTTTCAGATCGTATTTCGTACTGATGCTGCTGCTTTGTGTCGGATAGTTGGATTGTACTACTCGTTGCAGTACTTGTCACTCGCCGATGCTACCGTGATCACCTTTCTCGGGCCTCTCGCAACGGGACTGCTTGGCTTCCTCGTTCTCGGCGAGCCCTTCACCGTGCGCGAGACGCTGGGAGGTGTCATCAGTCTCTCGGGCGTTGTGCTCATCGCTCGTCCGGCCTTCATCTTTGGCCGAAAGACGGCGGATTCCGACCTCGATAATCCCTTGGTCAACTTGGCGAATACCACCCTGGCCGAAAACAACTCGACACTCAAGGTCGGTGAGGCTATCGCCAAGCTTGTCAACGTGACATCAGTCGATCTCGTCCGCCGTAGCAACAGCACACTTCTGCAAGGCGATTTGTCGGTCGAAGGGGTCACCGAGAAGCAACGCTTGTTTGCAGTAGGTCTCGCACTGCTTGGGGTATGTGGTGGCGCAGGAGCGTACATTACCATCCGTGCCATCGGTCGACGTGCATCTGCGACACACTCGGTAGCCTACTTTTCACTCTACTCGACCATCGTCAGTGCCGCACTCATGTGGTTCACCGACACCAAATTCGTGCTGCCCACACAACCAAAGTGGATCGCACTACTCGTGTGCGTAGGCATCTTCGGTCTAGCTGCCCAAGTAAGTCATCTTCCCACCGCTCCCCGTGGCCGTATCCTTGCTGACTTGGTTTTGCGCTTTACAGATTTTGTTGGCGATGGGATTGCAGCGCGAGAAAGCAGGAAGAGCAGTGTCAGTGACGTACCTCCAAATCGTGTATGCGTCGCTGTACCAGCTTGTCTTCCTGCATGTGCCGATTCAGCCACTCAGCGCGATCGGTATGGCCGTCATCCTCGTCTCAGCAGGTTGGGTAGCTGCGGCAAAGGCTTGAGATCCATTCAGGCTGCTCGCTCATTCCGCCAGGAACCTTCACTCATGAGAATGATTTATTGAAATCATCAAGAATCGCTTCTTGAGCCTGCTCGATCTGACGGCAACGACTGCGCTCGACTTATCAAATGTGCTCATAGCTTTGCAGCTGCGAGGATTGTTGGTGCGACAGCATGCGCTCAAAATCATGAACTGGGTTGGAGAAACAGGTTGGCGTGCGTTGCAACGCCGACTGGCGACAGCCGTTCTTGTGTCCCGCATCTGTGCGGGAAGAAATTCCAGCACTCGAGGCAGCAATCATCCGCCATGGCCAGCATCGCAGTCGCGTCGATCGCAGTCACATCTCGACGCATCTCGCGCATCAGGCATCAGACACGACATCCGAGTGGTTTTGAATGCAGCATCAACGTGTGCATCTGCATTGGTGTGCGACAATCGAGGCGCATTGAAGCTGGAAGAGGGCGTAAGCGACACATCGGCGACCACCGGGATGTTTGGCTGGACACATGGCTAGTCACCCAGAGCAGCCTTGATGCGTCGATGACCCGCTGCCCTGAGTTGCAACGCGCCGAAATCTGGAGCCCCCCTCGTCAGAGACTTGATCGCCAAGCGGCAAGCGTTACTCGTCTCGAGGAGGCATTCCGGAGCCGGGAGCCGGTGGCCAGCCCACGAATGCGCCGACCGGATGCGGTGCCGTCTTTTCTGCCGGTTGGTTGATCGGCAGATCCGAGATCCCTGTACGATTGAAGTGCGCAGCGACAAGACAAGGGTCAGCATTCTGTGCACGAATAGAACGGAACGATCGAGGAACTTACATCCTGGCTTCTTGTCTCGGTCGAGATCATCCTCGAAATCGTCCTCCTCCTCGTTGCTCGCTGTTGACTCGCCGAGCGCCTCTGCACCGAGCAGTTCTGCGCCTGCGACGCCAGCAATCAAGTCGAGTCCACTCGTCATCTCCCTCTCGGCCGATGCGCGCCCAGTCGCACCGGGCGCGCCTGCATGCTCCGCCAATCCTGTGTGAGCCGCTGCGTCGTGCGAGCCGGTCGCTCCAGTCTTGTGGTGACGCTTTCGGAGACTAAGATCCAGGCGACGGAATGCAGACTGCATGATCTGCAGTTGACGATTTGAAGCCGTGAATCGATTCGAGAGTTGCCGAAGCAGGTCGTAGGCTAGTACGAGAAGCTCTTGCGCCTCTTTGAGTATCGCGCTCGAGTTGGGATCTTGCGACGGATCCATCAAGCGCGAGGTTATGTAGATGGCCGGGATGAGACCGCGTCCAGTCTGGCTGAGTTGATAAGACATGACCGAGCCAAAGTCGGTGTAGTCGCCGCGCTGGATCATCTTGCGTTGCGAGAGCAGGAGCTCGCGGCACCACTTGACCATCTCGTCCCGATAGTCGGTTCGCGGAGGCTGGCGCGAGAGATTCGTGTTGGCCATGCAGAAGAGATGACGATAGATGAAAATCTTGATGAAGGCTGCTGTGGTGCGCAGCCTCTCCACGTGCGCATGGTACATTGAATCATCCTCATGCGATGTGGTCGGCTTGGGACAGTCAGCGTAATGGAAATCATCGACCAACTCCAGCTCCTCCTCGAATCCGATAGCCTCGTGGTCGGCCATGCAGCTGTCGTCGTGATTCTCGGACTGCCTCGGGCGTTTCGGCTTCTTGCGCATGACGCGCTCCAGAGCTGCCGATGAGCTGCACGCTGGAAGGTTGATCTTGTCGATGACGCGCTCCAAGACGCAAAAGAGGCGGATGGCCGCTCGATGCCAGGGTCGAAGCGTGCATGCGCGGTCGAAGGATGTGGCAGCCGGTAGCCTTTCGGTGTATTCGTCCGAGTCGACATCAATCTCCGGGACGTCAATGTCGGAGAGTCGGAGCATCACGGGTCGTCCATAGGCCGCCGAGATCTTGTCGCCACAGTAGATAGCCCAGAGCGTGCGTCGACGTGCCTCGATCTCGGATCTTGTAAACGCGTCCGTGTAGGTTTCGGCAGATCTGTGTAGTCCAACGTCGAAGCATTTCGAAACACAGCCGTTCATAAGATAGTGCGCCCTTGTCACTCCGAAAGGCCCAGAGGCACCGAAGCAGTAGTGGGAGAGGTAGAAGAGGGCCTGGATGTGGTTGAGGCTTGCCCAGTCTGTGTTGCGTGGGGCGAGCCTGCGAATGTCGAGGTAGAGCTCGAAGAAGCCGAAGTTGCGGCCCCATTCGGCTGCATGGCCACCCTTTGAGCTGCCGGCCTCTTGACGAGCGGCAACGGCGCAGCAGGCGATGACGAGGCAGACAAAGGTGGGATTCTGGCGTTCGCGCTCGTCCTTGAGCGAGGCGAGGAACTCGGAAAGGATGAACGTGGGCCAGAGGACGTAGGTGGTTGAGAGGAAGGTATGCAGGAGCGAACGTCGATGCTGCTGGGGGATCTTGGATCCCATAAAAGCCCACAGATCCTCGGGTGGTGGGCCGGCTTCAAGGTAGGTGGTGGCTGGCCGACTCTGTTCGTACTGTGCTCCATTGGCGTCCTTTGTGACTGTGGAGGCGACGGCGTGGCTCTGGGAACGATTGCGACGAGTGTCGGGAGGGATTGGCTGTGGATTTGCCGGCGAGGTTTCTGCAGAGGATGTGCTGGCGATGGAGAGCGTGCTCTTCGTCGGAATCTGCATGGACGGGATGCGTTCGGGAGTCGGTCCTGCGGCAGCATCGAAGGTGAAGGGGACGTTGAGGGAGGGAGCGCCCCCCAGAGACCAGTCGGCGGCGAGAGAGTCGGAGAAACCGCCGGTCGGAGCGCCGAGACCGGAGCTGGGATGGCTGGCGTGAGAATGGGGTGAGAGCGACTCGTTCTCCAATGCGAACATCTGCATGTTGACGCCGTCCTGGTTCTCACCCTCGAGGACCTGCCAGAGGGCGTCGAGGAACTGCTCGTTGGCGAGCTTGTGGTATTCGTGCAGGTAGGAGAGAGTGCCGAGGCCTGAGGACAGAGAGAGTGCCTTGAGATGGCCGAACTCGTTGCGGTAGATCGAGTCGTAAGGATAGGCGAGATACCTATGACGCTTTGGATCTGGTTTGGGAGGCCAGGCGACGGTGTGACGAGAGCGCTCATAGGGAGTGTTGGGCCAGGGAATGGCTGAGCCGGACCGTTGAGCCCTTGCATCGATGTCGGCGGAGATGTTGGCGTGATCGGCACTTGGATGTCTGGTGGGATGGTCGTGCATCCTGAGGGGGTATTCTGGTGCAGACCAAGCGTCTTGCTCGTTGAGCGGATCGATGGCTGCGGAAGAGGAGCGGCCTGCTGGATTGATGTATGTGGCATGGTCGCTGGGATCCTCGCCCGGACGCCAGTCACGGCAGACGAGGCCGAGGCTGGTGCAGTTCTTGCAAGGCCTGAGATCGCCGCACTTGATCTTGCGCGCCTTGCAACGGTTGCAGGCTTGTCGGACCCTTGTGCGCTTCTGAGCGCGATCGGCGTATGCACGCGCAGCGATGTCCTCTGTGTTGTTGGATCGGTCTCTTTTGGTCGAGGCCGAAGGCGAGGATGCGGGGCCCGAGGTGAAGGAGGTGGGAGATGGACCCGGCGTCATATTGAAGTGGACCAGCTGCTGTCAGGATGGCATGCGGTGCGATGTGCTCCGTCCTTTTGTCGTACAGGGCGGTTACTGCCGTAGACTCTTGTCAGTCAACGGTGACTGGCTGGATGGGGATCCGGAGCAGGAGAGGATGATGGCGACCTGCGCGGTGTCAAAGAAGCGGCAAGAAGGCAAGGGACCGATGTGCTTCAGCGCAAGCTTGGATGGTCGTGAGATGGTTGGAAGGATAGGATGATGTGGACGAGCGGGAAGAGCATGTCTCGCGGGAGGGTGAGGACACGGAAGTTGACCAAAGCGCCTCGCGTGGTTGGCTGGACGCTTGACTTGGTTGGCTGGTCGGCTGCAGGTCAAGGTGGAGGAGCGTTGCTCGTTGCTGGCCTTGGATTGATTGAATCGGAGACTTTGAACCCCACGCGGAAACGGCCGTGGCAACCCAGGCGCCCCTTCTGCCGGACTGCCAGCTTCGGCAAGCTCTCTGTCTCTCTGTCTCGCTTCGGATGCCGCGAGGGAGCGGGGAAGAAATCGGAAAATCCCCCCAAAAATCCCCACCATCGTCGGAATTTCGTGCAGAAGGAGGAGGGGCAGCAGCGGCAGCACTGGCGCTGACACCACGGCTTCGACAGCGTCTCAGCTGAGAGGAGGAGCTGCTGCTGCCGCTCATGCAAGGATGACAGAGAAGAAGGACTGGGCATTCCGTTCGCAGCTGTCGGCGTCGCACCGAACTATTTTCGACCAAGATGTTGCGGGCGGATGAGGGACGCCGACGGTAGAGCATAGCAGACCGGCGAGTTGGGCTGGCTGGCTTGCAGGGCTTGCAGGCATGGCGCTCCTCTTGGCTGTTGTGACGATGTGGGAATGGCTGGGAAATTGACCGCTCAAGCGAGCTCTACGCGGTTGGCTCCGAGCACAGCAGCGGTGTACGAATCTCCCACATGCATGTACGCCGGCCCTTCCGACGCGCCCTGGATGCAGCAGCGCCGAGACAGGCCCGCACTCCTCCCACTCTTCTTTGTTCACCTGTCGATGCGAAGTGCAAACTGCGAACAAATGCAGTTGCCCCACATATGCATGCTCCGAGCACCACCCCATCGCTCTCGCTGTCCGATTCGTCCCGACTCGGCAGCTTCATCGTGGCCAGCCAACACACGCGAACATGCTTCGCGTCATCGGAGCGCTCTTCGAATCGCCGTGCGTGTTTTCGTCTCTCCCCAAGTGTTACGGTCGCCCGATCCGAACCATCAGCCAAGCAATCTGATTTAAGAATCTAGCTCCATGTGTTGCTCTCGACTGCCAGATGGTCCCGGTCCTTCCGCAGCCGTGTCTGTGGACGCCGAGCAGCCCGGACGATGCGCCGCGCCCTTCGCAGGGTTCAGGTCCGAGAGCCGGACCGGCCAAATTAGCCATGCAGATCCTGCAGACGGCTACAGTAAACTTAGGTGGGAAAATCAGACTCGAATTCCACTCTGACGAGCGCACGCGGCGCGCCGAGTGTGGACCCTGGATTGCGGTGATCCCAACTGGAGCGAGGGTTCAACACGGAGACATCCGTGGGCAGCATCTGCTTCCCGAAGATCCGAGTGACGGCATCGCTTGACGGATGTTTCCGTGGATCTTCTTATCCGCTCCCATCGCTACCCGATGATGATCAATCGTTGTACCTTTCCATGCGGGAATGGAGCCAGCGTTCCTACTTTGGGTTGAGATCGTTGGCGATGAAATGGTCCACCCATGACGCAAGCGAGTCGTGCGTCTCGTCGGCGGCCCTGTCTCCACGACTCTCGTCACCGTTTCTGTACTTGCCCGTGCGCACTGTTGCGGCGATCCATGTCGCAGTTTGGCAAGGCAAGGATCAGGGCGGGACGCATCAGCATCGCCAAGACACATCATCGAGAGGCATTCTACTGAGCAACTCACCTAGCACCCGGCGCAGTCCGAGCTGCCAGGTTCCTTGGCCGAGGTCGGCTACGATATCGTCGCCCACCTAGTCGATTCGGAACGCCATGCCAAGCAAATTGCGCCCAAGGTCCTTGTCAGCTTCCGTCTCTGCACGCTGATCGATCTGGTACAAGGGTACGCACGATAATGTTTGTAAAGTCGCTCATAGACTCGTCGGCACCGATCATGCCCGCAACGCACTCTTGCAGAAACGCTGGCTGCGGCTTGCCACACACAATCGTCTCGCTGACTTGGCGACCTGACGCAGCTTCTAGCGCCGCCACGAAAGCGCCAGGCCCGAGCGAGAGCGGTCCATCCTGGGTCGGGCGATGATAGAGTGCTTTTCAAACGGTGGCGGAAGCAGAGGTCATACGGAGAGCTTCTTGTCAGACTGGGAATCGCTGGATTATTGCAAGCGCCCGACATGGACTTGAACGTACCGCGATGCGTCGTGATGAGAGCCACGCTTTGCTTCGCATCGTACTCGCCTGCTAGAAGCCTGAACGCTTCATCAAGCCACTTGCTCGTCATGAGCTCGGGGCAAAGGCCCACGACCACGGCGTCGCACGAGCGTAGCTTGGCTGCATTCTGCGCGTCGAGCCTCTCCGGATCGAGGTCGGCGTGCGCGAAGAAGCAGTCTCGGGCAAGCGTATCATCGCCTCGGAAGGCAGTCTGAGCCGATTGACTGAGGAGCAACAACGGTCGGAGCTTCTGACGCGCCACCAGCCGATACGCCGCATCGAGGCTGGTGAAGACACCGGAGCTGCCGACAAGCTCGGCGCCCAGACCGACGCGACGCAGGCGCGACAAGAGGGACGACGATGACTCCTTGCTCGTGTTGCTGCAGAAGCGGATGTTGACGCGGTCCGGCTGTTGTTGCTGCACGGCGCGCAACCTCTGGATTGCCTGGACCGCTCCCAATGTCGGCGTGTCTCCGATGTGGCAAGTGCCGTTGAGGTCGATCAGCAAATTGAATCGTGCGGACCTCATCGCGGCGATGCTGAAATATTGCGTCTGCAGGGAGTCGTGATTCGGAAGGAGGCCGACGGACGCGCACGATGGTCGATGAGAGTAGGAGCGTGAAAAACGGCACAGAAAGTGTTGGTTGCGCTTTCCAGCGATTTGCAGGTGGAGGTTTGGCGGCGCCTCCGACGCGTCGAAAAATGGCCGCTCGCTCGCTCGTTTGCCCGCTGCGTGGAGCAACAGACAACACCAAGCTGCGCGTGTCGGGAGCTGAGCATCGAGCGTAAAGAGCGTCGGCGGGTATCACCTCTCGCTGGTAGGTCGGAAGCGCTGGTAGAAGTCCTTCATCTTGGCCTCGCAGCTCTCGGAGAACGTCTCGGGGAGCTCGCCGATCTGCGTTGCCGGACTGCCTGCAAAGATGGAAAACGACGGCACCACCGTATTGGGCGCTACCACACTGCCGTCCAGGATCCTCGCGCAGTCCTTGATGATCACAAAGCGTCCAACAATGCAATTGGCGCCAATCTCGACGTGCGAGCCCACCGAAGCCGCCTCGAGCACCGTGTTGGCCCCCACCGACACATGATCGCCCACCTTCATCGGGTAATACGAAAAGACACTGCCAGATCCATCGACGAGGGTGCAGACCCATCGTCACAGAAGCGTCAGCTACGAAACCTGGATCTTACGTCGTCGGCACTCCACGTCCAAATGCTGCTCACCCTTTATACGTCTTGTATGGAGGTCGGATGACGCTCGATTCAGCCAACAGGCAGTACCGCCCGATGAAGATCGCTACCGACTGCGTTTGCTGCCCAGAGCCGGTGGAGCTTGAGGTCGAGGAAGCGGCGATTCGGCGCAAGTCGCCTCGAATGATGGCTCCGTGCTGGATGATGCATTTGCCTCCCAGGATGATATTTTGTGATCCCAGAATGGTCGCCTTTCTCGACACCTTGTTGCCCGTCAAAGCGGTCTGGATGTATTCGTTGGGGGCGTAGGCCGCCACATGGCTGATCGTGGGTGGCATGGCGGTGGTCAGACGTTGCCGTCAACAGAGCCAGCTTGTGCGACGGGACGCTTTGCGAACGTGATGGTAGCGTGATGCCAACACAGCTGGTGGGCGGCAACCAGAAGCTGCAGCCCCACCGTATCTCAACTTTACACTCGCAGGCCCGCCAGAAATTCGGAACTCGGCTTGCCACGCCTGCATCACGCCGCACGTCCCACCTGCGTTCGTTCCCTTCGGCCAGGCATCCTTGACGCCCTCCACGCCCTCACCTCGACCACGCCTCGTCGGCCCTTCATCCTGAACTATCGCACATCCGTCTTATGAGCTGCTGATCAGCTTCACCTCACAAGGATTTACCCCGACCTCCTACGACCCGTTGCTGCGCCTACCCTGCCACGCACCCGTCAACTGGCACAATGGACGTCACAAAGGCCGTGTCGGCCTACATCCAGCGCATGATCACCGAGGTCGCCGGCGTCAAAGTCCTTCTCCTCGACCAAGATACTACGCCGATCATCTCAACTTCGTTCACCCAGTCCTCGCTGCTGAGCCATGAAGTATATCTCACGGATCGCGTCGACAACCTCAGCCGCGATCGCATGCGCCATCTCAACTGCATCGCCCTCCTCCGTCCATCTCCCCAGTCCATCACCGCACTCGTACACGAGCTGCGCCAGCCAAGATACAAGTCCTATTGGCTCTACTTCACAAATGCTCTCTCAAAACAGGACATTGAGCTTCTTGCAGAGGCCGACGAGCACGAAGTCGTCAAGGAGATCCAGGAGTTCTTCGCCGACTACCTGCCCGTGAATGCCGACCTCTTTTCTCTCAACATCGACACTCCTCCCGCACGAATCTGGGCCGACAATCCTGCAACTTGGGATCAAAGCGCACTCGACCAGCACGTCAAGGGCCTCTCTGCTCTCCTTCTCAGCCTTAAGAAGAAGCCCGCCATCCGCTACGAGAGGATGAGTGGTCTTGCAAAGAAGCTCGGCGAAGAGCTCTCCGTACGTAACAACTTTTTCCGGCACGATCGTACGTGACGTTCCGTGTACTTTGAACACACCCCGTCTAACCCTGTCCGTTTCCCTCCAACGTCTCGTCTGCAGTATCAGATCAATCAGGATCAAGCCGGCCTGTTTGACTTTCGGCGAACAGAGAATGCGCCATTGTTGCTCATCCTTGACCGCAGGAACGATCCTGTCACGCCCCTGCTCACGCAATGGACCTATCAGGCAATGGTACACGAGGTCCTTGGGATCCGAAACGGGCGCGTCAGCCTCGCCGACGCAGACGGCGTTCGTCCAGAGCTACAGGTGAGTAATTCAGAAGGCCAACCTCGTCTTGCTGGACCGTCACACGCTGACACATGTTCATTTCCATGGTTGCTGCGATTGCCGCAGGAGATCGTCTTGTCGGGCGATCAGGATCCTTTCTTCTCGGCGAATCTGTACGACAACTTTGGTGATCTCGGTGCTTCCATCAAAAAGTACGTCTTGGAATACCAGTCGAGAACAGCCTCCAACGCTACCATCGACACGGTCGCGGATATGAAGCGCTTCGTCGAAGAATATCCCGAATTCCGCAAGCTCGGCGGCAACGTGAGCAAGCACGTTGCGCTTCTCGGGGAACTCAGTCGGCGGGTCGAGAAGGACTCGCTGCTGGAGGTGTCGGAACTCGAGCAGAGCCTCGCCTCCGTCGAGAGCCATGCATCCGACCTCAAGGCCATCCAAACGATGATCGAATCTCCCAAGTGCTCTGCAGATGCGAAGATTCGTTTGGCGATTCTTTATGCTCTTCGCTATCAGAAATTGCCCGGCAACCAGATTCAGAAACTCGTGCAGGACCTTCTCAAAGCCGGCGTGCCAGAAAGTCGAGCAGCACTGGTCTTTGTCATGCTCAATATCGCCGGAGCGGAACAGCGCCAAGACGACCTTTTCGCAAACGAGAACTTCTTTTCTCGAGGCAGAAGCGCACTCAAAGGCCTCAAGGGAGTCGAGAATGTCTACACGCAACACACGCCGCACCTCGTCCAGACGGTGGACAACCTCATGCGAGGCAGACTCAGAGACACCAGCTACCCGCTCGTCTCTTCCAGTCAGCATTCGGCGTCGATCAACCCAGCGGAGCGTCCTCAAGATGTCATCCTCTTCATCATTGGCGGCGCAACATACGAAGAGGCGCGCTCCATCGCGCTCCTCAACGCTCAGCATCAGCGTGGGGCACAGCATGGCGCTGCCCAACAGAATGCTGTAGGAGGCACTGTCGGTACAGGCACCCGATTCTTGCTCGGCGGCAGCTCCATCCACAACAGCAAGTCGTTCCTCGACATGATCCAGGATGCCGCTTCACGCTTCGACGCTCGCTTTGCGAAACCACCCGCGAATCTGGGCAGCGGTGGCCCGGCTCTCAATCTCAGCATCGGTCCCGTGCAGCTGGCCGTGGGAGGTGGTCCCAACGCATCCAGACAGGATGGCTCCGTGGCTGGGGCAGCTGCCAGCTTACTCGACCCGGAATACCTTGGAGAGGCGGCAAGTGGCGCCAGGGATCTTGCCACCGACATTTTTAGTCGCGTCAGAAAGGGTGTTGAAGGCACGATCAGTGGCCTTCAATGAGCAATCATGCAATACGACGTCGACACCATCAGAGTTCGCATGCGTGACGGCCCATGACTGACACAGCTGGACCGTGACTTTGCCTGAGACTCATATCCTGAAGAAACGTGAGCTGGCGAAAATCAGCCACCCAGCAGCCACCCTGGGTGGCTGGTGGGTGGCTGCTAATTACCAGCCACCTGGGGGGGGGGGGGGGGGGGGGTGGCTGCTGGGTGGCTCATTTTCGCCACCCTCCCCAGGTGGCTGATGGGTGGCTGCTCGTCGCCACCCACCCCACTTGTTAGGATATGACTCATGTTGCGAAGAGAGAAATGCTCGGCTTCTATCGACGGGCCAACAAGACGACCGCGCGCGCGAACGATTGGCTTAAGTGTCGAGACACTCACCAGCCCTTCTTCTCCTCCGCGATATGAATCCTGTCACCCGTGGAACTATGTTGCATCTTGTATGCGTCAGAGTTCCACGGGTGACAGGATCCGGTGTCATGCGTCCTCAAACTGTTCATGATCCCTTACTCGAGCGACAGCTCGGCTCGAGGTGGGTCTCGTGCACCTATGCACGCTCAGGTGATCACACCACCTCCGAATCATCCAGATCATGAGCGATGTCGGAAGCTAGGCCTGTTTGAGGCATTGATGATTCATGATTGTGAACTCGAGCAATGACACAAGGCAGCGGCAAACGTATGTGGTCATAGTCGTGACTCTGTCGCATCGCAAATAAAGTCACGAGCGAGTAAAGCTTTGCCTTGTTTCTACGCAGCAAGCCTCTCGAAGGCTGTTGGTTGGGTGTACCTCGCCACTGGAGTGGCCTCCTGAGCCAGCAATCCTGAGCAGCCACCGAGCTACGCCCCGATACCGGGAAATCACGATTGTGTGACTCTACTCGTAACTACCTAAGTTACCCACCCGCGGATTGTAGAACTTTGAAGCGTAATCCCACGCGCCCTCTCCCCCACGCCCCTCCCTGCCACCCGAGTTCGGGCCGTGGACCGTGTGAATCGCGCGTTGGTGGCTTTCCTCGTCACCACAAGAATATGCACACTCGGCTGCTCGCACACACCAAAGCCTGACGGTTCCCTCATGATGCACGACTCACTCCGGATGTCGAAAGAGGAAATGATAGACAGCTACGCATGACGATCCAGTTTGTGCAAAAATTTCGCGAAAGCACGTTCCTAGCTTCATCGGCATTGCGATGATCGAAATTTGTCACGTAGTATTAGCTTCGACACTGGTGTCCGGGCACCTTTTGCCGTAGTTGGAATTCGAGATCACGGACCATGAAATCATTTTCGGCCATGGAATCGGCGGGACGCGTCAGAATTCACAAAACGAAATCACGAATGAATGCTCATGATTCTCATTTGGGAATCATGAAAGTACTGTTTTTAAACGCAGGCAGCTACACGCATAGCGACAGAAAATGCTTGCTCGCATTCACCCAAGCCGGAACATGAAAGTTCGACGGGTCAACTTGCATTTGAGGATAAGTTATCTTCAAGGTGATTAAGTTGACTTAAGTTAACATAACTTAACTTAACCTCAATCATCTGTTCACCCTCATCTTTATCCTTTTTCCTCCATCTTCAACTTTTTCTGAAGATATCGTTCATCATGATTCTGGTGTTGGAGGGCTTATCCCCGTTTATTCGTTCCACAGAGCTCAGCAAGTTTTTATGAGTCAGATCAGAAATCGAGAAAATATGTCAACGATGCTAAAGGCAGTGAACGGGGCGAACAACAAAAAGGAAAGAAGTCGGAAAAAACACAAAGCAACTCATATCCTAACAAAACGGTAGCTCTGCTTTTCGCCACCCCCCCCCCGGGGTGGCGAAAATGAGCCACCCAGCAGCCACCCCTCAGCCACCCGGGGTGGCGGGTGAGTGGCTGCTCCTCGCCAGCTACCGTTTTGTTAGGATATGAATAGCACGAACAGTAGAGCAGCGTGTTCTTCCACCCACCTCACGACCTACTCACTCATGACCCGACGTCGTGACTTCAAAGTTGGCTCGGGCCTGAGGTGTGAGCTCGTTATGCAGGGAAGATACGTCTAACGTGCTTTGCAGTGGCCATCTTGGACGGAAGACTCGTCGTTCATATCGTAAAAATCAAAGGCACGCTTGGCAACAACGACACGTGAAAATGCATGCAGGCGCGTGTGTTTGACTGTGGAGGCACAGATTCATATCCTAAAAAGACGGGGGGGTGGCGAGGAGCAGCCACCCAGCAGCCACCCGGGGTGGCTGCTCGTCGCCACCCACCCCACTCATGATTGGCTTTCTCAACCACGCAGCTACACACATAGCCTACCTTTGTGCCATTCACGATTCTTCATGGGTTCGCCGCTGGACTGCTGAGCGACGAGGCCATACGCCGACCCCGTCACTAGGCGAAAGTGGCTGCTGCGTGGCTCACGACCGTTTGCTTCTTGCGACCAGTGTTGAGGTTCCCGAATTCGACAAAAGGTGCCTCTGGACGCTAGTCGCATTTCAACAAAGTCTCAGCGCATTATTTTCGTTGTACAAGTTCATGATTATTCGTGTGGCCGGCGCAACTATGACGAATTCTGCACGACCGATCGGAAAACAAAATGAGATATTTAGAAATCTTTGGGCATGAAGAATTAAAAGGATCATGTGAAGCATTAAGTTAACATGAAGATCACCCCCGGAGGACCTGTGTGATGCGCACGCTAGGTCTGAATGCGCCAAATGTAAGCTTTCATCAGGATAGTGATTCATTGATAGTAAATCACGACATGATTTACGAAGTACAATTTGTGAACACAAATTCTGAGGCGAGCCAAAACACAATTTCCCGCGACCTGCCCACCATTATGGACGGTCTTTTAAAGGCATTTAGTGAGCTAGAGGCCGGCCACTCTGAAGCAACACTTATTTCACTCTAGCCATGATTAATTCAGATGATTGTTCCAAATTAAACACTGAGGCTACAGTAAAGGTACTGGAGAGCCAGAGCAAAACCAGAGAAGTGAAGTCAATATTCAAGATAAAAAATTCAATCAATTAACTCAATCTAGGCGGCAATTCGCAAAGCGAGTTTATCATTCTTTTCAAATTAGTGATGTTGGTAGAACATGAACACACCGCGCACATCTGGACTGATGACGACACGAAGCATGCATCGATGCACTGTCTTGAACAGCCTCAAAACTTGGAAGGAAGAAAAAGATGCTACGTACAGGCATACGAAACGATGTCAAGATCATCCGAATTTTGGAGAGCGTGTGGTGCAAGATCAGACATGTTCAGGCTCGTCCCTGGAACTTTCAACCCGTCCCTGATTTACGGTCATCATTTATGATTGATTGTTGCACAAATGGGCCTGTTTCGTTCATGGGCCACTCACAGTATGAAGACCAGAACAACTCGCCCCTTAAGAGTAGTTACGAGGCAATACGATCCAGGAATTTGCACAAGGAAAGAGGTGACTTAGGGACTGCACCCACAATCAATTCGAACACAGGACTCAATGCAAGCATCATGTTTCAGAAGTCACAACTCTATTTCGTGAAAAGCAGAACTCAAAACCAGTGACCGCACACTCAGTCGGCTTCATGTAGGCTCGGAAACACCAAAGCTGCATGCTTTTCTCCGAGCCGAGTGGATTAAATCGTTAATCACGAAATCTTCAAAAAGAAATCCTCCGCCATTAATCATATCCTAAAAAAACGCGAGCTGGCGAGGAGCAGCCACCCC